TTAAACAATTATTCAACTTGAAATAATGTCTGCAAGATATTTTATTTCGTTTCGAGTGATATGAACCGACGCCGGTCAGACATCGAAGAAACCGTGCGAAATATAATTCACTTTTATCCACAATTTCGACTCAATTTTACGTAAAAAGATATTAATTTTAACCGAAAGCACTGTTAGAGAGTAAACGCGATTAGTATTGATGATTAAACATACTTTTTTGGTTGACAGACGTCAACAGGTCTCGAAATGTCGGAGCAGGTTCGAACACGTCTCACTTCGTCGATTTTTACAATAGAAATGGCGGCCGATCGCCGTACGCAGCATCGTTCGCGAATTGATACGGAGGAATCCGAAGATTCCCGAAGCTTCGATTTCGAGATGGCATCTTTCGACTTCGAACTTCAATCAAAGATTGTAACAGAAATAAAATAGAAATTGAAGCCAAATGCATCACAGAAAACATATCTAATGTCAATTAAACAATTATTCAACTTGAAATAATGTCTGCAAGATATTTTATTTCGTTTCGAGTGATATGAACCGACGCCGGTCAGACATCGAAGAAACCGTGCGAAATATAATTCACTTTTATCCACAATTTCGACTCAATTTTACGTAAAAAGATATTAATTTAAACCGAAAGCACTGTTAGAGAGTAAACGCGATTAGTATTGATGATTAAACATACCTTTTTGGTCGACAGACGCCAACAGGTCTCGAAATGTCGGAGCAGGTTCGAACACGTCTCACTTCGCCGATTTTTACAATAGAAATGGCGGCCGATCGCCGTGCGCAGCATCATTCGCGCAACTGATACGGAGGAATCCGAAGATTCCCGAAGCTTCGATTTCGAGATGGCATCTTTCGACTTCGAACTTCAATCAAAGATTGTAACAGAAATAAAATAGAAATTGAAGCCAAAGCATCACAGAAAACATATCTAATGTCAATTAAATAATTATTCAACTTGAAATTATGTCTGCAAGATATATTATTTCGTTTCGAGAGATATGAACCGACGCCGGTCAGACATCGAAGAAACCGTGCGAAATATAATTTGCTTCTATCCACAATTTCGACTGAATTTCAGGTAACAATATATTAATTTTAACCGAAAGCAACGTTAGAGAATAAACGCGTGTAGTGATAATGATTAAATATCAACAGGTTGGAAATACGAACCTCTTTGTTCACGAACTTCGACGCGTCTCGACACGTCTTGCTACGTTAATTTTTCGAATACGAATGACGCCCCCTGGCGGTGTCCAGCAGCGCTCGCGAATCAGGTGGCGGGGGCGAGGAAGCTGTCTCGCGAAGCTTGTGTTCGGAAAAGAAGCTTAAACCACGTTTTCGAAAGTGTTAATTCGCGAAACTAAAGATGCCTCAGGTAAAAACCACGATATATAATATAAGAACGAAAATACTGAGTCTATGCACTAGAACAACGTAATTACCTTGACTGTTGAACCATATCGATGCATGAGATAATTCTTGATCTCGTTATGCACTTCGAAAATCACGCTTTAGTCACAAAGTTGCATTTCTTGTGCACAGAGTGCGCACGTGACACGACGAACGTCCCCATTCGATTGTCGATCGAAGAATCTTTCTGTTCTTACGAATAAATTTTATTTTTCTACTTTCTGGATTGACAAAACGACTGTCAAGGGCAGTTTAATTCAGAATCTGATCTAAAATCGATTCTTCTTCCGTCAGAATATTTAATAATTGTCAAAACGTATTTCATTAAAATTTACTCATTGTTTACAATCGATAATCGATTGTAACGTCAGAATATCACGAATCTACCGACACTTCCTGTTTTGTAGCACTCACGTACAACTAACGAATCTAAATCACACGTTTTGGTATAATTAGATCTATTATAAACGATAGTTTAATGCCTAATTAGGTGTTGTTTACACCGGCGATCCAACACGAGGTTGTGTTCTAACGAATCGAAATATAGCGTAAAAAAGCAATAGTATTACAGCGCACTCTGTGCTTAAAAACGGTGACTCTGAGAATCATATTTAACCCGTTCATCGACGTCGGTAACGCTAGCAACAAATTCATAAATTTTATCTTCTGAGATGATAACAACAACAGTATTAATCAAAATTTAATTACACATTACATATACGGTTGTATGGTTCTAAAGTCAAGATACAGACTTGATATCTTCAACTTTATATATTTACTTTAGTCCAGTGAATCTAAATGAAAGCACAGACGAGGTATACAAGTAGACCTTTCATTCAATGTATTTTTTTTACCCATTTTTATGGGACTCCCCCATTACCATTTTCGTGTCACTCGCAACGTTACCGACAGGTTACACAAATCAACAGAAGAGGAAATGAAACAAAACTTGAAATTACAGGAATTCTATTGTTTTTTAACGAAATGAAAACTACCATGGGCTAGAATTGATCATCGATCGATTAATTTCATTGGAGTAATCGATCGATTAACGGATGCAATTAAAAATATAGTTGTCGGAAGGTGTCGTAGGTACACAGTAGTAGTTACAGTCGCGCCTGCAGATAGGCAACCTGCGCAGACGCAACTGTTAATAACTTTTTAACGAAGCCTCAATTAAAAAATTACTATTCTTGATTTTCGTCTTATTTTGGCCTCTAGAATCCCCCATTAAAATTTGTTGACATAAAAACAATGGAGCTACGCTGTCGAGTGAAGTTTGCAACAATAATAAAAATCAGACACGTACTTATGCAATCATCCAATACATAAAACTGCGAACTGGGACTGTACATACAATCATAGCAATTTTCTAGGAGAAACTAATTCCACAAATCTTTTCAGACTTTTTGTTGTTTTAATCTGCGCAATCTTGTTATCGCTTTTTCATCGCTCACCGTGACCATCGCCGTTATCAATAATTAAGTCTTGTGGATAATGGTGACGCCTCATTTGACAGGAAATGTATGTTTCGTAACATCAATGTCAACGATAATGTGGCTACTGCCATAAAACAAAAGCTTCTCTAAAAAATGTTTAAACAATTAACACTAGATTTACTAAACTCATAAATATTATTGCTCAACAATTTATGTCGATTTTTATAGAATATATCAGCGTAACAGATTGCAAAATAAAAATATGTATTAGCATTGTTCTTGTAAATCCAGTGTTAAATCAATAATTAAGGTAAAAAGAGAAATTTGTTTTTGCGATGACGGAGATGTAGGTCAGTGATTTTTTCACTGCCGATATCTCTGTATGGCGATAATAGTGCGATCGTAGAGACTCATAAGTGTGACATCACTTTTCAGTCCCAGATAGGAAGCAATAACGAAGGAGAAAGTTGAATAGTTTGAGGAACTCTATTTTCCTACGATCACAGTTTTTCAGTAAGTATTGTAAATATAGGTGTTATTGTCAGTTGATGTATTATAAAATTAATAAAAATTTTCATTTTGCAAATGGTCCAAATAATCGCCAAATTTCGCTACTATTCACCCTCGACATATAAAATTAATAAAAATAGAATTTTGCTTCGTGAAGGAATCGTTTATCAACATTAATTTTGCAAATGGTTCAAAGACTGTTGAATATTGTTCTACTATAATATATCTCGAGACGTGAAATTTCGCTATTATTCACCCTCGACATATAAAATTAATAAAAATAAAATTTTGCTCCATGAAGGAATCGTTTATCAACATTAGTTTTGCAAATGGTTGAAAGAATGTTGAATATTGTTCTAGTATAATATATCTCGAGACGTGAAATTTCGCTATTATTCACTCTTGACATATAAAATTAATAAAAATAAAATTTTGCTTCGTGAAGGAATCGTTTATCAACATTAATTTTGCAAATGGTTCAAAGAATGTTGAATATTGTTCTACTATGATATATCTCGAGACGTGAAATTTCGCTATTATTCACCCTCGACATATAAAATTAATAAAAATAAAATTTTGCTCCATGAAGGAATCGTTTATCAACATTAGTTTTGCAAATGGTTGAAAGAATGTTGAATATTGTCCAACTATAATATATCTCAACACGTGAAATTTTGCTATCATTCACCCTCGACATATAAAATTAATAAAAATAGAATTTTGCTTCGTGAAGGAATCGTTTATCAACATTAATTTTGCAAATGGTTCAAAGAATGTTGAATATTGTTCTACTATAATATATCTCGAGACGTGAAATTTCGCTATTATTCAACCTCGACATATAAAATTAATAGAAATAAAATTTTGCTCCATAAAGGAATCGTTTATCAACATTAATTTTGCAAATGGTTCAAAGAATGTTGAATATTGTTCTACTATAATATATCTCGAGACGTGAAATTTCGCTATTATTCACCCTCGACATATAAAATTAATAGAAATAAAATTTTGCTCCATAAAGGAATCGTTTATCAACATTAATTTTGCGAATGGTTCGAAGAATGTTGAATATTGTTCTACTATAATATATCTCGAGACGTGAAATTTCGCTATTATTCACCCTCGACATATAAAATTAATAAAAATAAAATTTTGCTTCGTGAAGGAATCGTTTATCAACATTAATTTTGCAAATGGTTCAAAGAATGTTGAATATTGTTCCACTATAATATATCTCGAGACGTGAAATTTCGCTATTATTCACTCTTGACATATAAAATTAATAAAAATAAAATTTTACTCCATGAAGGAATCGTTTATCAACATTAATTTTGCAAATGGTTCGAAGAATGTTGAATATTGTTCTAGTATAATATATCTCGACACGTGAAATTTCGCTATTATTCGTCCTCGAGTTTTTCACGAGTTTCCGTTTTTCCTGCATTCATGGTCGCGTTTAACTGAAAAAGAGAGACAGGACGAGAGAGAGAAAGTGTGTAATTTCTCCCCACCTGGTGGAAAACGCGCGCCATCTTAACCCTCCCCGGTGATATATGAAAGAACACGTGCGTCACTAGATTCTCAGTGCTGCCACACGGCCCATAAATTGTTTACTCGTTGTTGTTTGCTAATTCATGCGATTGTTCGTCTCGTCTGAGGAGTCTCGAGGAATAACGAGGAAACTGTGAACTCTGTGAACAATGAACCGTCAAAATAGAACGACACTATCAAATGGAGACACCAGTTATGTGAGTAGTGATCGAATTTTTCATTTTTATATTGGTAACTGAAGTTTCAATTTCAATTCAATTATTATAAATTCTCTTACTTGATAATTTAAGTCGATTTAGAAAAAAAAAATTTGTCGAATTATAATTATTTGTCGAAATAAAAATTATTATTGCATTGAAAATCGTGTTTAAATTGTCTTATTTAATAGAATTATAATTATTTGAAAATTTGTCGAATTATAATTATTTGACGAAATAAAAATTATTATTGGATTGATAATCATGTTTAAATTTTCTTTGTTGATAGAATTATAATTATTAGAAAATTTGTCGAATTATAATTATTTGGTGAAATAAAAATTATTATTGCATTAATAATCATGTTTAAATTGTCTTATTTAATAGAATTATAATTATTTGAAAATTTGTCGAATTACAATTTTCAACTATTTTTTTACTTGTAGAGAATTTATGGTTTTGGAAATTTGTTTTTTTCTGTCATTCTTTTGTTTTAGTTCAAATGTCTGATAATATTAAGAAATTATTAGAATTTATTAAACTATTCCTAATAATAGTTTGCTTATATTTTTTTTTCTAATATTCGTCTCAATATTATGTAAAAAATAATAAAAAATGTTTTGATATTCCTGTAATTAAAAATAAATTTTGTTATCAAATGTGAAATTAATTATTATTACTTTGGACAATATAGTACTAATAATATAATTGAAATCATTGCATTTTTATTATTTAACACGATTTGATAAGATTAGTGTCAATTTTAATTGAATAGATAAAACTAGGTGAATAAATATTAGATATATATTGATTGTTGATTAGGTTTTTGGTTTGTCGAGTATTGTGTTGAATTGTTTTTGTTCAACAGTGCTTGCAACTTGTTAGTTTACATTCTCTTCGTGCTTGGAAAAAATAGGGTCGAATTACGTACAGGTGGCTCGCATGACTTTTCTTGTGCTCCCGTTTCATTTCATTTTTTACTATGCTAATCCATTCAGCACCGTGAGAGCATACTTTCGATCTTAACAATCAAATTTTAAACAAATTTTACAAACAAAGACAATAATTCTGATGTATCAAAAAATTACTGTTAAATTTTTAATTGAAAAACATTCGTATTCAATTATTCAGTATATTATTAATTTATAAAATTATAATTACAACTTGTAACCAATTTTAAGAAAGTTTTATAGACAAAGACAATAATTTTGACGCACTAAAAAAAATTACTGTTTAATTTTTAATTGAAATAGTCAAAATTCAATTATTCAATATATATTATTAATTTATAAAATTATAATTGCAAATTGTAACCAATTTTAAACAAGTTTTATAAACAAAGACAATAATTCTGATGCACTAAAAAAATTACTGTTGAAGTTTTAATTGAAAAACATTCGTATTCAATTCTTCAATAGATATTATTAATTTATACAATTATAATTGCAAGTTGTAAACAATTTTAAACGAGTTTTATAAGCAGAAACAATAATTCTGAACTACTAAAAAATTACTGTTGAATTTTTAATTGAAAAAATCCAACATTCAATTATTCAATATATTATTAATTTATAAAATTATAATTGCAAGTTGTAAACAATTTTAAACAAGTTTTATAAGCAAAAACAATAATTCTGTCGTACCAAAATATTACTATTTAATTTTTAATTGAAAAACATTCATATTCAATTATTCAGTATATTATTAATTTATTAAATTATAATTGATAAAATTGATCATAGTATTTATGAAATACAATTATAATTGCATGTTGTAACCAATTTTAAACAAATTTTACAAACTAAAACAATAATTCTGACCAACTAAATAATTACTGTTCAATTTTTAATTGAAAAAAGTCAAAATTCAATTATTCAATATATATTATTAATTTATAAAATTATAATTGCAAGTTGTAACGAATATTTAACAAGTTTTATAAGCAAAAACAATAATTCTGTCGTACTAAAAAATTACTATTTAATTTTTAATTGAAAAACATTCATATTCAATTATTAAGTATATTATTAATTTATAGAATTATAATTGATAAAATTGACCAAAGTGTTTATAGAATATAATTTTAATTGCATGTTATAAGCAATTTTAAACAAGTTTTACAAACAAAAACAATAATTCTGATGCACTAAAAAAAGTACTGTTGAATTTTTAATTGAAAAAAGTCAAAAGTCAATTATTCAATATATATTATTAATTTATGATATTATAATTGCAACTTGTAACCAATTTTAAACAATTTTTATAAACAAAAACAATAGTTCTGACGTACTAAAAAATTGCATTTGAATTTTCAATTGAAAAAAGCCAATATTCAATTATTCAATTATTCAGTATATTATTAATTTATAAAATTATAATTGCAAGTTGTAACCAATTTTAAACAATTTTTACAAACAAAAACAATAATTCTGATGCACTAAAAAACGTACTGTTGAATTTTTAATTGAAAAAAGTCAAAAGTCAATTATTCAATATATATTATTAATTTATAATATTATAATTGCAACTTGTAACCAATTTTAAACAATTTTTATAAACAAAAACAATAGTTCTGACGTACTAAAAAATTGCATTTGAATTTTCAATTGAAAAAAGCCAATATTCAATTATTCAATTATTCAGTATATTATTAATTTATAAAATTATAATTGCAAGTTGTAACCAATTTTAAACAATTTTTACAAACAAAAACAATAATTCTGATGCACTAAAAAAAGTACTGTTGAATTTTTAATTGAAAAAAGTCAAAAGTCAATTATTCAATATATATTATTAATTTATGATATTATAATTGCAACTTGTAACCAATTTTAAACAATTTTTATAAACAAAAACAATAGTTCTGACGTACTAAAAAATTGCATTTGAATTTTCAATTGAAAAAAGCCAATATTCAATTATTCAATTATTCAGTATATTATTAATTTATAAAATTATAATTGCAAGTTGTAACCAATTTTAAACAATTTTTACAAACAAAAACAATAATTCTGATGCACTAAAAAAAGTACTGTTGAATTTTTAATTGAAAAAAGTCAAAAGTCAATTATTCAATATATATTATTAATTTATAATATTATAATTGCAACTTGTAACCAATTTTAAACAATTTTTATAAACAAAAACAATAGTTCTGACGTACTAAAAAATTGCATTTGAATTTTCAATTGAAAAAAGCCAATATTCAATTATTCAATTATTCAGTATATTATTAATTTATAAAATTATAATTGCAAGTTGTAACCAATTTTAAACAATTTTTACAAACAAAAACAATAATTCTGATGCACTAAAAAAAGTACTGTTGAATTTTTAATTGAAAAAAGTCAAAAGTCAATTATTCAATATATATTATTAATTTATGATATTATAATTGCAACTTGTAACCAATTTTAAACAATTTTTATAAACAAAAACAATAGTTCTGACGTACTAAAAAATTGCATTTGAATTTTCAATTGAAAAAAGCCAATATTCAATTATTCAATTATTCAGTATATTATTAATTTATAAAATTATAATTGCAAGTTGTAACCAATTTTAAACAATTTTTACAAACAAACACAATAATTCTGACATACTAAAAAATTGCTGTTGAATTTTTAATTGAAAAAAGTCAAAATTCAATTATTCAATATATATTATTAATTTATAATATTATAATTGCAACTTGTAACCAATTTTGAACAAGTTTTATAAACAAAGCCAATAATTCTGACGCACTAAAAAACTTACTGTTGAATTTTTAATTGAAAAAAGTCAAAATTCAATTATTCAACATATATTATTAATTTATAAAATTATAATTGATAAAATTGACGAAAGTATTTATAAAATAAAATTATAATTACAATTTATAACCATTTAATTCAAGTCTTTCTCTATTATTTTACTGTTGTCGTTAATATTTTCAATTATTCAGTATATTATTAATATATAAAATTATTATTGATAAAATTGACGAAAGTATTTATAATATAAAATTATAATTGCAAATTATTCTGACCTACTAAAAAAGTTACTATTTAATTTTTAATTGAATAACATTCATATTCAATTATTCAGTATATTATTAATTTATAAAATTATAATTACAAATTATAACCATTTAATTTAAGTTTTCCTCTATTATTTTACTGTAGTCGTTAATCACGTACAATTAAATAACAATTACAAAAGAAACAGCAAATTAAACGAAACGATTATCGTGACAATTGGTAAATCGGTGACCGCCTTTCGACACACTTTTTACAGAGCTTCACAAAAATACGCTAGTTGCGCTCTTGCGAAACTAGTTCACGGATTCTAATCAGTCTCGCGTTAATTTTTTTCTAAACACAACAGTAAAATGTGTTTTTCGCACAGCATATGAATAATTACATGAAAAATCCACTAAAAACAAAGAAATTATCGTTATTTATTCGGACGAATTTACGCGGGAAATTTAAATAATATTTTTTCGACTAATCCATACTAAATTATGGTTCGTGATTTATTCATCATGGTTTTACGATTTCTTTATTTCTTGTGAAATTCTTCGGGGTCCCACTACCGGTTCGAGTTACTTTCCTTTGACTTTCACGGATGAACGGAACCATAATCCTCATCAGTCGAGTCGGAACCATGTCTCTGAAAACTTTCCTCTTTATCGTGCGAGTGGTGCAATAGCTAAACAATGTTTCGTGTATTTAAATAAATCAAACACACAGACGAAGCTTAAAAAATTTAAAAACAATTTCTATGTTCGTTAAATACCATTTTATCAACTCATAATATAGTGCAACGAACATTAAATCGAATAAATACATTCGTAAAACAATTTCTAAAATTTTATCAATTCTTAATATATAGTGCAACAGTAAATCGAGTAAATACATTCTAGAAAATTGTAACTATAATTGGTATTTAAATTGATCACTATGGGAATGTACACGAATTCTTTCTTGGAAGATCGGTGTCCAAAGAAAAAAACTGACAAGGTATTATAGCGTCTTAAAAAATTCATTTGTTTAGAATAATAATTATTTTAGTTGTTGATTATGTTGATGATGTTGATGTTGATGTTGAAGTTGAAATTGACGTTGATGTTGATAGTAATATTGATGTTTATGCGTATGCTAATGTTGATGTTGATGTTGATGTTGATGTTGATGTTGAAGTTGATGTTGATGATGTTATTATTACACTATTAATATTTATACACTATATACATAGAGTATAAGAATATTGAACATTTAATAACTCATTTGTTTATACTTACAAGGTATTATAACGTCTTAAAAAATTCTTTTGTTTAGAATAATAATTATTTTAGTTGTTGATTATGTAGATGTTGATGTTGATGTTGAAGTTGATATTGACGTTGATGTTGATACTAATATTGATGTTTATATGCTAATGTTGATGTTGAAGTTGAAGTTGAAGTTGAAGTTGAAGTTGATGTTGATGCTGTTATTATTACACTATTAATATTCATACACTATATACATAGACTATAGTAAAATTGAACGTTTAATAACTCATTTGTTTATACTTACAAGGTATTACATCGTTTTAAAAAACAATCTACTCATTTATTAAGAATAATATAATTTCCAAGACCACGATTTCTCTCTTTCTACTTCTCTCTCTCTATATATTGAAATTTAAATAAATTATTTGTTCAATAATCGTGTAAATAATTTCACAAGATAATTATTTATCGTTTTATTTATGCGCTGGAATGTTCGAGCGTTGGTTAAATGTTTTCGAATTTGCACAGCTGTGCGTTTGCTTTGCGTGTGTTTTCATTTCCTTATCAACATTGCAGATCCTCGCGACGAACGTAACGCAACAGATACACCACGTATCGAGAGAGAAACGGGGAGAAGCTTATGGCAGATTGAAAGGATTTCGCGGTTGTACCATTTGGTTAACGGGACTTTCCGGCGCCGGGAAGACTTCCATCTCGTTTCACCTTGAAAATTATCTCGTTTCTCAGGTGAGGTTGTCTCGGTCTAACAAACAACGCTGTGTCAATGGTTTATATTGTTTGTGTTATATATCACTCGGTGTAACAGTTTATTCGTTTTTTTTACGAAATTGGGAACTGTTTCTTTTTCTCATTTAATAAACTGAAATAAAATAAAAAATTATTCGTAATCTCCGATAAATGGAATAATTATTCATATAAAAAAAAAAAATATAATTGAACATTAGAGATAACATTAAGAGATTAGTTATTAATCATTAGAAAATTTAAAATTATTTTGCTAAAATTTTCTCGGATAAATAGAATAATTATTCGTGCAAAAAAAAAATATAATTGAACATTAGAAATAAAATTGAAAGATTAATTAAATATAATTAATCATTAGAAAGTCTAAAATTATTATTTTGCTCAAATTTTCTCTGATAAATGGAACAATTACTCATGCAAAAAAAAATATAATTGAACATCAGAAATAAAATTAAGAGATTAATTAAATAATATTAATCATTAGAAAATTTAAAATTATCCTTGCAACCCATTCTAAATTATTTTGTTAAAATTTTCTTTGATAAATAGAATAATTATTCGTCCAAAAAAAAATACAATTGAACATTAGTAATAAAATTGAATGATTAATTAAATATATAATTAAGAGACTAATTAAATATAATTAATCATTAGAAAGTCTAAAATTATTATTTTGCTCAAATTTTCTCTGATAAATAGAACAATTATTCGTGTAAAAAAAAAAATATAAAATGAACATTAGAAATAAAATTGAAAGATTAATTAAATATAAAATTGATGGATTTATTAAATATAATTAATCATTAAAAAATTTTAAATTATTCTTGCAACTCATTGTTAATTATTTTTCTAAAATTTTCTATGATAAATAGAATAATTATTCCTGCAAAAAAAAAAATATAATTGAAAATTAGAAATAAAATTAAAAGATAAATTAAAGATAAAATTAGGAGATTAATTAAATATAATTAATCATTAGAAAGTCTAAAATTATCCTTGCAACCCATTCTAAATTATTTTGCTAAAATTTTCTCTGATAAATTAGAACAATTATTCGTGCAAAAAAAAATACAATTGAATATTAGAAATAAAATTGAAAGATTAATCAAATATAAAATTGAAAAAACGCTTAATAATAAAAAATACAAATTATACTGTAAAATTTATTGGCCAGCAATAATTTATGTTTCTAAATTTTTTGTTATTTTAATATTTTCTATTCAGTTTTAGTAGTATAAATTTGAAACTTCAGAAACTTTCATTATTTCTTATTTTAATATACACAAATAAATTGGAAAAAAGCTGAATCATAAATAACACAAATTATAGTGTAAAATTTGTATAATTTATATTTTGTTGCTGACAAGGAGAATGCAAATTTTTTAAATCATTGAAAAGGACAACTATTTAATAGTTTTTGAGATATTTATAATTGAAGCTTTATTATTACCTTGACTACATTTTAAATAATTACCAATTATTATTGTTTTGAGTCGATAGCTCAGAGGCAACATTTAAAAACTCCCACGCTGGTGGCTAGAGTTCAAATCCCGAAATCCTAGAATCATAAAATACTTTTTTTTTCGATCTATTTTTTATATCAATTTTAAAATAAATAGTAAATAAAATTTCTAAAAATGCTAATTCTTCGAATCATTGATAGGAACAACTACAATAGTTTTTGAAATATTTATAATTGAAGCTTTATTATTGTCTTGACTACAGATTTATTTTAAATAATTACAAATTATTATTGTTTTAAATCGATAGCTCAGGGGCAACATCTAAAAACTCCCACGCTGGTGACCAGAGTTCAAATCCTGAAATCTTAGAATCATAAAATACATTTTTTCGATCTATTTTTTATATCAATTTTAAAATAAATAGTAAATAAAATTTCTCAATAGAAAAATGTATTCTACAATTGATTTTTGTATTATTTTAATATTTTCTATTCAGTTTTAGTTGTATAAATTTGAAACTTCAAAAACTTTCATTATTTCTTAAATTTAGTATACCCAAATAAATTGGAAAAAAGCTTAATCATAAAGAGCACAAATTATAGTGTAAAATTGCAAATGAGAATGCAAATTCTTCGAGTCATTGATGCCAACTACTCAATAGTTGTTGAACTATGTATAATCAGAATTTTATTACTGTTTTGACTATATTTTAAATAATTACCAATTAATATTGTTTAACTCGATAGCTCAGGGACTATATCTAAAAACTCCCACGCTGGTGGCTAGAGTTCAAATCCTAAAATCCTAGAATCATAAAATACTTTTTTTTTCAATCTATTTTTGACATCAATTTTTCTCCCAATGAAAACACATAATTTAAAATAGTAAATAAAATTTCTCAATAAAAAAAATGTATTTTACAATTGATTTTTGTATTATTTTAATACTTTCTATTCAGTTTTAGTTGCATAAATTTGAATCTTCAAAAACTTTCATTATTTCTTATTTTGATATGCACAAATAAATTGGAAAAAGTATAATCATAAAGAACACAAATTATAGTGTAAAATTGCAAATGAGAATTCAAATTCTTCGAGTCATTGATGACAACCACTCAATACTTATTGAAATAATACTTATAATCAGAACTTTACTATTGTTCTGACTCAATAGCTCAGGGGTAACATCCATAAACTCCCACGCTGGTGGCCAGAGTTCAAATCCTACCAATCACATAAAAAAGTTTTTCCAATCTATTTCTCATTTGACATCAATTTTTCTCCCAATAAAAACACTTAATATAAAATAATTTAGTAAATAAACTTCCTCAATAAAAGAAAATTAAGCCAAAATTAAATTTCAATTAACAACTTGCCACCAAAATTTAACACACTATATTTATAGGGAATACCTGCATACAGTATCGACGGTGACAATGTTCGTAGAGGTCTAAACAAAAACCTAAGCTTCGCCAAAGAGGATCGCGAGGAAAATGTTCGAAGGGCAGCCGAGGTGGCGAAATTGTTCTCAGACTGTGGCATAATCGCCATTTGCAGCTTCGTCTCCCCCTTCGAGGCCGACAGAAGGCTGGCCAGGAAGATCGTCGAGGAATTCGACTTGAAATTCTTCGAGATTTATATAAAAGCTTCCGTAGAAATCTGCGAGGCACGAGATGTTAAAGGATTGTACAAAAAGGCTAGGGAAGGCGTGATCCAGAGTTTCACGGCCGTTGGCCAGGCGTACGAAGTGCCTAAGCAACCGGATCTCGTCGTCAATACGGAAGTCAATAGCGTGGAAACGTCCACGAAAATGGTGATCGAGCTGTTGGAACGGGAAGGAATCATTCCAAAGTTTCGAGAAGGCGTGGAAGAATTGTTCATCGAGGATGGAAGGATCGAGGACGCCAAAATGGAGGCGCGGAATCTCCTCAGTAAGTTTTTTCCCCGTTTAATTATGGCCAGTTTCTGTAAAAAAAATATTTTAGACGTTTGTTTTTTATTCATTCTTTGTATCTAAGAAGCATATATTGATAAAATTGAAAATATAATTTTCAATTTTATTTCAAAATTAATAATTAATAAATAATCTTCAATTTTATTTCAAAATTGAAAATTAAAAAAATAAATATAATTGAAAAAAATTATAATTGAACAAAAAATAATAATTGAAAAGAAAACTATATAAAACCATAAATTTTCAATTTTGAAATAAAATTAAATAAAAAAAATAAATAAATATAATTGAAAAAAATTATAATAATTGAAAAAAAAACCATATAAAACCATAAATTTTCAATTTTATTTCAAAATTGTAATTATATGAAAAATAAAATTTTACATCAATTTATACCTTGATTGTTGTTAATTTTGTTAATCTTTCGCGTCTAAAATTTCAAAAATCTTTTCCATTTTTTTGTAATATTGCAAACAATTCATATTGTATCGATTTAAAGGTATCGATATCACTGATATCGATTTGCAATGGGTCCAAATACTCGCTGAGGGATGGGCCAGTCCACTCAGAGGATTCATGCGAGAAAACGAGTACCTGCAAGTGAGAAAAATACATTTTACTTGATTTTTAATCCAGCAATGTTTAAAAAAAAAAAAAGATACTAAATGGGAGAAATATTTTTTTCAGTGTCAACATTTCAAGACTCTCGAGCAAAATGGAAGTGTTACCAACCAATCGATACCAATTGTTCTTGCAATTAGCACGGATCAAAAAGAGAGATGCAACAACGCTCCAGCGGTAACCCTAACTCACCAAAACCGAATCATAGCAATCTTAAGGAAACCAGAATTCTTTCCACATCGAAAGGAAGAAAGGTTTGAAGAAATAATTCTGCCATTTTTTCTTTCATTTTTATTATTTCTATTTTACTAGCCAAGTGTTTGGAACTGACTATAATTTAGAAAAAAAATATTTTAAATCAAAATCAAAATTTAACTCTGTTCAAGAAATTTTGTATTCTATTAATTTTAGCTGAGCAAATTTGAAACCTCAGAAACTTTAATTATTCCCTATTTTAATATATACAAATAAATTGGGGAAAAACTTAATTATAAAGAATAAAAATTATAGTGCAAATTGTTTGCAAAATTTTGTATTATTTTAATATTTTCTATTCAGTTTTAATCCAAATTTGTTAATTTAAATTTTAGTTTCAATCTCAATTTGTTAATTTAAATTTCAGTTTTAGTCTCAATTTGTTAATTTAAATTTCAGTTTTAATTTAAATTTGTAAAAAAAGGCATTGCTAGTTAAAATGTAACAACTTTAAATGTAATAACTTTAATTATTTCCTATTTTAATATATACAAATAAATTGGATAAAAAACTTAATCATAAAGAACACAAATTATATTGCAAATTTTCTGTGTTTCTAAATTTTGTATTATTCTAATATTTTCTATTCAGTTTTAATCCAAATTTGTTAATTTAAATTTTAGTTTCAATTTCAATTTGTTAATTTAAATTTCAGTTTCAATCTAAATTTGTTAATTTAAATTTCAATTTTAATCTCAATTTGTTAATTTAAATTTCAGTTTTAATCTCAATTTGTTAATTTAAATTTCAGTTTCAATCTAAATTTGTTAATTTAAATTTCAGTTTTAATCTCAATTTGTTAATTTAAATTTCAGTTTTAATCTCAAATTGTTAATTTAAATTTCAGTTTCAATCTCAATTTGTTAATTTAAATTTCAGTTTTAATTTAAATTTAAAAAAAAAGGCGTTGCTAGTTGAAATGTATTAATCAATAATAATAATAATAATAATGAATTTTTTGTCAGATGTTGCAGGGAATTTGGAACGAACGATCCTGGTCATCCTTACGTTAGAATGATTCAGAAGTCAGGGGACTGGCTGGTTGGGGGGGAACTGGAGATTTTCGAGAGAATTAGGTGGAACGATGGCCTCGACCAATTCAGACTCACCCCAAACGAAATTAGGGCAAAGTGCAACGAAATGGGAGCCGACGTTGTGTTCGCTTTTCAACTGAGAAATCCTGTGCACAATGGCCATGCACTATTAATGCAGGTGACTCGATTTTTATTTAAAATAACGCGACAGAAAAAATCAAAAAATCCAAAATTTTCATTCAATAATTATTAACACTTCAATTCTTCGATAATGGTTCATTTTTTTTTCATCAATTGAATTTAAAATTCATTATTTTATCAAATTTTTTTTCATCAATTGAATTTAAAATTCATTATTTAATCAAATTTTTTTTCATTAATTGAATTTAAAATTCATTATTTCATCAATTGAATTTAAAATTCATTATTTTATCAAATTTTTTTTCATCAATTGAATTTAAAATTCATTATTTTATCAAATTTTATTAAATTCATTTTAATGCAACAAAGCAGTAACGATAGTTTCAAGTAAATGACTTTTTGTTAAACTTTAGCGTGACACACGATGATAAAAATAAGAATTTTTAAGCCAAAGTTAAATAAAATGGCTATCGAAGAATAAAAGTGTTAATAATTAGTAAATGTGAAGAAAGTTTTTACGGTAAAGTTTGACAAAAAGTAATTTACTTTAAATTTCTTAAATTGAATTTAATAAAATGGAAACCAGGATACGAGAAAGCAGCTTCTGGAGGCGTACAATTTTAAAAAACCAGTTCTCTTGCTACATCCTTTGGGGGGTTGGACGAAAGAGGACGATGTGCCACTACCAATAAGGATAAAACAACACCAAAGCGTTCTGGAGGAAGGTGTGCTACATCCGGACACCATTCTCGCCATTTTTCCAAGCCCGATGATGTATGCAGGACCTACGGAGGTACAAATCGTTATAACATTATAACAAACAGTCTAGGAATTAATCATCAGCCATATTAAAACTATAAAAACTTTAGATGCGTACAGTTTCAAAACTACCCACGCTTTATCCAAAATTCAACCACCGTTGGAAGCGGTAAACCTTCCTCTTTGAAATTGGTTTTCGGTTTTTGTCGATCCGACTTCCCGTTTTGGGGATATCGTAATTTATATGAAGGGATAATTTCTTTAAAAACTCCGCTTGTGGCGCCCCCCGTGTCACGGCGGACTACCAACTCGCATTGAAATTACTAAAAACTTTAATTACGTGCAGCTCCGAAACTACTCGTGCTTTATCCATAATTAAGCGATTGTTAGAAGCGGTAAACCTTCCTCTTTGAAATGGTTTTTGGTTTTTGTCGATCCGACTTTTCGTTTTCGAGATATCGTAATTTATGTAAAATTGTATTTTTCTTAATTCGACTGTCTCTGTCTTCGTCTAACGCGTCGGACCTCTCGCTCGCACTCGTTGTGCTGATCTGCTCCAATCACGTGACTGACGTGACCTCTAGTGACGCGTAGCGTTTCCAACACTCCACTACGCACTGTTTACTATTTACGCGAGGTCAATGAACTCTTATATCTCCAAAACTAGCCATCCTATCGACTCGAAACTAAACTCGCTATATCTCCGGAACTAATTACGCTATCGACTCGTTCAAACGCTCATTTTAAAGGTCATTTCATCCTCTATCCAATGAATACATCACCTATTATAATTTACGCCATCTTCTATGTTTATTTTGACATTTACTTTGACGCTACATACCCAAAGAAGTTTCAGCAATTCTTATTGATTATAAATTATTTATTTAATTGAAAATAAATTCAAATTTGTATGCAGGATTTCTATAGAGCATTTTCTCGTAAATAGTTATCTTCTCTGGAAGTAATTACGCTATCTACTCGTTTGAACGCTCGTTTTAAAGGGCATTTCATCCTCTATCCGTCGATTAAGTGGTTTTAAATGTGAAAAACAATTAAAAATGTTCCTTTAAAGTAATTCAAATTTCCATAGACGTAGAATACCGTGCATTTTAAGTAATACGAGTTCCAATATTGCTTCCAATCAATCTAGAATATTTGTTTTGCAGGTGCAATGGCACGCCAAGGCAAGAATGATGGCAGGGGCAGATTTTTATATCGTTGGTCGCGATCCTGCGGGTTTACCGCATCCTGACAAGTCCAAAACACCGGATGGTAAGGCCTAAACAAGATAAATTTAATTTCTTTGTTATTCAAATTTAAAATAAAATTCTGAGGACTCATAAAAAAAAGAGAAAATTCACTGTAAAACCGAGCATTAAAAACAATTCAATTTTGATATGCAAAAGTAGAAGCTTTACTCTTTGAAATGAGCCCATATTTTTGACAAAATTACAACCACTTAAATATCGACGATTTTAATAAATAAACATTTTTTTGTGCAACTTGAGGTAATCTGTACGACGCGACGCACGGCGCCAGGGTGCTCTCCATGGCACCAGGCCTTCGAAACCTGGAGATAATTCCATTCAGGGTGGCAGCATACGACAAGAAAGCAAAAAAGATGGCGTTCTTCGAGCCAGAACGGTCTCAAGACTTCAGTTTCATATCAGGAACTAAAATGAGAGGTGAATTACTTTTTTAAAACAAAAATAGTAACTAAATGCTAAATACCGATTTAAAAATTAATTTAATTGTTCCAGAATTGGCAAAGTCTGGCCAAGATCCGCCAGAGGGCTTCATGGCGCCAAAAGCTTGGGGAATCCTGGCAGACTATTACAAATGAAAGAAAAAATAATTCTCGATCGACTCTCATGCAACAGATGAGATATACATACAAACCTGAAGTATTTTCACTTCGATTTTAATTTAGTTGTAAAAGATAAAACGTGTTACCATAAGAGATAAACAGTGCATTAAAAAGAAGCAAATGGTTGAAAGTTATTTATTTATTGTCTTCGTAGGAAACGATCCTTGATGAGGTAGAGGTGAAAGATGAAAATAAATAATTGTAATTTACTTTTCTTTAATATCGATATACATATGTATGCGTGATTTCATACAGGATACGTTTATTGCATCAGAGAAGAATCCGTAACTTGGAGCTGTTCGTAGAGACTCGTTTTTTTACGTTTTTCCCTGTTTCTGTTGTTTGAAAGACAATCGATGAGAGGAGAAGGTACGACAATTGGAATTTCCCACAGCTCAGCCCATTCATCTTCTAACGAAATGTTATTTTATACTGGTGCATCTGAAAAAGAACTCGTTTAGCACGACCATAATTGCATTCTGTTTAACAATGTTCATAAAGCGTTAATAATTTCAGACTTAAAATAATAGTAATTTTTGGGGTAATTAAAATTAAGGGGGTGATAGTGTGAACCTTTGGGAAAATGTTCTATTTTTGCATTTTTTCTTAAAAAATAGAATTTTAAAAATATATTTGGACAATCGATGATTCATTATGTTTGCCACTAATTTTAAATTTTTCTCACCCAAAAAATTTTGAAATATCACTGATATATGTCTAAATAAACCCTGTAAATTTTATTGCAAAAAGTCTTATAGTTTATTCACAAAAAATTCCCCAAGAAAGTCTAAAATGCAATAAGTGTATGTTTGATTGTGTTTGAGAATGTGCAGTGCCACCAATTTTAACTTTTTCGTGCCCAAAAAATTTTCAAATATCCCTTCAATATCTATAAATAAACCTTGTATATTTTATTGCAAAAGGTCGAGTAGTTTATTCACAAAAAATTCCCCAAGAAAGTCTAACTTTAAAATCGACTATGTTTGACTGTGTTTGAGAATATGTAGTGCCACCAATTTTAAGTTTTTTTTGCCCAAAAAATTTTCAAATATCCCTTCAATATCTATAAATAAACCTTGTATATTTTATTGCAAAAGGTCGTGTAGTTTATTCACAAAAAATTCCCCAAGAAAGTCTAAAATGCAATAAGTGCAAGTCTGACTATGTTTGAGAATATACTGTACCACCAATATTAACTTGTTCGCGCCCAAAAAATTTTGAAATATCACTGTTGTACGTCTAAATAAACTTTGTAAATTTTACTGCAAAAAGTCTTATAGTTTGTCCACAAAAAATTCCCTAAAAATGTCTAACTTTAAAATTGACTATGTTTGATTGTGTTTGAGAGTACGTACTGTCACCAATTTTAACTCTTTCTCGGCCAAAAAATTCTAAAATATCCCTTCAATATCTATAAATGAACCCTGTAAATTTGATTGCAAAAAGTCTTATCGTTTATTCACAAAAAATTCCCCAAGAAAGTCTAAAATGCAATAAGTGCATGTCTGACTATGTTTGAGAATATACTGTGCCACCAATATTAACTTGTTCGCGCCCAAAAAATTTTGAAATATCACTGTTGTACGTCTAAATAAACTTTGTAAATTTGACTGCAAAAAGTCTTATAGTTTGTCCACAAAAAATTCCCTAAAAATGTCTAACTTTAAAATTGACTATGTTTGATTGTGTTTGAGAATACGTACTGTCACCAATTTTAACTCTTTCTCGGCCAAAAAATTCTAAAATATCCCTTCAATATCTATAAATGAACCCTGTAAATTTGATTGCAAAAAGTCTTATCGTTTATTCACAAAAAATTCCCCAAGAAAGTCTAAAATGCAATAAGTGCAAGTCTGACTATGTTTGAGAATATACTGTGCCACCAATATTAACTTGTTCGCGCCCAAAAAATTTTGAAATATCACTGTTGTACGTCTAAATAAACTTTGTAAATTTGACTGCAAAAAGTCTTATAGTTTGTCCACAAAAAATTCCCTAAAAATGTCTAACTTTAAAATTGACTATGTTTGATTGTGTTTGAGAATACGTACTGTCACCAATTTTAACTCTTTCTCGGCCAAAAAATTCTAAAATATCCCTTCAATATCTATAAATGAACCCTGTAAATTTGATTGCAAAAAGTCTTATCGTTTATTCACAAAAAATTCCCCAAGAAAGTCTAAAATGCAATAAGTGCAAGTCTGACTATGTTTGAGAATATACTGTGCCACCAATATTAACTTGTTCGCGCCCAAAAAATTTTGAAATATCACTGTTGTACGTCTAAATAAACTTTGTAAATTTGACTGCAAAAAGTCTTACAGTTTGTCCACAAAAAATTCCCTAAAAATGTCTAACTTTAAAATTGACTATGTTTGATTGTGTTTGAGAATACGTACTGTCACCAATTTTAACTCTTTCTCGGCCAAAAAATTCTAAAATATCCCTTCAATATCTATAAATAAACCCTGTAAATTTGATTGCAAAAAGTCTTATCGTTTATTCACAAAAAATTCCCCAAGAAAGTCTAAAATGCAATGAGTGCAAGTCTGACTATGTTTGAGAATATACTGTGCCACCAATATTAACTTGTTCGCGCCCAAAAAATTTTGAAATATCACTGTTGTACGTCTAAATAAACTTTGTAAATTTGACTGCAAAAAGTCTTATAGTTTGTCCACAAAAAATTCCCTAAAAATGTCTAACTTTAAAATTGACTATGTTTGATTGTGTTTGAGAATACGTACTGTCACCAATTTTAACTCTTTCTCGGCCAAAAAATTCTAAAATATCCCTTCAATATCTATAAATGAACCCTGTAAATTTGATTGCAAAAAGTCTTATCGTTTATTCACAATAAATTCCCCAAGAAAGTCTAACTTTAAAATCGACTATGTTTGCCTATGTTTGAAATACGTAGTGTCATCAATTTTAACTTTTTCTCGGCCAAAAAATGTTCAAATATCCCTTCAATATCTATAAATAAACCACATAAATTTGATTGCAAAAAGTCGTATAGTTTATTCAAAAAAAATTCCCCAAGAAAGTCTAAAATGCACTAATATGAAGTGCATGTTTGAGGATATGCAGTGCTACCAATTTTAACTTTTTCTCGCCCGAAAAATTCTAAAATATCCCTTCAATATCTATAAATAAGCCCTGTAAATTTGATTGCAAAAGCTCTTATAGTTTATTCAGGAAAAATTCCCCAAAACAGCTAACCTTCTTCGTCAGAATCAGATATTCGCGTGGCTTGGAGCGAACTTTGTTTGGACAAAGTTCTGCCGTGCATACGTGGTCTAGAAGGCGGTGAGGGTTTGTTCCAAAGGGCCTCGAGTTGGTCGAAGTGTTGGGACTGAGCTAGTGCTGCCTGTTCAGGCCCAAGGCCCGAGGGACTATTCGTTAATCCAACTTTACTTATCTCGTCCATGGAAGCGCTTACACTAAATCGTCGTTGTAAATTTTCCACCGAAGACGCTGATATCCCTAAATAAAATATTAACCTTCAAAAATACCGTTTTCAAATTCCAAACTTAATATTACAGACCCCGAAAATTATTTATATTATTTTTCAACAATTTACATTAAATTTGCCTAATATAACGATAAGAATATACTATCCCAATTAAAATAAAAGCCACGTAATTATCGAAGCTCCATAGGCGCCATGTTGTTTCTGCAATTAAGTCTTTCGTTGGCTCTCGTAATGGGGATCTGTTTACAGCATTTTCCGGAATCCAATTACGTTAAATTGGACGTTAAAAACGATCTGCAAGGACTTTGCGACCATTACAGAGAGCGATTATATACTTCGGAGTCTGCTAGCAATTTTCGATCTTGTTACACAACTAATGTGTCGCGACTGCGAAGGTCGGAGCTCTAATTCGCGAAATGATCAACATTTACACTCATAAAGAATTTTACTATTTTTTTTAACATGCCAAAAATAAAAGAAACGTTAAAAAATAGTAATTCGAAACTTGGAGCGCCGCCATTTTCTTATTTATCGATATTTCAACCTCAAATTTGGAGAGAATATTCAGCAGATGCCTTCGTTGCTGTAGTTAGGGATTTTAAAAAACCCAAGAAGCCCACCTGACGTGAGGTGACCATATTTTCTATGCCACGTGTCACTGTCCAAGGACACCTCCTTCTTCAGCAGTCTCTTGTTAGGTCTTTTCGGTCCAGGCGGTCTCATGTCTCTGATATCGCACCAAGGCGCCACATAATCCGGCAACTTGACATACTGCGCCGGAGTATTGTGCAAACAGAGAATGGGCATGCACTTCTGCTCCAGCAGGTGCAAAGCAAGCCTGGATAGGTCCGTGGACACCTCGAGACCCACCACAGGAACGTGCAACATGATACTGCTCAGAGAACAGCCCTTCTTCGTGTCCCAAATAATCAGACTCTTGTCTTCGCTGCCCGATGCAGCCAGACTCCCATCGCCAGACAATTTCACGCAAGTGATGAAACCCAAGTGGCCTTTCAGAGTGTGGAGATCAGCCCCTGTGTTTATGTCCCAAACTATGAGATTCGCGTCCCTGGACCCGGACACGACTATGGACTTGTCCAGGACGGAAACTGCCACGCAGGTCACATGGTCTGTGTGCCCCACGAGGACCTACAGAAAATGTTATTGTAATTCAAGTAAAAACTCCACAGAGTGTTCGACCAACTCAAGAATACCTATTAGTTGAGTACCAGAGATAAAGTACTACAAATAATTAAGTTAAAGTGTTTGTTTACTAAACGAACCTGCGATAGTTTGCCACCAGCGAGTTGCCAGACCTTCAAGCTCATGTCGATGGATCCCGTGATCAGAGATCGAGAGTCTGGAGTGACCACGAGGCAGGTGATGTCTTGAGAATGCGACACCTGGTACTTCTCTTCGGGACCAGCCCCTAAACTTACTATTCGTACTTGATTGTCACCAGTTTCGCACACTGCGTACCTGGAATCGTACATTTATCCAGCTACGACGTACAGAAACTGGGAACGTTGATAGATTTACAAATGATAATGATTCGAAAATTCAAATAGATGTAGTTCAAGTGGCTCTATTAAGGGAACAATTTTTTTAAGGGTTAAGACACTTCCTCAAAGAAATTATGAGTGTATAATCGTGAATATTTTAAATTATAGGTATTCTTCAAACATAGATGTTTGAATAAGATGTTACATAAGGTTAATTTGATTTAAATAACTATAGATAGAGAATACTTAAATATTAAACACAACCACTTTGATTATTCAGTAGATATTACATTAAACATAAAATACAGTAATGCCAACCATGCTGCTCGAACAAAAGATACGGAAATCCCCGTACGATCTTGAACCTCATAGGTGGCGCCACTTTCGCGTGCTCATTGCCGCGAGATTATGAACAATTAGTAAAATTGAATCAGTGAAATGTACCTCATGTCAGGAGCAACGGTGATGCAACGACCAGGGCCGCACACAGACTGAATTAGGGTGCCTGTGTCGGCTGCCCAAACACGAATTGCACCTCCCCTGTCGGAACTGACGATTCTTCGACCATCGAACATCGCTGTCACGGTTGTAACGGGTGCTTGATGCTTGAATGTAGCCACCACTAGGCCTAACGTCAACCCCCAAACGCGAACTGTCTTGTCCTCTGAACCTGTGTTCATTAAAGTCCCTATTATTAGACTAGGGAATTTGTCTCAGAGAAATTTAATGACTTTTGAGGTGTACAAAGCATACTAAACTCCCAACTGTAATTCCCAAAAAGCATTCTGCATTTTACATTTTGCATTCTACGCACCGGAAGCGATAAATAAACCGGAAGCCGAGAACGCGATGCACGTGACGCTGGCAATGTGGCCCTCGAAAGTGGAGAGCAACTCGTGGGTGTTCAGTTGCCAGAGATTCACGAGGGAGTCGACGCCCCCTGTGACAGCCATTGCTCCGTCCCTGGATATATCCAAGCAAGTGATGGAAGCCGTGTGAGGGTGCAAGGATTCCTGCTTGCCGGTTTTCTTGGGCTTCGAAAACGCCTCCTCTCCGCGAAAACTCCAATACATCACCCGGTTCTCGGCGGCTGTTATCAGGAAGTCATCTTTCTCCGTCACCTTTTGAAACAAATAGATTGTCAAATTTGGAAAACCTTGATTATCGTGTTGTGGCCACTTATTTTCTGTGGAAATCCCCGATTTCATGAAATTATCCACATTTTAGTATATAGAAATATTAATAAGGATTCCTAATTGGCTGACTTCGATTTTGGCAGATTTTTGCAAAATGATAGTGTTTCGCCAGACCTGGGAAAAATTTTAATGGGAGATTCTGGAGACCAAAATAAGACGAAAATTAAGAATACCAATTTGTTGATTGAGGCTTTGTTGAGAAGTTATTAACGTTTAAAGTTGAGAGAACCACTCACGCGTACGCAGGTGTTCACAAATTAACTTTAAACGTTAATAACTTTATAACGAAGCCTTAATCAACAAATTGCTATTCTTGATTTTCGTCTCATTTTGGCCTATAAAATCCACCATTAAAATTTGTATGCCGGATAATTGAACTATATCTACATATGAAGTGATAAAAACGAAGAATATAATAACAGATCTCTGGCCACACATTATATTTGCAGTAAGGAATTTTTTTCTCGAAAGTGCGTACGATTTCGAGGGTATGTCTATTCAGCAAAAATGATTATAATTGACTCCTGCAACTGAAAATAATTTTTCCAGAACTATTTGAAACTTTTCAATTTCGATGAAAAATTGGTCCACCTTCTTGAATTTTTTTCTCGAAAGTGCATAGGACTTCCAGGATATGCATGATGACAACAAATGATGGTAATTGACCCTCCTAGCTAGAAATAATTTTTTTAGCACGATTTGAAACTTTTCATTTTCGTCGAAACATTTAGGCTGTCGATTTCTCTTAAAAATTAGTTTTTGATTTTTAATAAATTCAATTGACGTCCTACAAAAAAGTTTTCTAATACTTTTTTGTAGGTATCTATGAACTCTATTTCCTCCCAAAATTTCATTGAAATATATTCACTATTGTAGGAATTATGGTCGTTTGAACATTGAACCATTTTTATGGAGTTTTTCTAATTTTGCGGGGTCAAAGATCAACTTTTTGAATATTTTTGGAATTTCTACATATTCTTCACTAAAATACGCGTCGTTTACACTTTGAAACCTTAAAATCGTCCAATCCGTTCAGAAGTTATGATGATTTGAACATTCGCATGAAATTTTCGGGCATCATTTCTGGCCATAAATTACATTTTCGTTTAGGAATTTTTTTCTCGAAAATGGTTAGAATTTCGGGGGTACGTCTAACCACCAAACATGATTGTAATTAACCCCCTTAGCTAAAAATAATTTTTCCAGATCGATTTGAAATTTTTTAATTTCGCCGAAAAAGGGGATTACCCCTCTTGACTTTTCTTGAAAATTCGTTTTTGATTTTTACTGAATTTGTTTAACGTTTTACAGAAAAGTTGTATAATACTTTTTTGTAGGTATCCATGAGCTCTACTTCAGAAAAAAATTTCATTAAAATATACTCACTATTACATGACTTATGGTCGTTTGAATATTGAACCACACTTAAGATACTCTATACTTTCACAAATATAAACAACTAAACAAAGACTCTTTGTAAAATTGTGGTCCTTTCCTTGCAAGAAACGTGTCCTTACTTTAACAGCCGTAACGTCCGCCGAGGGGTTGGTGTTCAGAGTCCTCGTCAATCTTCCACTGTGCATGTCGAACACGGAAACCTTGCCATTGGTGCCACCAGCGATCGCTCTTCTGCAGTCTCGCGCCAGACAAATGCTTTTTACGACCCCCTGGTGGCCCCTCAACGTGTGAATCTCGGTCCCCGTGGCCAACGATCTCAGGTACAACTTCTGGTCCTCGCAGGTCGCCAACAGAAACACAGAATCCGCTGACACGTCCAGCATCGTCACCGCCGATGGTAACCCGATGCTCTTCAACATCGTGAACGTCTTCAGGCACCACAAACAAACTGTACAGTCCGACGAACCGGACACGAGGATCTCGCCAGCGGAATCCACGCGGATCGAGTTTACTGGTCCCCTATGGTGATCGACCCTGATCAGGACCTCACCGTTCTGCAAGCTTGTCACGATGATCCTGGAATCTTCGCCGCCGCTACAGGAAAACAGAAACTCGAATTTAGTTGACGATTCTGGTCCGCGGTTCAAACTAGTTAGAAAAACTGTAGATACACTTTGGGACCAAAATATAACACTCTTCAGCAATTATTTAATCTCTATTAACGTTAACGATGAAATAAATTTGTACAGTATATAGGGTGTTCGACCATCTTGGAAAAAATTTTAATGGGGAACTCTAGAGGCCAAAACAAGACGAAAATGAAGAATAGTAATTTTTTGATTGAGGCTTCGTTAAAAAGTTATTGACGTCTAAAGTTGCGCCTGTGAGACGGGAATCGCGCGCGCTGCACACTTCAACTTTAAACGTTAATAACTTCTTAACGAAGCCTCAATTAAAAAATAACTATTCTTGATTTTCGTCTTATTTTGGCCTCTAGAATCCTCCTTTAAAATTTTTTTCCCAAGAGAACACCCTGTATATACAAGGTATTCAATAAGGTTCCAAACTTATACTACGTGTTACTGAGGACAAATAGATGAAAAAAGTTCGTATAAACTTATGTCTGAAAATGCTTTATTGAGAAGATATAAGCGTTGAAAGATTCACGTGGTGGCGCTTCCCGCGCTCGCCAGCAGAGGGCTACGCTCTCTCGCAAGTGCTCGAGCATCTGATCCTATATATACGTTACTTGATCGATCAAACTGCAACTAATACTCAATAATTTATTACACAAATTTATACGATCTTTTTTTTATTTATTTGACATAAGTTTGGTCCCAACCTTTTTGGACACCCTGCATATACTTTCGTTTAGTCCCAAAGTGTGTATACAATAGTGTTCTGTAGTAAGAAATGATTCGAGTGTACAAAGTGCTACGAAAGTATCTGAAAGTATAAACGATATAAAATAAGTGAAAATTAAACGTGCCAATTTTTACACGCTTGAAAATTGTGTACTAGCCAGAATTGCAACCGGGACAAAATGGCGTCCCACGAGTCGACGTAAATATTTGAATAATCTCATTTGTTCGTGAAAAAATTTCTTAAAAAGTTTGGGTTACAACAAATCATATTATTTAAACATTTACGTCCGACACGGTTAGTTCGCAACTCTGGTACTAATTTAGAGCGTGTTCTGATCGGATAGAAGGTCGCGAAAAAGTGATATACGATAAAATTGTGAACCTGACAATCACTAAATTCGTGAGCGAAGTAGTCAAACACAAAACAGGAGCGATGTGTTCTTGGATCTTCAATGACATAGATAATGTTTTCATGTTCCACACTATAATCGACGTATCCTCGGAGCCTGTCAGCAAATACTGCGAGTGTTGTGTTACAGCTAAGCACGAGATTGGACCCGAATGTCCTGAAATGATTTTATAGAAGGTGTTACAGCGTACAAGGAAGCCAGAACGCAGGTAGATGGTAGCAACGATACAGAACAAATGGAGGCTCGCTTAACTGCAACTACGCTTAAGCACATTTATTTGAAAACAATTGGCGAACGATGCTCTCTAAGATAGCCAAACAAAATACTCTGAACTACAATTGCTTCTTGTCTACAGTGGTCCTCGGTCGACTCGATTTCATTTTTAAAAAGTTTAAAATTTTGCAAACACATTTCAGATAACCGGGGACCTTTGTATACTCGAATATGAATCGCAATTACTTCACATGTACAATGGTCCTCGGTGCAATTCAATTTCAATTTTAAAAATTTTGATGTTTGGAAAGACATTTCAGTTAACCGGGGACCTTTGTATACTCGAATATGAATTGCAATTGCCTCTCGTCTACAGTGGTCCTCGGTCGATTCGATTTCAATTTTAAAAATTCTGATGTTTGGAAAGACATTTCAGATAACCGGGGACCTTTGTATACTCGAATATTGCGATGATACGAGTGTCTGAATTGCAATTGCTTCTCGTGTACAGTGGTCTTCGGTGCAATTCAATTTCAATTTTAAAAACTTTCAAATTTGTAAGAACATTTCAGATAACCGGGGACCTTTGTATACTCGAATATGAATCGCAATTGCCTCTCGTCTACAGTGATCCTCGGTCGATTCGATTTCAATTTTAAAAATTCTGATGTTTGGAAAGACATTTCAGATAACCGGGGACCTTTGTATACTCGAATATTGCGATGATACGAGTGTCTGAATTGCAATTGCTTCTCGTGTACAGTGGTCTTCGGTGCAATTCAATTTCAATTTTAAAAACTTTCAAATTTGTAAGAACATTTCAGATAACCGGGGACCTCTGTATACTCGAATATAGCGACATCTAAGCTATCGAGAAGAAGCAAATGAGGAACTGCGGAGCCGATTGTTTTTAAAAGCGCAATTATAGCGGACTAAAGTACACTTAACCGAGTGTTTTCTTAATGCAGTAAGAGAGGTACCAGAGAAAGTGTGAACCAGCTGGCCAGACATCACGTGCCAGAGCTGAGCGTCTCCCTGGGCAGGGACGACGATAACGTGCTGTCCGGAAGGAGCAGCTTCGACGAGTTTCACCCCTTGTGGGCAAGATAAACTACGAATTTGAAGGGGTAAAGGTGGTTGAAGCCACCCATTCAATGGGACCAATAAGGGAGCAGTGTATCCATCGCACCAGGCCATCGCTGCAGTCACCATTTTGCTAACCTTTCAAACAGAAATTTTGTTTCTTATACATAGATAAACAAAATACACTTCCTCCTCACTTTCTCACTTCCTAACAGCCATGAAAAACAATCTGAGTGAACAGTCTCTCACCAAATCGCTGCCATCTTCTGCAACAGGCCTCAGCCAACAAATGAGTTGTGCTCCAAGCTGAAGGGGATCCCTCGTCAAGATGTCGCTGGACTTCCTGACAGTGTAATAAACCAGCTCCAAGTCCCTCTCGAGAAGGTACCTCCTCGAGTGCTCAAGAACACATCTCAAGTAGCTGACAGAGACCATTTGCACAGCCGCCAGGAGGAAATCGAAAGCACAGACGGCCAGTTTCTTCAGCTTCTCCACGTGGCCAGCTTGCAAAAGGTGCAACCAGGCCTCCTCGACGTGTCTCAGATTGTAAGCAATGTCCTGAGACACTGGTCTGCTCTGGTAGGGCGTCTCCTTCTTGGGCGTCTCCACTTCTGGCGACGATTTGTCGTCCTTGAAGTCGAAGTCCTCCCAGAAGAAGAGGTTCGCCAGCTCGCCGTGGTAGCTCTTCAAGGTCTCCTGGTTGACGAAGTACTTCTTTCGAGCCAGGTCGCGGATCGTATGACGCCAACCGAAAAGCAGCCTCCCACTCATCACGCGAACCTTTATTTATAGAATTTGACAACTTTAACAAGTTGATCCCATCTCTAACAATTATGTCTCAGATAATGGGTTGGAGGTTACCCTCAAACTTTTGTCGAACGCTCTTCTGACCAAGCACCAGGTCGAGAAGTTGAAGAGTCCATCCTCGAGGAACGAGGGACCATCGTCAGAGGTTTGCATGACCATCTCGAGGACTTCCGTCTCCGAGAGCCCGTACTCCGTGCAAGCCAAGATGGCGCCAATTCGGTTGGCAGCGTTCTCGCCTATGAGACCCTCCAAAGCGTCGAAGACGTTCTCAGTCTCGTGAGAGTCGACTCCTGGGTCCTGTAGCTCCACCAGAACCTCGTTGCTGCGCAGTATTTCCTTTTGTGCGGGGGTCAGGCGCAGTAATTCCGGGGGAACAGCTGTCGTTACCACCAGATGGACCCCTAAGAATCAATGGGAGCGTTGCATTTTACTTTTAGGCAAATGAGCTGTCTAGAATACCCTAACAACGCAAATGTGGGGAATAAGCTAGTTTTAATGGGAATATTAGACACAAAACATCCCTAATATACCCTCCACTAGGGGGATTCTGTGTCAAAGTTATTGTAAAAGGTGACAAATCATTGTTGGGAGTTATATGATAGGCAAATGAGCTGTCTAGAATACCCTAACAGCACAAATATGAGGAACAAGCTACTTTTACTAGGAATATTAGACACAAAACACCTCCACTAGGGGGATTCTCTGAGTCCAAGTAAAATATAGGTCTACTAGCTATTTCTATTATAGTAATATTATTATTTACAGCCCCACCTGCTGGTAAATACAAAGGCAGCCACGACAGGGCAGCGACAATGTTGCACTCCAGTGGCTGCAGTCGATGGAGGTCATCGATGAGGATCAGGAGCTGTTCCTTCATCGGTTCCTCCTCGATTCGTCTCATGATCTGGCTGAACCAGTTGTTCAAATAGAGGGGATCGAACGAGGCGTCTTTAGGAAGGTTGCCATCCAACAGCCCAGAGAGGAAACCAATGTGTTGACATAGCACTCTGAGCAGTTCTAAACTATAGGCGGATCTAGGAGTCGCTCCACAGAGTCGAACCACCCTGAACGTGGTGCAATCCAACCAGGAGGAGGCGTCCGTGTAAATTCTCGAAAGCAGAGCGGTTTTCTCAGTGTACTTGCCCCCTTTTATCAGTATTGGTCTGTGCTTCTGCGATTTACCTGGTGAGTAAACACATTCAATGCATCAGTTTGTTAAGTGTATTGTGAAAACAGTGATTTGCGTACCTAGATGCAGGAGTTCCTTGATCCTCTCGACGTTTTCGTTGCACTCGCAGGGTTTGATGTCCCTTAACAGGGCTAGGTGCATCAGGCTCTCAGCGTAAATCTCTTGCACCATCTTCTTTTTGCTTTTTATCTCTGGATCCTCCTCGATGGAGGCGTTGACTAGGGTCTGCAGCCGATTCACCACCAAACGACAGAGATGAGACAGGTAACCCTTGTGAACTCTGTCCGGGTTGATCCCACCCGACTTCTGATCCACTTCTACGTTGATTATGTTCTCGGGCGGGAGATTGTCGGAGATGAACGACTTCAGGGACGTCACCGCCTTCGAGTTCTTCTTGCCCTTCCAGGAACGTATCACAGCCACGATTCCCTCGCGCGTTTCGTCCAAATCTGAAACGAGGTTTCAATGTTAGATGAATATTGTAAGGAATGTTGATTGGAATAATTATTGTAGCTTACTTATAGCGTACTCCAGCTGCCTCTCAGCAGAGCTCTTCAATATGTTTCTGATTTCTTCGTTATCACATTTATCGGAGACGACGGATTCTGCGACCTTTTTCAACGTTTCCCTCATTTCTGGCTCCTCGCTTTGCCAGTTGTCGCTCGCTGCCCTCAATCTGTTAATTATTTATGAAATACAGTTGAGGACACAATTAAGGACAGGTAGGGGAAATAGGTACGAATTAAATTTAATTAAAGTAGTATAACTATATTAAGATTCCATTTCATACAATGGCGGATAATTGGACTATATCTACATAAGAGGCGATAAAAATGAGAAATTGGACCATTTTTATGGGGTTTTTCAGACGTTATATTTTCGGTAAGGATTTTTTTTCTCGAAAATGCGTAGGAATTCGATAGTATGTATAATGACAAAAAATGATGGTTATTGACCCCCCTAGCTAAAAATAATTTTTCCAGAACGATTTGAAATTTTTTAATTTCGCCGAAAAAGGGGATTACCCTTCTCGACTTTTCCTAGAAATTCGTTTCTGATTTTTATTAAATTTGTTTGACGTTGTACGAAAATCTTGTTTAATACTTTTTTGTAGGTACCCATGAGCTCTACTTCAGAACAAAATTTCATTGAAATATATTCACTATTATAGGAGTTATGATCGTTTGAAAATTGAACCACTTTTTTGGGGTTTTTCTCATTGTAAGGGGTTAAGGACGAACTTTTCGAATATTTTTAGAATTTGTACGTATTCTCTATTAAAATACGCGTTGTTTGCATTTTTAAAAATGAAAATCCTCCAATCCGTTCAGGAGTTATGGCGTTTTAAAGATATGCATGAATTTTCAGGGTAAAACTTCTGGCCAAACAGTATATTTTCTGTAAAGAATTTTTTTCTCCAAAAAGGGTTAGGATTTCGGGGGTATGTCTATTCACCAAAAATAATTGTAATTGACCGTTCTAATTAAAAATAATTTTTTCAGAACGATTTGAAACTTTTCAATTTTGCCGAAAAATTGGTCCACATTCTTGAATTTTTTTCTCGAAAATGCGTAGGAATTCGATAGTATGTATAATGACAAAAAATGATGGTTATTGACCCCCCTAGCTAAAAATAATTTTTCCAGAACGATTTGAAATTTTTTAATTTCGCCGAAAAAGGGGATTACCCCTATCGACTTTTCCTAGAAATTCGTTTCTGATTTTTACTAAATTTGTTTGACGTTGTACGAAAATCTTGTTTAATACTTTTTTGTAGGTACCCATGAGCTCTACTTCAGAAAAAAATTTCATTGAAATATATTCACTATTATAGGAGTTATGATCGTTTGAAAATTGAACCACTTTTTTGGGGTTTTTCTCATTTTAAGGGGTTAAGGACGCACTTTTCGAATATTTTTAGAATTTGTACGTATTCTCTATTAAAATACGCGTTGTTTGCATTTTTAAAAATGAAAATCCTCCAATCCGTTCAGGAGTTATGGCGTTTTAAAGATATGCATGAATTTTCAGGGTAAAACTTCTGGCCAAACAGTATATTTTCTGTAAAGAATTTTTTTCTCCAAAAAGGGTTAGGATTTCGGGGGTATGTCTATTCACCAAAAATAATTGTAATTGACCGTTCTAATTAAAAATAATTTTTTCAGAACGATTTGAAACTTTTCAATTTTGCCGAAAAATTGGTCCACATTCTTGAATTTTTTTCTCGAAAATGCGTAGGAATTCGATAGTATGTATAATGACAAAAAAATGATTATAAATGACCCCCCTAACTAAAAATAATTTTTTTAGCACGATTTGAAATTTTGTAATTTCGACGAAAAATTTTTCCACCTTCCTGAATTTTTTTCTCGAAAGTGCGAAGGATTTCGGAAGTATGTGTAATGACCAAAAGTGATTGTAATTAACCCTTGCAACTAAAAATAATTTTTTCAAAACAATTTGAAACTTCTTAATTTCTCCGAAAAATTAGTTTTATCCCCCAGCAATTAACCACCATTTTCCTTAAATATACCTTACTTCCCCACAAATGTAAATACACGTTAAATAATCTATCTACCACAAAGATAAATAATACATAAAACTTAAGTCCAAAATAATTATACTACATACTTTGGTTAAATTTAATTTATACTTATTTCCTTTACCTGTCCCCTCAATTATGAAAGCAGTAAACTCTGATCAAACCGACGTTTATTATTTCTATCTCAGTTGGTTCGTTCTTAAACCAAAGTATCTTAAAAGTAGCCTCGTGTTTGAAATTACGTCACGTTTATAGACCACTATCTTTTTTATTGGCCTCCTTCGTTTTTATTACGGTTCCATAAAATACCATAATAAAAAAGTAACTACCTGTCTGCCTTTAGGACATAGCAATCGTTATTGCACTCGTAATACTCCTCCATCATGGAACAACGACTAGAAAGGATTCCATAACTTTCTGTGCTCAATTCTGGTGGCAGCCATCCAACGTTGTACTCTTCTCCAACCAGCAGCTTAAACACAAAAATTTCATTTTTTAATCATCAGTAACTTCTCACACGTGTGTATGCCTCACAAGGGATTATTTATTTATTTTTTATTCCATACAGTTTTACATACTCACTAGTAGAAAACAACCCCTCGAGTGTTGATAAGCGGCATGTATTTCGTTAAAAAAATGTTCAGCTAAGTATGGGTTTCTATCAGGATTCACGTTCGTTGCATATTGCATGTCCACCAAGAGAACCTACACAATTTACCATTCGTTAACAATCTACACGTGTATGTGACATAAACAAATAAATTTGCCAGATTATCAACGTGAATTCACCAATAATTGATAATATCCAATCTTGTAAAACGTGCATTATCATACAATTTCATTAGTTATCAGTAGACTGCGGATGTTTATGCATTTATGGGAAATTTTAATCCTCGAAGAACTACAGAATGCATTTAATATGCAGAAATATAAGGAATACTTAAAGTAAGATACGAATTATTATATTTAGGGGTCGAGACAGCCCTCTGCGAAGCTTCCGTTTCATTAATTCTATCAATAAAAATGTGAATTTGCATAAAGATCCGCAGTCTAGTTATCGGGTGTACAAACGAATGATCCAAATTATCTTGAGCAGTTGTAAAATCAAGTTTAACCCTTTGCACTCCGAATTATATTTCAATTTTGTTACCAGCAGCTCCCAAACGCCTTCAAGTGTTTTATTTGAAATTTACTTGTTAAAATATCTGTTTTATTTACACTGTTGTTGTGTTTTGTAATTTTCAAGCGTGCGATATCTCTTTGGTGTGGACTTGAAGAAATGTCGAGTGGGACTCGACGAAGGAGCTCCTGAGATAAAAATTGATGTCGAATCACACTCGACATGGGAGTGCAAAGGGTTAAAGTCAACAGATTTTCCTGTTTGTTTGTGGTCATATACTGTTGACATACAGCTAGTTAAAACTAAGAAGATAGTTTAGCAAATGGCCCAACATAACCTTCAAAAGTATTCACTTCAATGGAGTCAAAAGTGGCAACAAATAAGGTGCATAACCGACACTGCATTCTTTATGACTTGCAACAAGGGAAAAATGCTGCAAGAGCATGAGAATAGATTTGTTCCTTACTTGGTGAAGGTGTTGTATCGTATGATGTGTGCACCTTTTGGTTCAGAGTGGTTTAAAAGCAGTGATTTGAGTCTGATCGACAAAACAACGCCCTGGAGGCTCTTATAAGTGTGAGAACGATGATTTGGAACACCTGCTCGCTGAGGATGCGGCACAAATGCAAAAGGAACTTGCAGAACAGTTGGGAATAACCTAGCAAACGATTTCCAAACGCCCACGTGAGATGGGAAGGATCCAGAAGAAGGAAAATGGGTTCCACATGAACTCAGTGCAACCAACAAAGATCAACGAGTGGCAGCGTGTCTTTCTCATGACAATAAGCAGCGTCGAAAGTCTTTCTTGTGGAAAATTGTTACGTGGCGATGAGAAGTGGATACTCTGTGACAATTTGAAGCGTCAACATCGGTTGCAAAGCCCAATCGCTTCTGAAAGAAGGTTCTTCTCTGCATTTGGTGGGATATCAAAGGCGTGGTTTGTTACGAGCTGTTGGAACCTAGTGAAACAGTTACTGAGGACTGCTAGCAACGTCGTTCTCAACGTACGCAACGTATTCTGGCAAAGGAGAACGCCCAATGAAATTGTTGCGTGACAACGCCTGGCCACATATTGCTCCCCCATACAAAAGACACCATAATGAGTCTTGGGACGTCTAGAAGCACCTGGTATATTCACCAGACATCGCTCCATCCGATTATCACCCGTTCCTGGTCTATGTAACCTCCAATCAGTGAATAAGATCCGAAAATTGACTTTATCGGGGCCAAAAACGTAAAATTCTTCCAAGATGGAGTTCATCAGCTGCCTGAAAGATGGCTTAAAGTTATAGAAAGTGAATACTTTGATTTGTACAATTAAATTCACTTTTCTTTAAAATTGAATGTGGCTGAAAAAATTGGATTATTCATTCGTACACCTGATATATCGACAATGTAATCGTGATTTAGTTTCGATGCTTTTTAAATTGGACTTTTGTCGTACCTCGATTCCCATGCCGTCGTAAATCGATTGCAGTTCAGGTCCAACGAATTCCAATAATTGTTTCCTTTCCTCCACGAACTCTGCAAATATTTGATGAAAAATTTTGGGCGCCGTGGGGAGCAAATATACAACATATTTACACGTTTGTTTACCGTCACGTGACCTTCGAACGAGCTCGAGCACTTAAAATACTCGAGGTCACTCGAAGGTCATCGATCGATCTCGACGCCATCTACAATGTCAAACTGAGAAAAAAACACGTTGTCTCGTTAAAAAGAATAACGCAAATGCAACCACAACGTGTGTCTTTGTTTACAATTTGTTAACAAATTCTTTACAATATTCCGTTCTAAATTAACTTTACCGTAAACACCCTGTATATGCGAACTTAGGTAACAAACACGTAAATCAATAATGGTGTGGATAAATAAACGACTAGATAGGTGGTAGAATGAGTAAATGGGCAGAAGACTTTATTAAATAATCAACAAATTGATTTATTAAATATCCAACAGATCATTCGATTGAACATAATTCGGAATACAGATGCGATCGTTGCTCACACGTACACGATCTAGACACAGATACAAAAACACAGAACTCGTTGCCCCCAATACGCAAGCAGTGAAATGAACTTCTAAACAAATCGAAAAGAATTCACGAACACATAGTTTGGACAGCCATAACGAAGAAGTAGCGTGATCCAACGATCCACAGAAAACATACACGTGTGCACAAACGCAATACAGGGTGTTTCGTGATATGTGGTAACCACGTAAAATTTTTCATTTCTAAGATAAACAATTGGAACTTTAAATGTTTCAAGGCACTACTTGGTACTTTAAACAATTAAAATACATTTAAAACGGGACTATAGTGTGCTCAAAAGCAAGTTTACAGCGTGCACCTAATTGTAAATTATTTATTTTTTTTTTTTGTTGACAGAATATTCCATGCAATAAATTTTTTATTATCGATTCCTATTTTTTAATAAATAAGAATTGTTAAATAGTGTTTAGAGGATAGATATAGTCTTGTGAAATGTTCTAAATAGTTCTATTTTACTGTTTCTAAATGTTAGATTTGTCATTGGGTTCCATATATTACGGTTCACCCTGTATAATGTATAAAATAACAGAGAAAGCGTTTCAAGTTCATTTTGGCGTGCAAAAGTTATCAGACAATTGCACGTTCAGCTTTGTAAAAATATAATTAGTAAACTGTGCGCTCTAAGTTCGTTGTTATTAGCAACATTTATTATTAATATCTTAAGAAATAATCTCTATTTGCGTTTAAAGATTGTCAAAGAATATATCGTTTAGTGTAATCAACAAGTAGACCGGACCATAACATAGCTATTTTTCGTTTGTTTCATAATTCAGTTTTGAGGGGGTGAAATCATCCCTTATCTTTCTCCTCGATTATCTCGAGAATGGTAACTGATATCGAAAAAAAGTTTAAACAAAATTTACACGTCTCGTTTAGGTTTCAAAGATTGCCCAAAAAAATTTTTCGATTTACCCCCTCCCTTTTCTGAAAAAATCGAAAATATTTCTGTTTACTCCCCCATGCGAATAATTTATTTCACAGACGAATAAAATGATTTTATTTAATTGTGAAATTTTATTTTAATTTGAGAAATAAGGAAAATAATTAATGTTTCAACTTCTTTTTGAGTTGCATTGTGAAATTGAATTATGGAACGGGAATTAGGTTTGTTATGGATGGACTGCTCTACTTTTAGACAAATTTCATCACTTTTGGAGTTTCCAAAGTTGCTTTGTTAACAAATCAACGGATATTTGAATCGATGCTGGCGAGTTGCTTGGAAGCGTGTATGCAAATTGCGCGATTTAACAAAACATCCAACACACACGAACAATAATATTAAGTAGGTATTGTTAAATAGACCATTCCGTTCTCCAGCGATGAAGACTTTTATCAGCCTCGGGGCGGGCAGGCTTTTCGGGGGTGGCTCGCCCTTGATCACCCCCGCGATCAGCTCCACTTCGAGATTCATTGCGTGGACGCTTAGGCTAACAGCTCGAAATGGTATTCCCTCCGACACGGGAATATTCTGTAGTCTATTCAGTGAGAATTAAATGGTATGAGTTCATTGTTGCTACTGTAGAATTGTATAGCTGCAGAGAGCTAAATATATTTAAGCATTTTTACTTAAAATTAAAATTCAAATATATATATATCATAAAGATAGTTTATATTTGGGTACAAAACTAGTTTAAAATTTTTAATTTTTATATGGTGTTGTTAAAGTAATTAGAAAGAAAGAATACCATATTTGAAAATGTGTTAAGAAAGGATATTATCTAAACAAATTATTAGAATTAAAATAATTGTGTTAAAACAATTATAACAGAATTAATACAATTAAAATAACCGAAATCAAAGGCCACTATATCTCAAATTGTATTAAGAGACGATATTATCAAACAAATATTAGAATTAAAATAACTGTATTAATACTACTATAATAGAAATAGAATCAGTACAATTATAATATAATTAATACTATTATACTAGAATTAATAGAATTATAATAGAATCAATACAATTAAAATAGAAAAAGAAATAGAATTAATGCTATTATAATAGGAAATGAAATAGAATTAATACCATTATAATAGAAAAAGAAATAGAATTAATGCTATTATAATAGGAAATGAAATAGAATTAATACTATTATAATAGAATTAAAACAATTAAAATAGAAAAAGAAATAGAATTAATGCTATTATAATAGAAAAAGAAATAGAATTGATACTATTATAATAGAATTATAAATAATATTATTACTATAATAATAGAATTAATACTGTTATAATAGAAATAGTAATAGTATTAATATTATTATAATAGAAATAGAAATAATATTAATACTATAATAATAGAATTAATACTATTATAATAGAATTAATATTATTATAATAGAAAAAAAACAGTAATAAGACTATTATAATAGAAAAAAACAGTATTAAGACTATTATAATAGAAGAAAAAATAGTATTAATACTATTATAATAGAAAAAATAAGTATTAATACTATTATAATAGAAACAGAAATAATATTAACACTATTATATTAGAATTAATACAATTATAATAGAATTAATAAAATGAAAATAATGTAAATCGAAGATTACGATATTAGGAATTATCTTCAGAAACAATATTATCCAACAAATATTAGAATGAAAATAATTGTATTAATACAGTTATAATAGAATTAATAATATTATAATAGAAAAAGAAATAGTATTAATGCTATTATAATAGAATTAATACTATTACAATAGAAAAAGAAATAGTATTAATACAGTTATAATAGAATTAATACCGTTATAATAGAATTAATATTATTATAATAGAAAAAAAACAGTAATAAGACTATTATAATAGAAAAAAACAGTATTAAGACTATTATAATAGAAACAGAAATAATATTAACACTATTATATTAGAATTAATACAATTATAATAGAATTAATAAAATGAAAATAACGTAAATCGAAGATTACGATATTAGGAATTATCTTCAGAAACAATATTCTCCAACAAATATTAGAATGAAAATAATTGTATTAATACTACTATAATAGAAATAGAAACAGTATTAATACTATTATAATAGGAAAAGAAATAGTATTAATGCTATTATAATAGACTTAGTAAAATTAAAATAACGAAAACCAAAGTGTACCATATTTCAAATTGTATTAGGACACGATATTATCAAACAAATATTAGAATTAAAATAATTATATGAATTCTACTATAATAGAAATAGAATTAATACTGCTATAATACAAAAAGAAATAGAATTAATACAATTATAATAGAATTAATACCATTACAATAGAATTAATATTATTATAATAGAAAAAGAAACAATATTAGGACTATTATAATAGAATTGATACTATTATAATAGAAAAAGAAATAGTATTAACACAATTATAATAGAAAAAGATATAATATTAACACTATTATATTAGAATTAATACAATTATAATAGAATTAATAAAATGAAAATAATGTAAATCAAAGATTACGATATTAGGAATTATCTTCAGAAACAATATTCTCCAACAAATATTAGAATGAAAATAATTGTATTAATACTACTATAATAGAAATAGAAACAGTATTAATACTATTATAATAGGAAAAGAAATAGTATTAATGCTATTATAATAGACTTAATAAAATTAAAATAACGAAAACCAAAGTGTACCATATTTCAAATTGTATTAGGACACGATATTATCAAACAAATATTAGAATTAAAATAATTATATGAATTCTACTATAATAGAAATAGAATTAATACTGCTATAATACAAAAAGAAATAGAATTAATACAATTATAATAGAATTAATACCATTACAATAGAATTAATATTATTATAATAGAAAAAGAAACAATATTAGGACTATTATAATAGAATTGATACTATTATAATAGAAAAAGAAATAGTATTAATACAATTATAATAGAAACAGAAATAATATTAACACTATTATATTAGAATTAATACTATTATAATAGAATTAATAAAATGAAAATAATGTATATCAAAGATTACGATATTAGGAATTATCTTCAGAAACAATATTATCCAACAAATATTAGAATGAAAATAATTGTATTAATACTACTATAATAGAAATAGAAATAGTATTAATATAATTATAATAGAAATAGAATTTATACTGTTATAATACAAAAAGAATTATAATTAATACAATTATAATAGAATTAATAAAATGAAAATAACGTAAATCGAAGATTACGATATTAGGAATTACCTTCAGAAACAATATTATCCAACAAATATTAGAATGAAAATAATTGTATTAATACTACTATAATAGAAATAGAAATAGTATTAATACTATTGTAATAGGAAAAGGAGGACTTCCATTTCCGGTGTGAAAGTGTAGAGACGGTTGAGTGAACGGTGCGAGTGAAAGAGGTGAAAAAATGGGGTAATAGGAAAAGGAATAATATTATTACTATAATAATAGAATTAGTACTATTATAATAGAAATAGTAATAGTATTAATATTATTATAATAGAAGTAGAAATAATATTAATACTATAATAATAGGAAAAGGAATAGTATTAGTACGATTATATTAGAATTAATATAATTAAAATAGAATTAATACTATTTTAATAGGAAAAGGAATAGTATTAGTACCATTATAATAGAATTAATACAATTAAAATAGAATTAATAGAATTAAAATAATAAAAAAAAGGATATTATCTAACAAATATTACAATTAATATGATTGTATTAATAGAATTATAATAGCATTAATACAATTAAAATAACGAAAACCAAAAAGTGCCATATTTGAAATTGTGTTAAGGGACGATATTATCAAACAAATATTAGAATTAAAATAGTTGTATTAATACTATTATAATAGAATTAATATTATTATAATAGAAAAAGAAACAGTATTAAGACTATTGTAATAGAAAAAGAAATAATAATAATACTATTATAATAAATTTAAAACAATTATAATAGAAAAACAAATGGTATTAATACTATTATAATAGAATTAATACAATTAAAATAACGAAAACCAAAGAGTACCATATTTGAAACTATCTTAAAAAACAATATAAACCAACAAATATTATAATTAAAATAATCATATTAATACAATTACAATAAAATTAATAAAATTAAAATAACCTAAACCAAAGAGTACCATATTTGAAACTATCTTGGGAAACAATATTATCCAACAAATATCAGAACGAAAATAATCCTGCTACTATAATTATAATAAAATTAATGGAATTAAAATAACTGTATTTTTCCAATACTGCCAATAATAATCACCTCGTATCTTTTGTTATTCCTCCAAATCGAATCTTCTCGCCACGCTGTGCAATATATAATCTCCTCCTAAAATTTCTAACAATAAAAACAAACGTACGTTTGATCGATAATCTCTTTAAACGCGGACCCCATGGACACAAACTGCTTTCATATAGTTACAATATATTTAACATCTATATATATATATATATATATATGTATATATACTTTATTAAATGTATCCAACCGTATTCGTTATAATAATCGTTTCTTAAATTGATTGTATCGTTCTTGTTTTTTGTCCCGCGAAACTTGCAAAGTACCCTTAACGTTAACAGTAATCAATAATAATCTCTCGTTATCAACTCTCGATACATTTATAGATGAATATACATTTCAGTCGTCGATAGAAATACGATGGAATCGATAGACGATTAATTAGTTAGGTAACATTGGTTTGAAGATTGTCCTCGCCTTGAACTTTTGTCTTTTTGTTCCTTTAATTTCTCCTTTCTCCTTTTTTTTTTTATATCTCGTTTTACCTCGTGGTACCTTTCGTTAGTTTCGTTTTTTTCGATTTTCTTTTTTGTTTCTTTTTTTTTTGTTTTTTTTTTAATTCTTTGTACTCAAGTTTTTGTATTGCTGATTGATGGTCCTGGTCAAATAACGCGTACGACACTCATCTTCTGACGACGAATTTCCCCCTTGCGGACTATGTCGCGCGCATATTTGTTTAATTTTCTAGCGAATCTGCAACATAAAGATTAAGTTCCTAGATCATACTGTAAACGAATATTAACAGACCCTCAGAGAGATCTAACGTTTTGGTACTTATAATACATCTGGTATCGCCACATGGTGCTTTCAAACGTCTTCTAAAAATAATCTGAAGATTTCTAACGGGTAGCAGATTCGTCAGAATTTTCAAACTCACGGAAATCGAGTTTAAATTTAACAAATTTAAAAAAAATTATTTTGCAATCATGATTTTTCAGTGATTTTATTATTTTAAATATTTTTAGTCAGCTCTGATTCTGGGTTTTTAAGTAATTTATATTCTTTTATTCAACGAATGCAACCCCTTTGCACCCCTAATTTTCAAATTTTGGAAAATCGAGTTTAAATTTAACAAATTCAACAAAAATAATTTTTCAACCATGATTTTGATTTTCGGTTTTTAAATAATTTATCTTCTTTTTTTCGTCGAATGCAACCCCTTTGCACCCCCAATTTTCAAATTTAGGAAAATCGAGCTTAAATTTAACAAATTCAAAGACAATAATTTCTCAACCATGATTTTGGGTTTTTAAATAATTCATCTTCTTTTATTCCTCAAATTGCAACCCCCTTGCACCCCTAATTTTCAAATTTAGAAAAATCGAGTTTAAATTTAACAAATTCAAAGAAAATTGTTTCCCATCCATGATTTTGGGATTTTAAATAATTTATCTTCTTTTGTTCCTCAAATGCAACCCCCTTGCACCCCTAATTTTCAAGCTTATGGAAATCGAGTTTAAATTCAACAAATTCAAGAAACATTATTTCTCAAACATGATTTTCAGTTTTTAAATAATTTATCTTCATTTTTTCGTCGAATGCAACCCCCTTTGCACCCCTAATTTCCAAACTCGCGGAAATCGAGTTTAAATTTAATAAATTCAAACAAAATTATTTCTCAACCATGATTTTAGGTTTTTAAATAATTTATCTTCTTTTGTTCGTCGAATGCAACCCCCTTGCACCCCTAATTTCCAAACTCACGGAAATCGAGTTTTTTAACAAATTTAACAAAAATTATTTCTCAATCATGATTTTGATTTTCGGTTTTTAAATAATTTATCTTCTTTTTTCCGTCGAATGCAACCCCCCTGCACCCCTAATTTTCCAATTTAGAAAAATCGAGCTTAAATTTAACAAATTCAAAGAAAATTGTTTCCCATCCATGATTTTGGGATTTTAAATAATTTATCTTCTTTTGTTCCTCAAATGCAACCCCCTTGCACCCCTAATTTTCAAGCTTATGGAAATCGAGTTTAAATTTAACAAATTCAAGAAACATTATTTCTCAAACATGATTTTCGGTTTTTAAATAATTTATCTTCTTTTTTTCGTCGAATGCAACCCCCTTTGCACCCCTAATTTCCAAACTCGCGGAAATCGAGTTTAAATTTAATAAATTCAAACAAAATTATTTCTCAACCATGATTTTAGGTTTTTAAATAATTTATCTTCTTTTGTTCGTCGAATGCAACCCCCTTGCACCCCTAATTTCCAAACTCACGGAAATCGAGTTTTTTAACAAATTTAACAAAAATTATTTCTCAATCATGATTTTGATTTTCGGTTTTTAAATAATTTATCTTCTTTTTTTCGTCGAATGCAACCCCCCTGCACCCCTAATTTTCCAATTTAGAAAAATCGAGCTTAAATTTAACAAATTCAAAGAAAATTGTTTCCCATCCATGATTTTGGGATTTTAAATAATTTATCTTCTTTTGTTCCTCAAATGCAACCCCCTTGCACCCCTAATTTTCAAATTCACCAAAATCGAGTTTAAATTTGAGAAATTAAAAAAAAATTATTTCTCAACCATGATTTTGGGTTTTTAAATAATTTATCTTCTTTTCTTCCTCGAATGCAACCCCCTTTGCACCCCCTAATTTCCAAACTCACGGAACTCGAGTGTAAATATAACAAATTCAAAGAAAATTGTTTCTCAACCATGATTTTGGGATTTTAAATAATTTAGCTTCTTTTTTTCCTCGAATACAACCCCCTTTGCACCCTTAATTTCCAAACTTACAAAAATCAAGTTTAAATTTCCAAATTGAAAAAAAATTATTTCTCAACCATGATTTTAGGATTTTAAATAATTTATCTTCTTTTATTCCTCGAATGCAACCCCCTTTGCACCCCTAATTTCCAAACTCACGAAAATCGAAGTTTAACAAATTTCTTTAAAAAAAATAATTATATCTAATGATTTTTCAATGATATTATTAAATAAAAAATTGTATTATTTAAAATACTTTCTTCGTAAATTTCAGTCAGATCTCTAGGTTTTAAAATTATTCATCTTCTTTTGTTCCTCGAATGCAACCCCTTTGCACCCCTTTGCACCCCTTTGGTTCTCGTTTCGCGTAGGTTCAGTCTTATCCACTTTAATTTTAATGGACTTGCGAAATTTTCCAAAGGACCTCGTTAAATGGATGTTCTGCCTGTTCCACGATTGGTCCTTGTCGCTGACGTTGAGTGCACTATACGAAACCAGGTTTCGTTCGATCCAGTAAACTCCGGTTACGAAGTTTCTTCGTGCCCATAGTGGCGAAACAGTGCATTTCTCAAAGAGCAAACAATATCGAGAGGGAAGAAGCTATATTCCCTTCGATAATGTCACTGGATGAAACGTCAAACTGTGACACGAACGGAGGGAGTGCAATCTATTATCTTGAGCAAAAGTTACTTACAAAAACCAGCAAATTACACTAGTTTATTACTAGTTTAATAACAAACAAAAATTATTTATTATTATTATTAAAAATTTGCAAATAAAAATACAATTTTAAGTTATTTACAATAACCAGTAAATTTAATCTATTTGTAACAAATTATACTGGTTTATTACAAGTTTAGTAACAAACAAAAATTATTCATTATTATTATTAAAAATTTGCAAATAAAAATACAATTTTAAGTTGTTTACAATAACCAGTAAATTTAATCTATTTTTAACGAATTACACTAGTTTATTACTAGTTTAGTAACAAACAAAAATTATTCATTGTTATCATTAAAAATTTGCAAATAAACATACAATTTTGAAACTAACCTTAAAAGTCGAAGTGAAATAATTTTAATGTGAAAATTTATAAAAATATACTGTTTCATTTGACTTAAAAACAAAGAAACAAAAAAAAACAAAACATACAGAAATAATTTGATGGAATAACTTTTATTTATTTATACTGTTTCACTTGACCTCTGGTTTTTAAGTTCTCAACACGGGTCTTGAGATTTCACTTAAATATTCTGCATTATTAAGCAGATTATTCTAGTAACTAAAATCAATAACAATGATATAAGCATGTAACCCATTAAACGCGAGGTGAACGAAAAAATAAGAACATTCGGTTTCTTTTGAAAATTCCCCTCTAAAACCGAGTACAACAATTTTTCAAAACGTTATTCGACCATTTTTGTATATAATAAAATTAATTTATCGTTCTGAGAGTTCTGAAAAATTTTTATTTTATTACATCCATAAATTTTTGAGTTAAATTATTGATTAAATTGTTTACAAAATCGTAAATAATAGTTTCCCCGAATTATGTGAATTCTTTGTTTATCATCACTCAAATCAGAGCTGACTAAAATTTGTAGAGAAAATATTTTCATTTTTCGAATCCACAATACCAAAACAGAGTGTCTTTCACTGTATTTAAAATACTACGTAATTCAGAAACGAGTAAAATATATCATTTTCAAAAATATTGATCCAAGCTGTACCATTTGCTAATTGAAATTTAGCTCTGTATCGAACTTCGCCACTTCGGAAGTTTCGTTCGATAGCGGCGAAACCAGCGGCACAATTCGCGATAAAAAATAATTAGCCCGTGAGCCTGATCGAAATCTATATTTTATCCTTCCGTGGCGATTTACCGTGTAAACGGGCGTTTATCGTATTTAAATAGTAAACAGCGATAAGGGAGCGAACGACGAAGGGGAAAAAAGGATATAAAAACGGTGGATCGATTCGCCCAAACGCAGAATCGAAGCGCCACCTTTCTATCGATAAGCGAGAATAATTATTTTTCTTAATTCGTCGTGTCAGGGAGCAGAGCACGCCGTGTCGGTAATATTTCCAATTATCCCGTTCCTATCGATCGGTAAGGACGAGTCAAAATGGCGGTCGGAGTGGGGGTATGTTTATCGAGCTAAGGGAGTCTCAAAAAAAAAATAAAAAACACCTAATCTCAATTTTTTCGAGACAATAGTTCGCAGCATCCGTGGAAGCGGACGAGAAACGCGGGGATGGGGGACAGTGGAACGCGGGATCAAATGAAATTCGAGGCAAAGCGATCCGGCAGGCTGGAATAGAGGGTCTAAAATGAGAATTAAATAGGCGCTCACCGGTCTGTCGCTTTGACTGAGACGAAAAACACCGACCCTCAACACGGGCGCCGCACTACTGCTGACACAGAGGCCCGAGCGTGGCTCGAGTCGGGCGATAGGTCGACACACATGCGCATTGATCCGCTTCACCTGGGAACAGGTTGACGCAGCGCCACCTGGGAGAAGACTCGCGAACCACGCGCGACACACAGGACATTAGGACGAAATTTACGATGCGTGGTACGAGCTCCACAGATTCACCCTCCAATTTCATGGGGTGTCAGATTTTATTCTTAGGATTACCACGATTTTCGTGAAACCTACGTAATCAATACTTTCGACATTTATCAACACCCTCTTTAAGTATCATGAGGGGGGTTAGAAACTTAGTATTCAACTTAACATTTACAAGCTTTGTTAAAGGGTAAAATCGATAATTGGGAGTACGAAAAATTCTATACTGTGGAGCTAAGTTCAAATACCACAAAGAAAATTCCCTTTCTTTTTTGTATTTCGTGAAATTAAAACGTCCATTGACTAAATCTTTAATCCTGTTTGCAATAGGTTTTTAAGCCCATTTGAGATGACCAATTGATCTCATTTGACTTAAGCAAAACTAAAATAAAATATTAATATAAAGAAATAATTTTTAAAATTGAAAACCTAAAGAAAACAAGGATGAAGGAGTATGGCACGCCTACTTGTATAACACTGTTCCAGTTATTCTTTTGATCGAAAAGTTTATTAGGCTCGTCCGTGGCGAGCTGGATCATACAGAAGCGATTGATGCGCAAAATATTAGACGGTTAAAGTTGTATATACACATGTAATTGTTATTCATAGGATCTCAGACTGTCACCTAGATGCTCACCTTTGATCATTCCCGACTGATACACGCATACACACATGTACACACTCACGCATTGATATAATCATCGAGATCCACGGCGTAGCGAACCACGATGAAATAAAGCTAGTCTTCTGGCTTCTGTGGTCCCCCCATCATGGACAACAATTGATCTGGGATGATAGTAGTCTTCTCATTCCCTTTCTCCGTGGCTAACATTACCTGCAATAGTGATTAACAGGAACTGCAAATGTTTGAATTATTTTTTATACTTTATTATGTAAAAATTGCTCCTGGCGTGAACTTTTATTGCTTGCTGACCCACCTACCACACGCTGCACTTGTGCATTGGATTCATCGGCGAGCCTGGCGGACAGTCGTAGGCCCTGGCGAAGTCCTCGCTGTTGGACAGGGGCCCCCAGACCCTTATAGGGCCCGGCGAGTGAACGCTGCTGCGTATTTTGGTCAGAGCGTCTTCGGGTCTCATAGACCCGCACCAGATCTGCGCGTAGTTCAGAAAGAAGAGCTGATCGTGCGTGAGGTTCACTCCAGGAAGCAGCGGTTCCTCCCCGTGGGTCGACACCCACTTCTTGTACGCCTGGAACGCGCGATTCTATGTTTTTGTATATATTATGCCATAGATTGAAGTGTACATGAGCATCATTAGACCCTGGTGAAGGCAATTCTAAATAATATTTGATTAATAATGTGATATCAATATCGACAAGTACAGTAGTCGCCTCATTTGAAGCCCCGTGGAAGGAATGAGGGAGAAGTAGAAGGGATACACGTGTTCCCGCCTGAGAGCAAGGGAGAAAGATAGACAGAGCAAGGGAGCAAGGGAGCAAGATAACCTCTTGCCGTGAGGCGGCTACATTAGGTGTTTGTTTAAACAATTAACTCTTCTCCTACTATCTAGGTACCTGGACGACTACGTTCCCCCCATTGCATTGCTTATATTTCCCTGCCAATTGACAGGGAACTCGCTCCGTAGACCTACCCTAAAAGATTGTTTGAGTCCTCCATTGTCAGCGATGTTCTCCCCCTGAGTCATCTTCCCATTGATGTACAACCCTACGTCCTGTAGTTTGTACCTGGAATACTGATCCACGATGCACTGAGCCCTCTGCCTGAAGGCTCTGATGGTCACGTTGTTCCACCATTGCATCATGTTTCCATCTTTGTCGAACTGACGGCCCTTGTCGTCGAAACCGTGGGTGATCTCGTGGCCAATCACCACACCGATCCCACCGTAATTCAACGACTTTGGGAAGTGCTGGGAGTAAAACAGTGGCTGCAGAATCCCCGCTGGAAACACTGTAACGATGAACAGGAGGAGTCAGTGAAGAGGAACAAAGTGTTCGCTGGATGAATAGACTTTCAGAACCGTTTACGTTTGCTGACTGGTCTTATTGGCCCAAGCATAGCGAATAGGTTTGGACTTACCAATGTCGTTTTTGTTGGGATTGTAGAAAGCGTTCACGACCGCTGGTTCCGTGGGCCATTTGTCTTTGTCCACCGGTTTTCGTAGGTTCTGTATGTTGTCGTACGCGTCGTACTTGAGCAGGGCTAGTATGTTGTCGAGGAAATGGTCCTCAGTGATGCTCAACTGCAAAGTCAAACGTTGTGACATAACATCAAGGCTTTTTCTAGGCTTTCTCGGGGAATTTTTTGTGAACAAACTATAAGACCTTTTGCGGTCAAATTTACAGGGTTTATTTGTACATATCTGAGTGATGTTTTCAAATTTTTTGGGCGAGAAAGAACCACGTACCATCAGGTACTCTTTGGACAGCTCGGCAGGGTCTTTGAGGAACTCTGGATAACCGATCCTCTCGTTCATGGAGTCGGCTTTGGTTTTGGCCACGGCTCGCGTTTCATCGTCCATCCAATGATTCTCGTCGAGAAGTTCGTTGAACGCCTCGCGTATCGTGTGGATCATCTCGAGCGCCGTCTCCTGGGAAGCAAACGAACCTTTCGATTCTAAAGACAGTGCAATCGTGGATTTAGGAATTAAATTAGGTATTTAGCATTTTCCCCAGCCCTGCAGGTGTGAAAGGGTGGTGAAATTGTTAAACGATTCGTGACGAGGACTCGTTAAGAAATGGAAAAAGTCACCTTACTCTCGTGATTGAAATTGTCACGTATAAAGAGTGCCCCCACAGCCATGCCTAGCTTTTTGTTCGTCCATTCGACGCACTGGACCGATCTGTGCCTCTCGCTCAATATTCCCTGAAGGATTCGACGAAATTCGATCCGCTTTTGTTGGTACTCGTCTATCATGTATGGCATTATCGACATGACCAGGCGCCAAAGGATGTAGTTGTGCAAGATTCTGCAAACGATCGTTTATTAATTTAATTAACATTTATCAATATCAACAGTCCACTTAGAACAGTCTAATCACGGGTATTAAAAATAGTCAAACTTTACATGCGTACAGTTCCGAAACTACCCACGCTTTATCCAAAATTCGACCACCATTGGAAGCGGTAAACCTTCCTCTTTGAAATTGGTTTTTGGTTTTTGTCGATCCGACTTCCCGTTTTGGAGATATCGTAATTTATATGAAGGGGTAATTTCTTAAAAACTCCGCTTGTGGCGCCCCCCGTGTCACGGCGGACTACCAACGCGCATTGAAATTACTAAAAACTTTAATTACGTGCAGCTCCGAAACTACTCGTGCTTTATCCATAATTAAGCGATTGTTAGAAGCGGTAAACCTTCCTCTTTGAAATGGTTTTTGGTTTTTGTCGATCCGACTTTTCGTTTTCGAGATATCGTAATTTATGTAAAGTGGTATTTTTCTTAATTCGACTGTCTCTGTCTCCGTCTAACGCGTCGGGCCTCTCGCTCGCACTCGTTGTGCTGATCTACTCCAAATCACGTGACTGTCGTGACCTCTAGTGACGCGTAGTGTTTCCAACACTCCACTACGCACTGTTTACTATTTACGCGAGGTCAATGAACCCTTATATCACCAAAACTAGCCATCCGATCGACTCGAAACTAAAATCGCTATATCTCCGGAACTAATTATGCTATCGACTCGTTCAAACGCTCATTTTAAAGGGCATTTCATCCTCTATCCAATGAATACATCACCTATTATAATTTACGCCATCTTCTATGTTTATTTTGACATTTACTTTGACGCTACATACCCAAAGAAGTTTCAGCAATTCTTATTAACTATAAATTATTTATTTAATTGAAAATAAATTCAAATTTGTATACTGGATTTCTATAGAGCATTTTTTCGTAAATAATTGTTTTCTCTGGAAAACAAAACTTGTTTTCAATGGTGTTTTATCTTCTTATGTTTTGTATGGAGTTTGAAGTACCAAGTACGCATATTTTGAGTAATAGTGTTGGGTATTTTGTACAGATTTTGAAAATATGTGATTTGATAGTTACCTTGGATCTGTCCTGTGCACGATGCGACCCATTTCGACGAAATACGGCATACCGTACACCACGATTGGCTCCTCGTCTGTTATGGGGGCACTGATGAACTCCTGAAGGTAAACACGCCATTTGATTTCCGGGATTTCACGCTGCAATTCGCGCAACGTCAGCTTCCGGTAAATGGCGGACGTGTCGTGCCTGTCCGCCTCCGGCAAGGACGCCTGTTTATTTTCAAATTTACTGCTATTGGATGAGGATTTAGGTTTACATTCGTCACTATTAAATATTAAATTCATATTTTTATTTAACGCTAGGTTTATTCAGATTCAGATTTGATTATTCAGAACTCATAAATATCATTTGTCAGCAATTCATGGGGAATTTAATTCTCCATAATTTTATTATTTTTATTAAATTTTAGTGCTCCTAATGCTCGTGTTTTATTCTGAGTATTCATAAACCTATTGTTAATAGAATTAATAAAATGGGAGCCTCGTAGAGGGTTGTTTCAACCCCCAAATATAATAATTCGTATCTTACTTTAAATATTTCCTACATTTTTGCATTTCAAGTGCATTCTCTAGTATTTTGAGAATGAAAATTTAAATGTTATTCAATAAAGTTTCTAACGTTGTTGATATCAAAAGTGTCTCGTGAAAATAAATTTGCAAATTACGTTCTCACGTTAGCTAATTGTTTCTCCAGCCCAATCACGTGTCTGAACTCTTCAGCGGCTGTTTCGGGGTTGGCGTTAAGAAGCAAAGCGACGTTCGTCATGTAACGATGATACGCGTTCAATTCTGTCTCGCTGTTCCTCTTCAGATAGTAATCTCTGCTTGGCAACGCTAGCTGCATCTGATCCAGCTGCAAAAACACATTCGATTCGATAAACTCTTCGCTTTCCAGTCGACCGGTGGTGGCTTCGAAGAACTCTACTCCAACAAGACGTTCGAGACAGTGTTGTTAAAATATTTAAAATCTTTGAGGGAGGAGCACTGTGACATTTGAAAATAAAAGCAATTTTCAAGAATGTTTTATAAAACTGCTGTAAAAGTAATACACAAGCACTTCACTTGGGGGTTCCCCTACGGTCGACCAGTAGTTCAACATAAAGCAGCCATAATTGAACTGATTCTAGGCAACTCGAGTCTTATTTTAACCCTTCATCCCCTCCTTTTTGTTATATCTTTCCACAACACTGTTTTGAACGCCATTCGAACTGGTTGAAACTTTTCTTTGTAGAATTGAACTGATTCTAGGCAACTCGAGTGTTATTTTAACCCTTAATCCCCTCTTTTTCGGTTTACATTACAATTTTAATGCTATCCAGTCGTCGACCAAGGGGCCTTACTTTGCCGGCGCACCTGCAGGATGTTGGCTGAGGAGTTCTCGTCGTCTGGACCGACCCGCTGTTCCATCAACACCCCCTCGTTGTATTCCCCGCGCAGACGACCCAGAAGAACCTCGACCGGATAAAGGGGTGGCTTCCAAGTCGGACCAACCACCACTGGCCACCCGCCAAGGCGTTTCAAGGCACTCCTCAACGGGGCATCGCCGATTTCCCTGATTCGAGCTACGCAAAGCATTGGAAAATATTTATGGACGTAGAAAAATCAGTGAATTTATCATCTTTTGCGCTAACAAAAGGTGAGATGTTCTTCGTGTTCACTGTATTACTATTTCAACAAATAACTCTGAAATACTTCACAATTCTTTGAAAACATTTTACAAAAATTTCTTCGACTAACGGTGGTTGGACCATGATGCTCAATGTTTGAGATATCACAATTACAAAGCGAAGAAAACTTATTTAGTAGATTTTCGTTGTACCCACGGATGTCCATGCACGATTTGTAGAACATTTTCGCCTTCAGCGTGGCGTCGTTGTCGTCGTCGTTCGGTGGTTCTTCGAGGATTCGTCTGAGGATCACTTGCAACTGATCCGCCAGGACCTCGAACGTGCTGGTGGAGCTTTTGTCTTCCGGTATCACGTGCATTCTGTTCCATGCACCGCAGGCGTATTGAAAGAAATTCACGCACGGAGACGCGGTTTGGTCCATCGCTGACAACAGACTCGCCGCTGGAATCATTCAAACAAATTTTTATTAAATTAATAAAAACTACAAAGTCTGGTTTCCTCAACTAACTTTATTACGGACCATTTAATTTCACACGTGTCACACCAAATGAATACACTTAATTAATTTGAGCACAAAACTCATGTTTCTAAATTTACATTTGAACACGTGCAACTCCGGTTCAACTTAACCTTACACGACGATGATTCCCCGTATTTATATATGGCTGATCCCCACCAGGGGTACCAACTGCTGAACTTGCAACTAGTGATCTTTATTCCAACAGTTTCAATTCGTTCAGAATAGGAATAAGTTCCTTTTAACCCCTTGACGTACAATTTGTCATAATTTTTAAATAATTGACTAACTAAATAGACAAACTAAACATGTAAACTGGAAGTAACCTTGTATGAGTATAAAATTTGTTAACTTTTGAAACAATATGATGACTTTTGATGTTTCTAATGATCTCATATTAATAACAAATTATAAAATAAAGTATATTAAAAAATATTTTTGTGTAGTTTAAGAGTCCCTCTTCGTATCCCTAAAAGTCCAGTACAGCTTTTAATTCCCTAGAAAATAAAAAACTTAAAACGCTGTTACAGGGGAATTCCCCCTTAAACAATAGCAGTAATTGGCAACTGCAGTGAAAACGAACCGAAACCCAGATTAAACCCCTCGAATAAATAAATAATGGAAAATTGAAGCCCTCGGTTCCACGGTTCGTTTCCATTGACCGAGCAATTTAAACCACACAACGCTGGTCGACAAGCAATCCCACGGAGAATAGTTAATCCGATTTCGCGTACGTGCGCACGCCACGCATTTGTCATGAGATAAACGCAATTCCGGCCTACCACCAATCAGTTTTCGCTGATTGCGTTTCGCCTATCGCCGCGGCGCCTCGAATATCGGACGCTTCCAAGAAAATCAAATTCGAAAATACTCGTAATTACCTGTTCTGACGCATTCCTCCGTCATGCAAACCTTTGGACCTGAAAAAAAGGGAAGAAAATTATTGAAAATCGTGGAAAATGCAATTTTCATCGAAAGGTCTGCCAATCAATTTTTGAGACATCGAAAAGCGATTTTTTGTAACAACTGTAAAAACAAAGGCGTATCGAGGTTGGTTTTTATCTTCGTGGAAAAAGGGGCGTTCCCTGTGTGTTCTTTCAGTTGATACGAAATAAACTCGTATTTGCATTCCCCGAGGTTTAATACAGATAGCCCTCCTACAACACGGTATCCTATTAATTACCGTAAAATAATGACTATAGTGGCTTTACATAAAAAAATATAAACAAATTATAATTTAATTTGTATAAAGTAATTTGTTGAATTAAAATAAATTATAGTTTGTTTTTGTACACTGTTAGTCCACATAACCTAGTATTCTGATGGTAATAAAGAGTGATCAAGAGGAGTACAACATGAGATTAAAATGCGGTGAGAGTAGTATCATTGCATTGGCGAGATTCTCCCGATGAAAATGAGTACAAACACGTCACCATTCGCATAATTTTTAATTATACGTAATTGAGAATTTTTCAAAAATAGTTTAGGCAAGTCAAAATGTGGTGAGAATATTATCAACGTATTGGCGAGATTTTCCCGATGAAAATGAGTACAAACACGACACCATTCGGACAACATTTAATTTTGATTGACTCAAATTATTTTTGAAAAATTCTCAATTACGTATAATCAAAAATTGTCCGAATGGTATCGTGTTTGTACTCGTTTTCATCAGGAGAATCTCACCAATACATTTATAATACTTTCGTCATATTTTGACTTACTCAAACTATTTTTTAAAAATTCTCAATTGCGTATAATTAAAAATTGTCCAAATACTGTCGAGTTTGTACTCGTTTTCATCGGGAGAATCTCACCAATACATTTACAATACTCTCACCAAATTTTGACTTGCTCAAAACTATTTCTGAAAAATTCTCAATTGCGTATAATTAAGAATTGTCTGAAAGGTGTCGTGTTTGTACTCGTTTTCATCAGGAGAATCTCACCAATACATTTATAATACTGTCGCCATATTTTGACTTACTCAAACTATTTTTGAAAAATTCTCAATTGCGTATAATTAAAAATTGTCCAAGTGGTGTCATGTTTGTACTCGTTTTCATCGGGAGAATCTCACCAATAAATTTATAATACTCTCGCCATATTTTAATTTGCTCAAACTATTTTTGAAAAATTCTAAATTACGTATAATATAAATTAACGTAGTCGTAAAGTTCGATATCAAAAGTTACGGTATCGCGAGCACACGTTTCTCTTTTCCTTGGCTTTTATGGATACGTTGGTAAAGTGATTAATTCCTGTTGATACGAGGTGACATGACACAGCCTTTTGGAGCGAAACTCGATAGCCTCGATTCGATTCACGACCATCGCGATATTCGACGTTGAAAGCCATCCATTTCAGTTTCGTTCGTAACTTTTGTTACCCCCATCGATATTGGAGAACAAATATCGAGCCGAAAAATTTTAGCACCTACTCGAATTTTTTCCTGAAAAATGTGTAGGAATTAAGGGGTATGTCTAACGACCAAAAATGACTATAATTGACCCCTCTAACCGAAAATAATTTTTCCAGAACGATTTGAAACTTTTCAATTTCAACGAAAAATTGGTCTACTTTCTTGAATTTTTTTCTCGCAAATGCGTAGGAATTCGAAGATATGCATAATGACAAAAAATGATGGTAAATGACCCCCCTAGCTAACAATAATTTTTTCAGAACGATTTGAAATTTTCTTTTTTCCGTCGAAAAATTTGTCAACTTCATGAATTTTTTTTTCAAAAATGCGTAGGATTTCGAAGGTATGTCTATTCACCAAAAATGATTGTAATTGACCCCTGCAACTAAAAATAATTTCATTTAAAAATAAGTGAAAGATTCTTAAAATTTCAATAAGAATATATATAAAATTGAAAACTTTAGGGTGGTTTTATAGTTATGAGACTAGTTTGCTGGTTGATTGAACCGGAATCGTCCGACGCAACCGGCGCCATTTAGAACTAATTGAACTTACAGGGCTCTTGCACGTACTCGCGGCTCGTGTTTAACGCCAACAGCAGAAGAATGAAAAGACAAGTGGCGAGCAGAGCGACAGCTAGCACAACCAGCAATTGCTGTCTGTTGGTCGATCCACCCCGTCTACGAGTGATTGACGTGGCCCGTGTTATTCCACCGATCGGCCTATTTCCAGGATGATGAAGAACCGTCGTTGTTGCGTTCCCGCAAGGACCGTAGGTCACCTGAAACCAGGACATGTTTTCTCTCAAGAAAGAATTTTAACATACACGTTTCAGTGATATTTATGATAAGAAACAATTTTCATAGAGTCGTTTAAGTGAAAAAGAGGTCTTCTAGTGGGGGAACTCGATTTTTTAGGGAATCGTGTCCTTGAGGAATTTTTTGTGAAAAAAGTATGAGACCTTTTGCAATCAAATTTAGGGGGTTTATTTATAGATATTGAAGGGATATTTTAGAATTTTTTGGGCGAGAAAGAGTTAAAATTGATGGCACTGCATATTCTCAAACATAGTCAAACATAGTCGATTTTAGATTTTTTTGAGGAATTTTTTGTGAAAAAAGTATGAGACCTTTTGCAATCAAATTTAAGGGGTTTATTTATAGATATTGCAGGAATATTTTAGAATTTTTTGGGCGAGAAAGAGTTATAATTGATGGCACTGCATAATCTCAAACATAGTCAAACATAGTCGATTTTAGACTTTCTTGAGGAATTTTTTGTGAAAAAAGTATGAGACCATTTGCAATCAAATTTGCAGAGTTTATTTATAGATATTGAAGGAATATTTTAGAATTTTTTGGGCGGGAAAGAGTTAAAATTGGTGACACTACGTATTTTCAAAAACAGTCAAACATAGTCGATTTTAAAGTTAGACTTTCTTGGGGAATTTTTTGTGAATAAACTATTCGATCTTTTGCAGTCAAATTTACGAGGTTTATTTAGACATATATCAGAAATATTTTAAAATTTTTTTGGCGAGAAAGAGTTAAAATTGATGGCACTACCTAGTCTCAAACAAAGTCACTTTTAAAATGCACTAGTATAAAATGCATTATTCCAGACTTTCTTGAGGAATTTTTTGTGAGCAAACTATAAATCCTTTTGCAATCAAATTTACAGGGTCCATTTGTATATATTTCAGTGATATTTCAAAATTTTTTTGGCGAGAAAGAGTGAAAATTGATGGCACTGCCTAATCTCAAACAAAGTCACTTTTAAAATGCACTAGTATAAAATGCATCATTACAGACTTTCTTGAGGAATTTTTTGTGAATAAACTATAGGCGCTTTTGCAGTCAAATTTACAGGGTTTTTTTATAGATATTGAAGGGATATTTCAAAATATTTAGAGCGAGAAAAAGTTAAAATTGGTGACGCTGCATAATCTCAAACATAGTCAAACAAAGTCTCTTTTAAAATCCACTAGTATGAAGTGCATTATTACAGACTTTCTTGAGGAATTTTTTGTGAATAAACTATAGGAGCTTTTACAATCAAATTTACAGAGTATATTTATACATATCTTAGTTATGTTTCAAATTTTTTTTGGCGAGAAAGAGTGAAAATTGATGGCACTGCCTAATCTCAAACAAAGTCACTTTTACAATGCACTAGTATAAAATGCATTATTACAGACTTTCTTGAGGAATTTTTTGTGAATAAACTATGAGACTTTTTGCAATCAAATTTACAGGGTTTATTTATACATATCTCAACGATGATTCAGATTTTTTTTGGCGAGAAAGAGTTGAAATTGGTGGCACTGCCTAATCTCAAACAAAGTCACTTTTAAAATGCACTAGTATAAAATGCATCATTACAGACTTTCTTGAGGAATTTTTTGTGAATAAACTATAGGCGCTTTTGCAGTCAAATTTACAGGGTTTTTTTATAGATATTGAAGGGATATTTCAAAATATTTAGAGCGAGAAAAAGTTAAAATTGGTGACGCTGCATAATCTCAAACATAGTCAAACAAAGTCTCTTTTAAAATCCACTAGTATGAAGTGCATTATTACAGACTTTCTTGAGGAATTTTTTGTGAATAAACTATAGGAGCTTTTACAATCAAATTTACAGAGTATATTTATACATATCTTAGTTATGTTTCAAATTTTTTTTGGCGAGAAAGAGTGAAAATTGATGGCACTGCCTAATCTCAAACAAAGTCACTTTTACAATGCACTAGTATAAAATGCATTATTACAGACTTTCTTGAGGAATTTTTTGTGAATAAACTATGAGACTTTTTGCAATCAAATTTACAGGGTTTATTTATACATATCTCAACGATGATTCAGATTTTTTTTGGCGAGAAAGAGTTGAAATTGGTGGCACTGCCTAATCTCAAACAAAGTCACTTTTAAAATGCACTACTATAAAATGCATTATTACAGACTTTCTTGAGGAATTTTTTGTGAATAAACTATAGGAGCTTTTGCAGTCAAATTTACAGGGTTTTTTTATAGATATTGAAGGGATATTTCAAAATATTTAGAGCGAGAAAAAGTTAAAATTGGTGACGCTGCATAATCTCAAACATAGTCAAACAAAGTCTCTTTTAAAATCCACTAGTATGAAGTGCATTATTACAGACTTTCTTGAGGAATTTTTTGTGAATAAACTATAGGAGCTTTTACAATCAAATTTACAGAGTATATTTATACATATCTTAGTTATGTTTCAAATTTTTTTTGGCGAGAAAGAGTGAAAATTGATGGCACTGCCTAATCTCAAACAAAGTCACTTTTACAATGCACTAGTATAAAATGCATTATTACAGACTTTCTTGAGGAATTTTTTGTGAATAAACTATGAGACTTTTTGCAATCAAATTTACAGGGTTTATTTATACATATCTCAACGATGATTCAGATTTTTTTTGGCGAGAAAGAGTTGAAATTGGTGGCACTGCCTAATCTCAAACAAAGTCACTTTTAAAATGCACTACTATAAAATGCATTATTACAGACTTTCTTGAGGAATTTTTTGTGAATAAACTATAGGAGCTTTTGCAGTCAAATTTACAGGGTTTTTTTATAGATATTGAAGGGATATTTCAAAATATTTAGAGCGAGAAAAAGTTAAAATTGGTGACGCTGCATAATCTCAAACATAGTCAAACAAAGTCTCTTTTAAAATCCACTAGTATGAAGTGCATTGTTCCAGACTTTCTTGAGGAATTTTTTGTGAATAAACTATGAGACCTTCTGCAATCAAATTTACAGAGTATATTTATACATATCTCAGTGATATTTCAAAATTTTTGGAGCAAGAAAGATTTAAAATTGGTGGCCCTGCATAATCTCAAACTTAGTCAAACATTATCAAACATAGTCGGTTTTAAAAAAGATCGTCTCACATTTTTCCATAATTCCAGGCATTCTATTAGTTTGAAATGAAAAAACGTGAAAGATTCTTAATCAGTATGAGTTTGACCATACCTGATAGCAAAATAAAATACATTCTCAAATTATTTAATAACCCTGGAGATGTGTAATTTAATAAATTTATTCACCACTTGTTTTAAACATCAGATGGTGATAAAATAGGTGTACTCAATGGACTCAGTCACGTTGTACGAGCCAAGTCACACCAGGAAACTTGTTGTAAATACAATGTTATGAAATATTCAAACTTTTTTTATTCCACATCTTTTTATTATGAAATTATCTGAAAGATGGGAGCAGGTCATAAGTAGACTGAAGATGTTTATGCATTTATGCAAAATTTTAATTCTCAAAAAAGTACAGAATGCACTTAATATGCAGAAATATAAAAAATAGTTAAAGACACGAATTATCATATTTAGAAACAACGCTAGCTATTGAACTTCCATTTCGTTAATTCTATTAATAAAAATTAATTAATTTGTACAAAAATCTGCAGTCTAGCTTGAAGTTATAAATTAACGAAAAAAAGAAATTTATTAATTTATTACCGATTATTTAAACGAATTTTTTGGCCATTCTGACGTATTTAAAAGAAACTTTCCTTGTAAAATTTTTCAAAAGATGTACAATTTTTATTACAAATTAGATCATTGCAAATTTTCGAATTATGACCTGATTTATTGCACGATGAAAACAATTTTGACTAGTTAAATACAGAGGGCTGTGGAAAAATAGTAAATAGAATCTAAATATTTTTATCTTCTCATGTGTGTAGTTATATATATAGAAATAAATATTTCATTGAAATTTAGAAAAATAATATTGCATCGAATAGGAATATTTCACTGAATAGTATTCAATAGAATAATGGTACTGCAACTAATAGCATTGCAAATGAGAGGTTTTTGTCATTAAACTTTTTATACTAACGTGTACTTTTGTCCATAACATAAGACGTCTGCATTTAGAAATATTTCTAAGAAACATCTATTCGAATAGAAAATATGTTTAGTTTAAAAATTTGCACGTTTTATTTCCTGTTCACCATTTTGTATATCTGAATTTAAATGCAAGTAGTAAATAGTATTTTATTGGTGATTTAAAATTTTAATGAAACAGTATTTCCAAATTTCATTTAATAAGTATTAAATTAAATTTCATTTGAGTAGTAAATAATTATTTAATAATGAAACTAAGTACTTTAAAAGTATTTAATTTAATGAAATAGTACTTCCAAATAGTATTTCATTTAAGTATTCAATAGTATTTTTTTTTTAATTTGAAAAAAGAAATTAAATTTCATTTGAGTATTAAATGATTACTTAATTCTTTAATTATTTAATACTCAAACGAAGTACTTTGAATGTATTTAATTTAATGAAACAGTAATTCCAAATAGTATTTCATTTAAGTATTAAATAGTATTTTCTCTTGATTCAAACCTTGTATGAAACAGTATTTCCAAATTTCATTTAAGTACTAAATAATTACTTAATTCATAAATTATATAATACATACACATAGTACTTTAAAAGTATCTAATATAATGTAATAGTATTTCATTTAAGTATTAAATACTTACTTGATTTTCTAATTATTTAATACTATAATTTAATACTCAAACCAAGTACTTCAAAAGTATTTAACTATTTAACTATTAAATTAAATAGTAATTCCTTATGCAAACTATTCCAATCTTTATTATTTATTAAAAAATCATTTAAAATTGTCTCTAGACCCAAGTAGACACTATTCTTTTACCTGAAGAGGACTAGTGGCTGGTGACTCTTGCCCATCACCAGGTACTTCATTCTGCTCGATGATCACAGTCGCCCTGAGGTATCCGTTGTTGCTATCAGACTTCATCCTAGATCCTCCTCGAATCGATCACTGTCCCCGTCTCTGACCAACAAACCTCTGAATCTCGATCCAAGAACTATGTCAACGACCGTTGCAGCTTTGACATCGCGTCTGCCCCCTCGATCGAGCAGGATCGATCGATCGTCACCGAAAACGTAGTCACACTCGCGAGTGGTCAGTCATAGATCATCGAACACCGTCACCCACAACGATCTTCTATTCTCGAGCACTTCTCGATCGATCTCAGAGACTTTGGCCTTTTTGGTGGACTCGATCGATGGATTTCGATCGAATCGTAAATATTTGCGTCTGTTTCGCGACGATCAGGTAGCTGTTGGGGCTCCGAAAGGATCTGTGACCGCCGTGCAACTGACGACTACCACGGACACCTCGCACCTCCTACGGTGTCCCTTCCCCCACCGCGTCTGTTTCCCTCAACCTGAGGCAACCCTCGATTTTGTTTACAACGGGAGTCACACCAACAGGGTGGGGATTCCCAGCGTAGCATCGTCTCTGTTGTCGCAGCCTCTGATACAAAAAAGTCGATGGTCTTTGTTACGAATTTAGGATCGTCATGTTTTCAAGGTTTTGTTTTAACTATTAACAAAATTTAAGGTCGAAGTTAGTCGAATTTTTAACACTCGAGGGATGGTTGACACGAATTATGTTCTTTGTGATATTGTGACATTTTGGCATTTTTGGTGACATTGTGATATTTTGACATTTTTTGTGACATTAAGACAATTTTGTGAAATTGCGACATTTTGACATTTTTGGGGACATCGAGACAATTTTGTGATATTGCGACATTTTGACATTTTTGGGGACATCGAGACAATTTTGTGATATTGCGACATTTTGACATTTTTTGTGACATTGAGACAATTTTGTCATATTGCGACATTTGTTACTCCGTCACATTTTGACATTGCAATATTTTCACATTTTTTTGTGATATTGCCACATTTTGACATTTTTTGTGACATCGAGACAATTTTGTGATATTGCGACATTTTGACATTTTTGTGACATCGAGACAATTTTGTGATATTGCGACATTTTGACATTTTTTGTAACATTGAGCCAATTTTGTGATATTGCGACATTTTTACATTTTTTGTGACATTGAGACAATTTATTAATATTGCAACATTTGTTACTTCGTCACATTGTGACATCTTTTGTGACATTGCATCATTTTTCTGAGATTGTGACATTTGTGACATCGTGACATTTTTGTGACATTGCATCATTTTTCTGAGATTGGGACATATGTGACATCGTGACATCGTAACATTGTGACATTGTGATTTCGTGGGACGGTTTCACGTATTTGTTACGAATTTAGGATAGTGAAATTTTTAAGGTTTTCTTTTTTAACACCAGAACAACCAAAACAGTAGAGGGAGGATTGACACGAATTCTTTGTGACATTTATTGTGACATTGTGACCTCGTGACATCGTGACATTTATTGTGACTTGTGACTTTGTGACATCGTGACATTTTTGTGATATTGTGATATGGCATCATGACATTTATTGTGACATTGTGACTTTGTGATATCGTGACATATTTGTGACATTGTGACTTTGTGACATCGTGACATTTCTGTAACATTGTGACCTCGTGGCATCGTGACATTTATTGTGGTTTGTGACTTTGTGACATCGTGACATTTTTGTGATATTGTGATATGGCATCATGACATTTATTGTGACATTGTGACTTTGTGATATCGTGACATATTTGTGACATTTTGACTTTGTGACATCGTGACATTTCTGTAACATTGTGACCTCGTGGCATCGTGACATTTATTGTGGTTTGTGACTTTGTGAAATCGTGACATTTTTGTGTTATTGTGATATGACATCATGACATTTATTGACATTGTGACTTTGTGATATCGTGGCATATTTGTGACATTGTGACCTCGTGGCATCATGACATTTATTGTGGTTTGTGACTTTGTGACATCGTGACATTTTTGTGATATTGTGATATGGCATCATGACATTTATTGTGACATTGTGATATCGTGACATATTTGTGACATTTTGACTTTGTGACATCGTGACATTTCTGTAAAATTGTGACCTCGTGGCATCGTGACATTTATTGTGGTTTGTGACTTTGTGAAATCGTGACATTTTTGTGTTATTGTGATATGACATCATGACATTTATTGACATTGTGACTTTGTGATATCGTGGCATATTTGTGACATTGTGACCTCGTGGCATCATGACATTTATTGTGGTTTGTGACTTTGTGAAATCGTGACATTTTTGTGATATTGTGATATGGCATCATGACATTTATTGTGACATTGTGACTTTGTGATATCGTGACATATTTGTGACATTGTGACTTTGTGACATCGTGACATTTCTGTAACATTGTGACCTCGTGGCATCGTGACATTTATTGTGGTTTGTGACTTTGTGAAATCGTGACATTTTTGTGTTATTGTGATATGACATCATGACATTTATTGACATTGTGACTTTGTGATATCGTGGCATATTTGTGACATTGTGACTTTGTGACATCGTGACATTTCTGTAACATTGTGACCTCGTGGCATCGTGACATTTATTGTGGTTTGTGACTTTGTGAAATCGTGACATTTTTGTGTTATTGTGATATGACATCATGACATTTATTGACATTGTGACTTTGTGATATCGTGGCATATTTGTGACATTGTGACTTTGTGACATCGTGACATTTCTGTAACATTATGACCTCGTGGCATCGTGACATTTATTGTGGTTTGTGACTTTGTGAAATCGTGACATTTTTGTGTTATTGTGATATGACATCATGGCATTTATTGTGACATTGTGACTTTGTGATATCGTGGCATATTTGTGACATTGTGACTTTGTGACATCGTGACATTTTTGTGACATTGTAACATTGTAACTTCGTAGGACAAATTCACGTTTTCTATTTTTATTGATATTACCCTCCGTCAGTTTTTCATTTTTATTTTTTTTTATAATGCAGCAAACAGTAAAAATTTAACATGAAACGTAAATCAACGAAACTCGTTCTGGAAAGTCAGAATAATGAAACGTAAATTTCCACAAACCATTCATATTTTTTAATACTATTTTTTGAAAAATTTATTCTACTGAATTTTTAAAAATTTACCGTAATTTTCTAGAAGAAAATTCTATTGTTTTGAAATCGTCTAAAGTGTAATATTCCAACACTTTTGTGACGTTTGAAAATGAATGTAATTTCACTTATAGATTTTTGAAATTCTTATGTGACTTTATTCACAATTTTATTTTGAAAATTTAAGTGTGTGTATTTTATTTGTCAACGATGTTACTGTATATTGAAATCTATAAATTAAATGTTTTGTAAATAATGAATTAGAACATTTAATCAATAAATTAAATGCTTTGTAAATGATAAATTAAAACATTTAATCTGTAAATTAAATGTTTTGTAAATGATAAATTAGAAGATTTAATCAATAAATTAAATGTTTTGTAAATGATAAATTAAAATTTATTCTATAATAATAAATCTAAATTTAATCTATAAATGAAATGTTTTGTAAATAATAAATTAGAACATTTAATCAATAAATTAAATGTTTTGTAAATAACGAGCATTAAAAAAAAGCTCGTTTATTTTTCTTTTAAAGTTATTGAAAAAATTCGAATAAAATGGAGGACCTCTCTACGCTAAAGTGGCTATTAAATATTATATCGCATTAAAACCATAAAAATACTTTTTTACTGTTCACAGGGTGGATAATAAAATTGTAGTAGCCACGATCGAAGCTGGGTGAAATTTACGGGGAAAGTTTATTAAGCGACAAACTTTTAAAAATTCAAATAATTTAAGAAGCCGTTAATTCGAAAATAAATTATGAAAGAGATTACGCGAATAAAATACTATTTGCAAATTTATTTACTTCCCCCCTAAACCTACTTTATTTTATGCTTCGAGTAAAAAAAAAAACAAAATAATCTTGGAAGAAAATATTATTTTGAAGTATTTTTCCATTAAATACACTATTTTATTTTAGAGAGTGCATCACAGAGTGAATAATAAAATTATGGTAATCACGATAGAAGCTGGGTAAAATTTACAGAAAGAGTATTTTAAATAAACATTTTAAGGGGTTGTTTATTTCAAAATAAATTGTGAAAAAAATCTCCTCGTGTAAAAGACATTTTAATGATATTTTAAATTAACATTTTGAGGGGTAGTTAATTCTAAAATAAATTGTAAAAGAGATCACCTCATGTAAAAGATATTTTAATGATATTTTAAATTAACATTTTGAGGGGTTGTTAATTCCAAAATAAATTATGAAAGAGATCACCTCTTGTAAAAGAGGTGAAAAAAAAATTTATTTTCTTTTCCAATAACCCTGGAATAAAATAAAATATAAAACATAAAATAAAAATTGTAAAAGAGGTGAAAAAAAAAAATAAAAATACTTTTTCCCCAGTAACGTTAGAATAAAATAAAATTTGTAAAAGTGGTAAAAGAAAAGTAAAAATATTTTCTTTACCAGTAACCTTGGAATAAAATAAAATATAAAATAAAATAAAAATTGTAAAAGAGGTGAAAAAAAAATTGAAATATTTTCTTTTCCAGTAATCTTAGAATAAAATAAAATATAAAATAAAATAAAAATTGTAAAAGAGGTGAAAAAAAAAATAAAGCTTAGAATAAAACACTATTTTGAAGTGTTTTTCTATGAAATAAATTATTTTCTTTTGGAGAATGCATTTATGGTCCAAAATAAAATATTTATTTGCCACTTACTAATTAAAATGGCGCTTCGCCCAGCTCTGGCCACGATATTTTTCAAATTTACACAGTCGTTTACCTGGGGTGGCACGGTTCGATGATCAGAAGGTTGGGTACATCGACATCGTCGTTTACTTGCTCCACAAATTCACCCTCCTCGACGTTCCAACCCCCTTCACGCGTCATCGTCGGAGACATATTCCCCTTTTCAAGTGTCCCCGGATCCTAAAACAAACGATATCTGTTATCCAAGAAAATATACTCGGAAAAAACAACAAACCCTAATCAAATTTAATCAAACTTAATATCAACCCCCTTATTTGTACCTGAGTTGGACAAAATTTTAGTCGATAAAAATCAAGACTAATATTTTATTTGGTTAGATGAATATTCAAATAAGAATTTACCTGATTTGTTCCAAAAATTCTAATCAACTTTAATCAAACTTAATATCAACCCCCGTATCTGTAGCAAAGTTGGCCAAAATTTGAGTCGATAAAAATCAGAAATAACATTCTAGTTTCTTAGATGAATATTATCATAAAAATTTATCTGATTTATTCAAAAAATTCTAATCAATTTTAATTAAATTTAAGATCAACCCCCTTATTTGTAGCAAAATTCGCTAAAATTTTATTTGATAAAAAGCAGAAATAATATTTCATTTGCTTGGATAAATATTCAAATAAGAATTTATCTGATTTGTTCCAAAAATCCTAATCAACTTTAATCAAACTTAATATCAACTCCCTCATCTGTAGCAAAGTTGGCCAAAATTTGAGTCGATAAAAATCAGAAATAACATTCTAGTTTCTTAGATGAATATTCTCATAAAAATTTATCTGATTTTTTCAAAAAATTCTAATCAATTTTAATTAAATTTAAGATCAACCCCCCTATTTGTAGCAAAATTCGCTAAAATTTTATTTGATAAAAATCAGAAATAATATTTCATTTGCTTGGATGAATATTCAAATAAGAATTTATCTGATTTGTTCCAAAAATTCTAATCAACTTTAATCAAACATAATATCAACCCCCGTATCTGTAGCAAAGTTGGCCAAAATTTGAGTCGATAAAAATCAGAAATAACATTCTAGTTTCTTAGATGAATATTCTCATAAAAATTTATCTGATTTTTTCAAAAAATTCTAATCAATTTTAATTAAATTTAAGATCAACCCCCTTATTTGTAGCAAAATTCGCTAAAATTTTATTTGATAAAAATCAGAAATAATATTTCATTTGCTTGGATGAATATTCAAATAAGAATTTATCTGATTTGTTCCAAAAATTCTAATCAACTTTAATCAAACTTAATATCAACCCCCGTATCTGTAGCATAGTTGGCCAAAATTTGAGTCGATAAAAATCAGAAATAACATTCTAGTTTCTTAGATGAATATTCTCATAAAAATTTATCTGATTCTTTCAAAAAATTCTAATCAATTTTAATTAAATTTAAGATCAACCCCCCTATTTGTAGCAAAATTCGCTAAAATTTTATTTGATAAAAATCAGAAATAATATTTCATTTGCTTGGATGAATATTCAAATAAGAATTTATCTGATTTGTTCCAAAAATTCTAATCAACTTTAATCAAACATAATATCAACCCCCGTATCTGTAGCAAAGTTGGCCAAAATTTGAGTCGATAAAAATCAGAAATAACATTCTAGTTTCTTAGATGAATATTCTCATAAAAATTTATCTGATTTTTTCAAAAAATTCTAATCAATTTTAATTAAATTTAAGATCAACCCCCTTATTTGTAGCAAAATTCGCTAAAATTTTATTTGATAAAAATCAGAAATAATATTTCATTTGCTTGGATGAATATTCAAATAAGAATTTATCTGATTTGTTCCAAAAATTCTAATCAACTTTAATCAAACTTAATATCAACCCCCGTATCTGTAGCATAGTTGGCCAAAATTTGAGTCGATAAAAATCAGAAATAACATTCTAGTTTCTTAGATGAATATTCTCATAAAAATTTATCTGATTCTTTCAAAAAATTCTAATCAATTTTAATTAAATTTAAGATCAACCCCCCTATTTGTAGCAAAATTCGCTAAAATTTTATTTGATAAAAATCAGAAATAATATTTCATTTGCTTGGATGAATATTCAAATAAGAATTTATCTGATTTGTTCCAAAAATTCTAATCAACTTTAATCAAACTTAATATCAACCCCCGTATCTGTAGCAAAGTTGGCCAAAATTTGATTCGATAAAAATCAGAAATAACATTCTAGTTTCTTAGATGAATATTCTCATAAAAATTTATCTGATTTTTTCAAAAAATTCTAATCAATTTTAATTAAATTTAAGATCAACCCCCTTATTTGTAGCAAATTTCGCTAAAATTTTATTTGATAAAAATCAGAAATAATATTTCATTTGCTTGGATAAATATTCAAATAAGAATTTATCTGATTTGTTCCAAAAATCCTAATCAACTTTAATCAAACTTAATATCAACCCCCGTATCTGTAGCAAAGTTGGCCAAAATTTGAGTCGATAAAAATCAGAAATAACATTCTAGTTTCTTAGATGAATATTATCATAAAAATTTATCTGATTTATTCAAAAAATTCTAATCAATTTTAATTAAATTTAAGATCAACCCCCTTATTTGTAGCAAATTTCGCTAAAATTTTATTTGATAAAAATCAGAAATAATATTTCATTTGCTTGGATAAATATTCAAATAAGAATTTATCTGATTTGTTCCAAAAATCCTAATCAACTTTAATCAAACTTAATATCAACCCCCTCATCTGTAGCAAAATTGGCCAAAATTTGATTCGATAAAAATCAGAAATAACATTCTAGTTTCTTAGATGAATATTATCATAAAAATTTATCTGATTTATTCAAAAAATTCTAATCAATTTTAATTAAATTTAAGATCAACCCCCCTATTTGTAGCAAAATTCGCTAAAATTTTATTTGATAAAAATCAGAAATAATATTTCATTTGCTTGGATGAATATTCAAATAAGAATTTATCTGATTTGTTCCAAAAATTCTAATCAACTTTAATCAAACTTAATATCAACCCCCGTATCTGTAGCAAAGTTGGCCAAAATTTGAGTCGATAAAAATCAGAAATAACATTCTAGTTTCTTAGATGAATATTCTCATAAAAATTTTACTGATTTTTTCCAAAAATTCTAATCAATTTTAATTAAATTTAAGATCAACCCCCCTATTTGTAGCAAAATTCGCTAAAATTTTATTTGATAAAAATCAGAAATAATATTTCATTTGCTTGGATGAATATTCAAATAAGAATTTATCTGATTTGTTCCAAAAATTCTAATCAACTTTAATCAAACTTAATATCAACCCCCGTATCTGTAGCAAAGTTGGCCAAAATTTGATTCGATAAAAATCAGAAATAACATTCTAGTTTCTTAGATGAATATTCTCATAAAAATTTTACTGATTTTTTCCAAAAATTCTAATCAATTTTAATTAAATTTAAGATCAACCCCCTTATTTGTAGCAAATTTCGCTAAAATTTTATTTGATAAAAATCAGAAATAATATTTCATTTGCTTGGATGAATATTCAAATAAGAATTTATCTGATTTGTTCCAAAAATTCTAATCAACTTTAATCAAACTTAATATCAACCCCCGTATCTGTAGCAAAGTTGGCCAAAATTTGAGTCGATAAAAATCAGAAATAACATTCTAGTTTCTTAGATGAATATTATCATAAAAATTTATCTGATTTATTCAAAAAATTCTAATCAATTTTAATTAAATTTAAGATCAACCCCCTTATTTGTAGCAAATTTCGCTAAAATTTTATTTGATAAAAATCAGAAATAATATTTCATTTGCTTGGATAAATATTCAAATAAGAATTTATCTGATTTGTTCCAAAAATTCTAATCAACTTTAATCAAACATAATATCAACCCCCCAAAATTTTATTTGATAAAATTCAGAAATAACATTCTATTTTTTACTATATATTTTACTATTTTTATCTGGTTTTTTTTTTCAAAAAATCCTAATCAATTTTAATCAACCTTAATATCAACCCCCTTAATTTTAGCAAAATTAGCCAAAATTCTATTGAATAAAAATCAGAAATAACATTCTATTTTCTTAGATGAATACCTCACAAGAATATATCAGCTTTGTTCGAATAACAGCTGCCTATAAACTACAGACAATACTGAACGTGAAACATTTATTCAAACTCTACTGTATTGGCTTTTACAATCGACTTTTGTTGGAACGTCGAATCAGAAAGTTTTCATTCGCAATTATTCACGCTTTAGAAACTACTTCAACAATTGGAATCTGTATGGAAACAGTAAACAACTGAGAAGTTAAATTGCAATTAAAAATAATGAATGCAAAAATTAGTCGAGTGTATTGAGAACTGATTTATTGGGGATAATAATTAATTGCAAAATGATTTTATACGGATAATTACTTATATACTAATTTGATTATGATTTTGATAATTCTGATTGAGACTTTAATAATTTTGTTATTATTCGTTGGTCCGTATTATTTGTCCAGCGATTTACAGTCGATGGAAAGTTAAAAATATTTTGTTCGAGGTTTTGATATTGATCGATGTCTCTAGCTTTTCTATTAATATCTTCATCTTATATCAATTCCTGTAACACTTTATACAGTGATTTTAATTACTTGCGTTTGGCTCTGTTTATTTTCTTTTATTTTTCGATCTAAATTCAATCGTTGAAACTACTTTGAAAATCGTAAAACTTTTGTTTCTACTAAATAAGAATAATTATAATGGGTACACGAATAATGATAGAAATAAAGAATATTCAAACAAAATGATACAAAAATCTGATTAAAAACCCTCTATAAAAAAAAAAAAAACAAAATATTCAAATTTGAGTTAAAATGGACTCAAAATTTTGTTCAAAAAAAGAAAATTTTTATTTGCTTCCATAAATAAATATCTACCCGAATAAGTAGAGAATGATTTGTTTCAAATAAATAATTCAATATTCTACCGAAACGAAGTTAAATATTTACTAGAATAATCCCCAAATCTGCTAAAAAAAAAAGAAGAGAAAAAAGCCCGAAAATTTAGCATCGAGACTCTGCGTTCATTTATAAAAATTCGTATTCAAAAAACAGAATTCGATTATTTCAAATTCTGGTAGAAAGTGGCGCGAAAAAAACCATCCCCATTTCACGATATCCACGCTTCCAGCGCCATCTGATATTTAAACAAACAACTACGTTCGTAATTGGTAAAAATAAACGCACAATGTACGCAAGAATAACGAAATACTATCGTTCACTACGAACAACAATTATTTAACACTGAGAGTCAAACTACATCGATGAAAAATTCTCAAAATTTTTTAGTGTTTTTTAGATACATTGTTTACCAAAAAAATGGTAGAATTACGAGAAACACAGGAATCGCGACGAATTTCGAACGATTTTCGATTTTTTAATTAAACGATGGCGAACTGTTCGTAAATGAAATGTTTGATTTTCCAGTGGACGTGGAAAACCGAGAGAAACACCAACATGGACGACGGTCAATGCCAGACTGACTGAATTTCGGCGCGACTGCGCCCCACGCTCCCAATTTGAACCAATAGCAAGCTCACTTTTTTATTCTAAAACATGAAACAATTGTGTGACTATTTGTCTATTAAAAAATATTGAACTATACGTTTAAAAAATTTGCAACTCTTTTTTTTTTAAATATCGAACAGGTGTGACATAACCTCGATCGAAACGCGCGTTGCATTCGTAATTGAGCGCAAAAGGCGACGTTAAAATTCGAGACACGACTTCTGCACATGTGTCCGATACGGATGACACAACAATGATAATTCTCAACTTCGCAATTATCGATATTAGTATTCAGAGGGCGGATCTGCTGTCAAACATGCGATTGAAATTATTTTCGTCGCAAAAAAAATCGCTGAAACAAACAAGGAGTTACTTATCAAGCAGTTAATACGTTGTTTAATCAAGTTTCTTACATTTAAATTAATTATAACGATTATTATATTGATATTCATCGATATTTCATATAAATACTACTAATCTCATGCGTACGTTATTTGTTGACATTCAAATTTTCCCGCGCGGGGGAATATTGCCGCCAGGAAACTCGTCCACTTCCGTCATGATTCGTATTACTACATTCAAACAAATTTTAAAGGCTATATATTAATATTCTTCGGGTATTTCATATAAATAATATTTGTACCATAATTCCAATTACTATGATATTAAATACCACTAATATCATGCGTATGTTATTTGTTGGCATTCAAATTTTCCCGCGCGAGGGAATATTGCCGCTAGGAAACTCCCGTCCACTTCCGTAACGATTCATACTACGCAACTTAAAATATTCCCTTAACAGTCAACTAAAACCATCATATGACTCTTTAACCTCAAATATGCTGTAAAAATATATGAAACAGTAATTTCCTCGAAACGAATAAAGAAGGCTGCACTTATCGATCGATTTCTACGTTTGAGAGGTTATACCAAGTTATGAGCCCAAAATGCGACCATTTTTTATTTACATCCTGGAATCAACATTCCTTCAATACGTACTTGATCAGAGGCGTGCAAAGTTCTGCTTAATATTGCTTCGACGCGTTCGAATCTTCCCGCACAGAAACGCTCCTAGAAATCTCGATTCACTTTTATCAAAATCCCTATTGCTTGAAATATCCCTTTACGGTCGAACGGAACACACTCGGGCTCACTTTGATCACAGTTCGGTAGAAAAATCGTGCATCGATACGACGGATTGAAAATCAATAATAATGGTATTCGCGGGAACCGAAGAGACGCTGCACTTTTCGATCGATTACTGCGCCGGGGAGGTGTCGCCACCTGGGCGGCGAGCGTTCGAGTCGCGTCGGTGAACAGTCCGTGGCAGTAGCATAATAGTACACTGTCGTACGGCTGTGTTTTTTTGTTTGTATCCTCGGTTCCTGTCGCGTGAAACTCTCGAGGAAAAGGACCGGAGGGGAACGTTGTGCGCAAAATGCGACGGGCAACGCGTGTCCGAATGGCCGCGATCGTTGATCGTCGACGGAATTGCACCGAGAAGCAACGCGTGTTTTAGGTTAAACGAGCCTCCCCGTCGTCGGGTGCACAACAATGCGCGTGAGAAATTCGCACGGTGAAAGTCTCTCGAACTCGCGATCGGAATTCGGACTCGAAGGTCGCGTTTTCCACGCTCGCGCATCCTCCTCCCTCTTTTGAGCGACTTTTCCCCCCCAGTTTTCCGTTTTTTGTTCGATCGTGTGCCCGTGAACGACGGAAAAAAGGGACAATAAGATGTCGATCGTCGGACCGAGCTACCCGACGAACATAAACAGACTCGGAATGGAAACCTAACTGCTACCGTGTCTGCTCTCTCTCTCTCTCCGTCAAAAAAGGTGATTCGAAATTACCCGCCACCAACTATTTTCCCCGATTTTCTTCCCTTTGATCAATCTTCGGGATCGTTTCGTCGAACGTTCAGTTTTCACACTTTTTTTTTTTTCTCGAGAAACTTTATTTTAGTAAAGATATTGCCCAAAAATATCACGCGAGTATTTACTACGTACGCTGAGATTGTAATTTGTGCCTTGCATCTTTCTTCAGCACGCACAAAGCAAACCATGCTATAGATGTGCTCCTCGCACTCAAACATTATTTCATTTCCTGTCCAAGGGGAGACAGAACCAGACGATAAACAGCATACATCACACCACACACACCTACGCAATCATTCCACAGAACACATTTTGTTCTCTTTGCAATTTTCTTTCAAACTGCCCGCATTTAATCAAAATTGATTATTTTATTTCTTTTCATTGCAGACTTTGCTAAATCATAAACACTACCATATACCACACTACACACAGTAATTAATATACATTTAAATATATTTATTACATTTTGCGAAAGTTCACGATACTTTTACTTTTATACATCTTTTTCAAAATATTTTTAATTTTAAGGATCTATGTCAACTGTAAATTACAGTGCGAATAATATAATATAAATTTCCAAACGAATTACAGCCGATAAATTAAATTTTTCGTTGCAGAGTGCTAGAATAATTAAAGATGGCGGAGGATGAGGGAACCGAATGGCTGCAGGAGCTGTTGCACGACGTTCAGCTCTCGCAGTTCTTCACAAGAATACGAGACGACTTGCAGGTGACTAGATTGCATCATTTCGATTACGTGCAACCGGAGGATCTCGAGAAGATAGGTTTAGGGAAGCCAGGTATCAGACGTTTGCTGGACGCCGTTAAGAAGAAGAGAAACACGCAATGGAAGAAGAGCTTGATCACTAAGATCAGACCTGGCGGTAGCACGAAGAGCAACAAGAGGTCTTCGCAACCTGTCGAAGGTTCCACGGTGCTGACATGCCTGATTCAAGACAAGGACGTGACGCTGTCCACTAAACTGGGCGATGGTAGCTTTGGGGTTGTCAGACGCGGGGAATGGACGTCCCCTTCTGGCAGGTCGTTGCCAGTCGCTGTTAAAGTACTGAAAGCGGATGCTCTGACCCAGCCAAGCGTTATAGAGGACTTTGTGTCTGAGGTTCAAGCGATGCACACCCTGGATCATCATAATCTTATCAGGTATACACGTTAGTCTTCCAAGTTCTTGTTGAAATGTTAAAATACTTTGGATCTAATTTAGGAATGAAAGTAAAGTTCGCTCCGCTGTTCAGCTACGTCATAGTTAAGCATTTCAGTAATTATTACCTTGCGTCTATTTATTACAGATTATACGGTGTAGTGTTGTCGCAACCAATGATGATGGTGACAGAACTCGCACCTCTCGGGGCCTTATTAGACTATCTAAGAAAGCAGTGTGGTCGGATTTCAATATTGACTCTCTGCAACTACGCCCTGCAGGTTGCCACGGGGATGGCGTACTTGGAAGCGAAACGTTTCTTGCACCGTGACTTGGCCTGCAGGAACGTTCTTCTGAGCACAGTGGACAAAGTGAAAATTGGTGATTTTGGCCTAATGAGGGCGTTGCCTCAACAAGAAGACTGTTACGTAATGACAGAGCACAAGAAGGTACCGTTTCCCTGGTGCGCGCCAGAGTCGTTGAAGGCGCGTCAGTTTAGCCACGCGTCCGACGTTTGGATGTTCGGGGTCACCTTGTGGGAAATGCTCACGTTCGGCGAGGAGCCCTGGGTCGGTCTGAACGGTTCAGAAATCTTGAGAAAGATCGACAGAGAGGGGGAGCGGTTACACGAGCCGGAAGCAATGCCACCGGTGATGTACCAACTGATGTTGCGTTGTTGGGCTCGTGAACCCACGGAAAGACCCACATTCGCCACTCTGCGAACGTCTCTTACAGGAATGGTTCCGACCGTGATGAAAGCCGTGAACCATTTTGAAGAAGCGGACAAAATGAACATCGAACAAAACGATCAGATAGTTATCTTGGATGGTCGACCTGAGAACTACTGGTGGAAGGGGCAAAACCAACGAACTTTCCAAATAGGGTTCTTCCCCAGGTGCTTGGTCGACCCTATGAGACGGAAGCAACCGGAAGACATCAGCAAACCGTTAGAAAACTCCTTCATCCATACTGGCCACGGTGCACCGTTCGGTAAAAGCTGGGGCAGCCCCATTTACATAGACGACGTCTATCTGCGAAACCCTATGGAGCCTCCAGATGTGGTGGGAGTCGCAACCGCTCCGGACAGTCACCTGAAAAAGAAATTCTTCTATGGAATACCACGGTCGCGTAAGCAATTCAATTACACGAAATTTCAGAACGATATACGCGCTAATCCTGTGAAATCTACGAACACTTCAGCTACTAGCAGCAGCCAGGAAGGTAGCCTGATAGACCTGTCCCCGGAGGAAATAATCAACACGAACATCGCTCAATCGGAGACGGCTTGTCGACGGGTCGTGAACATCCTGGACGAGCCTATCGACGACATGGAGCGACAGCAGCCAGCTAACTGGCAGGACGACGACCCTAGAACGTACGCCAATTTCCCTGGGAACGTAGACCCCGCCTACTCGGATCCCTTCGACACGTCGTCGGTGTTCATGAAGCTTCCCCACTCGAGGTATTACAGCCAGGTTCCATCAGACATGAGCAGTCGGTATTTGAAGACCCAGACGTACGGGAACATGCAGAACCAGGACGCAGGTAGCAGTCAAGAGAGTACAAATTACTTCGCGACGGAGCCCGGACCGGATATGAATCACTATTCTATAAACTTGAGCAAGGAGAGCAGAAACGACAGTATTAATTTGAACGTGGACTCGGAGGAGAGCAACGCGTACGCTCAGAATCACTACAGCGAGATCGACAAGCCTAGTCCACCCATGACGAGTTGGTCGAACTGGCCGGAGGATCTGCAGAACGACGCTCAGACGTACGCGAACGTCTCTGGTCGAAACTTGCAGAGCTCAGACGCCCCGCCTCCGCCGCCCATCGCTCCGAACGAGAGTCCATCGAAACCGAAATCGAACCACGACCTTGCTCAAAGCTTGAGCGAATTGAGCATAGGTACACGTACCGTTTCACCCAAGAAATTGGACCCTGCTTTCCTGGCGGAGCTGGAGAAGCACTTGGGGGAGAAAGAGGCGAGCAAGAACATGAACGCCAGCCAAGAGAATCCAGGGTCTTCCGATTCCTATTCGTCCGTGAACAAGCTGCAGGAGAACACGATCCCGGTACTGAGACCACCGCCTCAATCTGCCAAGCCAAAGTCTCCGCAGACGGATCACAGGTCCAGCAATCTGCCCAGCAAGGTGCAGAACTCCTGGCAGTCGAAGACCACCAACATACAGCAATCGCCGCGCCTGCTGGAGACTGCGACCGATCAGATGATGGTCCAGATCTGGCAGCAGTCGCAGGCGTCCCAGCAGAACGCTTACACCAACGAGAACGTCAACAGAGCGCCCAGCAACACCCACATGCACCTGAACCTGCTGCAAATTGCGCCTAGCAATCTTGGGAGCCAGTCAAATGTCTCTAAAACGAACATCAATCACGCGCACAACTCGACTGCTGGCCAAGCTAGCAACTTCCAGAGCCCTGTCCTGCCCACAGCGAGCCACGGGATAACTCAGATACAAAATGACCTCCAACCGACGCACTCCAGCGTCTCATCCAAACCCGCCAACGTAGTGTTCTCCGAGCAAGTGTACGCGGAGCTGAAGCAAACGGTGCCCAACCTGGACCAGCTGTCGCAGAACGAGTTCAACACCCTGTACAACAAGACCGTCCAGCAGAACATCCTCAGAAACTACTACGCCGCTAGCACGTCAACTGCCACTGACTCGAGCAATCTAAGTCATAGTCACTATCCTGAGGGAACTGCTGGCGGTTCGCAGCAGCAGGCTCGTGCTGCTCAAACGAGGAACTTCTCAGCGCAGGGTCATCCCTGTGACTTCAGTTCTCACTTGAAGCAGCCGCCTGTGTACAATCCGCCACCTCCCGCTGCTTGGAGCCCCATGAAGTCTGTCCAGAACGGCCTGGTGCAGAGCCAGGTGCCCGCGACGAAGTCCAATCTGTCGAGCAATGGCTCCAATCTGCTGCAACTAGCTCACGTGTCTCAGGAGGGTATCATGATACCCCAGGCCCCCTCGTTGCGCGCTGTGCCTCCTCAGATGAACGAGACGGTCGTCAATACTCAATTAGCTCCCTCTGCGTCTGCGTATCCCTCTGGGGTCAGCCCCCCGTTGACAGCCGCCTCCCAGCAGCTGGTCATGTCCCTAAACGACGAGTTTCGCGCCAACAAAGTGATGAAGGTGCAGAGGGAGGCTGGCGACGCGTCGCAACAGGAGATACTGACCGCGTTGCAGGCGACCGGCTGGGACACCAATCAGGCTGCCAAGCAGATCCTGAAGGACAGACAGGCCAAGATCGAGTCCCTTGTAAGGTAATTTGTGAGGAGCATTTGTCAATATTATATGATAAAGTAGGAGATGTTAACGAATACAATCTCAGCTTCATCAGTCTTTAATTTAGATTGATGAGGATTGAAGAGGCACTCGGAATAGACTTTATGAATAAGAGTTACGCAATCCATGTTTCTGGTTGTATAATCGAACGTTGCTATTGCAGATTGGGCTTGGCGAACAGACAAGAATGCGAGGGTGCTTTGAAGCAGACTGAGTACGACGTGGACCTAGCGGCTTCCCTGCTGTTGGATCAAGTCAGATGAAGGCGTGGAAATAGTGTCGGGGGCGTCGCTGGAAATATTGTGAAATAACTATAGCGATATACGTGTAGGTGTATATTTATAAACACTAACACGCGTAAACGAGGCTACGGGCTACGACTACGTCAAAAGGTCTCAAAAGGACAGGAATTTTGTTAACCAAATTGTTAGACGACAATAATTTCTTTCATTTCTTCTGGACCTTCGATTTTCATTTTTGTCGACTTGTAACAGTTTATTGGTTAGAAGAGACAAAAAAGAGTTTCTGGAAAGGAACAGGAATTTTGTTAGCCAAATTGTTGAACAATAATTTCTTTCATTTTTTCTGGACCTTCGATTTTCATTTTTGTCGACTTGTAACAGTTTATTGGTTAGAAGAGACAAAAAAGAGTTTCTGGAAAGGAACAGGAATTTTGTTAGCCAAATTGTTGAACAATAATTTCTTTCATTTTTTCTGGACCTTCGATTTTCATTTTTGTCGACTTGTAACAGTTTATTGGTTGGAAGAGACGAAAAAGAAGTTTCTAGAAAGGAAACGTTGCATTCCAAAAAGCATAATCCGGGCGAGCTTCCGTAGCGAATCGTTTTACGAAATTATCTCGACAGTTGGTATTATTTTTTTTAAGACTCAATATACTCTGTAATTGCTATTTACTTTAGCCGTTTTATCCGACGATTTGAACGCTAAAAATCGATGTCACTTCGAAGTGTCGAGTGAACGGACGACGTCTTCCCGAGGAACGATTTTGAGGTTAAGGAACCTGCTGTCGCGAATTAGAATAATTCGCGTGTACCCCGTTACGTGGCAAATGTATTTCTGCCTAATATCTGGAACCTGATGCGCTTCGCGTCGATAATTACCGCGTTTAATAAGCCCTGCGTGACCGGAAGTGAAACGGATCACCGAGGTTCCAGCAGGCTTCGCTCGGCTCTCTTGGAATCCATTGTAAAAGCGAAAACTCTTCTCCGATTGCGGGCTTGAGAGCGTTTCATGCATATTCATGATAGTATTTCTGTGAAAGTCAGACGACTGAATTTTATAGGGAAACGTGAGGAAGGACTAGTCCATCGTTAGATTTTAATTGCCTGTATTATACTCGAAAACGAAAGTTCCATAAAAAAAAAATGAGCACAGCATGCCAAAAGTTTTCGACGTGAGAACTTCAGGTTCGGCGCTGATACTCGAAGCCACAGTTTTTTAAGTATTCTAGTTTCTTTTTTTTTTTTTAATCGTTATGCTAGGGATATTTTATCCTTGAAAAGTGAAAATAAAATCAACTTTTTGCAGGTTTCGGACGAGAATAAGAATTAAAATCGGTGGCTGCGAGTAGAAGCGGATTTGGGCGACGATAAAATGGCGGAACAAGCGAAAAGAGAACATTGAGAAGATTGCGTTTTTTTTTTGGGGGAGGAAAAAAATGTTGAATTTGTAACTGTGATATGCGTTACTAAAGGCTCTAGGCGGTACTGTTCAGAGACAGAGAAAGGACTCTCGTTTTCTCTGTTTACTTTTTTAGGGATAAGAGTAGACTGTATTTACATAATACCATGAGTGTACATAGCCGTTTAGCGACTAAGTTTTAAGCTGTAATTGAAGTGTGCGCAGAAAGGGAATCCATAGAAAGTTCGATCTTGCAATCTGTATAAAATTAAAATCCAGAAAAAAGTTGAGAAAAAATGGCCGATCGAATCTGGACATTTTATAGCAGAATTCAAAAGGAGAGCGAACTAGCATGATAGGAAAAGGTCGTTACGCACATTCTTGATTTAACAATTGTGTTCTAAGTTTCTTACTAGCTTTAACGTAAACAGTTTCTCTAAGTTGTACAATGAAAATAGGAAACGTGGTCGTCGATGAAAAATTATGTCCCTATTTTTTAAGATACGAAAGACACTATTTTTTAAACTGTTTTTGAACCGGGGGAAGAGGGACAAAAGGAGAAAATATATGGACGCTGACAATGTTTCCCGTTTCCATTCCATTTTCTGTTTTTTTTTTTTTTTTTATTTCGTTGCTCCGATAAACCAGAAAACAATTAACCCGCGCAGTGTGCATGGAAAAAAAAGTGGGCGCGCAACTCCCATTGCGCAACGCGTGCGGCATGGAAAACGGAAAGTTGAGTTAGTCTGTGCTCCGATGCACCGTGTAACAAGCAAAACGAAGCGAACGAGAGCCTCGTTCGCTGTCGATTGGCTCTCTAAACTTTTAGCCTTAATTTATTCGCTGGAATTCAGACTATTTCTTAATCATTTTCCCTTTAAGTTCCGAGACACTCGGGACGACGGTGCGTATAATCCTGACTGCCGTCGTGAACCGAGACAATGTTCGATGTTCGCAAATAAAACACGCGTAAAGTACGAGACAATCGAGTTCCTTTCGTTCACCTGTCTTTTTAGAATTTTTAATCCAGAATATTATAGACTGAAGCTAAATGAAGGCGACATTCTTTTGACCAGTAAAAGTCTCATGCACGTCGTTACGCAATAAGCTTTCATTGGCCTATTGAAGGAACGATTCTATTTAATTGTATCAGTCGTGGCACGAACCATTACCGAGATTTTGCTGGGATCGACCGTGTAATACCCGGGGCGAATCAATTAAGCTGCGCTGGGTGGAGCCGTTTGTGCAAAAAGTGCGCCACCGGCGGCGAGGGATCAACGTAATTGGCCAACTATTCTCGCCGGGGAAACCTGTCTAGTTATCTTGGTTAAATAATTTGACAAACGCGTCCAATGCTCTGCAGTTACAGATGTCAGATTCCACAATCTGATCTCCATTTTGTTTGGAAAGCTTTCTCTTCTTTGTGGGATCTAATGAATCTTCAAAAGTAAATACTTCATCTCTGACTATAGGGTTTCATCACTTCTTTGACTTGGGGATTGTTAAATTTAGCTTGAGGGTAGTGTAAAATACAGTGGTACCTTTCTAATTGTACCTAAAGACAATGTGTACCTCTCTAATTGTACCTAAAGACATTTAGAGAGGTACCACTGTATTGTAGACTGCTTCCAAGGTCAATTTGAGGACCCAGAAGTGATTGTATCTAAAGACAATTAGAGAGGTAGCACTGTATTGTATACTGCATGCAAGGTCAATTTGAGGATCCAGAAGTAATTGTATCTAAAGACAATTAGAGAGGTACCACTGTATTGTAGACTGCTTGCAAGGTCAATTTAGGGATCCAGAAGTAATTGTATATAAAAACAATTGGAGAGATACCACTGTGTTGTATACTGCTTTTAAGGTAAATTTGAGGATCCAGAAGAAATTGTATCTAAAGACAATTGAAGAGGTACCACTGTATTGTAGATTGCTTGCAAGATCAATTTGAGGATCCAAAAGTAACTGTATCTAAAAACAATTAGAGAGATGGCACTGTATTGTATACTGCTTGCAAGGTAAATTTAATTGGGCCTTACGAAAGATACGTAACAGAAAAAATTCTAAAAGTATACTACGATTGTTATTTTCCATGGATAGGACCCCTGAGTCTTTGTTATTTTCCATAGATAGGGTTCCTTAGTCCCTTTATTTTGGGCCTCACGGAATGCAAGAGAAAAAATTCTAAAAATATATTACGTCTGTTATTTTCCATAGATAGTCTACCAGAGTCTTTTCGATAGATAGGATTCCTCAGTCCCTTGGTTTTGGGCCTCACGAAGGTCATCCAACAGAAAAAATTCTAAAAGTATACTACGATTGTTATTTTCCATAGATAAGGCCCCTGAGTCTTTGTTGTTCTCGATAGATAGGGTTCCTAAGTCCCTTTGTTTTGGGCCTTACGAAGGATAAGTAAGAGAAAAGATTCTAACAATATATTACGATTGTTATTTTCCATAGATAATGCCCCAGAGTCTTTGTTATTTTCGATAGATAGGGTTACTCAGTCCCTTTGTTTTGGGCCTCACGAAGGATATGCAACAGAAAAAATTCTAAAAGTATACTACGTTTGGTATTTTCCATAGATAACGTCCCAGAGTCTTTGTTATTTTCGATAGATAGGGTTTCTCAGTTCCTTTATTTTGGGCCTCACGAAGGATATGCAAGAGAAACAATTCTAAAAGTATACTACGATTGTTATTTTCCATAGGTAGGGCACCTGAGTCTTTATTATTTTCTATAGATAGGGTTCCCCAGTCCCTTTGTTTTGGGCCCCACGAAAGATATGCAAGAGAAAAAATTCTAACAATATATTACGTTTGTTATTTTCCATGGATAGGGCCCCTGAGTCTCTGTTATTTGCGATAGATAGGGTTCCACAGTCCCTTTTTTGGGGCCTCACGAAGGATATGCAGCAGAAAAAATTCTAAAAATATATTACGTCTGTTATTTTCGATAGATAGAGCCCCTGAGTCTTTGTTTTGGGCCTCACGAAGGATATGCAAGAGAAAAACTTCTAAAAATATATTACGTTTGTTATATTCCATAGATAATGCCCCAAAGTCTTTGTTATTTTCGATAGATAGGGTTCCTCAGTCCCTTTGTTTTGGGCCTGACGAAGAATATGCAAGAGAAAAAATTTTAAAAGTATACTACGATTGTCATTTTCCATAGATCGGGCCCCTGAGAATTTGTTATTTTCGATAGATAGGGTTCCTCAGACCCTTTGTTTTGGGCCTCACGAAAAATATGCAACAGAAAAAATTCTAAAAGTATACTACGATTGTTATTTTCCATAGATAGTTCCCCAGTGTCTTTGTTTTGGGCCTCACGAAGGACATGTAAGAGAAAAAATTCTAAAAATATACTCCGTTTGTTATTTTCGATAAATAGGGTTCCTCAGTCCCCTTGTTTTGGGCCTCACGGATGATATGCAAGAAAAAGAATTCTAAAAATATATTACGTCTGTTATTTTCCATAGATAGGGCCCCTGAGTCCTTATTTTGGGCCTCACAAAGGATATGCAAGGGAAAAAATTCTAAAATTATATTACGTCTGTTATTTTCCATAGATATGGCCCCTGAGTCCCCTTTATTTTGGGCCTTACGAAGGATATGCAAGAAAAAAAATTCTACAAATATATTACGTCTGTTATATTCCATAGATAGGGGCCCTGAATCTTTGTTTTGGGCCTCACAAAGGATATGCAACAGAAAAAATTCTAAAAGTATACTACGATTGTTATTTTCCATAGATAGGGGCCCTAAGTCTCTGTTTTGGGCCTTACAAAGAGAAAAAATTCGTCACACTTGTCAGATTCCCCAATCTGATCTCCATTCTATTCAAAAAGCTTTCTCTTCTTTGTGGATCTACCGAATTTCCCTGCAAAAGTAAATACTTCATTTGTAAACTATAAAGTTTCATCACTTCTTCAACTTCAGGATTCTTAAATTTACCTTAAGGGTAGTGTAAAATACAGTCTTTAGGTACTAATTGTACCTAAAGACAATTAGAGAGGTACCACTGTATTTTACACTACCCTCAACGTAAATTTAAAAATCCGGAAGTTGGAGAAGTTGTCTCTAGGTATAATTAGAGAGGGAAGAAGGTCCAGAAACTCCAAAAAGCACACTATTGATACATTTTCAATCAGCTCATCTACATACGTGCGTTGGGAAGAGGTAGATATTACATGACAATTAGAAAAGTAAAAGAAGTCAATTGGCACTAACGATAAGTAGGTCTGGATTATGGATGATTCAATCTACTTGTACACAATGTTTTACCATATTTTAAATTTCTAAATTACCAAACTTCCCTTGTAAGTGCTCCAACAGAAACTGGGACTATTACAAGGCTAAAACAATTGGAGGTCCTCTCAATAAGAAAAATGAAGAATAGTGAAATTTGTAGATATTTTTAAATGGTAAAGCATTGCCTTTAGAAACTGTATTCAGTAGCAATTTGAGAGTAACATTCATTAGCAATGTTTTACCATATTTTAAATTTCTAGATCCCGAAAGTTCCCTTGTAAGTGCTCCAATAGAAACTGAGACTATTGCAAGGCTAAAATGATTGAAAATCCTCTCAATAAGAAGAATAAAGAACAGTGAAATTTGTAGATATTTTTAAATGGGAAAGCATTGCCTTTAGAAACTATATTCAATAGCAATTTGAAAGCAACAATGTTTTACCATATTTTGAGTTTCTAAATTCCCAAACTTCCCTTATAAATACTCCAACAGAAACTAGAACTATTGCAAGGTTAACACGATTGGAGGTCCTCTCAATAAGAAGATAAAACAATATTTTTAAAAGGGAAAGGATTGTCTTTAACAAATGATATGCATTACCAATTTGAGAATAATTTTCTGGGGAATATTTGCAAACGATTATTACATTATCTGAAGAGATTAGGCCCACCTAGCCTCCACCCTCCAGTCGTGCTTGGCCTATCAGTAGCGCAGGCGTGAAAGTCTTCGGTTTCACTTGTCTTCTAAGAGATCGGCGCCTACCTGACCGGTAGTAGGAGAGGAAAACAGTGCAACGTCGCTCGAGGCAGAACGGATCCAGAAGCGAAATCGTGCTCGCGGCGCGCACAATGCGCTTCTTCGATCGACCGGAAACGCATTGGCTCGGCCCAAAAAAATAGTTCAAGCTTGGACGATCCGGGAGAACACTCAGTTCTGTGGTGTCCTCGTGTGTGAAACGAAGTCTGTGGATAGGGTGATTTCGAAAAATCAAAGTTCCTTTTTCGAAAATTGACCGGAAGTGTACACCTCATTCTGAAAAAATGTAAAACTTTGTACAATGTTTCATCTTTTAAATAATCAAATTAGAGAATTTGTGGGGTGTTTCCTTGGCTCGTCTGACTATTAATCGCCATTTCTACTTGCTGTCCAAGACCCCCACGAATTAAAAAAATTTTAAAAAGCCCAAGTTGGTATCAAGATTGAGAAGAAAGGAAGAATTGTGATTTGTTTGAGAGTTAACTTGGATCATTTTGGGGTGTAAAACGCGCCAGGAAAGTGGAAAGGTCTGCACGATGAAGATGCCAGCAGAGTCCTCCATATATTGGGACTCCGTGGGTTCCCAGCGCTCGACTTCCGGTGGCAGCTCCGGAGACGCATGCAGCTCCGGAAGTGCCAGCCGCCACTATGTCGACCCGTGGGACCTGGAGAACTACGCGTACCTGCGTCGACACAGCGTCGCTGGCATAACGCAACAGGCGCCGCGACACCATCGACGCCCTACCCACCGACTACCACAGGAGGCACGTGCTCATTCTGAGTATTGGTGAGCTGCACAATTAACACCTAAATGCTTGGGTAGCTTCCAGACTTGCAGTCCAAACTGCACAGATTTTTATTTGAAATTTTACTTAATTGGTCATTAACATAGGAAAAGAGAAGAATCCAAATTGGGAAGAGGATTGAGAATTTGGTAGTTGGAATAGTAGGATAATAATAGTTGAAAAAAAGTCAATTGTTAGCTTCAGGGAAGGTGGTACCATGAATGAGTTGAATATGGAGATTGTAGAGTAGACTTTTAGTGCCTCATGAGGTTTTATGAGGATTGCAAAGGAGAAGAATCCAAATTGAGAAGAGGATAAAGAATGTGGTAGTAAAAATAGTACGGTAAAAGAAAATCAATTCCTGGTTTTAGGTAAGATGGTACCACAAATGAGTAGATTGTGGAGTAAACTTCTAGTGTCTGAGGAGTTTTTAGGAGGGTTGCAATGGAGGAGAATCCAAATTGAAAGGAGGATAAAGAATGTGGTACTAGAAATAGTCGGGTAAAAGAAAGTCAATCCTTGGTTTCAAAGTAACTGGTACCACAAATGAATAGAATATGGAGAGTGTGAAGTAGACTTTTAGAGCCTCAGAAGCTTTCATGAGGGTTACAAAGGAGAAGAACCCTTATTGAAAAGAGGATTAACAATGTGGTACTTGGAATAGTAGGGTAGTAGTAGTTGAAAGGAAGTCAATTCTAGTTTCAGGGAAGGTGGTACCATGAATGAGTTGAATGTGGAGATTGTAGAGTAGACTTTTAGTGCCTCAGAAGCTTTTATGAGGGTTGCAAAGGAGAAGAATCCAAATTGAAAAAAGGATTAACAATGTGGTACTTGGAATAGAAGGGTAATAGTAGTTGAAAGAAAGTCAACTCATAATTCAGGGAATGTAGTTCAATATGGAGATTGTAGAGTAGACTTTTAGTGCCTCATGAGGTTTTATGAGGATTGCAAAGGAGAAGAATCCAAATTGAGAAGAGGATAAAGAATGTGGTAGTAAAAATAGTAGGGTAAAAGAAAGTCAATCCCTAGTTTTAGGCAAGATGGTACCACAAATGAGTAGATTGTGGAGTAAACTTCTAGTGTCTCAGGAGTTTTTAGGAGGGTTGCAATGGAGAAGAATCCAAATTGAAAGGAGGATAAAGAATGTGGTACTAGAAATAGTAGGGTAAAAGAAAGTCAATCCTTGGTTTCAAAGTAACTGGTACCACAAATGAATAGAATATGGAGAGTGTGAAGTAGACTTTTAGAGCCTCAGAAGCTTTCATGAGGGTTACAAAGGAGAAGAACCCTTATTGAAAAGAGGATTAACAATGTGGTACTTGGAATAGTAGGGTAGTAGTAGTTGAAAGGAAGTCAATTCTAGTTTCAGGGAAGGTGGTACCATGAATGAGTTGAATGTGGAGATTGTAGAGTAGACTTTTAGTGCCTCAGAAGCTTTTATGAGGGTTGCAAAGGAGAAGAATCCAAATTGAAAAGAGGATTAACAATGTGGTACTTGGAATAGAAGGGTAATAGTAGTTGAAAGAAAGTCAACTCATAATTCAGGGAATGTAGTTCAATATGGAGATTGTAGAGTAGACTTTTAGTGCCTCATGAGGTTTTATGAGGATTGCAAAGGAGAAGAATCCAAATTGAGAAGAGGATAAAGAATGTGGTAGTAAAAATAGTACGGTAAAAGAAAATCAATTCCTGGTTTTAGGTAAGATGGTACCACAAATGAGTAGATTGTGGAGTAAACTTCTAGTGTCTGAGGAGTTTTTAGGAGGGTTGCAATGGAGAAGAATCCAAATTGAAAGGAGGATAAAGAATGTGGTACTAGAAATAGTAGGGTAAAAGAAAGTCAATCCTTGGTTTCAAAGTAACTGGTACCACAAATGAATAGAATATGGAGAGTGTGAAGTAGACTTTTAGAGCCTCAGAAGCTTTCATGAGGGTTACAAAGGAGAAGAACCCTTATTGAAAAGAGGATAAAGAATGCGGTACTTGGAATAGTAGGGTAGTAGTAGTTGAAAGGAAGTCAATTGTTAGCTTCAGGGAAGGTGGTACCATGAATGAGTTGAATATGGAGATTGTAGAGTAGACTTTTAGTGCCTCAGAAGCTTTTATGAGGGTTGCAAAGGAGAAGAATCCAAATTGAAAAAAGGATTAACAATGTGGTACTTGGAATAGAAGGGTAATAGTAGTTGAAAGAAAGTCAACTCATAATTCAGGGAATGTAGTTCAATATGGAGATTGTAGAGTAGACTTTTAGTGCCTCATGAGGTTTTATGAGGATTGCAAAGGAGAAGAATCCAAATTGAGAAGAGGATAAAGAATGTGGTAGTAAAAATAGTAGGGTAAAAGAAAGTCAATCCCTAGTTTTAGGCAAGATGGTACCACAAATGAGTAGATTGTGGAGTAAACTTCTAGTGTCTGAGGAGTTTTTAGGAGGGTTGCAAAGGAGAAGAATCCAAATTGAAAGGAGGATAAAGAATGTGGTACTAGAAATAGTAGGGTAAAAGAAAGTCAATCCTTGGTTTCAAAGTAACTGGTACCACAAATGAATAGAATATGGAGAGTGTGAAGTAGACTTTTAGAGCCTCAGAAGCTTTCATGAGGGTTACAAAGGAGAAGAACCCTTATTGAAAAGAGGATAAAGAATGCGGTACTTGGAATAGTAGGGTAGTAGTAGTTGAAAGGAAGTCAATTGTTAGCTTCAGGGAAGGTGGTACCATGAATGAGTTGAATATGGAGATTGTAGAGTAGACTTTTAGTGCCTCAGAAGCTTTTATGAGGGTTGCAAAGGAGAAGAATCCAAATTGAAAAAAGGATTAACAATGTGGTACTTGGAATAGAAGGGTAATAGTAGTTGAAAGAAAGTCAACTCATAATTCAGGGAATGTAGTTCAATATGGAGATTGTAGAGTAGACTTTTAGTGCCTCATGAGGTTTTATGAGGATTGCAAAGGAGAAGAATCCAAATTGAGAAGAGGATAAAGAATGTGGTAGTAAAAATAGTAGGGTAAAAGAAAGTCAATCCCTAGTTTTAGGCAAGATGGTACCACAAATGAGTAGATTGTGGAGTAAACTTCTAGTGTCTGAGGAGTTTTTAGGAGGGTTGCAAAGGAGAAGAATCCAAATTGAAAGGAGGATAAAGAATGTGGTACTAGAAATAGTAGGGTAAAAGAAAGTCAATCCTTGGTTTCAAAGTAACTGGTACCACAAATGAATAGAATATGGAGAGTGTGAAGTAGACTTTTAGAGCCTCAGAAGCTTTCATGAGGGTTACAAAGGAGAAGAACCCTTATTGAAAAGAGGATTAACAATGTGGTACTTGGAATAGTAGGGTAGTAGTAGTTGAAAGGAAGTCAATTCTAGTTTCAGGGAAGGTGGTACCATGAATGAGTTGAATGTGGAGATTGTAGAGTAGACTTTTAGTGCCTCAGAAGCTTTTATGAGGGTTGCAAAGGAGAAGAATCCAAATTGAAAAAAGGATTAACAATGTGGTACTTGGAATAGAAGGGTAATAGTAGTTGAAAGAAAGTCAACTCATAATTCAGGGAATGTAGTTCAATATGGAGATTGTAGAGTAGACTTTTAGTGCCTCATGAGGTTTTATGAGGATTGCAAAGGAGAAGAATCCAAATTGAGAAGAGGATAAAGAATGTGGTAGTAAAAATAGTACGGTAAAAGAAAATCAATTCCTGGTTTTAGGTAAGATGGTACCACAAATGAGTAGATTGTGGAGTAAACTTCTAGTGTCTGAGGAGTTTTTAGGAGGGTTGCAATGGAGGAGAATCCAAATTGAAAGGAGGATAAAGAATGTGGTACTAGAAATAGTCGGGTAAAAGAAAGTCAATCCTTGGTTTCAAAGTAACTGGTACCACAAATGAATAGAATATGGAGAGTGTGAAGTAGACTTTTAGAGCCTCAGAAGCTTTTATGAGGGTTACAAGAAGAATCCTCACTGAAAAGAGGAAAAAGAACATAGTGCTTGAAACAGTAAGCTGAAAGAAGATGCTACCACAAATGAGTAGAACGTGTAGTAGAGTTTTAGCGTCCCAGAAGCTTTTACAAGGGCTGACTAAAATGGCTGACCAAATACGACTAGGAATTCCAACCAGGACTGATCTGTCTTTCGCGTCGGCATTCTCCATGTTTTTTCTCTGGTTGGAAACCACTAAACTGGGCAGCTTGCATCGCAAAATAGCCCAAGGGATTTCGCCTTTCACTGGTTCGATTCGATTCATCGATTTAAACGCGGTTAAGGGGGGTTCAATGCACTCCGTCGAATTACTGATGGTTGTCCATTACGATTAAAGGAAGTGTCTCTTTCCGGCAATTAACTTCCCGCTCTATTGTGGCCCATTGGTGGGCCATATCGAGCAAATTGTTAAAATGTTAAACGCGATTCTCTTGACTCTAAAACAAAAAAGATATGTGTTGTTAGGAAATGATGATGGTAAATATTGCAATAACTAGATTGTTGAGGGATTATTTAAAACCAAAAATCGTACCATCGGATCCACCAACGTATGATAAACATTGCGAGAACAACACTGCGCCCTACTTTGCGCCCACTGATAGGATCTTTCTCGGGCAGATTGCAAGGCATGAAAAATACATTGGGTTAAACAGACTGTGAACGAGAGAAAAAAAAAGAACACCGCGATCGTAAACAAAGCGGGTTTCTTTATGCAGCCAGGTCGAGATCGATTAGCAGCATTTCATGGTAGTTCGAGCATCCTCCTTCGAACCATCGTTCGAATACATTAATCGAGACGTTAGAAATTGAACATGCTTGGATCCGTTCCAGCATTTGGGTCGGAAGTCTACTTTCGTTCGTCGATTGTATAATATTTTATTTATTCTATTCGGTTGTTAAACCAACGCAACTTGTCTGCGTTGAATTACAAGTAACATTGACTGTTTAATTATTCATGTAAATCGGTTTGCGTGATGAGGAAACTGTTGTTAATGTATTGCAATTAGGTGAAACCGCCGGCGAAGAGATTAGTTAATTTTGCATTACTCTGGTGCACCTAATGTTTATGTAATTTTCTACTTTGGCAATGAAATGGTATTCAAGTAATAGAGATATAGTGGATATATGGAAGCTTCAAATGATATCGACAGAGTATACAAGAGGAAATTGTTAGTTTCCATTGATGGGGCCCCTGAGTCCCATTTATTTTGGGCCTTATGAAGGATATGCAAAAAGAAAAATGGTAAAACTAGATAGGACCCCTAAGTCTTTGTTTTTGGCCTCACGAAGGAAAAATCGTAAAAGTACACTCCGTTTGTTATTTTCCATAGATAGGGCCCCTGAGTCTCATTTGTTTTGGGCCTCACGAAGGATATGCAAAAGAACAATTCTAAATGTACACTACAATTGTTATTTTCCATAGATAGGGCCCCTGAGTCTCATTTATTTTGGGCCTTATGAAGGATATGCAAGAAGAAGAATTGTAAAACTAGATAGGACCCCTAAGTCTTTGTTTTTGGCCTCACGAAGGAAAAATCGTAAAAGTATACTCCGTTTGTTATTTTCTATAGATAGGGCCCCTAAGTCCCATTTATTTTGGGCCTTATGAAGGATATGCAAGAGGAAGAATTGTAAAACTAGATAGGGCCCCTAAGTCTTCGTTTTGAGCCTCACGAAGGAAAAATCGTAAAAGTACACTCCGTTTGTTATTTTCCATAGATAGGGCCCCTGAGTCTCATTTGTTTTGGGCCTCACGAAGGATATGCAAGAGAACAATTCTAAAAGTATACTACAATTGTCATTTTCCATAGATAGGGCCCCTGAGTCCCATTTATTTTGGACCTTATGACGGATATGCAAGAGGAAAAATTGTAAAACTAGATAGGGCCCCCAAGTCTTAGTTTTGGGCCTCATGAAGAAAAAATCGTAAAAGTATATTCCGTTAGTTATTTTCCATAGATAGGGCCCCTAAGTCCCATTTGTTTTGGGCCTCACGAAGGATATGCAAGGGAAAAATTCTAAAAGTATACTACAATTGTTATTTTCCATAGATAGGGCCCCTGAGTCCCATTTATTTTGGGCCTTATGAAAGATATGCCAGAAGAAAAATTGTAAAACTAGATAGGGCTCCTAAGTCTTTGTTTTGGGCCTCACGAAGGAAAAATCGTAAAAGTATACGCCGTTTATTATTTTCCATAGATAGGGCCCCTAAGACCCCTTTATTTTGGGCCTCACGGAAAATATACGAGAAAAATTCTAAAACTATACTTCGTTTGTTATTTTCTATAAATATGGCCCCTGAGTCCCTTTGTTTTGGGCCTCTACGAAGGAATAATGCGTCACTGGTTGCAGGTATTCATCCTCGGCGAGAGAACCGGGCTACGACGCACCCGCTTTCGTAGAAGAATTGTATTGTAGACCACCTAGGCCAACGAACAATAGTTGCTACTATCACCAGCCGATCTACGAGGACGAGGTGCCTGATTACGTCGCCCCGTTTCCGGTCTACGCGCCTCTCTCTGGTAAGATTAATTGCTCTTTCCCTGACAGTATTCACAGTGCATCGAATCGAGGTCTTTGTTAACAGTTCACTGACAAAGGTGGGTCGATTTTTAAGGCGGCGCCATTTTTATACTTTGCACAATTTTCGTTTCGATAGCTGAACTATTCTAGATTAATAGTCATTCCTGTTTCGAAACAACAGTACAATTTAAATGTTATATGTATGCAATCTACCCCCTGACGACAAAATTAGGAACTAAAAATTAGTCATATATCGACACACCGCTGTATATGCTTAAAGTTTCCTTTTTAAATTTGTTCTATTATACTAGAACTTTAGGAACACGAAGAAAGACACGAAAATATTCTTTTGGTCCATTTTTTATTACCTTTTATCAAATAGTTTAGTCTTTTAATTCTATCCAACGATGTAACCTAACCTAACCATAGTTGGTGTACAGCGTAACATCCATCATTGAAATCAGAACGCAACAAACGAAAAATTGTCTTGAAACTGGTTTCCACCGGTCCTGAACCTATTTTAAAGAAAAAATATGGAAGATTTAAAAAACTGTAGCATTTTGAAGAACAATCGATCGATCTGACGATTCGTTGGTCGAGTATTGGGTGAAGGTTTTCGATCGTGCGTTCCTTTGGGATCGCGTACGAGACTTTATCGCCGAGAATACTGTCGCAAAAGGCGATAAAAATAATCGCCCGATGACGAACGGGAACGAAACGATTTCGCGGAAAATTGTCGTTGGAAATGGCTGTCGTAATAGTCCGTTTATCATGCGTCGCAATAACTCGACCGATTTCTATCGTGTCCTAGAAAGTCTCTATCGCCGCGACGAATCATGCTGCCCCGCGTTTATGTCGCGAGGACGGCTCGATGCATCGCGCTATTTGACGTTCGACGCGTAATTATTATTTCCAGCGGCTTTCGAAGCATCTCCACTTTCTCTGACGGACGTCAAGTCGTGCGTAGACTCGCCGACCGCGGAAATAATATCACTTTTTAATTTAAATCGCATTCGACGACATCGACCACTCCGTCCACCGGTCATTTGCATTGCAAATGCCCGCGAGAGAAAATCACTGCCAGGCCGGAGCGTAATTTCGGTTCTAAATCGCGACTGGAAATTTCTGTTCGACTCGCGATGCTTTCACGCATCTTCTCCAAGTTCTGTGCCAAGAAATTTCTTGTAAATCATCGGCACAAAGCGTCTGACACCGATAAATAGAATACATTGAATTCCTGACTAACTTCCTAACAATTTTCTTTCAAATGAATAAATATTACTGTTTCAAAAATATCTAATCATGATCGTCATATAAGACCTAACCTATATTTGTTTGAAAATGGTTTTTCATCTACGTGGAAATTGCAAGCACCAAATAGGGTGCACTTGCTCTTGAATTTTTAGGTTAGAACAGTTACGATGTATTTTCCACGTTTCTAAAGCTTTACTTTATTCCCGGTTAACTTTCTAACAATTTTCTATTAAATGAATAAATATTACTGTTTCAAAAATCTCTAAAAAGTCTAATCATGATTGTTATTTTCTATTTATAGGGCCCCTGAGTCCCATTTGTTTTGGGCCTTACGAAGGATATGCAACAAAACAAAATTTTTTAAATATACTACAATTGTTATTTCCTATTGATAGGGCCCCTGAGTCCCATTTATTTTGGGCCTTACGAAGGATATGCAACAAAAACAATGTTTAAAATATACTACGATTGTTATTTTATATTGATAGGGCCCCCGAGTCACATTTATTTTGGGCCCTACGAAGGATATGCAACAAAACAAAATTTTTTAAATATATTACGATTGTTATTTTATATTGATAGGGCCCCTGAGTCCCATTTATTTTGGGCCTTACGAAGAATATACAAGAAAAAAAATTCTAAAAGTATACTATGATTGTTATTTTCTATTTATAGGGCCTCTGAGTCCCATTTGTTTTGGGCCTTACGAAGGATATGCAACAAAACAAATTTTTTTAAATATACTACAATTGTTATTTTCTATTGATAGGGCCCCTGAGTCCCATTTATTTTGGGCCTTACGAAGGATATGCAACAAAAACAATGTTTAAAATATACTACGATTGTTATTTTATATTGATAGGGCCCCCGAGTCACATTTATTTTGGGCCCTACGAAGGATATGCAACAAAACAAAATTTTTTAAATATATTACGATTGTTATTTTATATTGATAGGGCCCCTGAGTCCTTTGAAATGAATAAATATTACTGTTTCGAAAATATCTAATTATGATCGTCATATAAGACCTAACCTATACTTGTTTGAAAATGGTTCTTCATCTCCGTAGGAATTGCAAGCATCAAATATGGTGCACTTGCTCTTGAATTTTTAGGTTAGAAAGGTTACGATGTATTTTCAACGTTTCTAAAGCTTTATTTTATTGCTAAAACTTTTTTTTTCAACTGAATAAACATTACTGTTTCAAAAATCTCTAAATAAGTCTAATCACGATCGTCATATAGAAACTGACCTGGATCTGTTTGAAAATGGTTCTCCATCTACGTGGGAATTGCATGCACCAAATAGGGTGCACTTGCTCTTGAATTTTTAGGTTAGAACAGTTACGATGTATTTTTCACGTTTCTAAAGCTTTACTTTATTCCTAATTAACTTTCTAACAATTTTCTCCTAAATAAATAAATATTACTGTTTCAAAAATCTTTAAATAATATCTAATCATGATCGTCATAACACAACTGACCTGAATCTGTCTGAAAATGGTTCTCCATCTACATGAAAATTGAATGCACCAAATAGGGTGCACTTCCTCTTGAAATTTTAGGTTAGAACAGTTACCATATATCTTCCACGTTTCTAAAGCTTCATATCATTTTTCAAAGTTAAATCTAAAGTTTTTAACGCCTACGTGGACGTATTTCTATTAAGAAATCCATACGAGTCATCAATAAGAATTTTCTTGTCCCCGTTTCATATAAACGCGACCCATCCAAGGTTTACGACGCGAATGACTGAGGGCGTGGATGGGCGTTGAATCTACTAAGAGATTAAAGTCGAGCCTGTTAAAACGCGAAGACCTCGACTGTGCTTCTATTAATCAGAGGATTACTCAAGCGTGCATTGTATAACGCGAACCGATGAACGAGTGTTCGATAAACCACGAGGAAGTGAATGCTCTCGGCTGACCGTGGCACTTCCGGTACTACGTTGCTCAAGAAATTTACGCGCCATTGCGTACGTTTATTTTTTTTTTTGTTTTTAGAAATAAGACACGGGGATGAGTTTATGGAGGATCACAGAAGATTCAAGCACAGATGTAGATCCACATCGATGGGGGAACTTCACAGGTATATTAAAAAAATATCTACTTAATTTTGACTAATTATCAATAACGTTTCTTTTAAGGTCCGAGTTCGTTGACCTTCGTGTCTCGCCATTGGACGCTGTCGAATTGGGTAAACTTCAATACATAATACTAAATTTAATCAAAAAATTAGCCAACGGTTCAATTTCAATTCCATTTTCTATAAACAAATCATTTCTACAGATGTACCGCGGCGATACACCGAACCAAAATATCATTCGATGGCGGCGGACGTGGAGAAAGAAAAATACATACAAAATATCCCAGCCCCGCATCTCGACCTGAACACGTACGGGCACCTCAAGATCGATTACACGAACAGTTGGAACTCGCTGAACCGCAAGATCAGTAAATAATCTAATCGATATCCGTCTCACAAGAAATAGAAAAATTGTAAAAACATTTCCTCGTTATTTGCTTAGCAACGTACAGACACTTAACTGGATCGTAAATTGTTTATGTACTGTAAGAGCACTGCTAACGATAAAAAAAACTGGAATGTAATCGACGATGAGATATCAGGAGCTAATTTTATGCTAAATTACTTACATCGTATAATTTAAGTAGCTTTAAATGTACAGTAGGGGTGATTACATTACTCTTATACTCGCCTGCTAACTCGACAAAGAATAGATACCTTAAACAATGTTAATTGGAGTGTCACTGTTTTCAGAAAACAACTTCCTCTTCTTGTTTCCTTTACCAAAGTCTCCAATTGCTTCCTCAATGTCCATAGGGGTGGCATTCACCTTCTCAATGTCCAATACTGGCCACCTTTGCAATATATATTATTAAATATTATGATTAAATATCAAAGTAATTATTTTTAAGAAAATACCTAAAGAATGGGGGCACATTTTCCTTGGTTTTCTTTGCTGTTTTTGGTTGTTCTCTTTTCTTATTTTGATGCTATTAAATAAAAATTATATTTTATCACATGTAACAGACATTACAGTACATTAAAATGAAACAATGATCAGATTATATTGCCCAGTTTTCATTTCAATTCAAAGCTCTACTTATTGCAGAAGTATTGTTCCACTTTATTAATATAATTATAAACATTGAATTACAGTAGCAACTCTGGAGTTCAGTAACATCTTATATCTCTGAATCTCATCAGAATGTTTCTGCCTGAGCAAAGCAACATCTTCATTGTGTTTCTCTTCCTGTAGCAGCAAATTGGCTTTCAAAACTTCAATCTCGTCCTGCATTTGGAATGCTGTGTTACAAATACAATAATGCACAAAATAATTAAAAGAAAAAAGTGGTTATCAACATGATGGGTTACAATAATTTCTAATTGCAAATCTAGTGTTAAGAAACCGTTTAAGAATAACCGATGACACGATAGTTTCGTGGAAAGTAAATGTAATGAAAGAAATATGCGATCGATCGTCTATTACTTTGTTGGTCACTGCTGTTACGGTCGGTGGCTATCAGACGTAAATAGTCACACTGTTCTTTTAGGCCTTCGATCGTCTTACAAAGAGTTTCATTCTCCTTTTGCAATTTCTCCACGTCGACCTTGTATCGATTCGTGAGAAACTGATACGCCTCCATCAGTTTTTCCAAATTTTCTTTCATTCGTTGAGTGCGTTCGTACTCTAGCGACAAAACCTGCCCCTGGGTTACGCAGTAAGCTTTCATAGCTACGTATGCCTGTTGATTTTCACAAAATTATAACCGTCTTACGGAACATTTTAGCGTTTAAGAATCAGTCTGCCGCACATCTCGAATTCGTTTGAATTCGTCGAAGATTCCTTGGAGCTCGGGCCTCGTTATCTCTTCGTCGTCCATCTTGGATTTCTTGAAGCTTCAAAAACTTTATTTCACACTGAACGCTCTGAGACAGAAACTATTGTTTAGATGAATTCTTTTCATTCGAGATTGGAAATTTCTTTTCGTATTTTAAGTTTCTCGAAACGAAACGTGCATCCATGTAACCGAAAGTTCTCGGTCGACACGGTCGGTAAAGAAGTCGAGTACGACTTAGCACGGACAGGAACCTCGTTTTCCTAAAACTTCGAGAAGTTTTGGTCGACTTTAGTTCTGATTTTCTCTACGTATGACAAATCTCGTATTTTCGAATATTCAAAGTGACGAACGTCGAAGATTCACGAGTTACCCGTGGAACGTCACGAGCTTGTTTTCTTTCGTCGTGTTTTTTCTCCGACTCGGAGAAAAAATGGCGGGGATTGAAAATGCGTGATGCAATCTAAATCTACCACCACCGTCAGCAACGAAGACACCGTCGATGAGTTGATGGAAGAGTCCATTTTCGAACAGATATGCGACACGATATTCGTCCTGATCCCCGAAGGTACGATAATGTGAAAACTACACACTAATATTGCATACAAACTGCATAAAACAATGACGTATTTTTTAATTTTTTTTAGTACCTGTAACCTCGACTTAAAGGGTGCTTTCACATCTCTGAATTGAGTTTTAAGTTACGCTCATAGATCGACAATTTTTCAGTGGAAATTTAGTAATCTAATTTAGTGGACGAGTTAAACAAAAATTCAAATGGGAGATTCTATAGGCCAAAATAAGACAAAAATCAAGAATAGTAATTTTTTAATTGAGGCTTCGTTAAAAAGTTATTAACGATTAATGTTGCGTCTGTGAGATGGAAATCGTGCGCGCTGCACACTTTAACTTTAAACGTTAATAACTTTTTAACGAAGCCTCGATCAACAAATTGGTATTCTTGATTTTCGTCTCATTTTGGTCTCCAGAATCCCCTATTAAAATTTTCCCCAAGGCTGTACAAAACTTAAATATTTATTAAATACATATGTTGATGTTTGCACATGTAATGCACGTTTGATTGAACTGACTATAGATGCGTACTTATGACGGGCTTCTATGATAGTTCCGCGACTGAAGCAGCTGTTTCTAAGCTGGAGCCAGCTATGCAGGGAAGATAGAATACAGCTAGACGCTAAAGTAGGGAATTGGTGTTGCCCCAACAGAAGACAGCTTTACAAACCACTGCAGGAAGCTTTGGTCCGTTGGGAAACTGTACAAGACACTCAAGGTATGCCTGTTATTTATACTAAAAATTTTAATAGGGGATTCTAGAGCCCAAAATAAGACGAAAATCAAGAATACCAATTTGTCGATTGAGGCTTCGTTTAAAAGTTATTAACATTTAAAGTTCCGTCTGTGAGACGGGAACCGTGCGCGCTGCACACTTTAACTTTAAACGTTAATAACTTTTAAACGAAGCCTCAATTAAAAAATTACTATTCTTGATTTTCGTCTTATTTTGGTCCATAGAATCTCCCATTAAAGTTTCAAATTTATCTGCGTATTATTTACATTAAGTACATTGATATTATTGCAATTAAATATAATTTCTCATTATTTATGACTGCTTTAGCCAAAATAAGACGAGAATCAAGAATAGTAATTTTTTAATTGAGGCTTCGTTAAAGAGTTATTAACAGTTGCGCCTGTGGATAGGCAACCTGCGCACAGCTGCGTGCGCACGATAGGGGTTCTCACTCAACATGAGGGCTCTATTTACCGACGTATCGAGAGCCTTACAGTTTTGTGAGAACTGAGTGAGAACCACTATCTTTAGTAAGTTTAATGGTTTAATAATAAAAAAAATCAACTCAATAGGGGCTCCAGGCTGCGAGCCTGGTATGGTTTCGTTTTCGTGCGACCCACAACTCGAGGAAGAGCTCGTCAGTGTGATTTGCAGTCTAGAGCTGTTGTTCCTAAAGAATCGTAGAGGCAGAGACTTCGACGTGGACTACGAAGTAAATCGTTCCACGGACATCATGAGGGAAGTGTCGCTGAACCTGAATTGCGACAGCAATTTGCACTCGATCCTCAGCCCCAAGGATAGAACGCCACACTCGGTTCACAGCTGCAGCTACATCGCGGATTTCAAGAGATCCGACGACGAGCTCAGCGGCTACCTGACCAATTGAACATCGAAAATCGACCCGAATAACAAAGGAAACTTTCGTTGCAAATTTATTGCGCAAAATTAGCGCGACGGGGCCCGAGAAATCGCTCAAAGTCATTGAATTGTTCACGGTTCTTTTCCACGCGAGCCCCTTCGCGCTGTTTCGAACGAATTCGTCGTGCTAGCATGACCGATTCGCGGCAATGAAATTGTAGCGACGTGCAAGAACCATGATTTTACCGCAAAACAGCTGGTTCAGGTCGAGTTATTGAAAACAAGTTTTTTTAAAAATGGAAAAAATTTAAACCTTTAACAAAGTTATAAACTGTATGTGAAAGGTGTCTTAGAGGAAAAATAGAAACATATGTAATATCCAGAAATGATAATTATTTCAGGTTTGGATTCTATACTCGTCCACAAAATTAGAGATTTTCCACTGAATAATTTGTTACCCTTCGTGTGACAAAATTAGGATTGCTAGTTTGTAGCTATTTTTATGTCGAGCAGAATGAGTCCAAACACGACCTAGTTCGGGCTATTTTTAATTATTTGTTATCCAAGTAATTTTTCCAAAATTGTCAACAACGTATAATTGTAAATGATCCGAATAGGGTCGTGTTTGTACTCGTTCTTCTCGTGATAACCTCGTCAATCCATCGATGACATTTTAAAGATAAAATAGGAAGTAATATTTGTATTCATCTTGAAGATAATATTCTGTCGCGTCTGCTTTCACCTGAAACATATTCATAAATTATTCTTAGTATTATACAGAGTGTTTGGCCACGTCTGGGAAAAATTTTAATGGGAGATTCTAGAGGCCAAAATAAAACGAAAATCAAGAATATCAATTTCTTGACTTCGTTAAAAAGTTATTAAAAAAATAAACTAAAAAATTTCAAATCATTCTGAAAAAATTATTTTTGGTTGCGGGGATCAATTGCAATCATTTTTGGTCAATAGACGTAACTTCGAAATTCTACGCATTTTCGAGAAAAAAATTCCGAAATGTGGACTTTTTCGACGAAATTAAACAATTTCAAATCATTATAAAAAAATTATTTTTAGTTGCAGGGGTCAAATACAACCATTTTTTATGAATAGACATACCCCCGAAATCCTACGCACTTTCGAGAAAAAAATTCATTACCGAAAATCTAATGCAAGGCACCCCCGAAATTTCATGCGAATCTTTCAAATGTCATAACTCCTGAACGGATTGGACGATTTTAATTTTTAAAAATGCGAACGACGCGTATTTTGGTGAAGAATACGTAGAACTTCCAAAAATATTCGAAAAGTCGATCCTTGACTCCGAAAAATGAGAAAAACCCCATAAAAATGGTCCAATTTTCAAACAGCCATAACTCTCACAATAGTGAATATATTTCAATGAAACTTTTTTCTGAAGTAAAGCTCATGGGTACCGACAAAAAAGTATTAGACAAATTTTCTGTAGCGCGTCAAACAAATTTATTAAAAATGAAAAACGAATTCCTAAGCAAAATTTTTCGAAGAAATTAAAAATTCTCAAATCGTTCTAAAAAAAATATTTCTGGTTCCGGAGTTCAATTACAATCATTTTTGGTCAATAGGCATATCCTCGAAATTCTACGCATATTCGAGAAAAAAATTCAGGAAAATGGACAAATTTTTGAGCGGAAAATAAAACCTTCGAATCGTTCTAAAAAAAATATTTCTAGGTTCTGGGGTCAAATATAACCATTTTTGGTGAATAGACTTACCCCCGAAATCCTGCGCATTTTCAATCAAAATATTCAGTAAGTTGGACAAATTTTTCGGCGAAAAAAAAATGTCGAATCGTTCTAAAAAAAATATTTCCAGGTTCTGGGGTCAAATACAACCATTTTTGGTGAATAGATATACCCCAGAAATCCTATGCATTTTTGAGAAAAAAATTAAGGAAGTTGGACCAATTTTTCGTCGAAATTGAAAAGTTTCAAATCGTTCTAAAAAAAATATTTCTAGGTTCTGGGGTCAAATATAACCATTTTTGGTGAATACACATACCCCCGAAATCCTGCGCATTTTCGAGAAAAAAATTCAATACTGACGGAACTTTAAACGATAATAAATTCTTAACGAAGCCTCCATCAACAAATTGGTATTCTTGATTTTCGTATTATTTTGGCCTCCAGAATCTTCCATGAAAATTTTTCCCAGAGGAGGTTGACAAAATATACAAAAGCATTCTAAAAACCATTTATATTACGTTTCATTTGACTATGTTTGAAGGTATGCCACTAATTTTGCCCATTTTTCGCCAAAAAAATTTTAAAATATCACTGAAATGTGTACAAATAAACCTTGTAAATTTCACCGCAAAAGGTGTCACAGTTTAATTGAGAAAAATTCCTCAAGTTAAAAGAAACGCATATTTCACGGTAGAATACCCCCTTAAATACGGGCCTGGATCAGGTAGGTATTCCTTACGATAAAATGACAACTTCAAATCTGTTTTTAAATATTTAATAAGGTATTATATTACCCCAGTATTATCAAGGGGCGAAAGGGTGAGGAGCTCGAACGTCGCACGTGTCCTCCCACACTGGCAAGGACGCGTATCCCGATACGTAATGGCGGCGTATCGACGGATCAAGCTATTAATCGGCCGAGTGGACAATTTGCACTATAAGTTTTCTTCACGCATTCCGCGAATGTTTTGAGATTTCGACGCGCTACAACGCGCGTCAACTATGTATTTAGAGATCTATTCTCCCGTTTGGAATCTTGTTACGGCCCTGTCACTCATTCCCGAATTCCAAGGGGCCACGGACTACCTGGCCACGTTCGGTCGACGTACATACATGTACCAAATATACATATATTTCATCGAAGCACACACCACGCGGGAAATGATTTCTTCGGTGCTTTCGAGACGTCGTCTGTGAATCGACGTGCCGAAACCTGGTGTTTCTTTCTTTGATGCGTTTAAAACGATAGCCTACTTAATGCTAGGATTTAATATTAATCAATAGTAGCGTCCAATGAGCCGCTCTCGAGACCACACGGCAACGACAGGCGTTCCTCGACGAGCGCTGCGAATTCATAACCTCGAAATTGTGTAAAATACGTGGTACGAGTGCGTTTGGTGAATGCAGAACCGTCGTTTTACGAACTATCAATAACAAAATCGTATTATCGGCAGGCGTGCTGCACTGCTTGTGTAAAATACAAACGGCCAGCGAACGGCAGAGGTTTCCTTGCCCTATATAAACAATAGTGACAACATCGCAGGCAATTCGCTGCACGCAAACAACAATGACCCGGGACTACGCTGATAGCATCTACGGAACACACACAAACACTGTCGATCGTAACTCGCCGTGGAAAGAAAATCATTTTCGTTCCACGTATGCGTCTCGACGTGAAGACTCATCGGGGAAACACCGTATCACGCCAACGAGAAGAAAACTCGACAGGAAACTTAGAAAAAAAACGTACTAGTTCCTTAGCTATAAGTCTAAATGGAATTTAATCGCGGGGTCACGCTAAAAAAAGTCTCGAAACAATCACAAAAGAGGACAAACACACGATCTAGCTCGTAGCTTTCTCGATACTCAAACAAGAAACTTTTAGGTCAAGGTTGACCATAGTTGTAATTTTCGTAACAATCTCAACCGTGAGATACTATTATAACTTCTTTAACCCCTCGACGTATAATTCGTGCATGCAGTGCTCATAAAAGAAACAACGAACCTACGTTCAGACCCGTAATTGTACGGCAATGGGTTAAGAGGCGAAATCGTTCAACAAGATGGAATTTAAAGAAGCCGTGAGGTCTAAAAATTCTAATAATTGCGAGTGTTTATTGCTTAAAGTCTACACCCTGACTGACCTTTCGTTTATTTTTATTACTTTACTGTTTTTTTTTTATATATTTTTCCCCCCCTTTTTTTGGACTTATCGTACAGACGGTGCTAGTCTCGAGAAAGAAGATCACGTGGAGCGTCGATCGCGCGTACGGTTCGTAACGGTTCCTTTCTCTAGTAACGTAACGTCTGTTAATGAGTTTCCAATGACTACGGCCGCTGACTAACGGATGGCCAGCGCGCCATCTGGCGGCCCGTCTCGTCTAGCAGCCTCGTGATTCGCCGGGTTAGCCCCTCCCTCTACGATCGCGAAATTCCAGCGCGAATTAATTGAAACGCGAACCCAAAAGGCGTGGTCCCGATGTGAATTTCTTTTTGGCCAGCGTTGCTCCGTGTTTCACTGACGATTCTCGTCTTTTCGGCGAACCAAATTCGAAAACTAAAAACGTAACGATCCGAGAGCGTGGGCGTGGTCAGTGCCTGCGACTGGCTCGTTCGTTTGACCGGTAACGCGTCGGACGAGCATAACGGATTCAAAGTCTACGCTAAATTCTGTCCGTTATGGGGGGGTTGGGGGGGGGGAAGTACACGTTTTAAATAAAACTAACGTTAACGAGTACGAGTAGAAACACATTTTGCCCATACTAAATAGACTAAAAATATACACGCGATTAAAGAGAATACCATAGACGTCCCTAAGCGCTTCCGGAGTACACTACCGGAATCTCATCGCGGTCGAATTAGCTACGTGGCTTCATTTCTTCTTTTTTCCCCCCGTGGTAAGGTAGCAGACCCAGTAAAAAACACGTTCGAACGTATAGTCTTGAAAAATAATTTCTAATAAGATCAGAGGTCCTCAGTAATCGATCGCCATTTGAGCCATGAAATAAATAAACTTGTGCAGATAGAAAAAATTCGAAAAGACTTTTATTCAACATGTTATAAAACTTAAAAAAACGGGACGGTATTGTCGGACACCTAATAAATAATATTAAAAGAATATAAAACTTAAAATACCTTGCGGTCACACATACCAAACGCCGAGGAATATTTTATATTTTCAAAGAGTAATTCTATTATCGGTTTTTAAAGGTTTTTATTTGTGAGAAACATCTGATTATTAGACAGATTTACATCCCATTTGAGTACGTGGGGAATGGCTACCACTATTAGGCCAGTATCGTTCGTCACTGACAATGGTCGGAATTATGGTAAAAGAAATTGAATCGCGCTATAAAAATTATAGAAAAAATATATAACTAAACGTTTTAAAATTGTACTATTTATGGAACCGATCAACTACTAGGCACTGATCGACTACTGGGTCAACTACCTTACCTCGAACAGATAACAAGAGTATAGGCTTCTACCATCTCTCTTCTCGATCCCTAAATAGCATCGCGGATGCCCGTGCCAAGTTTCAAGAGACGTCGGATGTCATCCGCGCTTTGGTACGACCCGCGAGTTACGCAAGGTCCTTATCGCGTCCTTTGCACGAACGAGGATCGAGAGAGTCGTCGTTTAGCTCCGGTCAAGTAAATAAAAATACATCAAAGAACCATTCACGCACGATGAGACCGCGGTGGACACCGACACGCCATTAAATTCCGTCGAATCCCATTTCATCGCTCCTAGTTTACGTATAATTTCCACGTGACTTTCGCGCGATTATTAGTAATGTGTATGTGTGTATATACGTGATACGCCGCGTCGTTGCGACACGCGACGACGACGATCAAGAACGCGATAGGGATTAACTTAGTTCACGTCGTCGTTATTTCATCACTTTTTTTTGCTTTTTTTTCCTTTTCTTTTGCTTTCTTGCGTGTGTGTGTGTGTGTGTGTTTTTTTTTTTGTTTGCCTTAGGAAGAAGGTACTTGAGTACACCTTGGCCCGAGATAGAATGACTAGCATTTCCGGTTGTTGTTCGCGCCACTGTTCTGGACGCGCAAACGGTCTTGGCGACGGGGTCGTCTGCCTTTTACGCTAAACACCTCGGTCAGCTTATTGCTCCTCTCCAAACGGCCCCGTTTCCACGATTGGGTAGACCTCTTCTCGAGGACCTGCACAAATTTTAATCATGTATTACAGTTATTCGATAATATGGGCCTTACAACCTAGATATGTATTGTTATTCTCTTTTTCACACTTCACTTTTCACAAAATAAACTGTCTTTATAATCACTAGGCGGATGTTTATGCGTTTATGGGGAATTTTAATTCTCAAAATACTATAGAATGCATTTAACATGCAAGGATAGAAGAAATATCTTAAGGTTAGGTCTGGGTCCACCACTAAACGGATGTTTATGCATTTATGGGGAATTTTAATTCTCAAAATACTATAGAATGCACTTAACGTGCAGAAATATGAGAAATATTTTAAGGTTAGGTCTGGGTCCACAGTCTATGGTCCCAATTGTTAAAATAAAAATAAAGAAAAATCTAAGCGACAGTGGTTGTTTTTCCATTAAATGTTGGTTTTAGATATCCGTTGTTATAGTCTTAGATAGGGAAACTGCTTTTTAATCCTACTCGAGTTGTTCATTGCAAAGTGTAACAAAAGAAAATCTTAAATGATTACTATCAGACTATGAACATTTATGCATTTATGAGAAACTTTAATTCTGCGCTTAATATGCAAAAATAAAAGAAATACTTAATGTAAGATACTAAGTATTATACAGAGTGTTCCGCCTTTTTCCATACACACTTCAGCAGCCTGTTCTACAAGCAAAAATAAGACTAAAATGTTATATAACAAAAATATGAACTGTGAAAGAAATGATAACGCTGTTTCTCTCAGTTCAATACAGGACAAGACGAGATACGTACATAGAGTCGATGTTAAGTAATATAAACATGTAAATTAGGATATATTTACTGTCTCTGTAATGAGAGTCTCTGTGACGGTACGTTGTACACTCTACCACGAACGTAATTCGTTAATAAACATGTAAATCAGGTTATGTTCACTGTTTTTCTACGGTTGAAGTCGTACACTGTACTACGAACGCAATTTTACGTTCATTTTATCTTCAATATGCCAAAAAGTCGATAGAAAGTATCGTGAAATGTTTCCTAACAGAAAAGTACCACATCACACACAGCTTTACTAGACTCCATCAGGAACTGTACGAAAGGGGCTAGTTTCATCCTGCGTCACTTTGAAAAGCAGACATAGGTTATGTTTTTACATTACATTTCATATTTCTGTGATAACTTTTAAACAAAGCATTCATTTTTGCTTGTAGAACACGCAACCCTCTACAAAGCTCCCGTTTCATTAATTCTGTCTACTAGTTGACGCTAGAAATAGAAGAGAGACAAGCACCTTTTGCGCCGACCGACTCTGGTCCGTCCTCTTCTCGGTGCGTGCACGACTGACTGTGGGTCTTCCGTCGTGAATGGAGGGCCTGCGTACTTCCCGATCGTTCACGGGACTTGTCACCTGGGTGTGTTCCGCCGAGGCTGCCGCTTGCGCGCCGGATACGACGGGAGGTAAAACGACATCCTCCGCGTCCCGGTCCTCCGGCGCGTCCGGTGTGGGCGGTGGAGTGTCGGGGGCGACCAGGAACGCTGTGGCTCGGTATACGGACATGCTGGGATGCTCGATGAGCAGGTTCTCCAACGGTGATGTTTCCACGTTTACGGGTCCCGCCCGTGTGAAACATGCGGGTGGCGTTACGTACCACGATTCCTCCAGCGTCGCCGCGCCCTCAACTGCAGATTACAAACACGTCAGGTTCGATTCTAACCTCGCGATAACTAAGACCGGCGTCACACGACGGCCATTTTTATGTGCTTCCTTGTCTCACAATCGAGAACAACCAAGCCAAACGTGGGAACTGGTCTTCGTCGTTTTCAATCGCAAGACAAGGAAGAACATAGAAACGCAAGTCGCAACACTTACTATTTTATTACTGTGTTTCTATTTTCTATATTAAAAATTGATGTCTTTTTGTTTTAAAATTAATATTGATTATAGGATTAACATTGAATGCAAAAATACCGTACTATCTTTAAATCAAAATACCTTGAAAATGACACATTGTGAACTTGTACCTACTAGCGTTTCAAAAGCAATTTCTGAATTCGTTCAATTAAAATTGTTAGAGACTCCCTAACGCAAAAAATGATAACCTTTAGCTGTTACTTTCTTCTGTTTAAACCTTCTACTGAGGTCTGTTGCCTCAAATGATCGACATAAGTGCACTCTGTGAATTGATGCCTACACTTTAGTTAAATTATAGATTAATCCTGAACGACGATACCGGAAAGTACGAGCGTGGTGTTGTTAACGATATAAGGTTATTTTTCCACCTGTTGTTTACGCACTTCATTTGTGTATATGTACATGTTCAATAAACTGATATTCCATAGTTAATTATAGCGTATTGCTGTCAGTTACAGTACATGTTTTTGTTATGTTATGTCTCGAGCAAAGACACGTTTCAGTACACGCCTCCCCAACGTGAGAGGCAGTCACATAAGCAAAGGGTGAAGGTACTTTGTCGGATTACTTGAGCAACGCTCCTTTGATAAAGGGCGTTCCTGCCAGACGTACCAATACGGTCAATGAGGATCCAGCCATCGCCCTCAACCTCCACCTGACTGAGCCTCGACATTACTGGAAGGGACTCCGGGGTTTCGTTATTGGACTCTTCCCGTGCATCTTGCGCCCCTGAGATATCACCTCCGAGAAAATAGTTTGCCAACTTGCCCAGCATACTGACCGTCTTGCTCTTCAGCGCCTGCAATGCCAACGAACCGTCGGGATCAAATAAAATATTACAGCGGAAAACTCGACGTATCAAAGGACTCGAAGATGTCTGTTAGGAATCTTTTTTTTTTTCAGGATAAGTGATTTGGAACGGTGCTGTTAAGCAAATATGCACGCTTCGTTGTAACTTCGTTATGCTCGAAGAACAACACACATCTATAGTCGGTTGGGATTAAAATAAATCGATCGTGAATACCATTCATTCTACGTTCAAGATTAAAAGTCATGCGTCAGCACACTAACTCCTTTCAGTCGGCGGGGGAACCGTCCGAACAATGAGGATCGCCATTTAGAAGCTACCTTCGGTTGAAAAGACGTGAAACGATTCTTGACCAACCACGAATTAAGGGAGTAGCCCAGTTATAAAACAATATTCGAGATATTAGATCGTCCCATATGGTCGTTTTGTACTACAACTTGAATATTTTAAACATACATGGGAAAAATTTTAATGGGGAATTCTAGAGGCCAAAATAAAACGAAAATCAAGAATACCAATTTCTCGATTGAGGCTTTGTTAAAAAGTTATTAACGTTTAAAGTTAAAGTGTGCAGCGCGCACGGTTCCCGTCTCACAGACGCAACATTAAACGTTAATAACTTTTAAACGAAGCCTCAATTAAAAAATTACTATTCTTAATTTTCGTCTTATTTTCCCCTCTAGAATCTTCCGTTAAAGTTTCAAATTTATCTGACTATTATTTATATTAAATATGTTGATATTAACGCAATTAAATATAATGTTTAAAGTTCCGTCTGTAGCGCATGACAGTGGTTCTCACTCAGTTTTAAACGAGCCCCAATTAAAAAATTACTTTTCCTGATTTTCGTCTTATTTTGGCTAAAACAGTCATAAATAATAAAAAATTATATTTAATCGCGTTAACACTAGATTTACGGAAGCCTTCAATTTGACGAATGTCAGATTCCATATTTAAAATTGCAGAACGCGTAAATATTATTTTTTAACAATTTATGTTGAATTTTTTTGATGCAATGGCATGAATACATATTCTAATTAAAAGAAAAATCCTATTCTAAGGTAATGTCAACATGAAAGTTATCAATAAATATACGTGCGATCAATGCCCGTAAGTCTAGTGTTAATATCAACATACTTAATATAAATAATAGTCAGATAAATTTGAAACTTTAATGGGAGATTCTGGAGACCAAAATAAGAGAAAAATGAAGAATAGTAATTTTTTAATTGAGGCTTCGTTTAAAAGTTATTAACGTTTAAAGTTCCAATGTAGCGCGTGAGTCTCACTCAGCATGAGAAACTTAACTTAAACGTTAATAACTTTAAAACGAAGCCTCAATTAAAAAATTACTATTCTTCATTTTCGTCTTATTTTGGTCTCAAGAATTAAAAATGACCCCCAAAATGGCCGAACACCTTAAATATAGAAAACAAAATGTTGATATTAACATTACTAGATTTACGAACTTAAATTTAATTTAAATTTACTAGCGTGGGTCTAGGAGCGCGTTACGGAAAATGCAAATCGCCTAGCTATCGGGTCCATGGTCACCATGTTATAGTTATTTCAAGACCGTTGCGCGTCGGCAGACGCATCAGACTTTGAATCGCGTCAGGAACTCTGGCAGTGTCGGTTTCAAAGCCTCGAGCGCGCGACGATCAACCGAATCGGCGTTTGTGTTGGTTCTCCGTCGAGGATCACGAGTTAATTGCATGTATATCATCTTGCAATTACTTTACGAACGTTGCGCAATCGATAAACGTGTGAGAACACCACACCGTGGAATTCATTACAAACGTGACACCGATGTCCGCGATTCGTCATTTCTTCCACGCGTCAGCTTCTAAATAATACGCATTATCGGCACGTTCACTGTCAAAACTTTTCGTCAAATACAATTTAAATTTATTTTTATCGAGTTTTCTTTAGTTTAATCGGAACCGTGTACAATATGACGTGGCAGTCGAGGCGTTGAGTCGCAATATTTGGAACAATTGGACGGTATCCAAAATTTGAATAAACTAATACTTCCGGGGTCTAAAAAGCTCGAAAAGGCAGCTAACATTTCAAAAATTTAACTTTGATTAATGTTTTCAAATTTAAGTCGACGCACTATCAACTGTTTTTGTAAACACTCTATAATGACATTGTAAACCAAACATTATTGCAATGTTAACGTTAGGTTACCATAACAAACACATAGGATTAAATTTATACCTGGTCAAACAAACAGTTAAGTGTGGATAATGATTTTCCAGTTTTCCTAGTTTTCGAAAATATAAAACTGAATTTAAAGCTTTTAATATATTTTTAGTCCATTTTTTATTATTATTTATGGTTCTTTAAATTGTCCATATTTTTTGTTTAAAAATAGGTTCGGTACCAGTGGAAAACAGTCAGCTTTAAGAAAAATTTTCTACAATGGATGCTACGCTGAACACCAACTACACGAACAATAGTAAAAAATGGATAAAAAAAAATATTTTCGTATAATTGAAAATCTAGCACAATAGAATTTTGCAATTTTAATCCAATTATTACATTCTGTTCTAAATTCGAAACTAATTGTTTCCCCTGAAAATGTTTGTTTACCATCGAATTGGGTCAGTTTCGTCCGAACGAGTACGTCAGTTTTTTGCCAGCGATGCACGGAGCGGCGCGCGAATTACGTATCCGAAGCTCGCGTTCTTTAACGCGAGTATAAATACCTCGTTGCCATATAACTTCGCTCGACTTTTCTTTTCGCCTCGCGTTTACGCGCATCGCGCGATCCCGTGCCATTAATTGCGTAGTCGCCGGGTATATGTAACAGCCACCGGGGCGCTGTTAGGTCGTCCCGCCGATATTTAATTATGCTAAGCGTCTCTCCGCGTAATTATGTTAATGGGCAAACGGTTTGGTTTTTACGCGTCTCCTTTAAAGATACGAATCCCCGAAGCGTGTTGGTTTGGAACGCAAAGAAATTAACAATGGGTGCTTCCCGAACTACCTAATAACGTGGTTTTAATTTGAAAATGAACACTCGTAATTCATCGTTAAATAACGGACAACTGACGTGCGAGAGCAAGCGTCGCTATCACGTTATAGCCAATCGGCGTGCCTAGCCATCAAGTCACCACTGTACAGTGTATATACCAAGGGATCGGTGAAATGCTTGTGAGAGCGCGACCCCTCTGGCGGCGAGCTTGGGGAGCAACGCCATAGACGTTAAGAGAGAGTAGAACAGAGAATGAAATAGCTACTAGAATTTTGCTAAAAAAAGTAACAAAACATAACGATAAATAGTAGCAACATTTGTACACCGGATTTTGAATAGTATAAATATGAAGAGTCTACTACTATGCCAGCACGTGTGTTTGAAAGCTGAAACGTTGATAGGAGCGCCAATGGGACGGATAAGTCGTAAAGAGACAGTAGCGTGTGTGACGATGATCTCTCGCGAGAATTGGCGTGTTTGCATGCATGTATGCGACGCGTGTGTGTGTGTGGTGTGTACGTTAAATCGATGCTCCGAGCGACGATAGGAAGCGAAAACGTCGAGTAGTTTTGGCAACGGAAAACGCAACGACGTTCTAGACTGCGTCTGTGTAAAAAGAGCGATGACGATATCTCCCGTTACTTCGCTATTAATTGCTGTTCTTGCACGGGTATTGTTCCTTGGGTCGTTCGATGGAAGCACACTGTTATCTTGTTTTCTTTTCGAGCGCATATCGCACGTGTAACGACTGCTATCAAACCGATACACGCGAGTTTCGGTTTCACTCTTTCCTCGTGAATCATAATCAGCCTAATCACGTTGGTTACCGTAGGCCTTCTTATCGTTGCGTCACGAGACTCGCTGATTTCATCGCTGAAATTGTAACTCGCCTTTCTGATATTACGACCGACTGTAAACAAGCATCCTAGTTTCAAGAAGCGACCAACCGAGAACTTCTACCAGTTTGAATATTATTTTGTCAAATTCTCTTACCGATAATCTCACCTTTTAGCATCAAAAAATTATAATGTAAATAATATTATAAATTATTCTGAAATAATTTTGTCCGTCTAGAATTGGAATTACGACTTTTCGAGAAATCTGTCTGCCGAATAAACGCGGAATCAATGAATCCAATTGTCCACAGCGGCGCGAATGCGTGCCAAATGAAACATTTCCGTTTTTATCTCGCAAATTATGTAACGTCGCGAACGGTTAGTTTGCATAACAACGGAGCGACGAGCATTGCCATCTGGCTACGTCGAGATGACGACGAACGAAATTCGTGGAGAAGCTGATTAACGGGGTCAATGTGTTCCCGACTAAAACGGAGAAAAATGCGGGAGATAGAACGGTGAAATTACTAAAACCAGTTTGTTCGGGACCGAACAGAGCCGAAGCGCGGGATGACGATGATGAAATTTCTATACAAGTTTGCAGGGTTTCTAATAATACGTCGGCTGATCGATGGAGGCCAAAATAGAAGCTCCGCCAAACTTCAAACCTTCTCGGTTACCCTAAAAGAACTTATTTTATTTATCGACTGGATATTGTATATCTATATGTTCGGCCAATCCTGGGAACATTTTAATGGGAGATTCTAGAGGCCAAAATAAGACGAAAATCAAGAATAGTAATTTTTTAATTGAGGCTTCGTTTAAAAGTTATTAACGTTTATAGTTGCGCCTGTGAGACGGGAACCGTGCGCGCTGCACACTTTAACTTTAAACGTTAATAACTTTTTAACGAAGCCTCGATCGAGAAATTGGTATTCTTGATTTTCGTCTTATTTTGGCCTCCAGAATCCCCCATTAAAGTTTCAAATTTATCTGACTATTATTTACATTAAGTACATTGATATTATTGAAATTAAATATAATTTCTCATTATTTATGACTGCTTTAGCCAAAATAAGACGAAAATCAAGAACCGTAATTTTTTAATTGAGGCTTCGTTACAAAGTTATTAACAGTTGCGCCTAGCGATATTCCTGCCAATCGAGTCGCAGTGTCGTTGATACAGCGAACTCGCGGAACAAAGAAGAGGAAGATAGTCGAACGCGAAACGGGGTAAGAGCCATCACCGTGATACTCCTACTCCTACTACTCTCTCTCTGGCAGTAGTTTTCCCCGGTTCGTTTGCTACCGTTCGAGTAAACAGAGTCGTTGGACGAATCGTGGAAGATCGAAGAAGAGAAAGACTATAGTCGGGCCAACGAAACGTATCAGAACTGTTTAGGTAGCAGTAAACACACACGGCCCACTCGCGATCGGTGGTCCGTTCAGAGGCGAATTTGTAACGGATCCTTCACGAGGGCCCCGCATGCAAATCAAATCTCACCGAGAATGAACTCGGGCTATCGAGGGTTAGTGATTTCCAAATGTACACACCGATTAGATATATATCCGAGTAACGGAAGATTGTAAATACAAAAGGAATTATAAATTTGTTTTTATGCCCAATTCGATTTATTAATAATACATTTTTGGTATCAGAATTCGTCCCTGAATGTCTTCTAACCTCAAACCGCGACACGGTAGAATCGTTAGAATTTGTAAAATTAGAGGTTTCACCCTGGAGACTATTGCAACAACCACTGCTCGACACCTATTATACGAACTTGTATGAACTGCTGCAGTTGGGTTCGTATAAATAGAGCTCTACTGTACCCAGTGATGGGCTGTTCGAATCTCAGCCTTTAAACGGTTCGAATTTGCACAAGATAGTGAACATACTAAAAAGATGCAAAGAACATGTACTATAAACAATTGCTCCATTGGTTGTGAATGTTTGTAAATAACGTACTATGCTATACTTGTGTCTGGCACTGTGTATGTAAATTCGAACCGATTTGAAGTGCTTCAAATCCCATCGCTAACCGTAGTGTCGTTCGATCCGCGGATAAAAGGATGTATCGGTACGAGAATAGAAGCAATTGGCTCCACACACCATTCGCGAATTAGCGACATTGCACAATTGACGTTCGACGTGAAAACGTCCAGGCAAACGTTGTTCCTTGGCGCTCGTCGTAAATAGAGCGTCGTGGAGCGACAGTGGAAGATGACGCATCGAATGACTTATACACCGCTGCCATTGCCCTTGCACTTCTAACAATCCGTGCGCGTCGATCAAGCGGTTACCAAGCGGGCTCCTGTACTGCATTGTTTCGATCGAATTCCCCACTACTATATGTCATTCTCTCTCTCTCACTCTCTCCCTCGATTTCTCTTTCTCTCTCACTCTCTCTCTCGCTGACATCCATTGCTCTATCCGTCGTGCACACAAAACCCCAAGGGCTCTCTCTTCGTACTTCGATCCTGACCGCGTTACAAGGACGCTCTGCTGTTGTCTTCCTAATATCACTTTCACAAACGCGAGCGCTCCGCGGGCTCCGTCGGTAAAATTCGTCGACCGTCGGTCCCCCTGCTGGCACGCCAGTCCAAAACAATTACGTTCGACGGTCCGTTTGGTTCGCGTCAACGACTGGCCGTATTTCTTACGGCCATTCGCGGTGATACCTACAAAGACGATCGTAGGCGGTGCCAACGGAACACAGTGTACAAGGAGAGTTCTCCGGACGATCCACCCGTATCTAAGCACCGGTGCGCTGCTCGACGAATTTTTGTGTGTGCCGACGCGCAGAGTCCGCACGGAAAAGCAAAGTTCCGTGTACACACGCGAGCTGCCTGTGACAACGACCTTGATCTCAAATTCGAATTCGAACGCGTTCGCTCCCTCCCTCGTCTCCTCGCGAAAGAGGAACGAGGCACGAGAACAGGCAGCATCGAGCAGCTCCCCGTCGACGGATTCGTAACGTAGTCGAGCGAAAGACCCGCACACTGCATCTCTCGTAGCAGTTCCGATTCAGTCACTCACATACACTCACGGAACAGACTCGGACGCATTCTCAGTCGTACTTCGTTCCTCGCGACGTATCCTCTTTCTTCTTCGTTCGCACTCACGGTTAATCGTAGACGAGGGGGAGGGGGGTCAGGTAGAAATAAGAATAGAGATGTGGAACGGGGCACACACTTACGCGCACAGTCGATCGTACGACTTTTATCTCCACTGACAAACGACGATTGTTGTGTCGTGTATATCGGGTACGCGCGATGCCACAGGATATCGTTGACCCCTCTTTCGAGACACGGTGGAAACAGAAGAGGTGTACGCGGAAGGGGAACGAAAGAGTGACAGAAAGTAGAGGAGGAACAAGTATGTATAAAGAAAAGGATTCACTCGCCTGAACAGTGTTGCGTGTGAGGAGCCGTGGTAGCAACTGCCCGCAGTAATAGTCGTCAGCTGATTTCAACTGTCTTGCTGGGTAGCCGAGCCGTCGTGAGGGGCGAGAGCAGAGGTACGGGAGAGATGGTGGGGGACGAGCTGCGGGAAGGGCTTTTGAAGCGATATCAGGAACGTATTCATCGTGTGACTCCCCGGTGCCCCTTCTCGCATCGATCTACACTGGCTCACCGAAGTATTCGGACGCTCGCTATTAAAACAATAAATACAGTAAATCGCAAAAATATTCGGGGCGCAATGCTTAACGATAACCCTCTGTATCTTTGTTATTTATAAATGGAACGAATTTATTGTTTTCGCAATTGGGTAAACATTTCCAAATTAATACACTTGCGTAATAGTAAACATTAAAATCACGCCCAATTTATGCGTTACCAAAATAAGTAAGCTTTCATCGGGAAGAAAACAAGTATTGCCAAATCGCTGCTTAATTTAAAAGAAACACGCTTCCGGTAAATTGAAAGAACAATGTTTGGATGATGTCACTTCTGTTAACGAGTCTAAATTTAACAGATCTGCTTGGGATGAACGACATACGGGGTGTTCGTCCTGTGAAAAATTTTAATGGGAGATTCTTGGGGCCAAAATAAGACGAAAATCAAGAATACCAATTTGTTGATGGAGGCTTCGTTTAAAAGTTATTAACAATTAAATTCAAAAATTTCAAATCGACCTGGAAAAATTATTTTGGGTTGCGGGGGGCAATTACAATCATTTTTGGTGAATACACATACCTCCGAAATCCTAACCATTTTCGAGAAAAAAAATCGAGTAGGTTTGAAATTTTTCGACGGAATACAAAAATTTCAAATCGTTTTGGAAAAATTATTTTCGGTTGCAGGGGTCAGTTATAATCATTTTTGGTCATTACAAATACCCCCGAAATCCTACGCACTTTCGAGAAAAAAATTCTTTACCGAAAATTTAATTAGGTAATTTTTTCGACGAAAAAGAAATATTTCATATCGTTCTGGAAAAATTATTTCCGGTTGCGGGGGTCAATTACAATCATTTTTGGTGGATAGACATACCTCCGAAATCCTAACCATTTTTGAGAAAAAAATTCGAGAATGTTTGAAATTTTTCGACGGAATAAAAAAATTTCAAATCGTTTTGGAAAAATTATTTCCGGTTACAAGGGTAAATTACAATCATTTTCAGTTATTACACATATCCCTGAAATCCTGCGCATTTTCGAGAAAAAAATTCAGTACGGGCGGAACTTTGAACGTTAATAACATTTTAATGAAGCCTCCATCAACAAATTGGTATTATTGATTTTCGTCTTATTTTGACCTCTGGAATGCCCCATTAAAATTTTTCCCGGGGTTGGCAGAACACTATAATATGGCGTAAGCTAAATTCAGCTTTAAATCCAACAAAATATTATTTACATTGCTCATGTCATTGTAGAGATATTTCACTCTCTACGATAAAGTTCAAAAAACGTTTGCAAATTAATATAAAATTATTTAGTATAAAAATCGTATTTCATAGCCGTGTGAGGCCTATCAGAGGCAACACCATAAACCTCCCCCATAGAGCCACTCGAAGGCTCTGGAATTTTCTTACAACACCTACTTTCTCTCATAGTTTTCACTGCCTAAATTCTACTGTCCCCCTCCACCGCCAACCGATCGTTCGCGAAGAGTAAACAGTTACAGTTACGCTAGCGCCCAAAAAGGGTAGGTTCCATCTTCGTTCGAATCAAATTACGACACAATTGTCGATCCACCATATTTTGCAACAGACCTTACAGCTCATCCTCATGAACGTAATTTAATTTCTTTTCAGCGTGGCTCTATAAAATTAAGTTGTGATAGAGAAAGTGACGCACCAGCACACTACAGAGCATCGTACGATTTTACAACTCGTTGCCCTAACGACGCTCAACAGGAAATAGTATATTGTATCGTGCTTAACACTTTGATGGTCGAACGCGAAGACTGCGGCCTGCCGCCAGCGATTTTCCTAAGCGTATCAACCATACGAAAGCTCGCTGACTGTTCTTCGACCGGAAACGACCCAGAAAATATATAAAACACAACAAGTCGCGAACAGCTGATTGTCAAAGTGTCGATTAAAAAAAAAAAGGTTGGCGCATTTGTCGATTTTCTCCGCTCGGATCGATCCGAATGGAAAGCGTTGGCCATCGGGGTCACGATGATATTGCAAAATAATAAAATTGGAAATGGTAAACCGGGGTTAGAGTAAGAACCGCGAAATCGTAGGAAATGCAGGAAGTGGAAAATCGATGCAGGTCTCGGTGTCTTGGAGCTGGCGGTGCGAGGCTCTCGTATGAAATATGTAACGCTGTGATAATGTAACACCTAACTACTGTTATTTATATTGTGCACGATATAGATATCGTTACACCCCCCGAGATCACGGGGGCTACCACAATAATAAACATTATCGTGAGGAATCCGCGGTCACGCAGAGTCGCAAAATCTTTCCCGTGCGCTGTCGAAACATTACCCGCTAATCGCGGAAACAAAAAACGAGGAGGATCGCGTACGCGTTTCAGGTGATTTGTATTTTTACTTCGTCCTTCGGCCTCGGTTAGACGCGATGGAATAGTTCTATTAACGTCAAACCGCGTAACTTCGACGTTACGCAATTTAACAAAGCGTTGTTATTTTTATGGACGCGTATATAAGACGGATTTGCAACGATGATCGACGAGGAGAACGCGCGACGAGGGGCCCCGGGAATCGGTTTGTTCGGCACTGAACGGCGATCGTGGGTGGGGGAACGCTCAGCTGGACGAACAGCTGCTGGTCGCTGTTAACGCTGGGACACTTGGAAAACTTCCTTTTTACCAGCGTTTATTGAATTTCCGGTAGTTCGCCAAAGCCCGTAACGTTTCTTGGAAACGAAAATCACTGACGTTGGAAACGAAAGATCCATTTCCCAGAATGGACTCTCTAATCATCGATTATGCTCTCTGCCTACAAAATAGTTTCGTTTAGCTTGCAGCGACATCGTTGCCCGTAGTGGCAAGATGGCATCGTGTGTATGTAGCAGTGCTTCTCATGATACGACGCGATCGACGTAAACTCACTCGAGCTCGATGAAAAATTCGAATTTTTCGATAACGATTCTATCCAAATAAGATTATAAGTAATTCTAAACGACACAGCGATCGTAAAACACAGATTTCTAGGTTCTTTTCATAATTTTTTGACAAATAACTGTACTACCTCCTCACACGCATTTATCGATTTTTATAAAATATGTAGAAATTGTTTAAAAGTAAAATAATCATATTTGATCATTTCACGTACTCTATAACGTTGATTCAGATGAATTTGGTTATGGTAGGTATCAAAATGAAAGAGAAAAATCAATAATTTAAAAAATTCACTTCAAAATTTAACTATCGATTTTTTATACTAGAATTGAATTTTTTCATATGGCAATTTCATTTGTCTCATATCATTTTAAAGATACAGGCCCAAAAATAACCGAAATATTAAGTTTTTAGCACGTTTTAAAATATTTATATTTAAATTTGATGATAGGGGCATATTTCTCACTTTTTCACACGAAACAAACGAGTTAAAGTGCATCGATTACTATGGGGATACAAATGAGAAACGGATAAAACTGTAGATATGTACCAAGCGAGACGAACAAACAAATGCCAATAAATTATCGCTGCTTTTGACGTTATTCAAATTTTTTAGTACCGTTCGCGTTTCTATTGTAATAAATTCGGTTTTAGAGTCGCTAATGTGTTTATACCCCACCCATTAAGAGCCTATTCGTCCACTGTGTGGGGACAGGTTCCATGAAACCGGTTACCGTGTTTCCGCTTCGCCATATAATTAATTTTTTGTCATCATTGTATTTACAATGGTTTTAACGATAAGAACGTTCGATTGAAAAAAGGGGAAAAAGTGAATTGTTTATCGGTATAGTGTGTGTTTATAAACAAAACAATACAAATATTATCTCCAGGTTTCGTAACTTTCTTAATTTCGCCATAAAATTGCTGACTTTCGTCCATTGCATTCTTCCAAATTTCGTCGACCTTAAAATCATACAATTATTTTAGTACACATAACTTTCCATGTTATCTGTAGAAACATCAGAACTATTAAGTACTGGACCTTTAGCTACTTTTTTAACCTCTGAATAATTTTAACAAAGAATGTAATTGTTTCAAAATTTTCGAAAAGTTATTTGTTAGTGCAAACAAAACACCTGTAAGTTCCGTTGCATAACTGATTTTGTCAGTATTATTCTATCGGCTAAGAAAAACTTTGCTACTTTCACTGTTTCTGACAAGCTCGCCTCAGAATAAAATACCAACAAACCTAAAATAAGAAACCGAGGAAAGTTTTTTGCTTATTGAGGACAAAACAAAGTCGTCTAGGTTCTTTTTTAGCTGTTTTCTGTATCGCAACTAATCCTTCTGCCCTAATAAACTGAAAATAAGTAACTTTTGCTACAACTAGAGCTTCTCTGTCAATACCTTGTTAAAATCTATTTCTGCTTCGTTTTAATTAATGTATGGAATAGTTTGCTTGTACTTGTGAATTGTCTGGTATATTATCAGGTAATATTCTTTTAATTTATGTTTAGACACGTCATCATCGACACAGTTTCAGGAGATAAGTCTTTGGATCATATTTATGCAACGTTGTGCACATTCTTTATCAAATTACTATTCTTCAAATAAACGAACGTAACCAATTATTTAAAATCAATATAGTTTTCACTTTGTTATTTACTTTGGCCCAGTTCAGGTTAGTTTGGATATTTTTCTCATTCTGAAAGGTTTCAATCTTTATTTTTCTGTTTATACATATTAATTATAGATTAGAGGAGCGAATTTTCGTCTCGAGATCAGACGATTTACCATGTATCAACGAAAAGCCTCGGGATTTCAGCAGCGGTTATACCCCCCAGGACCTTCGCCGTATTTAGAGTGCCTGCTTCCGGACGCTGGTGACTTTGTCAGAAGCAAGGTTTTTGTGTCACTCATAAGGGATGATATTAAAGCTTTTAGACCCAATGGGCCTGATATGAACGACGATCCCTTCATGCGTCGTGCTATTATATTAGCTTTTCGCGCGTTTTCACTTGAGAGCCCCGTGAAAATGATTCATCTTATCGACATGTTTAAGAAAGATCTTCCCATTTGGTCATCTTCCCCAGGGTTACCGTGGAACCTACAGGGTTATAAAACAAAAGGGGATATTCGTAAAAATCCTGATGCGATTCAACGTGTTCGGTTGTTCTGGCACCAAGTTAAGAATCGTGATCCGGTTTCCAACGACGACTGTTGTGCGTTTGTTAGAGCTCAGATTGTTCAAGTTGGTGAAACTAAAGCTCGCTGCGTTTGGGGTTATCCAGCTACAATGATGTTTGGTGAAGCTGTTTTCGCTCTCCCACTTATTGAAGCGTACATGAAGTGCAACTCTCCTATTGCTTATGGCTTTGAAACTGGAAATGCCGGTATGAGAAAACTGATAGATCAGTGCAAGGGGAGGTACTTCTTAGGCATTCATTTCAAGTCATTTGACAAAACTGTGCCGGAGTGGATCATTCGAGTAGCATTCTACATCTTACTCTTGCAGATAGATTTTCTTTACTTCCAGGATTACGGTGTAGCTAGAGGTGATGCAATGCTTCGCATGTGGGACCACCTCATTGATTATTTTATCAACACCCCAATACGTATGTCTAATGGCGAGAGGTACATTAAGAAAGGAGGCATTGCAAGTGGAAGTTATTTTGCCCATATTGTTGGAAGTATAGTAAACTATATTTTCTTAAATTATGCTCTTCTTAAACTCGGTGTTAAGGTTGATTATATTAAAGTGTTCGGAGACGACTCCCTCTGTGGTTTACAGAAGTCAATAGCTGTTGAGGATATTGCTGAGGTGTTAGAACCTCTTGGTATGTCAATTAATGTTGCAAAATCTGGAGTTTCTTCTAGGCTTTCTGATTTAACTTTCCTTGGCTATAAGATTTCCGAAGGTTTCCCAACAAAGTCTGGGGATAAAGTAGACGCGCTCCCTTGATAATCCAGAAACACTAGACGCATGATGGGATGATGTTGCGTCTCGTGCCATCGGAATACTCTACGCCAATCTTGGCGTTGATGAACACGTTCATAGACTAGAGGAAGCATAAGTATGTTATGGTAGTTTATTTATAGTATATTTTTCTGAAATTCCATTATTTGTAATTTTATATGTTATCAAATAGTTTTGAATTTAGCGCTAAAGAAATTCAGAAAATTATAGTTTCTCTGTCGTACGATAGATGGCGCCGTAAAACGAAGTTGAGTTTGTTACTATCGAAATGTGTTCTATCTGTTATACGTAGTGTGTGATTGTACGGTTTAGTTGGTACATGTATGACGTATTAGGTAATTCGAATTTATAAAATAAACAGATGTGTTTTAACTTTCGTCAAGATGAAAAATAAATTTATCGATGTGTTAGCTCGCATGAAAGTAGAGTAATTACTGTACTGTATTAACCTAACTTATGCACTAATAAATTTCGACAATAAATTACACGTATAAAACTAGTAATGTTAAGCAAACAAATTTACAGAGCATTTATTTAGTACTGTCGTAAACATTCAAGTATGGAATACTGTAAATTGTAAAATGTGCTTAAAATGTAAGTATGTAATCTATGTAAGTACGTAATAAATCGATTAGTAGCATTTAATTTATATTTCATCGAATAAGTAACATTACAAAGTGAGGATGTAACTTTTACTTTCTTATTTAAATACAGTTACGATTTAGGTTCCATGGATTTAATGTACTAACTTCTACGTGTAACGAACAACATGGCAAAGCGTAACTCGGATAAAATTGTTTTGAGCTATAATGACTGTTTAATTAGAGCAAGCGATTTAGCGTTACTTCAAGGACCGCATTGGTTAAACGATGTTATAATAGGATTTTATTTTGAACACCTGGACGTAAAGTTTAACAAAAATGAGAACAAAGAACTGTACTTTATTAGCCCCGAATTAACGCAACTGATGAAGATGACAGATCCGTCCGAATATAGCGTGCTATTAGATCCAGCCGATATGTTAGAAAGCAAATGCATATTTTTCCCTCTGAATAACTGCAATAGCAGAGACACGGCAGGAGGATCGCATTGGAGTTTATTAGTATATTGTAAAAGGGACAAAACATGTTACCATTTCGATTCGTCTAAAGGTTACAACAATAGTATTGCTTCAAAGTTTGCAAAAAATCTAATGAACTTTCTGCTTGATAAAAACGAACCTAGTAAGAAGTTCCTTGAATCGGATTGTCCGCAACAGGACAATGCGTACGATTGTGGAATTTATGTTCTCTGTCTAACAGATATAGTTACAGAAAATGCCATAAAAACTGGAAGAGTAGACGGATGCGATTGTAGTAAAGCTAAAAACTTGGTGCCTACAAAACGCACAGAATTATTGCATTTGATAAACGAACTAAAGCGTAAATCAAGTGTAACAGAATGATGTGTTATAACGAAACTGTTATATTTTTTCTAAAATATACATTGTAAATATAATTAAATGTTGTCGTATACCCTGTTAATAAATATGTGTTCTACTGTACGCTGTAGGTTTCCATTTTAAAAAAAAAAAGTGCACGCAAAGGTGCATTAAATTAGTTTCATATTACGAATCATCTGATACCATTTAGGAGGGTACACACCCTGTATTTAGAAAATACTTTTTGACTTTACGGTGTACAACAATGACGAGAACATTGGTTTTGAGTTACAAGTTATGATTATATAAATCTTATTCTATAGTTTGTATTAAAAATACCAATACTTATATTCGATCAATTCTGCATGGTCACAAATGCATACCTTTCGACACTTCGCGCGGGTAAATACTGGACGATTCTTACTCTACATTTAAACTAATTTTGCAATACGTTATGTATCCAACACTTGTATATTTGCAATTAACGTTTTAGTGACAGGTTATGTAATATTAGTAAAATGTTTCTCAAAATGAACGTTTCGTTTCGATGAATCACGGCAATTTGCAAACAGCCGTGTGCATTAGGCAGATCTCTGCATGGTGCAGATAGAAAGCCTACTTACCGACATATCTAACATTATTTATAAAATAATATTTGTATTTAGTTGCGAGTTTAGATAACTCAACTACTTGAAATATATCGGTACAATGTATCGTAGAGGTTAGTAAAATAATTACGGAGATACGAAGGATATAGATTTCAAATATAGTGATAATCAAATGTAAACAGTGATTCATTCTGATAATCGACTATGTGTTTTAATTTCACGCCTGTTCCAAGGTGGTAGAGATGAAGCATTTACGTGAGTACTGAAAATATTCGATGTTTATGTGATCCTTGTAGAATCCAAACTAACCTGAATATTGCAGTGTTATTTTAAATTGTTAATTGTTAATTTAAATTCACTTTTCATTTACCAAGTTACATTTTATGGAACACCGAGTCACTTGTATATGTATAATATATCGTATATGTTTTGAACGAAGCGCAACAGCGACGATCCAGCGATCGATCGATGAGTATCGATTTTGCTATCGCACTGTACGCGAAAAAGTCATCTTTAGGAAAATGTGTGAGATTTTTCTGTAAACAATAAATTTATCCTTGAGGATCTAATCGTAGAATATACGTAACGTGTTAAATATGCGGCAGTGCCATTGTTAATATGTGTATAGTCGCGAATAATTGTAAGAATCGTTGTCAAATATTCGATCTGACGATCGATCATCTTCGTGCGGAAGTGAAACCTGTATATACCTTGAATTGCAAGCGGTGCACGCGGCCAGTATCTTAACGCGTATTGGACGTTAAGCTTGTCTAAACATTCGTGATTTTTGCGCGTTTTGCTTCTAGCGCAAAACGTGTCAGTCTTTCCAGCGCGACGCGTCAAAACACAGTCAGTCGATCCACTTTACGTTAACGATCTAAATACAGTGTTCGATTAACGTGGACGCACATCGATAAAAAGATATTATTTAACTCGCTAATCGTGAAACAAAAATCGTAATGTTTTCGCGTTTAAAACTGTATTTGCGTTAATCTGTTGGCGTAAGACATTAAGAAATAATTATCAATGCGGAATAATTTTAATCAGTGCCTGAACTGTATCACTCGAACCGTTGAAGCTGATATATGAAATTAGGCGATAAAATAATCTTGAATGTACTCGTTCGATACAGTTAAATGAATTTTTAAGGAGGGTTTTATTGTTATTTATATTTGAAATAGAATTGAAGGAAAATAGCTTCGTTGCAATTTTATCGGAGCGAAACTTAACGTTTTTCAGGTATCGTTCGACCTCCTTGAGAGATCAGATCTGTAAATTCCAGTTTATGAATAAACTGTTCAGCGTTGTGTTGATAGTTCTAGTCAATGAAATCATATAATGTCTGCGAAAAAGAATGCACCAATGGACGATGAGAAAAGAAAGCAGCCGAATGAGAAAACAGAAAGCTCGCGTAATTCTGATTATACCTTTGAGCCACCCGATGGTGGCTGGGGTTGGATCATTGTAATGGCGGCCGGATTCTCCAACGTAAGTTCAAACTATTTATAATTCGTTTATTGAAAATTCAATTTTGTTATTTTTCTTTTGGCTTTTAGGATAAAATATTAATTCAAAGTATTATAATTCGTCTATTGCAAATCAAGTTTTATTATTTTTACATTAAAATGTTCAATTGAAAGTATACAGGGTGTTCGGCTACCCCTGGGAGAAATTTTAATAGGGGATTCTAGAGGCCAAAATAAGACGAAAATCAAGAATACCAATTTGTTGATGGAGGCTTTGTTAAAAAGTTATTAACGTTTAAAGTTCCGCCAGTACTGAATTTTTTTCTCGAAAATGCGCAGGATTTCGGAGGTATATCTGTTCACCAAAAATGATTGTAATTGACCCCCGCGACCGAAAATAATTTTTCCGAAACGATTTGAAATTTTTTTTTCCATCGAAAAATTTCACACCTTCTCGAATTTTTTTCTCGAAAATGCGTAGGATTTCGGGGGTATGTGTAATAACCAAAAATTATTGTATTTGGCCCCCGCAATCAAAAATAATTTTTCCAAAACGATTTGAAATTTTTTTTTTCCATCGAAAAATTTCACACCTTCTCGAATTTTTTTCTCGAAAATGCGTAGGATTTCGGGGGTATGTGTAATAACCAAAAATTATTGTATTTGGCCCCCGCAATCAAAAATAATTTTTCCAAAACGATTTGAAATTTTTTTTTTCCATCGAAAAATTTCACACCTTCTCGAATTTTTTTCTCGAAAATGCGTAGGATTTCGGGGGTATGTGTAATAACCAAAAATTATTGTATTTGGCCCCCGCAATCAAAAATAATTTTTCCAAAACGATTTGAAATTTTTTTTTTCCATCGAAAAATTTCACACCTTCTCGAATTTTTTTCTCGAAAATGCGTAGGATTTCGGGGGTATGTGTAATAACCAAAAATTATTGTATTTGGCCCCCGCAATCAAAAATAATTTTTTTAGAACGATTTGAAACTTTTGAATTTAATTGTTAATAACGTTTTAACGAAGCCTCTATCAACAAATTGGTATTCTTGATTTTCATCTTATTTTTGCCTCTAGAATCCCCCATTACAATTTTTTCCAGGGGTAGCCGAACACCCTGTATATTATAGTTCGTCAATTGAAAATTACGATTTATTACTTTTATTTTTCCTTTCAAAATAAAATATTAAATTGAAAATATGTATTATAATTCGTCTATTGCAAATGCAGTTTTATTATTTTTATTCTTACTTTTACAATAAAATGTTAAATTGAAAATATTATAATTCGTCAATTGAAAATTAAATTGTGTTATTTTTCTTTCTTCTTTTACGATAAAAAATCAAATTGAAAATTGAATTTTATTAATTTTAGTCTTGCCTTTGCAATAAAATATTATTTGAAAATATTATAATTAGTCAATTCAAAATTAAGTTTTATTATTTTCAATTTTCCTTTTACGATAAAATATTAAATTTAAACTATTATAATTCGCCTATAAAAAATTAAATTTTATTATTTTTATTCTTCCTTTTACAATAAAATGTTAAATTGAAAATATTATAATTAGTCAATTAAAAATTGAATTTTACTATTTTTATTCTTCCTTTTACAATAAAATATTAAATTGAAAATATTATAATTCTTCAATTGCAAATTAAATTTTGTTATTTTTCTTTTTTCCTTTACGATAAAAAATTAAATTGAAAATTGAATTTTATTATTTTTTATTATTCGAAAATATTATAATTAGTCAATTCAAAATTAAATTTTATTATTTTTATTTTTCCTTCCACAATGAAATAATAAATTAAAACAATCATAAATAACCATAAATATTTAAATTTATTGTTTCAGTTTTGTGTATTACCAATATTGCAATGCTTCGGTCTAATATTTCGCGATAGATTCGCAGAGCTGGATATCAATTCGTCAGAAACAACAACCATACTTAACATAAACTGTGCTGTGACTGCTTGCATGGGTGAAACGTTTATCGTTTATTAATTACTTATTAAATCCACTTTATATCTTGCTCGTATTAAATATGTGCTTACGAACATTCCGTTATTTCGAGATGCAACTGACCGATAGTGACTAATAAAAATAACGTGACGTATCGCCATCGAAATAAACATGTCCTTATCTCGATTGTACTAAATACTCGAATTTCCCGATTATCTCTTTTATACTTATCAGTCGTTCTACCGGAGTATCGATACTCGTGTGAGGTCATGAGCAAATCTCGTATGCTTCTGTTGTACTTTAGCGTCTCGTTAATTGGATGCAATGATTCTTATTATTTCGCGGCGACGATCGTAAATCATCGATGGAATGTGAAGTAAACACAATTCACCTAATAACATTTCATAGACAAACGATATCATTTTCCAAACTCTTACATTATTAAAATAAAAATTCAATTTACTAGTTTAAAATTATTAGTATTAGGTCTATGCAAAAGTTTTAGTTTTTTCTTTTTATTTACATGTACAATTATTGCCCCCCATTTCACATCTATTTTATGAATTTGAACGGATTAAAACGTTTGCATACACCTAGGAGAGGCTAATAAATAAATAGAAATAAGAATATTAAAAACTAAAATTAACGACATTTTAATGTGTCTTAGGGTTAGCTAATGGCCCACTGTTCAGGAAGTTCAGCTGCAGGCAGGTGTCGTTCGCAGGCGCCCTTATTTGCTTTGTGTCGATCACGACGTTATCGACCATGAAAACTTTCGTCGGTGTTTTGATGGTTTTCTCGATTTCGTATGGTAAGTTAGAGCGCGACTAAAATGCGATAATGAAGTAAGAAATTCCACTTTAACACGTTGTCTGCCAGACCAAACTCCTCAAATTAAAAGGGAAATTAAATTTTAAACAACTGGAAACTAACACACCCATCATTTGTTATTGAATTTATTTTCACAGACTCGTTAAAAATTCAAGGGCACTACCCATCTTTATTTTAAGCTTGACAGTACCCACATGTGGCAGTCAATGTGTTGAGACAGAGATATTTGGAAATAGATGCTCATCAAATATTTAATTTTAGCTATTGGGACCGGTATCACTATGTCATCGAACGCTTTGGCTCTAAACACGTACTTTAAACAAAAAAGAAGAATTGCAACGGGGCTCAGTTGGACTTGCACGGGCATGGGGCCTATTATAATACCACAGGTAATTTTACGTTGCATAAAAAAATATTTATAAACAATATTGGGCCTTAATGACCAAGTCTAAAACTTTAATAAACGCCTTAATTTTTAGGTAGTTACATTGCTGATGCCTAAATATGGCATAGAGGGTACCATTCTTATCTTCGGCGGTGTCGCGTTTAATGCAGTCGCGTGTGCCCTTCTGCTGCAGCCTGTTTCACAGCACGCGAAACGGAAACGAAGCGCAGAAATATTAAACGCCAACAAAGACGAAGAATTGTCGACGTGCAATAAGGTACGATTCAATAATAAGTAATATTGTAATGTAAATAGTGATGCAAAGAGAGTAACACGAGGATCCAAGGCTTTAACAACATGGCGTCGTACAGTTCCTTCTGGAATTACCGCGAATCTTTTCACGGGCGCTACGATGCTCGCGACGCAGTTACAGAGTCTCTAATTGTTCACGGTGAAGTTACACGGTGTTGTTTTCTTTACGTGCGTGCAGACCCTGCATTACGTTACCAAGCAATTAAATGAAAAACTTCATCGCGTTGACCGTGATGTAATTGCGTTTTTCTAGATAACGCCAGAGGCGAATAATGAAAATGAGAAGAGCAAATCGTTGGAGAACGTTGCTAACAATACAAAAAATAGCACTTTGAACCTTGCGAAAGGAAAATTCGGAAGCCAGTATTTGTACTACGACGACGAAGAAGATGGCGCGTCTGGGATAGACGTAATTGGTCCTGGTTCCGCTATGATAGCACGAGCTAACGATGGTTGGTAAGTGAACAGTTGTTAATTTAACACATTACCGACCGACAGCCTATTAATCGACTTTTTTACCGGCCAACACTTACCGACCGATAGCGCATTAATCAACTTTTTTACCGACCAACGCTTACCGACCGATAGCCGATTTATCAACCGCTACCGGTCGGTAAAGTGTTAAAATCACAGACGAGGTATACGAGTAGATCACACATTATATTTTAAAGAATTTTTTTCTCGAAAGTGGTTAGGATTTGGAGGATATGTCTAATGACCAGAAATGATTGTACTTGACCCCTGAAACCAAAAATAATTTTTCCAGAATGATTGGAAAAATTTTTTTTCCGCCGAAAAGGGGACTACTCCATCTCAATTTTGCTTAAGAAGTCGTTTTTCATTTTTAATAAATTTGTTTGACGCGCTACAGAAAATTTGTCTAATACTTTTTTGTAGGTACCCATGAGCTCTACTTTAGAAAAAAGTTTCATCGAAATATATTCGCTATTGTAAGAGTTATGGCTGTTTGAAAATTGGGACCTACAGATTAAATTTTCAATAATGAATTTTTTCCTCGAAAGTGCGTAGGAATTCGGGGGTATGTCTAGTGACCAAAAATTATTAGAATTTACCCCTGAAACCAACAATAATTTTTTCATAGCGATTTGAAATTTTTAATTTTGCCGAAAAATTTAGGCACCTACTTGGAATTTTTTTCCCGAAAATGCGTAGGAATTGGGGACTATGTTTGTTCATAAAAAATGATTATAATTGACCCCTGAAACCAACAATAATTTTTTTATAGCGATTTGAAATTTTTTAATTTCGTCGAAAAATTTAGGCACCTCTCTGAATTTTTTTCTCGAAAATGCGAAGGATTTCGGAGTTATATGTATTCACCAAAAATTATCATAATTGACCTCTGAAACCGAAAATAATTTTTTCCGAGCAATTTGAAATTTTTTAATTTCGACAAAAAATTTTACCACCTGTTGGTAATGTTGCGAATGACATGAAAATGGTAATGGGACTCTAGAGAAAATTGGGCCAGGAAAATGGGCCGAAAAAATACATTGGACGTAAGGTCTGCTCGTGTAGCTCGCTTGTGTTATGTGTACATAATAATAATTGAAATGTAAATATATAAAAATTGGTCGACTAACGCTCATTATAAATTAAAATCTTGATCGATGAAAATTAAGTTCATAAATGATGATACAAAGAAAAAACAGGTTAGAAAAATTTAGAATGAAACGATTTGAAATAGGTTTTCCAGAAAAAATACATCGACTCTATCAATAACGTCCAGAGCATCGAGAAAGGACAGCATTTCAAGGAATTCTAGTCGAAAACCATCGCTGTCTCTAAGCAGACAATCTAGTATCAATACTGCATCGTCGGTAAGAAATCTTAATAGGTAAATATTTGTTGCATAAAGAAAATTTAACAAATACGTATGTCGATTTATTATTAAAAAATAAAAATGCACCAGAAATAAAAACGTCGACTGCCTTTGTAGCTTTTTAATAAGCTTTAAATTTATTTATCACTGAAGGCAAAACAGTGAAACAGAAAGTTACCGACGGAGAATTTCTGGACTCCCCGCGCTTCCACTGATTATTGTTAACGAATCCTGCGAGCATACAGAGGATGCTGAATACTGTAAAGATCCTCTCTGCATTCAAAAACTGCAACAAAAGTTGGCGACGTCCGAGGAAGTCGAAACTGATAAACTCTTAAAAGTGGTGAGATTAAATTAAATAACAGTTACTAGTTATGGTCCAGGGAAAAGTCATCAAAACTCGAGAAATATTAAAATACAAAGAAAATAATTTTTTTTGTAACACGAATTTCAGGAATGCACCGAAGAGACAAAGAAAACAACTTGGTTGGAATCTTTGATAATTTTTTTCGACTTGGATCTCCTCCGCGATCCCGTTTACACAAATCTGATGCTGGGCATCGTATTCGCCAATTTCGCCGAGATGAATTTCGCTTTATTAACGCCATTTATTCTGGGCGAATACGGATTCTCCAAGACGCAAGTCGCAACTGTAATGTCGATACTTGCCGGCACCGATGTGGGCACCAGACTGACGATTCCCTTCATTGCCGACTGTATCGGTTGGCAAAACAGAACATTCTTTCTCGTAGGTGTCACTGGAATGGCATGTGGTCGCATCGGTAAGATATCAATGAATTTTAAGCGAGAATTAAAAGCTATATACAAGGTGTTCAGTCACCCGTGGGAAAAATTTTAATGGGAGATTCTGGAGGCCAAAATAAGTCGAAAATCAAGAATAGTAATTTTTTAATTGAGGCTTCGTTTAAAAGTTATTAACGTTTGAAGTTGCGAGTCTTACGAGCGAGACATGCGCGCGCAGCTGTTCACAGATCAACTTCAAACGTTAATAACTTCTCAACGAAGCCTCAATCAAAAAATTCTTATTCTTCATTTTCGTCTTATTTTGGCCTCCAGAATCCCCCACAGTAGTGCCCACTTAAGTGACCGTAACCGCGACTGGTCCCAAGCGTGGTCACTTAAGTGGGCACTACTGTGGGGGATTCTAGGGGACAAAATAAGACGAAAATCAAGAATAGTAATTTTTTAATTGAGGCTTCGTTAAAAAGTTATTAACGTTTAAAGTTAAAGTGTGCAGCGCGCGCGGTTCCCGTCTCACAGACGCAACATTAAACGTTAATAACTTTTTAACGAAGCCTCAATTAAAAAATTACTATTCTTGATTTTCGACTTATTTTGGCGCCTAGAATCCCCCATTAAAATTTTTTTTTAATTTTAGAGTAAATACCTTTGCAAATAACTTCTCTAAAAACTCTGTCTGAGCCATTAATTTTCAATTTATTTATTCCAGTGTTGGCACACACGCGTGACTTTGGAATTATTATAGCAGTTGCAGTCCTAATTGGCTTTGGGAAAGCTTTGCGTACGATATTCATGGCACTTGTGATTCCAGGTCACGTCCCTTTATCTAGACTTCCAGGTGCAACTGGTATCCAGTTGTTAACCAGCGGTATAATCTCGTTTTCGCTAGGCCCTCTTGTCGGTTGGATCAGAGATATCACGTCCAATTATGCAATCTTGCTTCACAGTCTGAATGTCTTCACATTTTTGACTGTAATTTCCTGGTCACTCGAGATGTACTTCACGAAACGAAAATCAAAAAAGAACGAGACACAAAACAGACCATTAGCTGCTTGAGCGTGTGGAGTTTACAATTTTGTATCAAAATGAACAAATAAAAAAAAATGAACGTTTTATACTTGTGCTGGACGAATTTTGTTTACAAGTATGATTTATTGGTAAATAAATATATTATATTTTATCACATTTCCTGTCCTAGCGCAATCGTTGCGTTCAGGGAATAGCGAATAACAATGTCGTAATGATTATTGTAATGATAGGGCACAACTGAAGACTAATGGTCAGATTAGATTAATTGATACTTTATAAAGGCTTTTATCAGTATCAATCGTGATGACTACTCACTTTATGCGGACACTTCGACACCTGTCATTGTGAGAACACAAGACTGATGTTACTCTTATAATACTCTCATTACGTATTGTGTCTAAAATTTGTTTTAATTCATTGAGAAACTTATGAAACCACTGCAAACAGTATTTACGCGGTTCAGAGTGCTACGCAAACAGATGCAAATAACGATAACGATACTGTGTTGATTTATGAAACGAGTTTTGTGTAGAAAATGGTGATAATGTGGTAAACAAGTATTAAGAGAAGTTGTGTAAATTTGTACAGCGATATTCTTTGTCTACCCAAGCATCACAGAGAATCAAATCATTTCAAAGAGTTTTTGTTCAAGAGTTCATTTTTAATCCGATGAAGATATTTGTGTAACACTTTCCAACTAATATGGTATGATACAAACAGTAAAATTGATGTTAGTATAAAAAAGAAGAAAACATGTCAGAAGGAGCTGCTAAAGTACCTCCAAATGGAAAATGGGGTTGGATGATTGTTTTAGCATACGCTTTAAACGGGGTAATAAATTAAATTTACAATTTAAACAATTTTTATGTATTTTTCACCGACAGAAATAAGTTTTATTGTACTTTTATTTTAAAAATTGAATTGTTATTCTCAGATCTCGACTGTGCCTATATTCCAAGGATTGGGATTAGTGTTTAAGGACACTTTCCCTCGTTTTGGGTTCAATGCCACGGAAGCAGCCATTATTATTAATACAAATTTGGCATTTGGTATGGTACTTGGACTGATTAATGGACCGTTATTGCGAATTTTTGGATATAGAAAAATGGCTATATTTGGTAGTTTATTGTATTGCATTGGAGTGACAATGACAGCGTTCATCAGATCGTTTACCCTCTTTATAGTATTCTATGGTATCATTGCTTGTAAGTACAACTCGTATCCGTGACAAAATTGAACGATATTCATTCTTCAATTGAATTTCTAGTCGTTTCTGATTTCTGGAATAATTGAAATGTAATTTATTTAACATTTACAAGGGGATCCACAGTCGTGGAAATTGCTTTTGAAAAGATACCAAGTGCAAATTATAGTATTTAGTATCAAAAAACTATAATAGGTTTCTTCACAATATCTTTTTTTCGAGATATTTTTATTTAAAGTTTGGTATATAAAATAAACTAATTATTTATCTTAATTTACGAAGTACTTTTTGGATAAGTTGGTAAAGAGATTAGCTTCGAATCTTTTGGTAGTGTGTTCGAATCCCCAACGAATAACTTTTTTTTCTTTCATTATTTTTAAATGCAAAAATATATTTTATTTGTTACGTATAAGTGACATAAATATTATAGGAATCAATCCTTAATTTTTTAGGGATGTGAAGAAACCGATTAGGGTCTTTTTATACTAAATATACAGAGTGCTCAGTCAACCCTGGGAAAAATTTTAATGGGAGATTCTAGAGGCCAAAATAGGACGAAAGTTAAGAATACGAATTTGTTGATGAATGCTTTGTTAAAAAGTTATTAACATTTAAAATTTCGCCTGTATTGAATTTTTTTCTCGAAAATGCGTAGGATTTCGAGGGTATGTCTATTCACCAAAAATAGTTGTAATTGACCCCTGCAACCAAAAATATTTTTTTTAGAACCATTTGAAATTTTTTAATTTCACCAAAAAATTTGACCTCCTTTCTGAATTTTTTTCTCGAAAGTGGGTAGGATTTTGGAGGTATGTGTATTCATCAAAAATAATTCTAATTGACCCCCATAACCAAAAATAATTTTTTCAGAATTATTTGAAATTTTTTAATAACTTTTTAACGAAGCCTCAGTCAAGAAATTGATATTCTTGATTTTCGTTTTATTTTGGCCTCTAGCATCTCCCATTAAAATTGTTCCCAGGGGTGATCGAACACCCCGTACACTATAATTTGCACCTGCTACCTTTTCAAAAGCAATTTCCACGACCGTAAAATCCCCCCGTTTGATCCTTTTCACATTGTCCGGTTTTCACATTCTGGTTGAAGATGAACACATGTCTTATAATAATTTTAGACTTTCCTTTATACCGTAATGGCGTACAATATAATTTTTCTTTATAGCACTAGGCATGAGCATTACGTTTTCTGCCTTCTCGTACGCGCTGAATTCTTATTTCACGACAAAAAGGGGACGAGCAATGTCATTAGCGTTAACAATGATTGGCCTCGGTCCTATAATTGTACCACAAGTTACGACAGTCTCACTCTCGTATTATGGATTTCAGGTATTTGTTCAGGGTGTTCTGACAACCCTGGGAAAAATTTTAATGGGAGCTTCTACAGGCCAAAATAAGACGAAAATGAAGAATAGTAATTTTTTAATTGAGGCTTCGTTTAAAAGTTATTAACGTTTAAAGTTGCGTCTGTGAGACGGGAACCGCGCGCGCTGCGCACTTTAACTTTAAGCGTTAATAACTTTTTAACGAAGCCTCAATTAAAAAATTACTATTCTTGATTTTCGTCTTATTTTGTCCCCTAGAATCCCCCACAGTAGTGCCCACTTAAGTGACCACGCTTGGGACCAGTCGCGGTTACGGTCACTTAAGTGGGCACTACTGTGGGGGATTCTGGAGGCCAAAATAAGACGAAAATGAAGAATAACAATTTTTTGATTGAGGCTTCGTTGAGAAGTTATTAACGTTTGAAGTTGATCTGTGAACAGCTGCGCGCGCATGTCTCACTCGTAAGACTCGCAACTTCAAACGTTAATAACTTTTAAACGAAGCCTCAATTAAAAAATTACTATTCTTCATTTTCGTCTTATTTTGGCCTCTAGAATCCCCCATTAAAATTTTTCCTTGTATATGTACCATAAGTTTATTTTCATTATACAAATTTTTAATCATACATTTAAATATTATTATTAGGGCACTGTTCTATTGTTCGGAGCGTATAGTTTGCATTCGTTGGTAGGAAGTTTATTACTTCAGCCATTGAAATGGCACACAAAAAGTGCAAAAGTTCAATCGAATAGCGAGGACGAAGAATTAATTATAAATGGAACAAAAAGCAAATCCGCAGGTAAAAATTCTCACAAATGCAATAAAATAATAAAAATTATCACAATTTATACAATTTCATTTTATTATTTACGAACATTTGTTACAGATATTAAATCTGGTTCTGATGAAAAAAACACTAATTTTCAAGAGGATGAATACTCCTTAAACTCAGTATTGGATTTAAGCAACTTGCAGAAAAGAAGAAAAAGAACTACTTCAAAGCTCGATTACGATTCTGATATTGGAAGTATATACGGATTTGATATACTTTTCTCGCGACAACTCTCGGAGACAATGAACGGTAATCAATAAATTGTTTCAATTCAGTTCATATCCTAAAAGTAGAATAACTTTTTTTTAAACTCTTTTTTCATTTTTGTATGCAGTTTTGTTGCATTAAAAAATTGTTAAATAAATTGTTCGTAATAATAAATAACGATTTAGTTTCTTCGGGAGAGAAGGACGTCGATGTATACAGAAACAGGAAGCAACATGATCGGTGTACGTATAAAAAAATGATTCAAAAACAAAAATAATAAGAAGACGAAAGATAGCCATTTTGTTTTTTTTTTTTTAGATAAAAGTGTCGATACGATCAATCTTGGTAGCAGCGTGAAGATTTTTGACGAGAGATCTGGGTTTGAAAGGAAGCACAGTAACTTGAGTATTCCCAATGCAAATGATTTTCAAATGGAAAACAATTTATTGTTAAAAAATAACTCAGAAAAAGAAATGGTAAATACAGGATCTGATAGCAGCGAAGAGTATGTATAACTTCCTAAATTACTTCTTTGATTCAGAATTACCCATCAAATGTACTGATAAAGTTATCTGGCTTCTTCCTGGAACAATTTGTACAACAAAGACATAAACCAATTGACGTGTAGTAAATGTTACATCAAATGATTATTCGTTAAGCAGTCTAAGCTTTTAGTAAACCACGTGTTAAATACTGACTCTAAGAGGATGAGTCACTGTGCAAAAGCCTTGTTCAATTCTTACATAAACCAGCATTTAATCCAGACCTAATTTACTTGGCCATGAACAGACAATTTGAACTGATCTAGACTATTCTAGTCTAAAATTACTGCTAATTATGGTGATAAAACCTCCATTTTTAATTCCAGAATTGTGGAGGGAGCAAGGGTCAACAAAAAGAAATAAAGTTGCATGATACATATTTTATAATAAATTAATTTTCATTGCAGGTCAGAGAAGAAGTCAGTTATGAAACAAATACTCCAGAAAATAAATCATGTGTTTGATCTGGATCTGTTAAAAGATCCAATATATGTAAACATTATGGTGGGAATGTCGGCCGCCATCTTTGCTGAGGCGAATTTTTCCACGTTGACGCCATTCATTTTAATGGATATGAAATTATCCACCAAGGAAATTGGAATCGTTATGAGTATCATTGGCAGTTTGGATCTAGTTTTCAGAATGATGGCTCCATTCCTTGGTGAATGGTTTCACCAACCTCCAAGAATAATGTACCTAATAAGTTTGTGCCTTTTAATTATAAGCAGGTCATGTACGTGTTTTATTATACAATATCGAGCAGAGAGAAGTGTAAAACGTAATTTAAAATTCATGTTTTTTTGCATTATCGTTTTTCAGCGATAATATTTGTCAATGCATTTACTCCAATGGTGATTGTCGCTGTTGGATTAGGGATTGCCAAGGGAATTCGTACGGTTTACATGAGTCTAGTGATACCTCATTATGTACCGATTGAGAAGTTACCTAACGCGTCGGGAATTCAAATGATCGTGAATGGATTATTCCTCCTAACTGCTGGACCAATTCTTGGTTCGTAACAAAAATGTAATGGGAGATTCTGGGGACCAAAATAAGACAAAAATGAAGAATAGTAATTTTTTATTTGAAGCTTCATTTAAAAGTTATTAACGTTTAAAGTTGAAGTGTGCAGCGCGCGCGGTTCCCGTCTCACAGGCGCAACTTTAGACGTTAATAACTTTTAAACGAAGCCTCAATTAAAAAATTACTATTCTTGATTTTCGTCTTATTTTGGCCTCCAGAATCTCCCATTAAAGTTTCAAATTTATCTGATTATTATTTATATTAAGTATGTTGATATTAATTAAATATAATTTCTCCTTATTTATGACTGCTTTAGGTGTGATTCGCGACCGCACTGGATCCTATGCGGCTTGTATAGTCATGATGAATTTTATCACTGCATTCACAGTGGTAATATGGACGGTGGAAATGCTCATTGTTCGGAGAAGAAGATTACGAATGGGAAAGCAACAAGAAGCCAATTCTTAACCTTAGTTTCTGTTGCAGGGCGTATCCTAATTGCACTATTAGTCCAAGAATCATTCCATTCTACCGATGTGTACATAAATATCATATTAAATGTTTTCAATTAATATTTTCAAGATAGTTTAATTAGAAACATCTGCACCATTTCCTACATGGAATGGTGACCGTATCATCTCAACTTTAATTAAGGTCGTGTGCTTATTCAATGTCGTTCGCCACAGGAATAGACTTAATGACGTGAAGTGTTTCGTTAAAAGCGGCTCGAGCCATTTTACCACCGCGATCTTGCCTGGTAACAATAGATCGTTTTTTCCCAGAATCTTCCGGTAAAAGTTCTCGCACGCCGCTAAGACAACAACGACTGAGACTTTTGCTCGAAATGACCACTATTTGCGTTAACCTATTCGATACTCAAAAACTGACACAGTTCAAAAAATTTATTGGAAGCAACTGCATATAATAAATATGATACTACGGGTTCCCATAAAAGCAAGCGTCTTCCTCGATTAGACGTGACTCCTTTTAATTGATGATTTACTCCTAATTGAGAATAACTCTTACTTGACGTTGGAAAGTGTCTTCACTATCTAGGCCAGCGCGCGAAGAAACGTATTGTTCGAAATTGATACGAAATTTTCAGCAACTTTTACCAATTTTATCCCGACGCAAATGACCAGAAATTGGAAAAAATATTTTTGAATTTGCATTTTGCATTTTGATGAATAATAAGAGTAGAGAGTCGTGTTAAATTTCAGTCACGAATTTATGGTAAAGTATTCGCACTTTTCGATCAATGAAGGAACGTGAACCGAAACACGATCTCCTTTCACTGTATAATCGGGAAAGTCCAAAACATTGTCAATCCGACAGCACGCGGAATATGTATGAACGTGCATCGGCTGTAGCATCTGAATACAAATGGCCGACTTCTTTTGGCCGACTACCAAGCATGGAAAATTATCAGAAGCGACTATACAAGGGAAAATATTGCAAGTTTGACCAGCGTGTAATCAACCAAAAAACATAAATGCACCAGCAGTTTAATAAGCCGTCTATTATCAAACATTTTACATAAAAATAAAATAATATAAATGTTATTATGTTTCATATTTTAATGGTCGAGTGATGTTTGAAAGCGTTCCATTTATTTAGTGTTTTATGATATGGGATAGTCAATTGTTAGCGATTAATTTTGTTGCTATTATACAATACTAATTGCGAAATTTACAGGTTAATTTGTCGATAGTTACAATTAAAATTAATTCTATTTATCGTACGAATGAAATCTTAGCTTTTTCGTATATTTACAAGATAACGAATTCGAGTAGCAAATGAAAGGAATTTTAATAATTTTATAGTATATTCGTAATAACTACAGTTTTCCTTATTATAAGAGGAAGTAAAATAATTACGATTATCGGAGACTTAGTGTTCTTTGTATCTTTTTACAAAGTTGGCTATTTATAATTTACATATTGTTTACTAGTTGACTTATGCTCGATACATGTGTGCATAAGTATTCACTGGCCGTAGCAATGTTCTAAACTTGCATTTAGAACACCGAAATTGTTTCATTCGGCGTAAAATACTTTCGAAGTGACAGGAATATCTTCAAATGTTAGAAGACGTAAATGATCAGTCGATTATTTATTCACAATTATTATTGTTTTTGAGCCTCTGTATTTTAAACGTACCTCCATGTCATCGTTTAGCTCGAGAAACCTGGAAATAATGCATAAATGTTGCATGTTAGATACACCGCCATTTTGTTTTCTGTATTTAAGGTGTTCGGCCATTTTGGGGGTCATTTTTAATTCTTGAGACCAAAATAAGACGAAAATCAAGAATAGTAATTTTTTAATTGAGGCTTCGTTTAAAAGTTATTAACGTTTAAAGTTGCGTCTGTGAGACGGGAACCGCGCACGCTGCACACTTTAACTTTAAACGTTAATAACTTTTTAACGAAGCCTCAAATAAAAAATTACTATTCTTGATTTTCGACTTATTTTTGCCCCTAGAATCTCCCATCAAAATTTTATTGAACACCTTCTATTATTTCCACTCTATTTACAGTATTTTAAGAAAACTAACTCTACCTTTGAGTGTCCAGAGTAAAGCACCGGTCCATCCAAGATGTCCCCAGCCGATTCGTCGCCAGATTCATCCAAATTCAACGAAGCAAATTCCTCGTGTTCCATGATCCCCCATAACGGAACGTCTTCCTTCCCCGTGGACGCGACAGCAAGATTGTTCACCGCCTGGGGAAGCACTTGGTAAGCTTTCTCGATCGCCTCGAACTCGCTAAAACTCTCTTCGCTTTTCTTCGAGTTGCTCGGATCTGTTCGATCATCGTCTGCCTTCTGCTTTTCGAGTTTGCTCTTGGCAGACGTTGACGGTACCGGCTGTGGCGTCACCACGTAAACTCGTTCTTTATTGACTGGCGATATCAGTACTGAGTATCCGTCCCACGTCGACTTTCCGTTTACCGTGGACTTATCTGTACTTTCCGAGATACTCGTGGTCGATTTAGAGCTCTCTATTCGCACGACTTTCTGAGGCTACAAACAAAAGTTTAGTTACTCCCCTTACCATCGATCCTTAAATAATTTCTGTTGGCAGATAGATTACCGCTCGAGACTCCTCGATGTGATTGCTCGCGGAACCCTCGTGCTCCACTTCGTTGAAACTAAATCCAGCCAATGAGTACGTCTTCACACTTTCGTTCTTATCGTTCGACTCGTTTGTGTGATCGCCAGGCTCTGTCGTTGTTAGGTACTCCGTTGGGATTTTCTTTGATGGCAAAAGATAGGGATGCAGGGAACTGGGCAAGACTGTACTGGACGTTGTGAATTTTGAATATTCCTGAATAAAAATTCGACGTTATTTTATTTAATTGCAATAATGTAAATGTACTTAATGTAAATAATAGTCAGATAAATTTGAAACTTTAATGGGAGATTCTAGAGACCAAAATAAGACGAAAATCAAGAATATCAATTTCTCGATTGAGGCTTCGTTTAAAAGTTATTAACGTTTAAAGTTCCGTCTGTGAGACGGGAACCGTGCGCGCTGCACACTTCAACTTTAAACGTTAATAACTTTTAAACGAAGCCTCAATTCAAAAATTACTATTCTTCATTTTCGTCATATTTTGGTCTCCAGAATCTCCCATTACATTTTTGCCATACATATACCTAACTCCCTGTACGTAATTATTATACATTATAACAAGATAATCGACAAATCGATCTTACTTGTATCGTCCAGTTATCAATATTCTTTTGTAATCTGCGCACATCGATAGAATTATTTGTTCTTGTGTTAGCAGGTCTTGCATCTGATTCCTTCGTACTCAATTTATTGGAATCATTTAAATTAAATTGCGCTTGCAATTGATTTATCAACCGAATCTCGTTTCTCGATTCCTGTTGTAGGTAATTATCGCTCGTATCGCGAGAGGGAGGTGCTTTCCTCGATTGCGTTCTTTCGTGGTTGTTTTTAACGCTCCAATCTCCGTAAGATTGTTGAAACGGTATAGGTGTGTATTCCGACGTATACGGTATAATAACTTGTACCTAAAATTGTATTATTTGTTATATTTTTGGCAATATCATGCAATAGAATTCGAGTTAGGATTTATTTTCCCCGATAAAAAGTCTAGTTAAAAAATAAGGGGGTTTCCCAGTGTGAATCATTTTCTTGGAGAATTTTTTGCGAATAAACTATAAGATATATTGCAGTCAAATTTACAGGGTTTATTTATAGATATTTCAGTGATATTTCAGAATTTTTTGGGCGAGAAAGAATTAAAATTGGTGGCCCTGCATAATCTCAAACGTAATCAAACAAAGTCGATTTTAAAATGCACTACTGTGAAGTGTACTTTTTTAGATTTTCTTAGGGAATTTTTTGCGAATAAACTATAAGACCTTTTTCAACCAAATTTGCAGGGTTTATTTATAGATATTTCAGTGATATTTCAGAATTTTTTGGGCGAGAAAGAATTAAAATTGGTGGCCCTGCATAATCTCAAACGTAATCAAACAAAGTCGATTTTAAAATGCACTACTGTGAAGTGTACTTTTTTAGATTTTCTTAGGGAATTTTTTGCGAATAAACTATAAGACCTTTTTCAACCAAATTTGCAGGGTTTATTTATAGATATTTCAGTGATATTTCAGAATTTTTTGGGCGAGAAAGAATTAAAATTGGTGGCCCTGCATAATCTCAAACGTAATCAAACAAAGTCGATTTTAAAATGCACTACTGTGAAGTGTACTTTTTTAGATTTTCTTAGGGAATTTTTTGCGAATAAACTATAAGACCTTTTTCAACCAAATTTGCAGGGTTTATTTATAGATATTTCAGTGATATTTCAGAATTTTTTGGACGAGAAAGAGTTAAAATTGAAGGCCCTGCATAATCTCAAACATAGTCAAACAATGTTGTTCTTAAAATGCACTAGTATGAAGTGCATTATTCTAGACTTTCTTAGGGAATTTTTTGCGAATAAACTATAAGACCTTTTCCAACCAAATTTACAGGGTTCATTCATATATATTCCAGTAATATTCCAGAATTTTTTGGGCGAGAAAGAGCTAAAATTGGTGCCCCTGCATACTCCCAAAAATAGTCAAATTATATTCCCTAAGAAAATGAAAAAAAACAATCAATTTTTTTAACAGTTCACACCAGAATACCCCCTTAAATCTCACCAGTTTTGCTTACTTGTTTATTTCTCTTTACATTTTGCTGCCTCTGAACAGGATCGTTCGAGTCTAATCTACCTTGTTCATTGTTTTGCACCTCTCTGGAAGAATTGTGCCACCGAACAAGGGGATCCACAAACGACCCATTCTCGAACGATTCGTTCTTCGAGTTCGACGATAAACTCGGCCACGAGAATCCAGTGTGACGAGAATTACTCGTCGACGTTTCGACATATCGATGTTCGTTGCTCTCGGAAAAATCGACGGCCAATGGCGTGGAAGCGCCGTCGCCATTTTGTATGTTCGACGCGGAGTAAGTCTCGATCGGTTTCGTGAAGCTTGGCGAATCGTCCGTTAACGCGTTGCTGGTTCGCAAATTGTAATCTGCGGTGGTTTTGTCGATGTAAGTGGCTGTAGGGGGTGGCCACTGTTTATCCGTACGACTCTCGCTCTTCTGCGTGAGATCCAGGAGTGGCGACTCCTCGAAATGCACAGGATCCTCGTTAGTAGGCGGATTACTCGCTGGTGGCGCTCGCGTCACCGCGTGAGAATCTTTGACAACACTACTGCTGGGCGACAAGTCGTCAGAATATTGGTAATTCAACTGCTCGACGCTCTGGCCGTTAAAAGCATTCGGTGGTAAGTAATTGAAATCGTTATCCTGACCGGTAAAGCCTTGATTCTCGACACCAGACGATCCAAAACTGGTAATAACCTGCTGATTGTCCAGTACAGGGTGATTCAATATTCCATCCTCTCCTTGGTCAGAAATGGGCGGCTGGTTATCGGGAATTGCAATACCAAACGACTCCTTGTGGCCCTCGAACTGATCGTTGATCTCCGTTTCGTGATTCTGTGGCACGACACTCGCGTGTCCCTGATTTATCTGCGTCCCGCTGGACGTCAGATCGTGATTGTCGCGGATGTTGAAGCGTTCGTTGTCGATCTGTGGGTTCGCGTGTTGGCCGGTAGAGGGCGCCACAGGTAGGGGTGGCGGTTCCAAATGGGCCACGTTTTCCGTGTGAGGGCTCGATGGTCGGTTGAAAGGCTCTGCCTTGTACAGTGGTGGCATCGGGCCAGTGTACAACTGGGGGTTTGGTAGCGAACCAACCACGCCTTGTTGCCCGTTTTGATGCGCCTGGGCGTGAGAGAAGTCGGGGATTCTGACTTCGTGCGAGGCTGCGTGTTGGGCGTCGTGATGTGCTTGGACAGCGGGTGGAAGATAACCGTTTGAAAGTTGTGGAGGAAGATAGACTTCGGGACGAAGACCTCCATCTTGCATGGGGATCCATGGAAACTTGTTACAGGGATTGCAGGGCTTCCCCTTGTTTGGAGGCAAGTATTGGTTGCTCTTTGGGGGCAGAACGAAGGGTCTTACGTCGAGCAGGGCAATCGGAGGAGCGTTGTAAATTGGTAAAGAGCTGGGATGAGGTGGTAGAACAGGATGTGTACTCAGAGGAGGTGCAAGCGATCCGGAGTATGGACCAGGAGGTGGACCAAGAGGGGGTACAAGTGGACCAGAATGTTGACCAGGGGGTGGACCAAGAGGAGCAATGCCTACACCAGGATGCTGACTAGGAGGTGTAAGAATTGGAACAGAATGTAGACTTGGTGGTGGGCTGAGAGGGGGGTACAAAGGTAAATTGGGTTGTGGTCCAGGTGGAGGGTACAAAGGTGGACCAGGTGGTGGACCAGGAGGAGGTTGCAGAGATGGACCGGATGGAGGGCCAGGGTGGACGTTGAATGGTGGAGGATGAGACTGAGGGGGGAAAGAGGGTTCGAGATTTGAAGGAGACTTCGAATGTTGAGGGGATGGTGAACCATAACCGAAAGGATTTATCCAATTCATGAATTTCGAGAAGTATCCTGGGGCTTCCGTTGGCTGAGGATTGGCCACCCTCCCAGACCTCACCGGATGATGTCGAGGTGGTGGGGGTGGAACGAGATACTCGTTCAACGCTATTCTTCGACTACGACGAATATAATTTCGACCACTTCCGTAGGACGCTTCTCGATCATTTTTCAACGTTGACGTACTGCATGCAACGACCATCAGGAATAATATCGACACCTGTAACCATACAAGTCGATGGTTGTTTTAAGATGGCTTCTTATAGTCGCTGCTGCAACTACACCCTTCCTAATGAAGATATTTTACCCCCTCTGTTTCAGATTTGGGGGGGTCAAGTGGAGCACTCTTCAGGGTAGCCATTAAACAAGAATTTATATCTCCCACAATGTTTAATATTTCTTGATGAAAAAAATACTGTGCATGCTTATAGGGTTAATATATATATCTGCAAAATCTCAATAGGAAACAGCTTGCCTATGGTTAAAAAAAAAATCATAAAGAAAGCCGAAAAAATTCTAGACAGCAATGGGCCCTTGAATTGGAACATTTATTTATTTATTATAGCTGAAAGTATTAAATAAAATGCTCGTTAAGGCTAACGACGAATATTTGTTTAATGAAACTATTGGAAGCAGAAGATTAGAAGTGAAAGGGGAACAAGCACGGCATAAAATCAAGTCCAGTGAAGATTTGCGCGGCCAACTATTGCTTACGGGTTTCTCACGAGCTACGGATTCAATGGTGTCCCTGTGTAACTTCGTGTGCTATTTTACCGCTGCCCGTAAAATATGCAGATGTACGAGAGAGAACGAGAGTATTCGCGAATGACCGTACGTGAGCCGAGAACCGGAACTGCGTAAGAAAGTGAACGAACGAAAAAAAAACGAATAGTCACCTCATATCACTTTTAAACCTACTAACGTCAAAGTACGCTTTACAGTTCCTACGATGATTGAATAATTCATGTCCTTAAAAAATTTTGGGTAAAAGAATTACCTGAGCGACTAAACAGGTTATTTTTTCAAAGAACACATTATTCTGACCATTATACTGTCAATATGATCATAAATTAATTTTGAATTGCTTAAAAAAAATTGAATCATATTAATGTGCAAGATAACCTCAAACTATTTATTTTGATAAAGTTTTGAGGTTAGGTTAGTATTAATTTTATTTTCTATGTTTTGTATACAGAAATCTGATGAATGATATCTGGAGATAAATTAGTATATGCAAGATAACCTCAAACTATTTATTTAGAAAAAGTTTTGAGGTTAGAATAATATTTATTTTATTTTCTATGTTTTGAGTGCAGAAATTTGATGAATATGTGGAGATAAATTAATATGTCGTGAAAAATAGTCTCAAACTATTTATTTAGAAAAAGTTTGGAGGTTAGGATAATATTTATTGTATTTTCTATGTTCTGAACACAGAAAACTGATGAATGATATCTGCAGATAAATTAGTATATGCAAGATAACCTCAAACTATTTATTTAGAAAAAGTTTTGAGGTTAGGATAATATTTATTGTATTTTCTATGTTCTGAACACAGAAATCTGATGAACGATATGTGGAGATAAATAAATGTGTCGAGATAGTTTCGAAAACAATTTATTTAGAAAAAGTTTTGAGGTTAGAATAATATTTATTTTATTTTCTATGTTTTGAGTGCAGAAATTTGATGAATATGTGGAGATAAATTAATATGTCGTGAAAAATAGTCTCAAACTATTTATTTAGAAAAAGTTTTGAGGTTAGGATAATATTTATTGTATTTTCTATGTTCTGAACACAGAAATCTGATGAATGATATATGGAGATAAATTAGTATATGCAAGATAACCTCAAACTATTTATTTAGAAAAAGTTTTGAGGTTAGGATAGTATTTATTGTATTTTCTATGTTCTGAACACAGAAATCTGATGAACGATATGTGGAGATAAATAAATGTGTCAAGATAGTTTCGAAAACAATTTATTTAGAAAAAGTTTTGAGGTTAGAATAATATTTATTTTATTTTCTATGTTTTGAGTGCAGAAATTTGATGAATATGTGGAGATAAATTAATATGTCGTGAAAAATAGTCTCAAACTATTTATTTAGAAAAAGTTTTGAGGTTAGGATAATATTTATTGTATTTTCTATGTTCTGAACACAGAAATCTGATGAATGATATATGGAGATAAATTAGTATATGCAAGATAACCTCAAACTATTTATTTAGAAAAAGTTTTTAGGTTAGGATAATATTTATTGTATTTTCTATGTTCTGAACACAGAAATCTGATGAATGATATGTGGAGATAAATAAATGTGTCAAGATAGTTTCGAAAACAATTTATTTAGAAAAAGTTTTGAGGTTAGAATAATATTTATTTTATTTTCTATGTTTTGAGTGCAGAAATTTGATGAATATGTGGAGATAAATTAATATGTCGTGAAAAATAGTCTCAAACTATTTATTTAGAAAAAGTTTTGAGGTTAGGATAATATTTAATGTATTTTCTATGTTCTGAACACAGAAATCTGATGAATGATATATGGAGATAAATTAGTATATGCAAGATAACCTCAAACTATTTATTTAGAAAAAGTTTTGAGGTTAGGATAATATTTATTGTATTTTCTATGTTCTGAACACAGAAATCTGATGAATGATATGTGGAGATAAATAAATGTGTCAGGATAGTTTCGAAAACAATTTATTTAAAAAAAGTTTTGAGGTTAGAATAATATTTATTTTATTTTCTATGTTTTGAGTGCAGAAATTTGATGAATATGTGGAGATAAATTAATATGTCGTGAAAAATAGTCTCAAACTATTTATTTAGAAAAAGTTTTGAGGTTAGAATAATATTTATTTTATTTTCTATGTTTTGAGTGCAGAAATTTGATGAATATGTGGAGATAAATTAATATGTCGTGAAAAATAGTCTCAAACTATTTATTTAGAAAAAGTTTTGAGGTTAGGATAACATTTATTTTATTTTCCATGTTCTGAATACAAAAATCTGATAAATAATATATGGAGATAAACTGATGTCTTGCAAAATAGTTTCAAGCAATTTATTTAGAAAAAGTTTTGAGGTTAGAATAGTATTTATTTTATTTTCTACATTCCAAATATGGAAATTGAAGGATTGCTGTTGAATAATTGTTAAAAATCGCATTATCGTTCGATCTTAATGGAAAACTGGTATGTAGATAGTCACGTTTCGGATGAATCTCTTTTTCCATTGAAGAGTAGGTGGTTCACACAGAGTAATAGCAAGAGCATATGGAGGAGACAGCAGCGTAGCAGGGATAATGTAGGTAAGTGGGCTGTGGGTATTACGAGAGTCGACCTATAGTGAGAAGATGTAATATGCGGTTGCATGTAATCTGTATAATACGCGTTCGTGCGAGGTGTTTGTGCACGCGTGTGAGCGACACATGACGCCTGAATGAATGCCAAAGTTAATAGGGACTAACCAATGCCGATAATGAGAATCTTCCTACTGCGATTCTAACGCTGTAAACTTATTTTTTTTTTTCCAGTTTTGTGACACCTGTTGACCACCTCGAAGAGTCCAGATCATCAATCGCGTAGCTCGATCAATTTGTCGAGGTACCCACAAAATTCCCTAGGAAGATGTCACGATTTTACACCATATTAAATATACCTTGCTCTCGCTCCTTCTCACTGGCTTTCATTGTCCCACACTCTCGTGTCCGATATATACAAAGGGGAACGAACTGAAGAGATAACAGCCATTAAATTTCACTACCTTCAAAGTAGTAATATATATATATAAATATTAAGGTTCTTATCATTTATGTATGCGAATTTTTATGGCGAACTTGTTTTTACAGACGGTGGTAGTAACATCATACTCTCGATGATGTTATTTTGACAAATTTTTGAAGATATCGGTAATGTTAGGATGGTAAGGTAGGTCCCTTCCTAACCCTCACGAACAATAACCTTAATTTTGTTCCTAAAAAACGAATCTAGAAGCTACTAATTACTCTAAATCGACTATTATTATTTACCATTTAACCTAAAACGTTTAAAAAACTTTGTAGGGTATCGTCAACGTTTGAAAATGCCAAATCGTTGTTGCAATGTAATATTTGATGATATCTCCGTGTCGCTTTCCGGTTAAGTCACGATGACGGACGTACTTTGGAACAGGAAGGCTCTGTTTACTGGAAATCCGGTGGTAAACGATGGAAAAAAAGTTTCTTTACCAGACTCGTCCGCTTAAACGTGACAATAAACGGGCAGAAAGAATTAGAAACAGAGCTGTGATGCACTCGTTCATCCGTGGAGGCCTCTGTCGAGGCGGCCGGTGTGCATTTCGCCCGAGCACTTAATAAATAAGGACATAAGGACGTAAGCTCGTTCGAAGAAAATTTGTATTGACACTATGATAAGGCGAAGAAACGTGCAAACGGAAAGCGACAGATTTAGGTCGTAGACGGAAGAGTTTCGCTCCTCCGTTGGCGCTATGCCAAACAACGAGGATCATTCGAAAGCGCTGAGCATGTGTTTTCTTCGCATCATTCACGTCGTCCTTGTTGGACCACGCGCAATTGGTAATTCACGATGTGTACAGATCGGTTCCCGACTTTCGACAGCTTTTGCAAACGGGCATGCTTCGAAATTAATTCTCTTTGTCCTCCGTTTCGATGCAACAACCAAGTTAAAGAATTTCAGATATTTTCTAGGAACGCAATTCGTTGAAAATTGCAACAGAAGCTATTATATTTTGTAGATATCATGCAATCGCCCAGCTTGATATACTTTTTATTACATTTAAGTGGAATTAAATAATTTCGATAAAAATTACGATTGCATGGAATTAATAAAATTTTATCAGTTTCGTTAAAATAGATTTGTACGTGTCGTCGAATTGTCATGTTGCACAGGCTTTAAATTCGTAACACTTAACATTCGCCACGTGTGTTCTGCAAAAGGCGAACTCACGAATGAGAAATATTTTAAAACAAAACGGCGACACTGCCAATTTGCAAAACGTACGCTCGGAAAGTTTTGCACGGATTTATCGTTAATAACTGAATTCATCTGGAGGCAGCGATTTGTCTTCGTCAGTTTAGCTTTCGCCTCGGAAGATCTACGACGGAAAAGTCGAACATCTACCCCCCATACGAACAACACGGTTTTACGAAACGAATACGTATTTACGATTCAAAGTATCGAAACGAGACTAAATAAAATAATAAATGTAATTTTTTTTAATTTCGATCGTTTGAAAATGTTGGTTTGTACTCACTCGAAGAGCATCCATCTTTCTCCGGCTTGATCGAGGTTTCCCTCGAGAGCATATCACAAGAACAATGTTAGAGAGTTTATCACACTTTTTTTTACGTTCGAGGACCGTTCAGGAGCGTCGCGAATTTGAGATTTTTTTTGGGGGGAAAGGGGGAGGACGAGATGCGTGAATTCAACGTTCCATTTTTGCGACACACGAGATCTACGCGTGACGGATCGCGTTTTCGCGTGAAGGATGAAAAATTGACGAACAAGGACACCGGTGCAAGGAGGAACTTCGAAGAGGAAGGAGAACGAAGAAAAACGGAAAGAAAGGTGCACACTTCACTAGGGTCAAAGAGAGAGTCCATTGGAGCGTCTTCCGTGCAAGTCGCTTATATACATTTGCTCCTTCTTTCCCTCTTTCTCGTTTTCCTTCTTCCTCCATCTTCTTGTCCTTTCTCTTGCTCCCGAGGAATCGAACTCCTTTTCTACCTACCGATCTCTCCCATGTTGGATACCTGCACGAAAATTCCCTTACCTGCTTAACCCCCTGTTGGAGAACAATTCGGGCGCTGGGGGGTGACCCATCTTCGAGGCTTGCACAGAGAAACTGCACGACTGACCAAACGAATAACTGAAACTAAAATTCAACGTTACCTTGGTTTTCCACGAATAAAAGTATAGAGTGAAAATTTGCTGCAATGGAAAATGCATGAAAATGGTGGCATGCATTTGAGTCGTTTGCTACAACACTGATCGAGAAATGTAGATTTAATTTCTTAATTGTAATATCAAAGTGGAAAGAAAATAAATATACTAAAGGGAGGCAAAATATAATATGTTGCAATTACAATGATAAATTTTATTATATTTGTTTAATTATAATAATTATAGTAGAAGTTTATTCTATACGGTGATAATAGCAAACTAGAAAGAAAATATATATAATAAGGAGTGACAAAATATAATATAATATAATAGTATGCTGCAATTATAATGATAAATTTGATTATATATATATGTCTCGAATTATAATAATAATAATACGAGTGTATTTTATATAATGATCATATAAAACTACAAAGAAAATAAAAATTAAAAAAAAACAGACGAAATATAATAATATGCAGCAATTATAATGACAAATATAATTATATATATATATATGTCTTGAATTATAATAATAGCAATACTAGTGGATTTTATATAATGATCATATAAAAATACAAATAAACTAAATATAATAGAGAAAGGCAAAATATAATATAATATAATAGTATGCTGCAAATATAATGACAAATGTTATTATATTTGTATGTCTTGAATTATAATAATAATAGTACAATTTTATTATATCAACGCAATGATCATACCAAATTACAAAGAAAATAAATACAGTAAAGAGAGGCAAAATATAATAATATGCAGCAATTATAATGACAAATATAATTATATATATATGTATGTCTTGAATTATAATAATAATAGTACAAGATTGTTATACACAGTGATCATACCAAATTACAAACAAAATAAATACAATAAAAAGAGGGGCAAAATATAATAATATGCAGCAATTATAATGACAAATATAATTATATATATATGTATGTCTTGAATTATAATAATAATAGTACAAGTTTATTATACACAGTGAACACATCAAATTACAAAGAAAATAAAAACAGTAAAGGGAAGCAAAATATAATAATATGCAGCAATTATAATGACAAATATAACTATATATATGTATATATCTACAATTATAATAATAGTAATACGAGTGTATTTTATATAATGATCATATAAAACTACAAATAATATAAATACAGTAAAGAGAGGCAAAATATAATAATATGCAGCAATTGTCATGGCAAATATAATTATATATATATATGTTTTGAATTATAATAATAGCAATACGAGTGTATTGTATATAATGATCATATAAAACTACAAGGAAAATGAATATAAATAAAAGGCAGACGAAATATAATAATCTGCAGCAATTATAATGACAACTATAATTATATTTATATGTCATGAATTATAATAATAGTAATACGAGTGTATAATGATTATATAAGACTACAAAAAAAATAAATATAATAAAGAGTGGCAAAATATAATATAATATAATAGTATGCTGCAATTACAAAGACAAATATTATTACATGCGTATGTTTCGAATTATAATAATAATAGTACAAGTTTATTATATCTAAACAGTGATCATATCAAATTAGAAACAAAATAAATACAGTGAAAACAAACAAAATATAATAATATCCAAATTATAATAACAAATATAATTGTATATATATATGTATGTCTTGAATTATAATAGTAATAGTAGAAGTTTATTATATCTACACGGTGATCATACTAAATGGCAAACAAAATAAAAACAGTAAAAAGAGGCAAAATATAATAATATCCAAATTATAATGACAAATATAATTATATATATATATATATGTCTTGAATTATAATAATAATAATACGAGTGTATTTTATATAATGATCATATAAAACTACAACAAAAATAAATATAATGAAGAGTGGCAAAATATAATATAATATAATAATATTGTAGCAATTATAATGACAAATATAATTATATATATTTCTTAAATTATAATAATAATAGTACAAGTTTATTATACACAGTGAACACATCAAATTACAAAGAAAATAAAAACAGTAAAGGGAAGCAAAATATAATAATATGCAGCAATTGCAATGATAAATATCATTATATATACGCATCTTAAATTATAATAATAGTGATACGAGTGTATTCTATATAACGACCATATAAAACTACAAAAAAAAATAAATATAATAAAGAAAGGCAAAATATAATATAAGACAAATTGAATTTCCCCTCAACATATATTTGTCATTATAATTGTAGCACATTATTACATAATATTATATTATATTTTGCCTTTCTTTATTATATTTATTTTTTTTGTAGTTTTATATCATCATTATATAGGATACACTCGTATCACTATTATTAGTGATTATTATTATTATTATTATATATAATAAAGGAAGGCAAAATATAATATAATATTATATAATTATGTACTACAATTATAATGACAAATATATGTTGAGGGGAAATTCCATTTGTATTATATTATAATTTGCCTTTCTTTATTATATTTATTTTTTTTGTAGTTTTATTTGATCATTATATAGAATACACTCTTATCACTATTATTAGTGATTATTATTATTATTATTATATATAATAAAGGAAGGCAAAATATAATATAATATTATATAATTATGTACTACAATTATAATGACAAATATATGTTGAGGGGAAATTCAATTTGTCTTATATTATATTTTGCCTTTCTTTATTATATTTATTTTTTTTGTAGTTTTATATATGATCATTATATAGAATATATATATTGTGTACACCCAAATTTTGTTAATGCAAATTGAATGAATTTTTCTATCGTTTCCATCCATCAATAAAACAAAATTACATTTTACAGTACATGTACAACATCAAAACGTTTCCCTACAATACTCCATCGGTTTTGGAACGAATACAATTCTTTATATAAGACGCACGAAAGCTGTTTCATAACTCTGCACGCTATTATTGCCGAGTGACTATTCGAGAGATCATTGTGACGTGGGGCGCTGAGTATAAACAAAAGGTGGAATAAAAAAATGAAGAGTCACGTATCCCGAATGCGCGCCACCCGGAATATTCGATCGCGAGGAATTTACAGCGAACGAACAACACGAGACGATTCACGATAAAACCGATTTCCGTCCAAGTAACGATTTATTACGTATACCAGCCGAGAACAATAAAAAATTGCTATTAAGAAGGTATTACAAGCTTAGTCGCTCAGAATTTAACCGATTCCTTATCAGACGCTATAAAACAATAAACTCGATGGAGGTAATATATTTGCAACAACGGCCAAATTAGCGATCATATCGACAGTGTCGTTGGAACAGTGTGCTATTGAAGATGAGCGTCTTTCACGTTGCGGTGACGATACTTTTCGTCTTTGATTTCATTCCGTTCGGAATGTTTGAGGCGGTCGCTGCCCCGGAAAAATGCACGAAGCAAGGCTCGTTCGAGATCGTCGATGGGACATGCCAGAATTATTACATGTGTATTTTCAATGGTGTTGAACTCGTCTCGTACGAGCTCACATGTGCGCCTCCGACGGTATTCTCTCCTGTAACGGGTTACTGCACGCCATCTACACAATACCCTTGCACGCAATCAACAACGCCATCTACAACAACAGTAACAACGTCTTCAACGCCAGCGTCAGATTCGTCATCGTCTGGAACGACAGCGTCAGTTACGTCATCGTCTGGAACGACAGCGCCAGTTTCGTCATCGTCTGGAACTACAGCGTCAGTTTCGTCATCGTCTGGAACTACAGCGCCAGTTTCGTCATCGTCTGGAACTACAGCGCCAGTTACGTCATCACCTGCAACGACAGCGTCAGTTTCGTCATCGACAGTATCATCGACATCAACAACAGCAACAACAACAACAAAACCTACGTGTCTCACAACTGGTAGATACCCAATTCCAGGTTCCGGTTGTAAAATGTATTATTACTGTTATGTAGACGGCCCAAACATCATCAACTATACCAATTTAACATGCCCAACCATTCTAGTATTCAGCCCAACCGTGCAAAAATGTGTTCTTCCAACAACTTATCCATGTCCTAGTTAACACTTTACCGACCGATAGCCTATTAATCGACTGTTTTACCGGCCGACGCTTACCGACCGATAGGCGATTAATCAACTGTTTTACCGGCCGACGCTTACCGACCGATAGGCGATTAGATAATAATCATTAATGTCGAATTCTATAACTACCAATATACGTTTATCTTTCGTTGTATAAAAAGATGTTTGTAAATGAAATATAGTAAATTTCCAAAACTGTCCACAACTCGTAAAATTCGTTCGAACAAATCGATCGAAATGTTCAGGTATTCGATTCGCAGTCGGTTATATACCATTTTGGGAAAACTGCCGCGAGGTGGCGCCAGCAAGTTGATGTAGCGACGTTGTCAATGATCGCTACGCGCGATACGACATCTCGTGATTTTCTGCCGCTATAACGTAACAGTGTTTGTTTCCACGAGTCGCGTCAGGATCGTGGGTGATTGACGTTCGCGTAGTGGCCACGTTTTTCATAACTGTACATAAACTATTAAAAGTTCTGCGATGTGATCAGTGCACAGTGCCGTGTACCAACGAATATGCTTTCGATAAATCGTGGACAGTAGTCTCACTATGAACGTATACCTGCAATTTACATTGTGTAAGAGATCTTTGACCGCTGTATTCGTATTCGTAGCTATGTTCAATCTCTACACTCGATAAGCCCGCGTGGCACGAATTAACAGTGAAACCGAATCTTCCACGGCCGCGGTTATTCCGTGTTTTATTTTCATTTCGAGGCCCCGTGACTGTGATAGTTACAATACACGCGTGTGTAATAAATGTTAGAATCGTTCGAAGACTCGCACAAGGGGGGGGACACTGTTACCATTTCAAATTTATGTTTCGAAGGTAAGGACACGGTCCCGTGGTTGCGTTAATTACTACTTTCTAATTGGTAATTATTTCCCATTCACACAGTACATAATAACGAGTCTTGCGAAATCGGTATTGTGTCGGGTCGCGTGGATTTCATTTATGGAAATTTATTTAATCAACGATGCGTGTGTCGATCTAAATTTACTTCGAAAGCACGTATCTGTAAAAACTCGCCAACAGCACGATTATTAAATGCTTTTGCCTTGCTTGAAACGTTCCCGATGCGAAATATTCGAGAGATTTAAAGCGCGATAGGAATCAAACATGCGTAAAACCAGATGTTACTAGTGTTTACAAGTTAATCGTCGGTAAATATAGAATGTTGCAAAAATGGAAAACGATATGTCTTTTGTCGTTGTCAGGATAATGTGAACGCTGCATAATACCGCAGCATGTCTTGAAATAGGACACCAAATGATCGATTACTTCATTCAAATAGACCTTTCACTGTTCCAATTCATCGACCTAGTGCAATACAATGACACGACTGACATAAATTCATATCGTATGCGAAGCAAAATATCGAGCATATGCGGTACTGAAAACAATCGCGCTGTTGCTGTCAGAATTCCGCATTCTTCTTTCGTAACAGCTGGTGCACTCGTGTAAAAGCACTTGTAAAAGTTACTTTGCCTTTCATTGAGGTTATGTTAATCTTATTGATACGTGATCGCATATACGACGTTATCAGGTGTATATTAGAGAGATAAGCGGGAATTAAGATAGACATGACCGAAAACGAACACGATGGCATTTTTATTACTGTTTTTGCCATTAAATGTTTGCGTGCAAACTTCCACGCAACTGCATTTGAAGAAAGTCCCTACGTGTTCTGCAAAAAACAGTTTGGCACATTTTCAGTTCTCAATTATTCCTTTAATACGATTGTTTTTAATTTAAATTTTATTTTATTCGTTAACGAAAGAGATGTTACAATCTTGAAATAATTTACAGTTGTAGTGGAAAAAGTTGAGCGTTTCGAACGAGTTTCACTTAATAAATTACGTATATTTTGATGTAATTTCTTAAACGAAATTATTCGATTAAAAATATAAAAACATTTCTATATTGATGATTTGAAAAAGTATACTATCTAGTGTATTCATGAACACTTCAGCTGTCATGCAATTAATATATATAGAGGTGGGAAAAATTTTAATAGTTTATAGTTGCGTCTGTGAGACGGGAACCGTGCGCGCTGCACACTTTAACTTTAAACGTTAATAACTTTTAAACGAAGCCTCAATTGAAAAATTGCTATTCTTGATTTTCGTCTTATTTTGTCCCCTAGAATCCCCCACAGTAGTGCCCACTTAAGTGACCACGCTTGGGACCAGTCGCGGTTACGGTCACTTAAGTGGGCACTACTGTGGGGGATTCTAGAGGCCAAAATAAGACGAAAATCAAGAATACCAATTTGTTGATGGAGGCTTTATTAAAAAGTTATTAACATTTAAAGTTCTGCCAATACTGAATTTTTTTCTCGAAAATGCGCAGAATTTCGGGAGTATGTCTATTCACCAAAAATGGTTGTAATTGACCCTAGAACCTAGAAATAATTTTTTTAGAACGATTCGAAATTTTTTTTTCCCGCCGAAAAATTTCACACCTCGAATTTTTCTCTAGAAAGTGGGTAAGATTTCGAGTGTATGTCTATTCACCAAAAATGATTGTAATTGACCCAAGAACCTAGAAATAATTTTTTTAGAACGATTTGAAATTTTTTTTTTTCGTCGAAAAATTTAGCCACCCAATTAGAATTTCGGTAAGGAATTTTTTTCTCGAAAATGCGTAGGATTTTGGGTGTATGTGTAATGACCATAAATGATTGTAATTGACCCCCGCTACCGAAAATAATTTTTTCACATCGATTTGAAATTTTTTTTTTCCATCGAAAAATTTCACACCTCGAATTTTTCTCTAGAAAATGCATAGGATTTCGAGGTTATGTGTAATGACCAAAAATGCTTGTAATTGACCCCCCAACCGAAAATAATTTTTTCAACACGATTTAAAATGTTTGAATTTAATTGTTAATAACTATTAAACGAAGCCTTAATTTAAAAATTACTATTCTTGATTTTCGTCTTAATTTGGCCTGCAGAATCCCTCATTAAAATTTTTCCCAGGGTTGACTGAGCAGCCAAAAATTTTTTTTAACACGTTCACTGCCACATCGAAACCGTATAATATTCTGCAAAAGTAAAGTGTTGATTACAGACCATTGTAAGCTACATAACCTAAAATTTGTTTCGCTACTTATTTTCGTAGCCTTGTTAAAATTCAAAAATTCTATTCAAATTTATTTCTCTCAACGTCTTAACTTGAGAATTAATTTTGCTAGTATCATAATGGTAAATGGCAATCAAAGTGTTAAGCGAGTCTCGGGGATAGAAATTTGTCGAATCGAACTTCGTATCCCGTCCTTGGTTCTGTCCGAGACCTAAACGGAATGTTCGTTTGTTGTGCAGAGGGACTAAAGCGATGAGATAAGCTTGCGAACGAAAACAGGATGGCTCGTCACGGTAGCGAAAGGTCCTTGCATTCTCTCCAATCGATGCATCCAGGCTCCTCGACCCATGTAAACAATACCAACGAAGCTTCCGCGACGGAATTGGCCCCTACGTCGCCAGCAACATGTATTGACGACAACACGATCAAGGTCAATGCCGATAGCAGCGTGGTTAGCACGAGCAGAACTGCAACGGGTACCGTTCCATCACCCTCGATACCTTCGGTAGCCTCTCCGTGGGACTCCCGAATACCACGACCCTCGCCTACAAGCCTGCGTCGCTCGGCGAGCATGCGCATGCGCGGTGAATGGGTTTCGCCGAATCAACCGTCGCCACTATCTAGTACCGCGGCCACCGCGGCTCTGACCAGACACCATCACCATCAACGGCGCTTGAACTTTTTGCAACACCAGCAACACCATCATCTGGACCATCACATTTTCCCTGTCATCACGGAGAATGGAACTGAATCACCGCGTCAACGTTCTCTCGTGAGTGTCAACACTTACATCCGTTAATAAAACCTTGTTTTGTATCGTTCGCCATGCTAATCGCTGATTTACTACGTCCGTGTCGGATACTACGTTTTACACTCGGTTTGATATAGATCGCGGATCGTATCTTATCGTACCTCTGTTCCTACGGATCATTTCAAACGTAACTGTACGCCTATCAGAGATTAACGGTGCAACGATAATTGTACAGAAATCTCAGCCGGGCTTGTGGATCTAATCTGCGTAAAATGTTGTCACGCTAAACTGAAAGTAAATGTTCCGTCGGTGATATCATTTGTCGTATTAACTTTGTCATAAAGATAGACGTTTACTATTGAGATAAGAACGAAATTTCATTGCTTGGAAATGTTTGTTTTGTGTGTACAGATATCCCTTTATTTTCAATGTAAACACGATGAACGCGTAAAATTTTCTATCTTCTTAAACAATTGTGTTTGCAAATAAGCCTTCAACAATGGTAACGAGAATTCAACTTAAAGACGATATTAAATTATTAATATTTCGTTATTTATGTAAAACACAAAAAAGTTCCAAAATTCGTAGTAGCATTATACATCAATATCTGTTTCCATTATCGCGTATCGTTCGTTTTGTTTTACAATATAAATGACCAATTTAAACTTTAAAACTTTGTTATCTTAATGTTTGCATTATCTGAACGATGGCGAAAAAAATGGTGGCCTTGTGCATTTTCTTCGGTGCAACTTTAAGACGCAAATGGTCAAACAAGCTGTTCCGAATTGAAAGGCTGCTAGCACAGACAAGCTACTTTCCATTTTCTCTCGTCCTAATAAGCAGCGCATAGTTTAAAAAAAATTGCATCAATGGCTATCTGTGCCTTCGCGAAGAAAAGACGGGGCAACGCTTGGCGCAGCAGATTTTAAACAATTAATTATGCTTCGAACCGCTGGGATAGATAAGGGAACAAAGAGGCGCTCTGATCGTTTCTAGATTCCGTGAAAAAGCGATTATGGTCAATACTTGTTGACGCGGGCAGATAGTGGAACAGAAATTGGCCTTTAATCCCGATAAACGTAACAGTGACTTAAATTATTTAATTCCGAGCCGTGGATACGTCGAAAAATAATCGTGGAATTATTTGGAATTATTCCGAATTATTCCGTGCACTTTTACGAAAGCATCCCCGGAACGATGCTACTTTGTAGAATTTTCGACGCATGAATCTGCAACGCGACAGAAACTCGCGCAGTTGACCCTCAACGAGTGTTGATTTTAATAGCTGATGGGGATCTCTGCACATTTGCATCCGTACAATTACTTAACGCAAGGACAATCGACGAAAAATTGAAACCGTATATCGTCTATTTATAAGCTACGCCGCGAACGTTTAAATAAATATACGAGGAATACGAAACCTATCGCGTGGGTATCAATTACATCTTTATATATAGGCTCTTTGATCCGCGTTCTCGTTGCCGACGGCTTCTTCGTACGCCTCGCGTTACGTTGATACCGTTTATATCATAATTGATAATACACAGACGACCGTAATAATTTCATCGGTCAGTAAATTCTCATCCAAAGTCAAAGTAAAAAATCGGAATGTTAAAAGCCTCCGCGTCACGATTTTCATCGATTGATTGAGGTTAGAATTAAGGTGACAGTAGAGCTTTGATAATAAATGTCTGAAAAAGTGTTGAGAGTTTGCCGCTATAATGGTCGATTTTTGTGAACAGGATGACTAGATGTACAAGTGTGCAAGGTTTCGCTTAAATCGGTCACCCGAGGGACTTGCATTAGCCTTGTAAATTGGGCGGCTCAAACAGGAAGAAGACCAGCGTACCGATTGAAAAAAAAACCTCTGCCATTTGATAGAAAAGTTAACGGTCTCATATCAGTATTTATCTAACACGTATTGTTCCCTAAATGTCTAACAACCCCGAGTGTGAAAAAATTAATAAAAAGTTTGATACAAGTAAATAAAATTTAATGATTTGAACATTTTGTATGGGGGAAAAGACAGGTTTTATTTAATATTTTCAATCCGTCTTTTTTTTTATAGCGAACAGCGTTCTTTCGTGATGTAAAATTGTGTTTATAATAAATGTCTGTTGTACTGTGACGTTGCTTCCCGTGCTCGCCACCAGAGGGGCGCCCTCTCACTAGCGCTCGACCGGACTTCCCCATATTTCAGTCGTATAAGGCAGGGCCTGCTAGGAAGGTTTACTGATGAGTTCCCCTAATTTCCTTTTCCTATGATAATTTCTCCGAATTTTTACCTGTAACAGAGCAACGCCACAGTACATATTGTTTGACGATTAACAGAAGGTGTATCTTGTAAGTCCCCAATGTGTACTTATTATTACAGAGGTTTTGTTATTATTTAGTATTTCCAATCCTTCGTTTTTCTTATAGTGAACAGCGTTCTTTAATGATGTTGCTGGATTCTAGTAAAATTGATAACACTTTACTAGATCTTGTATTAGGTCTCTTTCTGATTCTTCAGTATTGCAAGCTTTTATGTACTATTGCTGGAGATAGGTAGAGGTAGGGACGATGTTTAAGGGGCAGTGTGACTCATGAAGGGTGCGAGATTCAGTAAAATTATGTTGTTGGATTCCAATAGAACTGACAACACTTTATTTTCTTAAGAAACTCGTACAACTTGTATTAGGTCGCCCAAGTACTAGACTCTTTCTGATTCTTCAATATTGCAAGCTTCTACATACTATTGCTGGAGATAGAGGTAGGAACGATGGTCAAGGCGCAGTGTGACTCAGGATGAGTGTGAGGTTCAGAATATGTAAGGATTAGAAACCATAATTAGGATGTTTGGACGAGGATAAGTCCATAGTGTTTGCGATGTGATTGATGTTTGTTTCATCCAACAATGTATTTAGTAAATATCTATTGTACATCGTATATTTAACGATTAACACAAAGTGTATCTTTTAAGACCCCAACATATACTTATTATTACAGAGGTTTTATTATTATTTAATATTCTCAATCCATCTTTTTTTTTTATAGTGAACTGCGTTCTTTAATCCCTTAACGTTCATGCTCGAGTCTGACTGCTTTGAAAAATAATATTTGTTTAATCCAACGGTTTTAGGGATGATAATAGTTGTTTTCCTTCAAATTATATGTTAGATACAACATTGTAATTAACAAAAACCGTATTTTTAGAAACAAATCCAATAAAGAAAATAGATCATTGTTGGTTGACCTAAAAAATATGAACGTTAAGGGGTTAATGATGTTGTTGGATTCCAGTAGAATTGACAACACTTCATTTTCTTAAGAAACTCGTACTTCTATATACTATTGTTGGAGATAAAGGTAGGGACGATGGTCAAGTGACAGTGCGACTCAGGAAGGGTGCGAGGTTCAGGATAAATAAGGATTGGAAACCGTGATTAGGATGTTTGAATGAGGATGAGTCGTAGTGTTTGCGATGTGACTGGTGTTTGTATGGTCGTAATGGTCATCCAACAATGTATTCAATAAATATCTTTTGTACATGTTTGACGATTAACACAAGATGCATCTTTTAAGTCCCCAACATGTACTTATTATTAAACAGGTTTGGGTTAGGTCTGGATTAGGTCTGGGTTAAGTCTGGGTTAGCTTATTATTAAACAGGTTTCATTATTATTTAATATTTTCAACCCATCTTTTTTCTTATAATAAACTGCGTTCTTTAATGATGTTGTTGGATTCCAGTAGAACTGACAACACTTTAGTTTCTTAAGAAACTCGTACAACTTGTATTAGGTCGCCCAAGTACTAGATTCTTTCTGATTCTTCAGTATTGCAAGCTTCTATATACTATTCCTGGAGATAGGTAGAAGTAGGAACGATGGTCAAGAGGCAATGTGACTCAGAAAGGGTGGCGAGGTTCAGGAGGTGATTAGGATGTTTGAATGAGGATGAGTCTGCAGCATTTGCGATGTGACTGGTGTTTGTGTGGTCATGATGATCATCCAACAATGTATTTAATAAATATCTTTTGTACATGTTTGACGATTAACACAAGGTGTATCTTTTAAGTCTCCAACGTGTACCTATTATTAAATTATTTTATTAACAGAATATTTCTGCGTGTTTTAGAGCCTTTCATTGACCCCGGCGAGGCCGCGATCTGGACACGCGGCCTCCGCAGGATCAAGCACAGGAATTGCCGACGACAGCGATGCGGAAAGTATAAAAAGTTACGGAAGTGCCTGCAGTACCGCAAGCGCCTGTGAGCATGCTACCTTTGCCTTCAACGGTACCACATGGTCCGGTAAATCAAAAAAATACGTTGTCCACTGTTCCAACCATAACGGTGACAATGAGCAGTACCTCACGCCTACCCAAAGAGCAGCTAGACAAGTTAGGAAGTTTCAGGTACGAATTGAACATACAAACTTCAATTTAGTTTATCACACTGACCAGGAACAGAGAATTAAACACTGAAATTATTTTGTTCAGGCTTTGTTGAAAGAAGCACGAAAAGAGATCGAGGAGAAGGATCAGGAAATCTTTCGGTTGACGAAAGAGGTGGTGGAGTTAAGATTGTATAAAGCTTCTCTGAACAGTCCAGATGAGAGAACGGATAGCAGCGATGCTCTCACCGTACGGGAAAATAATCCATTCTCGCCGGAATCCCCTACCAAGGATTTACCGGACGAGGGTACATTACAGAAAATCGCTAGTCCAGATACTCCGGAGAAACGCGTCCATTCCGATTTACCTTCCTCTCTGGCGGACTCGGGTCATTTCGAAGACGGGTCTATCCACTCGAAAGACTCGGTGTATCTGCCAGAAGCACAGCCAGAAACCATTACAATTGCCACAACGCCTGATAAAGTTGCCGAGGACACCACTTCCGACACATATACCACGTCAGCCGAAGAAACACCGGAAAAGGACGAGGAGAGACGCAAACTGGTGAATCATTACGAAAGTAGGATCGAGGAAATGCACCGCAGACACGTCGACGAGCTTCAAGAGCTCAAGGAAAAGCACAATGACAAGGTATATTTCGTTATAAGATAAATAAAGATACAGTTTGTAATTGTTCAGAAATGAAACACAGCTTTGGTTTTGAATTTCAGATTGAGAGTTTATTGAATCAATTGGCTGAAGTGAATACGCGTTATTGTGAAATTAGACCAAGCGTCGACGCTGCGGAAACTCGAGCTCACGAGTTAGAAGTGGAATTAGAGGCTGTGAAAGCGGAACTAGTTGAGCAAAAGACTTTGTTGCACGAACAAGAGGAGAGGAATAAACAAATGTACCTGAAAATGTATGCCAAAGGCCAAGAAGCAGCGCGCATAGAACAAGCTGACAAGGTAACATATATTTTTACTATATATTATTAAATTTTAACCGCTCAAATTTTAATCACCGTGTTTCTTGAGTTTCTAGTTCCAAACTGTAGTAAATAATTAGGTTCCCTGTATGTGATTTCAGATACTTGAACACGCACATAAAACGCCACCAAAAGTTACCGTTGCAGAGCTACTTCAACAACTGACAGTCACACAAGCGGAATTAGAAAATATTAAGGTAATGTTTTCATTTGAATCGGCCCATTTAAATCTTAAGTCGATATTACAATAGCGATATTACACACGTTGCACATTAAAAATCGGAATTATATGATTCTTTGTGCTTGACATCATTTTACGATTTAAGCTTTATTTTTATGACTATATAAAATAGCATGGAATACATTTCTAACATAATATACTAAAATCTGTTATACCCAGTGATATTAAAGTGCATTACTAATTTAAAAAAAAATCTTTCTAGTCGTTTACCAGCAGCGAAACAGAAAAATCTATAGAATTCGAGAATACTGTTTTAAAAGTCAGAAAATAAGACATTTTATATGTTGTCTGTAGATATTGTTTGTCTATCATATAGCTTTTCTTTAGACGTTCCTCTCCCTGATTCCGACAGTACTGGTAAATTATACACATTAATCCTACCTTCCTTCTGTGTGGCGTAATTTTTATACTTTTTTTTTTTCCAAGAGAAATTTCAATTTTTTTTTTACATTTTTACACGCAATGGAGATAAAAATTGGCTGAAATTGAAAAATAAAACGATAAATTTTGAAAAACAGTGCATCACTTTTCGTACGGCTCCGTAGCTCACGATTCTCTTGTACTAATAATGTGCCACTTTTTTTGGTCGCCGCTCACACTCCAGGACACAAGCTACTCGCCTGAACCTCACATTTCAGCCGATCGTAGCCACACTTTATTAAGTGCTCAGGAGGCTGTTTCTCTCTGGGTCCTTGGCACACGTAAGGTCTGTATTTCTGCTGAACTGTCACGCGATGCAATTCTTACCCACTTGTTTCTTAAACATCTGCGTTGTACTTGTTCCACACAAAGGATGCACAAAACAACTTTTATACCCCTCCCTCTGTTTTCTCCTCCTTCTCTACTTCTGCATTATACAAATTCTTTTGCAAGACAGTGTGCGCGTCTTTGTCGTCTCAGGAATACTGTTTGTTCTGCAGAATGTTTATTCCGTGTACCCGAGTAGGGATACATAGCTGTTGAGTTAGCAAACTTTATTCTTTAATTAGGCCTCTTTTTATTGTTTCGTATCCTGCAGGCTATACGTGGTCATAATATACGTAAATGTTGATCCCCCATCTTTTAACTCTTAATATTTTCCTTAATTTTATTAATGTGTTTTAACTAACTTTTCTTTTTTTTAAACTGTTCAATTTGTCAGTCAGATATTCAAGATGTTCATTCTACTGTATATTATGTGTATTCTGTCTTTCAAGCATGAATATAAATATCAAATAAATGTGTAAATAGTACATTGCGTATCAAAACTCTAAGCTATTAACTATTATTCTGAAAATTGGTGTTATGCGTAAGTTTTCTAAGTAAATGACAAAGTTATACGTTTTCGAGTAATAAAAATTAGTTTAATTGATTAACTTAGCCAGTATAGTACTGTATTTGTTAAAAATGACAACAATATGTACCTATTGAGCAATAAATTTTAAGACTATAGAAGCAGGAATTGGATCTACGTGTTACCATTTTTAATTGTATCCGTAAAAGCATTTTTGCAAAAGAATGTATTGTTAAATGCTTCGCCACAGCGATCGCATGCCAATTAAGCACAAATGTAGTTGGTTCATATAATTCTGCATTATTGTCAAATTCGGGGAGATTATCCAGTACACTTGGAAGAAACAGCCTCTTATTATCTTTTAGTCGATGTAAGTTTGCACGTGCTTAAGCATTACATGCTTGCACCGTTTATATACATAATAAACATTATACTAGTATTAAATCTAGAAGATCATAAAAAATAAATTACGCTTACGGTAGTACCAAACACTTTCTCTAAATATATTTATGAAATTCACTTTCTCACATCTGCCGATGTAGTTAGAAAATAATTCGTTATTCATTTTATTTAATATGTTACATCTGGATTTAATTGTTCACGAAAATTCACTACCGAGGAATGTAGATAATTGAAAATGCAACACATGGGATATGAGGAAAGAATTATTTATTATTTGTAAATTTATTAACGAATTTAATTTGGCCAACAGGCGATGTATCGACGTATCGTTGAGACGAGAAGTAACCAAGGTGCCCTTGATCCAGAGATCACTTTGCAGTTCCTAAAATCGGCGATCTACTATTTCCTAACCGACAAGGAAAATCATCATGGTCATCTGAATGCCATCGAGAGCATTCTGGGATTCACAGAGGCTGAGAAACACAATATCGATAAAATACATCGATCAGCAAGAAAGTAATACATTATTACAGCCTTCTAAATAGTAAATTTCATTCCAGATAGACATGTGGTTTCAGACAATCTCTTATTAGTTGGTACAAAAATATATGGTCAGGTAGGAATTATACCTTAATTACATTCTACTTAAAAAACTTCTATACCAATATAAAAATTCATATTTATTTACTTACCCGATGACCAACCATTGAAAGCATGCAAATTTTGTATAAAATAATTTTAAATTTTTAACACTCCAGGCACTTGAACGATACTGTCTTTTACTTGTACAATGTGTTCGGTATTTTTATTAGGGAAATAGTTTTTCGGTTACAAAATGCATTATATTTTGTATACAACTATAATAAGCAAAGATTTAACTTTGTGAAAATGTTTCTATACACTCTTCAATAAGCAGTCAACGTGCTTGTCTTCCACTTTTCCATAATGCCACAGCTTTTCTTTCGTTCCAACTAAAATTAACTCTTTTTTTTATTGCATGCTAATACACCATAATAGTAATAAAAATCTGAAGTTTTGTAGAAATAATTTGCTATCTTTCGTTCTGTAGAAACATCACTATTTTGTGTTGATGTAAAAAAGCAAGTTTTAGGGGTGCAACAAGTTTTCAAACTCTGATTTTTCTTCTAAATATTGAAAGAATGTTTTAATCCTTTGATGAGAAATTAAAAAATAATTTTGACATTATCTGCTGCCAAATAATGCTATTGAATTGAATAATAACAATTTTTTTTCTTATAATTGGTAGGTATTTTTGTTGGAATCAATCTTTAAACCAGAAATTACAGGAATTTTCTCATTTTTGAAGCTGTTATGTACATGTTAGGAAGCTGGTTCCATATTTATGATCCAAAAGCACCAGTGACTTTAATATACAATAAAGAGGTGATATAAAAGAAGACATAGATTGATAGCTTCAACTGACTATGATTTAACACCACACAATGTCCGTCCAAAGTATACAGGGTGTTCCCCCTGGGGAAAAATTTTAATGGGGCCAATGGATTCTAGAGATCAAAATAAGACGAAAATCAAGAATACTAATTTTTTAATTGAGGCTTCGTTAAGAAGTTATTAATGTTTAAAGTTGCGTCTGTGAGACGGGAACCGTGCGCGCTGCACACTTCAACTTTAAGCGTTAATAACTTTTTAACGAAGCCTTAATTGAAAAATTATTATTCTTGATTTTCGTCTTATTTTGGCCTCCAGAATCTCCCATTAAAATTTTTCCCCAGGGGAACCCCATGTATTTCGAAATTAAAGCCACTTCCATTTATATTTCAAGTTGATTCTTTGCTGATAATAACAATATTTGGTTTTACAGTCTCCACAAATTTTTTGGGAACTTTCACTATATCCACTTTGAAAGGGTTAAATTTAAATTTTGATATTTTACACAATACAATACTTTTTCTCAAAATTTCAGATCTAATATTTTCCCGCCTTGCAAACAAAACAATTTCTCTTACTTCACTTGTAATGTTTGTTTAAACGAGTATTTGACTATATGTACTAGTCACATAATTCCAATAGAAATTTTTTAAGTTTTTTAAATTTCAACATTTTTGAACTGTTATAATTGTTTTCGTGACAGGTAATAAAGTAAAGCGATGTAAGTATAAGAAAAAATTGGATTATGTAATTTAATCCTTTGCATTGAGATTGAAAGTTATTGATTAATATAGTTAAAGTGTACACAGGGTGACAAACAAATATATACCATATTTAAAGAATCGTGTAGATAAAAGAAGTTAGTACGAACTTGTATTTAAATTATCAAAGATTATGTATATACGTATAGATGTACACGTGTACATACAAACACCTGATACTATTATATTATTAATTATAATATGTACGCTACATAATATATTACGATAAAGTTTGTACGGAAATATACTTGATGTTATAAGTTTAATATATTAAATATTGAAAACTGGACATAAAAGAGTATAGAATAAATATTATTTATATTATTTCAATGCAAAAGACTAAATACATAAGTTTATATTTGCATTGTATGGGAACGACAATATGTATTCCAATCTTGTGATAAAGGATAGGAAACAGAACGTGTGTAAGTACACATAACTCGTTGTGTAAATTGTCTGTTTCATTGATCATGTGTTAAAAAATTCTTTGATCTAAATATACATGTCTATCTATTATGAAATATATAAATATTAAATTATATCAGTCTGGTAATATGGCGTCCAGATAAGGAAACAATTTAGAGACTGACGGAAATATCTTGCCTTTTTATTCGCCTGTTATGTCAAGTTAGATAAATGTTATGGGGGAAGTACGATACAGAAACTAATTATGGACGTCAGGGAAGGAAGATTTAAGAGCACATTTCTTATTACAATTGTTACGACTCTGCTTCACGTGTCTTGAAGTTATTATTCACTATATTTATCATTAGGTTAAACCAAAGATGGAAGGGAGAAACGTTTTATGCTTTGCTTCGTCCAGAGTTGCTATTCAAAAACGTTAGATATTAAACTTTCTGTAAGCGATAGTTCATCTTCGAGGTTCCATTAGAGTCACACTTTTAAAGTGATATCAAGGGTATCAAAAAATAATTTCATTGTCCCAGTAACTTTATCTTATTAAAAAGTTGTCGAAAATAAATTATAAAATGAGAACTAGCGCTATGGCGAATTCTTTTAAATGTGTATTTATGATGTATCTGTAATAGAAATATGAACGCTTTTTGCAAACTAGTTTTGTTAAACGATATTTGAATTTGACGTATTTTATGCATATCACGAGTAATTTAAACGAATATTAAATATTATTTTCAGAAAGTACAGTGTTCACATCTCTAATCCAAAATCTTTAATGTAAAATATACGTGTAACCATTACTGTAAAGTTCCTCTTCTGTAATGTAGAAAACTAGGCCTAATATCTGAATCAACATACCCGGTACATAACGATTAAGTTTCTATATTAATTTATTTATACACAGTATTGCGTGCAAAATTTAAATATATATATATATATATATGTAAAACATGGAAAGTAAAACAGAATCACGTGTTTCCATTATTAAGGAAACAGATAATAGGACCTTTTGCACTTTTATCTATTGTACTATACACTACTGCAACCCTATGTTTTGTATAAAGAAACAGTTGTGATAATTAATAAGCTAAATATTAAACTACAAACAGTGCAATGAATTTTCAGTTTGTGGTACTAATAATTATATATCTTCTCGACGGCAACGTGAATTTTATTGGTACTATTTTTTGTTTTATGCTCTGGTGATTATATAAATAAAATCCATCAAATTCTATCGTATTGTCAATTTATTTATCATATTAATGTCGAATTAATTTCTCAAGAGTTATAAAAATTTAGAATGTTCTAAATATATGAATTTATATAATAAACTAGACGATTACATTTGCATATGTAACATGAGGTAAGGTGGTATGAATAATTTTTATTAAACAGTAAATAATTTGTTTTTAGATTTTTTATGGAACAATCGTAAAATACAAAATGTGTATATTACTTCTTTCCGGCTATAATAATACCATCATACTTCTGTTGGAACCATTTCATAGCATCTTCTTTAGTAAGCCTGTGTTGGAAACCGACTTTTCCAGTTTTTCTTCTTCTGTGGGCTACGTTAAAACCTGCACATAGAAAAGTTGGGCGATTTTTATTTTGAATAAAAATAATTTTTTGAAATTTTCAATACGTAGTACAGTAGTGCCCACTTAAGCGTCCGCAGACGACCCCGCGTGCGGACACTTAAGTGGGCACTACTGTAGTATGCTAGAAAATTTGCAATACGTAGTGCAGTGGTGCCCACTTAAGCGTCCGCAGTCGGTCCCGCGCGCGGACACTTAAGCGGGCACTACTGTAGTATGCTAGAAAATTTGCAATACGTAGTGCAGTGGTGCCCACTTAAGCGTCCGCAGTCGGTCCCGCGCGCGGACATTTAAGCGGGCACTACTGTAGTATGCTAGAAAATTTGCAATACGTAGTGCAGTGTGGCGCCCACTTAAGCGTCCGCAGTCGATCCCGCGCGCGGACACTTAAGTGGGCACTACTGTAGTATGCTAGAAAATTTGCAATACGTAGTGCAGTGTGGTGGCCACTTAAGCGTCCGCAGTCGGCCCCGTGCGCGGACACTTAAGTGAGCACTACTGCAATATACTAGAGTATAATAAAGTATACAATGTAGCATCAATTGAGTAACACACCCAGTATAAGAAGTGGGCATGGGTTGCAAATATGAAGCATTTTCTCTAGCACATATTTCATAAAACAATAGATAAAACATAACACAGGAATATCTATGATACCATATAAATGTGCATACGTTCGTCTCTCTTATATTTTAATAAAAACAAAATATAAAACTGAACTAACCTGGACGTCCAAGTACAACGTAAAAGTCCAAACCATAAATACCAATGCTTGGATCGTATTTAATTCCTAAGTCAATGTGTTCTTGAATGCCGAAACCGAAGTTTCCGGTACCAGAGAAATTCTCTTTCCTCAATTCGTATTCTCGTACCTTTGATAAAAGAACAGTTTTAGATTTGCGAGAACAAAATTATGATTTAAATATTTAGAATTACCTTTAAACCACGTTCTAGAATTTCTTCCGCTTTAGCACCTCTGACTGTACAATGCACTGCAATTTTTTCATTACGACGAATACCAAAGGAACGAACGGTGTATCTCGCTTTAGAAAAGACAGGTTGTTGCCCGGTTAATTGTTCTAACACCTAAAACAATTTGAATACACATAGAGAGACAGTAATGATAAGTGCAATCGGAAATTTACAACAAATAATATTTATAAAGCGTACCTTTGCAGCACGAGTGAGTCTATCACCCGATTCACCCACGCAAATGTTCAAACAAAGTTTACGAATGCGGACTTCACGCATTACATTCTTGGATGCATCTTTCGGCTCTTTCCTCACTTTCTTTTTGGCCTTTCCAACCTTCTTTTCAATTTTTTTTTCGTTGTCGGGGGTTTCCTGTAGATCCTGTAACAAAATCGGCTTATCAGCACGTTTCGTTCGTTAATATTTGCAGGTTACGATTTTATCAATGTACATTAAAATATGTACAGCAAAAATACTCGAAACTGTGACTCGTTTTGCAACAGCAAATTACAAAGTGAACATACACAACATATTTTCGTTCCAGAATTTATACGTAAGATATTATTTCATAAACCGTATAAACAAAACAGAACGTCTATTTAGGTTATGCTTATATGCACACGCCATTCGATAACCCCATCTGTCATATTAAAAATTATACAAGCTAATGTGTTTAAAAAAAAAAACGAATTCTATTAATGTTAAATCGGTAATTATAGATATCTTGTCATTTATAAGAAATTCTCTTTTCACATACGATGTCGCTAATATTTACGGATTAGAAAACTGCTTTTAACGCAACGACTGCAGACTCACCGCCATGATGAAAAGAAAAGAATGTGTCTCGAGATGCACCCTATTGACGAATATTGGAAATGTTGAACGCTCATTAGGCTTGCCAACTAAATAAAATAAATTTAACGTATTTAGGTAATTATTTTTATTTAATATTTAAATTATAGTGGCCAGTACAAACAATTTACGTTAAGTTTACATTTTGTAATTACTGTCATTGCAATATTTGCTTAGGGAAACAAAATTGGTACTACAATAACATGGAACAACATATACAATGTTCCAAATGTTATAAACGACATAAAAGTATCGCTAAATATTGTTCATCGATGCTAGAATTCAGTTTTTGGTCAGAAAATAATAATTGGGTCTTTTACATTGATAGTATTATATAATATATTACACGCAATAAATTAAAAATTATATCAGCTTAAGTGTTAGTGGTAGGCACTTTTGATTCACGTAAATTGCTTTCCCTATTTTCAGGTTTCATTGTTTCTTTTTACTTTTCTTTTTACTGTTATCATTTGAAATAGCCGCCAGAGGGACTTGCGAAGTACTCGGAGTGTATAATGTATTATTGCCTTTAGAAAAAACGCGTTCTCCTGGAAAAAGAAATTCTTGATTTCTGATTACACTTTAAAAAATAATAACTTTTAATTTTTTACCAGTCCAATATTTTAATGGGGGTATAATTCTCCTGCCTTTTAAACTTCTACCGATACTTATCGCGTCTACATCAGTTGCTTCCTGTTTGGTACATTCATCACTTTGCAGCGATTTCCATTTTTCACAAAATTCTTTTATTCTTAAGGGACATCCGCGACGACATTTTGGTATTAACTTTTTGGGTACCACTATGAATATTATGACGTATTTATTAATTACAGAAATCGTAAAACATTTTACTGTAAAGTTTCAATTTCTAACCTTCGTTCGTATCGCTTAACTCGCCAACAAGCGTATAGAATTCGTGATATATCGTCTCGATCAATTTCGGTGATTTTCGAGAAAGTATAGGGTCTGTTTTAAATTTTCTACGCACAATATGACCGGATTCTCTATATAAATACAATTATGTGATACATATTGCATTAAATCGATACGTTAAGTACATTTTAACACTTACTTTATTAAATTACCTTCGAAAATTAACTCCAAATTTGAGTCCCATATTACCTTTGGAACCCAACAGGACAGCAATTTAGTTTCTCTGTTAACACTCGATGATATCGATCCTTTTTTATTTTTAAATTTCACGGAACAGGTTTCTCCAGTTTTCTTACTCCATTCCTCAATATCCTTGTTTCCATTCTCAATCACATTTGCCGTTGGTTCTTGTGTGAAATGTTTTAAATCATTAGACGCAGGTACTGAATTAGTTGGTTTTGAAATTCGATTCGCAGCATTAATTTTTTCAGATCTTTCCGCTGCATTAGAATCTTCAATAGTTATTCGATGCATAAAATTGCTGTTTATATCGCGTTTAGAAAGTTCTGTTAACAATTCTTCTCGTTGTAGCATTTGTTCATTCGATATTTCAGAAACTCTATCAAAAATTTCATTCTCGCTGTCGGAACTACTAATAGTTTTATCCACTTCTTTGAACATTCTTTCTCGCATGAAATCGTTGTAAGCATCTTCGCATTCTGTGTCTATACTGTAGTCTGATGGACAATATACACCAGATTTCTTGCTCGTTTCATGAGTTTGTCCCTGTACTAGACATTCGTTGTGTTCTAATACCGAATCTATTACATCGGGTTTGTTGTTTGTAACTTGTATATTATTCAATATGATACTATATATCCAGTCAAGTAACTCATCAATTACTGCGAGGTACGCTTTATAACACCTCTTGTTTCTCAAACTATTTATAATACGATTTAATTTGTCTTTCAATTTATTTATTTCGTTTTCAGAGCAGTAACAATTTGAAACGTTGCTCCCCTGTGGTTCGCAATTTTTTCTGTTATAAATTAACTGCGTAACAGAACCAGACGTTTGAGCCAACCAATTGTTCACTTTACGATTAGTTGAAATGTTATCGTCGCTGTTTATCTGCCCCTGCAAGATATTTAAAATATTTGTTCGAGCCATGCACAATTTTTTTAAAGCCTTTACGTCTGGAATTATATTCTCAAGACTTTTGGAACTCACAATTGTGATGTCTGTTATTTCACTTTGTAAATCATCACTGTCCACGATGGGCATGATTCTCTGTTTACCAAGTTTATCAAAGCCAAAAGTTTCTGTTAATTTTTATATTGATTGTATTTTTAAATGCCTGGCATAATTCAATTTACAGCTCACTTCTTCATATTTTTATGTCTTTTAGTTAAGTTTGGAAGATATTTGGTACATGTTTGTTTCTTATCTCTGTCTGACAGTTATTCACCAATTAAATTACAGAGCATGTACTTAAATTAAATGGAGGATGAAGTATATACCGAATCAGGATTGGACCATTATTGAATTGCTCAAAAATTGATCTTTAAAATAGTAAGTTTTATAATCCCTTGTCTTCCTTATTGGAAGCAATATTTGTTTAAAATGTCCTGAAAAAAATTTCGCAATATCTGACAGCATTTATGAATGGGGATTCTAACTACTAAAAAGTATCAGAATTACAGAATAGAAAAGAAGGTCAATGATAATCATATTTCCCGCCGAATCCCCTATTGCCCTCTCTTTCTATTCGATTGGGGCGCCACCTAGCGTTGCAGAAAGAAAGCAGTGCATTCATCGTCGACCTCCTTTCCCATTCTGTGATCCCAGTAGTTTTTAGACGTTAGAATCCCCCGGTTCATATTCATATTTTAAATTTCAAGAAAGGACAAAGATAAAAACTCAAGATGTATCGTTTCATATATCTTTATTGAAATATTTGGAACACGTGTAAAATATGCATGTATGTATACATATACATATACATATAATCACACAGTTTATTGTAAAACATCAATTAAATTTCAACAATTAATGATGGTAACCATCAATGAGGTAAGTGATTCGAATTCCGTACCATTAAACGTTTGTGGGCCACCCTTAAAATAATAACTCTTTGTAGATTAAAATATATGCAACTGTATCTTCCACGATAAAATATAATATAATATGTGTACGCGTATGTGTGTGTGTGTATATATATATATATTTTTATTAAATATTTATATATCGATATAATAAATATATTTTCCAAGATTTAATATTTTATACGCAGAATCTGAATATGATATAGACGTGATGTAACACAGTACAACGTGTTCAATTAATTGAACTTGAATAAGGCATCTATGAAAAAATATAGTCGCAGTTTACGACATTTGCTGCGTACTATGAGACGTTGTAAATAATTCTTTAATAAATCGTAAAGTAACGTTACTTCAAAACAGCTCGTAAGCACGAAATGTACGAATGTAATAGACACATTTCTTTTGATTAGCGATTAGCTTCTCGATATAGTAGGCGAAAGTACCTTGAGGAGAAACATTATAGACCGGGGCTGCACATCGGACAATCGTCCACAAAAATAAAATATGCGAATGACTGTAATGAATTTATTAAATGGCTACTCGTCCGCCATTTGCGCAGCCCCGATCTAAACATTTACATTTAGAACAAACATCTAGAGATTTTTACACTATGCAAAGAACAATCATTACGATTTTCATATAAACATTTTATATGAATATCTTACGTCATGTTAGTAAATAATGAGCAAGCATTTTAACGAAATAAATTTATGAAAGGTTACGTCGTAAAATACTACAAAGACGCAATAAAGTAAAATTTCGTCATCGTTATCCTCTGGTGTTCCTATTAATAAAAAATATAAATATATTTCTAGGAACTTAGTTTCTGTAGTATCTACATAACAAGTCGAAGAACGGATTTTATTATATTTTCGTAACTTATCTATGTATACATATATCTGTGTCGTAAGATCGAGAAAAAACAAGATGTCTGCCATATAGTTAATAACCACAGAAGCTAACTATTTGCACTATAAATGGAAAGACAACTTTCGTTTTTTTAATTTTTAAATACGGTCGCGTCTACGATACGCGGTTAACAAAATCCTACACTTTGTCGCGTTAAGAAATATGAACACAACGGTGAGATATCACGTATAAAAATAAAAAAATAATCGTCAGATATCAGAAATGATTTCTATTCAATGAAAGGGAATTTAAATTTCTCGAACAGTTTCTTTTCGCACATCCGAATGATAATATGCGATTCCAATGTCGGTTCAAATAATTACTTGTCATCGATTAAAAATTAATAATTGAAAGCGTACAGTCTTATTATTACGATAAATATTGAGAAGGTTTGGAAGAATATTTGTTACTCGCAGACTTGTAGCTGTGCTTTGATATTTGTACAGCGATCGCAAGCATAAGAAAGAAAGCAATGACGTTATCAGAACAGCCTTACAACGGTTTCAATGTTTCTGTGTTTTTTGTACTTGCGTGTTCGTGCAACTTTGAACATCGTCGTTACCATACAAAATGTCCCACTAGCTACGGGTCGCCTTGAATTTCTGTTACTTTAAATAATCGATGCGTTGTTTGTATCTCTCTGAATGATTTTCTAGTTTTAAATATCCACTTTTAAGACAGAGTTCTGAGAGTGAAAGTATTACGGTACATGTGTCCTAAAATTAACAGTTAAAACAATGTGTACAAAGACGATTACATGCATATAATATAGCAGTTTCAAGATTAGACTTTAGGAACAGGATATCTCTGAAACTTATAGTTTTAGAACAAATGTACCTGTACTCTTTTATCTCAAAAATTCTCTACCCCGTCGAACTCTGCCATTAAAACACGGATACTTGATTTAAATAAACAGTTCTTTTTTCTGCAAGGATATTCAGGTGACCTGTCCTTCGTGAGACAACCGTACAATGAACATTGTTGTTTGGAAACGGTTTAATGCCACTCTTACGAGCAATGCAGACTCCTCTTATTGGTACAGCTAACCTTTTTGCGAATTACGCGAAAACTCTAAGCAACTTGCTCGTACTTGGCTTTGTTGATGTTGCTGGCTAAGCAACACGCAAAGAATATACCTACGAGAGGGAAGAAAGCTACACCGATTGCTGTTCCAGCGACCAGACCGATGTTACCATTTATTAAGTCCAAAACACGGGTGTAGCAGCCCTGAAAATTACAATTTCGTGAGCGTAGAAATACATAAAACGTTTGTAAAAGTTTCTTAAATCGTTGTTGTTAAGGAAAGGAACCGTATGTGCTCGAAACACGTTTATTTACCGTTACAATAGTAATTATTTATCCGTGTAACGCAACTACTTTAAGGACCCAGAGGCCAACTGACTATATGTAACAATAGTAATTTATAACTTACCTGAATATAAATGTCGCTCATGTTGTTGACGTCACAGACATCGGTTTTTACTTTGCAACAAGATAGAGGAATCTGTTTTGGATGGTACATGTTGAGCCAATCGGTGTATCCTTTGTTACCGCAACAATGCAACTGTGAACCAATGAATGGTTTAATAAAAAAATATTACTTTTGCTGTTTTAAACCATAATATGTATGCAAAGAAAACCACTATACTCGTATCGTCGCTTTCTTAAGTTTGAATCTGCCGCTCACTTACAGAGATGACCGGCAGATGGCGCGCCATCTCTGTCAGTGAGTGGCAGATTCAGACTTAAGAAAGCGACGATACGAGTACAGTGGTTTTCTTTACATGTATTTATTTATACCAAATAGATTAAAATAGATGTTTATTCAATCTCTTATAGAAGAGCTTTGAAAAGTTCAGTCGAGTAAATTTTTAACAATTTTTATTAGAAATTACGAATTTTAATATTATAATTCTGTTTGAAAGTTTACCGCAGTCTGCACAGAATCGATGTGAGAAGTCTTCGTAGCGTCCTGCCCATAGACAGACATACTCTCGTTGAGACCCTGATCGAATTTCTCGTTCAAATTGGTACGATAAGCGTAAATCGATGCGCCGACCCCGAGCTCCAGTAACGCGACGACGGCTAAGAACGCGCCATACTGTAAACAGAATTTTTTCAATATTTTTTCAAATAACCTGCAATCAAAAATAGTTCGAACCAGGTCGTGTTTGTACTCATTTTTCTCGAGACAGCATCGCCGAGTTATTAGCATTTACGATGCTAATAATAATTATATTTTAATTTTCACCGCGACTCGACAGATTGCTCGGCTAATTGAAAATGGCGGATCTGTCCTCTGCGCGGGGACAAGTTGGTTGCATGTAGGCGTGGATTATAAAAATTAATAAATATCGAACGACTGGACTTACCAAGTACAAAAGAGCCGGATGGCCACGAGCCGTGCAACAGCAAGCGAGCGTTGCTGCCAAGGTCATAATTGCGCCTAAACTTACTAACGCCAAGGAGATCGCTCCGTTATCTTCCACGCTCATGTCGACGTAGGCCCAAAGTTGAAATCTCACCCAAATCCCGATGCATAGCATCAACACACCGGACGCCTAAATAAATTATTTCTACAGATTACACAATAATATTTGCATCGAATTTAAAAAAAAAAATTTTCTTTGTTTCTTTAAATTGTACGATGCAACAATAATAATAGAAGCGTATTTTCGATAAAATTGGTAATAAGGTAATTTTGAGGACTTTGAGACTAGTTGTATCTTGCAATTAAGTATTTTTTTACTACCTTATGGGTTATTTTCAAAAGGTCAACAAGGGTCGTACCTTCATACCTTATAGTGTAATATAATTATAATAATTATAACGAGGTTGAACAGTTGTGAAATGTTAATAAATATTCAAGGTGTATACAAAAAATGAGAAAAGGTAACAACTTGCGCTTGCAGCTGTTTGAAACTTAACAGATATTGCTCCATCGTGATAAAATGAAAATTCGAGGTACTGACAGTAGCATGACTATAACGAATCGTGCAACAGTTGGGTGGACGGGTATTTTCGTCCCAGGATTCAGGATTTCCTCGGCCTACGGCGTCGAGGGTGGATCGTGCCAGGATTCAAAACAGCCAGCTTACCCAGAATACGAAGTTGAACAGCATCAGATGCGTCTTCATGCAGGCCATCGTGGCCACCGCTTCCAAATGCTTGCTCATCTCTTTTCTTGGATAGTCAGCGGCTTCTGTGGACCTGTCAACCACGGATCGACGAAATATTTCGGAAAATACTACGCACTATGTGGCCTCCTGTAACGAGTGGACGATCGATTTGCAGCGAGATTGCACGAGCTTACGTGCTTGCGTGCGTGGCTTGCCCCACCAGTCGGTGCATGCGCGTTCTAGGACTTCCTGGTGCCGTTGATAGCCTATTTTAATAAAAAAAAACGCGATCCTAAAAATTTACCTCCGATAGGGCAACTGTCACCGAACACTTGACAAATTCAATTTCGCTACAGATGTTGCTGCAACTGCTCCTAAACACTATACTTCGCAAATACTGTTTATATTGTTAATAGTAAAAATACTATTTAATTTTTAATTTTTTATGTACAATGGAAAAGAATAGTTTTATGAATATTTCGTGAATGTATAAATATGGTGATTTTTATTGTATGAGACTCGATGTAGTCTTATGATTAAACTGTGGATGTTTATGAAAAATATAAGAAATACAACACTTTACAAAGCTCCCATTTCATTAATTCTGTTAACAAAAAATATGAATTTGCAGTCTACTCATGATTGTGAAAACTTAACCTCACAAACTTGTAACCAGTCAGAGTCGCCATTGTACAATAAGGGGTTAATAACGTCAGTATTATGTAACAAAATACTAAAAACAGCATTAAGTTTAACACACAAAGTTTATTAAATTACACGTTTCAGTACAGCTGTCGTAACCTCAAACAATTTATTTTTGTATAAAATCAATTGGTCTAATCGAGGAGCAAACTTGAAAGATTAAATAGAAAAACTGTATTAATGCTCTGTGCAAAGTACGTTTGTCAACTTAATCCTGCTATTGTTATGTTTATTATCGATTGTCAAAAACAAAGTGTACACAATGAACAATTATGGAAAGTAAAATAACAAAACAATTGTGTTCCATTAGACGGAATATAACGGGTGTCCAGTCACCCCTGGGAAAAATTTTAATGGGGGATTCTGGAGCCCAAAATAAGACGAAAATCAAGAATAGTAATTTTTTAATTGAGGCTTCGTTTAAAAGTTATTAACGTTTGAAGTTGCGAGTCTTACGAGTGAGACATGCGCGCGCAGCTGTTCACAGATCAACTTCAAACGTTAATAACTTCTCAACGAAGCCTCAATCAAAAAATTGTTATTCTTCATTTTCGTCTTATTTTGGCCTCCAGAATCCTCCACAGTAGTGCCCACTTAAATGACCGCAACCGCGACTGGTCCCAAGCGTGGTCACTTAAGTGGGCACTACTGTGGGGGATTCTAGGGGACAAAATAAGACGAAAATCAAGAATAGCAATTTTTCAATTGAGGCTTCGTTAAAAAGTTATTAACGTTTAAAGTTAAAGTGTGCAGCGCGCACGGGTCCCGTCTCACAGGCGCAACTATAAACGTTCATAACTTTTAAACGAAGCCTCAATTGAAAAATTGGTATTCTTGATTTTCGTCTTGTTTTGGCCTCTAGAATCCCCCATTTTTTCGATGATTTCAATAATTTTTATATCACACAAATTTAGAACGAAAATTTATTTTTGCGATATGCAGTAACGGGAAGAAATGGCGGGATCGATGTTTTTGGTATAATTCAGCAAAATACTCGGCCAGATTACATCGTTATCGCCCACTATGGGGGATTGTTTCACTTTTTTGGACGTTCTTCTGGTCCTTCGAACGTCCAGGAGCGTTTTGGATCTGTCTCGGTTCTGCGACCCTTTGCTATTATTTTCACTCTCGGTGCCATAATTCAATCGTGTTTCTTGATTCCTCAGATACTCGTTTTTCTCTTCGATGTAGTTGTTATTGCGTTCCTCTTCGATCTCAGACACCGTCAAGTTGTTCTCGTTGTTCTGCTCGTCAATGGCGGGCACAGTGGCGTCGACCTCGTTCAAATTGAGCTTGGTCAAATTCACGTTCGTCCAGGTAACCGAATCGATCCCATCCTCGTCTTGTGCAGCACTCGTGGAGGCAAAGATACTCGTGATATTGTCGCTGAGGCCATCCTCCATCAGCTGGTTGGCGATGAAGTCCGACACAGAGTTCACGTCCCATTCCACGAGTTCCTCGCTGCTGATGGAGATCCTGTCCTGCTCGTTCTTAATATCGCCAGCGTCCCTCTTGCTGTTCTTAATATCACCAATCGTCTTGAAGTAGATACTGTGGTCGTACCTGTACGTTTCCAGGCAGTTGCTGTCCAGGTTGCTGTTCGATTGGTAGTTGAACGTGCCGCAGCAATTGATCTTTGTCTCCTCCGGTCGAGACTTCCGTCGGGACTTCTTCATCGCGTGGAAACGGGGATTCCACGAGACGTCGTCGATGATCAGTTTATTGGAGGAGATGCTCCACCGAGGCTCCTGGCCCCCCTGCATGGTCATCCGTCCTCTGGACAGTCTCTGCGACCTCAAACGATTGTATCCTCTCGCGTACGCGGCCCATCTTTCGATCCTTTGGAAAACGTACTCGGTTTCCTCGTTCCACCATTCGGAGAGGCCTTTCTGAAGCAGAGTGCCCACATCTTCGGCCATGCTCGTTGCTGAAACAGTTGGACGAGCAGAGGACCCACCAGCTCCGTACGATCACATCCGGCCACGGGGAACCACAGGTCGACGAGATGGAAAGCGATTGAACTTACGGAGAGACCTCGATGGCGATTTATAGGGTTACCTCGAAGCACTGCAACGACGGGAAGCCCCGGTGCAGGACTGCTTTAATCCCGCGACCGTGACCTCCCGCGAACGTCAAATTCGGTTTGCCGTTTTGCTGTCTGCGTTACGTATTGGGGCGGTGGATTCTTGATGACACGCTTCAAATAGCGATTACGCGAATTCATTGGAATTTTGTGGCTTTTCGTGCATCGATTATTATTGTACATTTGGAATATCTCGAATCTTAAAAATATCAAATCGTTCTGGAAAAATTATTTTTGGTTGCGGGGGTCAATTATAATCATTTTTGGTTATTAGACATACCCTCGAATTCCTACGCATTTTTGAGAAAAAAATTCAGGAAGGTTGACAAATTTTTCGACGAAATTAAAAAATTCCAAATCGTTCTGGAAAAATTATTGTTGGTTTCAGGGGTCAATTATAATCAATTTTGGTTATTATACATACTCTCTAATTCCTACGCATTTTTGAGAAAAAAATTCAGGAAGGTTGACAAATTTTTCGACGAAATTAAAAAATTCCAAATCGTTCTGGAAAAATTATTGTTGGTTTCAGGGGTCAATTATAATCATTTTTGGTTATTACACATACCCTCGAAATCCTACGCATTTTTGAGAAAAAAATTCAGGAAGGTTGACAAATTTTTCGACGAAATTAAACAATTACAAATCGCTATGAAAAAATTATTTTTGGTTACAGGAGACTAATACAATTATTTTTGGTCATTGCGCATACCCTTGAAATCCTATCCTTTTTCGAGAAAAAAATTCATTACCAAAAATCTAATTTGAAGCTCCCCTGAAGTTTCATGCGAATTTTTAAAATGTCATAACTCCTGAACGGATTGGAGGATATGAATTTTTCAAAGTGCAGACAACGCGTATTTTAGTGGAGAATATGTAGAAATTCCCAAAATATTCGAAAACTTGTTCCTTAACACCGTAAACTGACGAAAACCCCCATAAAATTGGTCCAATTTTCAAACGACCATAACTCCTACAATAGTGAATGTATTCAATTGAAATTTTTTTCTGATCTACAGCTCATGGGTACCTACAAAAAAGTATTAAACCAAATTTCCGTACAGCGTAAAACAAATTTATTAAAAATGAAAAACAAATTTAAAAAAAAATCGAGTCCTCTTTTTTGTTGAAAAAAAAATTTTCAAATCTTTCTAAAAAAATTACTTATAGCTAAGGGAGTCAATTGCAATCATTTTTGGTCATTACACATACTCCCAAAATACTACCCACTTTCGAGAAAAAAATTCGAGAAGGTGTGAAAAAATTAAATTTCGGCGAAAAAAAGATTTCCAAATCGTTCTAAAAAAATTGCTTATAGTTAGGGGGGTCAATTACAATCATTTTCGGTCATTACACATACCCCCGAAATTCTACCCACTTTCGAGAAAAAAATTCGAGAAGGTGTGAAAAAATTAAATTTCGTCAAAAAAAAAATTTTCAAATCGTTCTAAAAAAATTGCTTATAGCTAGAGGGGTCAATTACAATTATTTTTGGTCATTACACATACCCTCGAAATTCTACCCACTTTCGAGAAAAAAATTCCTAACCTAAAATATAATGTCTGGCCAAAAATTTGTGATTATATTTCTCGTTTTTATCACTTCATATTTAGATATGGAACATTTTAGAAGCCAAAATAAGACGAAAAAGTTGATTGCATGGGAGCATGAGAGACTCTATCTACAAGGGGATTCACCTCCCTAAATTCAGAAATTAATTAATAATCATATAATTTCCAAGTCGTAATTACATTCTTAGATGCTTTCCTTTCAATGTGGTTTAATTTTAACTGTGAAAACTTCAAGGAAAGCCACTCTGCCGTGAAAGCTCATTCAAACTGGGAAAAGCAATCTACAAATAACATTCAGATTTAGCCAAACAGGGACGCCTCGCGCGTCGATAAAGCGGCCTCCATTGTCTCAGAAAGAGAAAAGCTAAGTTAAGATGGTAATACGGTTATTCAAACTGCCAATCATCGGATACCATCGTGGAATATTGAATGCTCAACAGTGGGGCCACCTACAGCCAAGAAAATTGTTTATCAGACCACAGCTACGTGAATTAAAATTCAAAGAGCTCAACGTTCCTCGGGGATTCCGGGGATGATGGGGTTCACGTATAAAAAGCCACGTGGAAAGTGTGGAACGCGCATTCTTCCGCCGTTTTCAGATCCACCACCATACAGGTGACCAGCTCTGCTCGTTCCTCCTTAAAAAACAGTAATTCTTTACTTTCGATAATTGATTTCTTACACCATGTTGTTTTAAGGTTATGGTCTGGACTGAGAATTGAAACTAATTTCCTCCATTTTAGAATGCTCCTGTACTTTCATTAGCCTGATGGTGCTTCGGGGGATTCCCATCAAACTTTCTAATTGACAAACGCTGTTAACGACAACTTTTCGTTTATGTTTCAGATATGAACTTAACCTTTGCTCTGCTTTGCACGATGACGGTTATCTGGTTATTCTGCGCCAATTGCGAGGCGGCTCCAGAACTCATTAGCAATGTGTATCGAAAGTTCCGTAGCCACCCTTTGCTACGGGGGTAATTATGAAATTTAATTGATTTACTACATGTTCAGTGAACCATTTTCCTTCCAAAAATGTGTGATCATGTGTACATCACTAATTTCCAAACATTTTCTAAAAATTTTCCCTAAAAAGTTATTTTTTATGATTATAAACAATTTGCAACAACTGCCATGCATGATAATTAACATTCTGAGACTTAAAATACTTTTTGCTGTTTTTACCTTGTTTACTATTATAATTATAAAATTCATTTTCTAAAAACAATTTGAACACTCCTGTTTAAGTAAAAGCCCCTTCACAATTGATCTTCCATTATAATTATAATTAAAATATCTTTTCATGATTATAAAGAATTTGCAACAACTACCATGCATCATAATTAACATTCTAATGACTTAAAATGCTTTTTACTTTTTCCCCCAGATCTCATAGTTATTTTTCTTTTACAGGTACACCGTGGAAAGTTCCCTAGACGAGGACAACGATTTCGTGGATCTGAATAAACGACAACAATTCGACGATTATGGTCACATGAGATTCGGTAAACGGGAACAATTCGACGATTATGGTCACATGCGGTTTGGCAGGCGCCACGAATAAGCAGTATGCACGCTGATGGATCGTAGATGCAATTGTGCAGTGGCATTTCACTGTCGTTGCTGCACGAGTCACGTTTTATTTAGACTCTAGGCAAAGTAATACATTGCAAATATGTGTTTCGTTACTTTTGTTTCTCTTTTCACGTTCCACTCGACACCGTTGGTGAAAAATGAAAATTAACCTGTTACTTGCGTCGTGGTGTTTATAATTTATTCTTAAAATGTGTTTTAAGTACATTAATTACTTTCTGTGTGCTCCTCTTAATTTTCGATTTTATAAAATGTAATGCGACGAATAAATAAATGGAATATTTCGACTTTAATTGTACAATTTATTGCTCATTTGAGTTGTCAAAGTTTTATAAAATGAATGTAACAAATATAATGGAATATACATAACAGTATAGAAAATTGTTACTGTTAGAATTAAAGAAAATAAACTTGTTCAATATCTGTTTATTAATTTAGAAAAATAAAAGAAAGGTAACAAACAAAAAACTGTGACAACTCGAAGCACATTTTACCATCCTCGTGGGCACACACACCCCCTCAAAGCTCGACACCCGAAAAACATAAGAAAGGGGACACACAGCGATGTAGCCAACCACACGAAACAAAAATAACTTTTACTACATATTTTTAACAGTTACAATTATTATTAACACATTACCGACCGATAGCCTATTAATCGACTGTTTTACCGACCGATAGCCTATTAATCGACTGTTTTACCGGCTAACGCTTACCGACTGATAGCCTATTAATCAACTGTTTTATCGGTCGGCGTTTACCGACCGATAGCCGATTAATCAACCGCTACCGGTCGGTAAAGTGTTAAGGTATTGGGGGTCGTCAAATGAGAATTGTTTGACTGTTCCTTGCATAATTTTACTTTTATTCCCATTTCAAATCTACAAAATTCAAAAGTGTACATATAAATATAGCAACATTTCACCCAGACTAAACAAATTGTTCTTTTATAAGTATTGCAATCATTTATCGAGTTTAGCAATTACAAGTTGCGTCTAATTTCTCTTCAATGGCGGAAGAGCCCTTAAATTGGGGTGTTTCTTGAAGAATCTCGTTCGATTTGTAACGTCTGGACTTTATGTCAGCTATTTTTTCGTGAAGCTCCATGTTGTCGTCTAGAAAAGTATGCGTGCTATCTCGATTTTCCAACTGCTCGAGAGTATAACCTATAGTTCGTCGATTTAGGAGCCAAGGTTCAGGTGGTGGTGGGGGTGGCGGAGGTCTTCGTTTTAAGGGATGAGGCAGTCTGTAATGGAGTTCCATCGTCGTTCTATAATCCATACAACGAGCCTCTTCGGGGTCATACAACGCATCAATTAGGGTTGGCACTGTTCTATCCACTGACCTATGTAACATCAAATTTTTATTTTTCATTGTCATCGCCATTTTGTTATTATTAGACTGAGGAATTTTTGTGTAAACTTTATTAATAGGATTAATAAAATTGGAGCTTTCCAAAGGGTAGTCCCCGTAGTGTTGTTTTTGTTAGTTGTATGTCTGGTGATTTTAGTGTGAAGTAGGCTTAATGTTGGCAGCACTGGCTCGTGAGGGGATTTGCGTTTTCCTTGTTTCGTGAGAGTTGTGTGCAAAAGAGAATTATGTTACCAATTCATTATTATCTAAAACAACACTGGATTACTTATAATTGATCTCATTCCTTTTACAGTCCTAACCTCTAAACAATTCTCATCTTACTTCAAGAATTTCTTATACAGGGTGTTAGACCATCCCTGGGAAAAATTTTAATGGGGGATTCTAGAGGCCAAAATAAGACGAAAATCAAGAATAATAATTTTTCAATTAAGGCTTCGTTAAATAGTTATTAACGTTTAAAGTTGCGCTTGTAAGACGGGAACCGTGCACGCTGCACAATTTAACTTTAAACGTTAATAAATTTTTAACGAAGCCTCCATCAACAAATTGGTATTCTTGATTTTCGTCTTATTTTGGCCTCTAGAATCCCCCATTAAAATTTTTCCCAGGGTTGGCCTAACACCCTGTATAAGATACAACAAGCAAATAGAAAGTTGGAAAATCTCCCATCCTTAACACTTGTAAACTCTTGAATAATAACTAGTGGACTATTTTTACGCAAATTTGTATTTTTATTAATAGAATTAATGGAATTGGAGCTAGAGGGTTGTCTCAATCTCCAAATATAATAATTCTCATCTTTAAAAATTTCTTATACAGGGTGTTGGGTCTCCCCTGGGAAAAATTTTGATGGGGGATTCTAGAGGCCAAAATAAGACGAAAATCAAGAATAATAATTTTTCAATTAAGGCTTCGTTAAATAGTTATTAACGTTTAAAGTTGCGCTTGTGAGACGGGAACCGTGCGCGCTGCACAATTTAACTTTAAACGTTAATAACTTTTTAACGAAGCCTCTATCAACAAATTGGTATTCTTGATTTTCGTCTTATTTTGGCCTCTAAAATCCCCCATTAAAATTTTTCCCAGGGTTGGCCTAACACCCTGTATAAGATACAACAAGCAAATAGAAAGTTGGAAAATCTCCCATCTTTAACACTTGTAAACTCTTGAATAATAATTAGTGGACTATCTTTATGCAAATTCTTATTTTTATTAATAGAATTAATGGAATTGGAGGTAGAGTTTCTTATCTGAAATTCACCTTCTCGAAAAAATTGGTATCATTCATCTAATCGTGAATAAAAAAATCTCTTCTGTTTTGTTTAAAACTTACACTAGAAATATTCTACGTAGACGTAGACATGTAATAAAATACTTACACTTTCGATGCAAGAGATTTAATATTGAGCAAGGTACGTTGCGGGTAAACTGGTTCGTACAAATGCTTCATTTCTATCTGGGATAGCATGGCTTGCGTTTCTGTGACTCCCGTGCAAGCATCTTCCGAGCCCAGTCTATTATACGACGACAGACTGAGATTCCCTTTCGGTGGAAATATATTTTTATTGTCTCTGGGCTCCGCTAATGTACGCATTTGCCTGCAGGAAATAATTTTAATATTTATTTGCAGTTAAATTTTTTGAGGTTATTTTGCTTATTTATTATTGAAATAAATCGTCGAGGTTTCCTAATTCTTGCACACTGAACCAGTCACGATAGAAACAGTTTCAACAACCACTGGTGGCTTATGTGAGTTGCTACGGAAAACAGGGGTTGCGTTTCACCCTCATTCAGCTTGATTTTAAACGGGGGAAACTTTTTCAATAGTTCGTAGTAAACAGTTCGGTGTTTTAAGAAACAAATGATATTTCTTATGCAGGACATTATAATTTTTATAATAATTGTTTAATATTACATTTACTATATTTACGTAATATTACTAGTATTAGTAATATTATTTTGAACTTAACACATTGATATTTTAAAAGTTTTAATGCAAATATAATTAGGGGGCGTTTTAAAAAATATAGTATGCATTAATAATCGTCCTATTCAATAAGTATGTGCCATTTACCATTCATGAATTTTCACTTTGTCGTTGTATGTAGTAGGAACGTGAAAAACGATTGGCTCTAAATCCCTAGCTTTATCTTCACAGGATGGAAAGATGGTCTGCAATATAAATGATAATATAAACGTGTAATAATTTTGTCCCCATATATTTTAAAAATAATTTTACGTAAACATTTTTCGCTGTTATTCATACTGATGTTGATCTTACACTTATAGCTGGTTTTCCTTTCGTTAACATTTTGCTGCTTTGCAATGTCAATTCGAAAGAATTTGACAACAGTCTGTACCATTAATCGTGAATCACGCAAAGAGATCTAAAGACGGAATAAATCCTGAATGTAACATCGAACATTATCGATAGTGTAATGCAGAAAATTTCTATCGGTTGCGATATGAAGCCCTGGGTGCACCGAGGACGCCCCATTCCACTTTCTCACGCTATGACACATCACGTGTACGTGAGTTCGTAGAGTTTCGTATAGTCGACAGACACAAAGAGAAAGGTTCACATTTGCTTTCTCCCTCTTGCAAAAATGAAATCCGACGCCAAAGTTTGTCGTGGAATAGTTCATTACCTTCAACGCTAGATGGCGCTTATTTATCGACCTTGTGGCGACAGGTGCGTTTTCTGTCGCGAGGTTGACCTCTACTTTACCGATTAAAGGGTAGTTTATTTAAACAGTTATAAGAATAAACTCAGAGTTCTCCAGATATTCAAAAGAGTCATACATATGTTCTAATTTATTACGGCTACAAGGTCGGTAAATAAGCGCCATCTAGCGTTGAAGATGACGAACTACTCCACGACAAACTTGGGCGTTTTGCCGTGTACCACCAATGGGTCACACTTTCTTCACCTTAAACACAGGGAGCATCACGGCAAACTAAACGCATATTTTGGTATGCAAGAATGCAGTCACTCAGAGGTGCCAGGAAAAGCATCGACGGTGCCCTACGCACGCATGCCAGATCACGCGTACGTATGCTCGTGGAGTTTCGGCAAGTCGACAAAGGCAAACTGACGCATGCCCTCTTTCTCGATTCTCCGAAGCTGCCCGAAGTAATTTCGGACCATCTCGTGGGAGTCGAGAGAGGAAGGCTCACATTTGCCTTCTCGTTCTTGAACAACTGACATTCGACCTCACGTCAACGGCATACGCTTCCAAGTCTCGACTGCCCAGGTATTTTATACTTTACTATAACCCTTTTTACCTGAAGTATAAGGTAATAAGTACGATGTATAAGGTACGACTACATGTACTTTTGAATTTTCCTACAGTCCTCCGCCGGCCTCTACTGACTGCTGCTGACCATTCCCCATACTTCTGACAACGTATAGCGATTACTATGTATTACTGCTTGCTCCTGCTGGTCTCTACATGCCTCTACATGCCCCTACATGCCCCTACATGCCTCTACATGCCTCTGCTGGCCTCTGCTGGCCCCTACTGACCGCTGATGACCACTCCTCATACTTCCGACAACGTATAACGATTACTATGTGTTATTGCTTGCTCCTGCTGGTCTCCACATGCCTCTACATGCCTCTCCATGCCTCTGCTGGCCTATGCTGGCCTCTGCTGGCCTCTGCCTGCCTCCAGTCACCTCTGCTGATCGCTGCTGGCCACTCCTAATACTTCTGACAACGTATAACGATTACTATGTGTTACTGCTTGCTCCTGCTGGTCTCCACATGCCTCTACATGCCTCTACATGCCTCTGCTTTCCTTTGCTGGCCTCTGCTGGCCCCTACTGACCGCTGCTGACCACTCCTCATACTTCCGACAACGTATAACGATTACTATGTGTTACTGCTTGCTCCTGCTGGTCTCTACATGCCCCTACATGCCCCTACATGCCACTACATGCCTCTGCTGGCCTCTGCTGGCCCCTACTGACCGCTGCTGACCACTCCTCATACTTCCGACAACGTATAACGATTACTATGTGTTACTGCTTGCTCCTGCTGGTCTCTACATGCCTCTACATGCCACTGCTGCCCCCTGCTGGCCCCTACTGACCCCTGCTGACCCTTGCTGACCACTGCTGACCCTTGTTAACAACTTCTCCAATGATATATATGTATTAAAACATTGTATAATGTAAATCTATGACAATAAATGATATAATTACAAAGAATTCTATGTGTTCTCATCATTTTTTACCTTTCCTTCCCTCTCCAAGTCATTACCTTAGTTATAAGACTCCCTGCAACTCCCCGGTTTCCCTGAACCCACTAGGAAGTCCTGAAACCTAGAACTTTGCTAAAAATTCAGAGTTTCCAAGAATTTTCGGCGTTTCCAAGAAATTCCAGGACTTCCCAGCTGTTTCAGGACTTTCCAGCTGTTTCAGGACTTCCCAAACGTTGTTTCAGGGCTTTCCAGCTGTTTCAGGACTTCCCAAAGTTGTTTCAGGGCTTTACAAAAGTTGTTTCAGGACTTTCCAGCTGTTTCAGGGCTTCCCAAAGGTTGTTTCAGGCTTTCCAGCTGTTTCAGGACTTTCCAAAAGTTGTTCCAGGACTTTCCAAACGTTGTTTCAGGACTTTCCAGCTGTTTCAGGACTTCCCAAAGTTGTTTCAGGGCTTTACAAAAGTTGTTTCAGGACTTTCCAGCTGTTTCAGGACTTCCCAAAGGTTGTTTCAGGCTTTCCAGCTGTTTCAGGACTTTCCAATTGTTTCAGGACTTTTTGGCGAAAAATTTAAACGGGACCCCCCTCAAATCTTTTCGAGGAACTTAGAAATTTTTCGAGCGAATAAATGAATAAGTATCGTTTTATATGGGAAGAGGTGGCAGGTATCTTAATAACTATGGGAATGCTTTGGAGAGGTAAAGAAAGGTGAGAATGACGAGAAGACATAGAATTCTTTGAAATTATAACATTTATTGCCATAGATTTACATTATACAAGGCATTATACATATACATCATATCAGAAGTTATTAACAAAGGTCAGCGTTGGTCAGCAGTGGTCAGCAGGGGGCAGCAGGGGTCAGCAAGGGACAGCAGGGGCATGTAGATGCATGTAGAGGCATGTAGAGACCAGCAGGAGCAAGCAGTAACACATAGTAATCGTTATACGTTGTCGGAAGTATGAGGAGTGGTCAGCAGCGATCAGTAGGGACCAGCAGAGGCCAGCAGAGGCATGTAGAGGCATGTAGGGTCATGTAGGGGCATGTAGAGGCATGTAGAGACCAGCAGGAGAAAGCAGTAACACGTAGTAATTGTTTTACGTTGTCGGAAGTATGAGGAGTGGTCAACAGCGGTCAGTAGGGGCCAGCAGAGGCCAGCAGAGGCATGTAGAGGCATGTAGGGGCATGTAGAGGCATGTAGAGACCAGCAGGAGCAAGCAGTAACACATAGTAATCGTTATACGTTGTCGGAAGTATCAGGAGTGGTCAGCAGCGGTCATCAAAGGCGAGCGGAGGCAGGCAGAGGCCAGCAGACATCAGCAAGGCATGTAAAGACATGTAGAAGTATGTAGAGGCATGTAGAGACCAGCAGGAGAAAGCAGTAACACGTAGTAATCGTTATACCTTGTCAGAAGTATTAGGAGTGGTCAGCAGCGGTCATCAAAGGCGAGCGGAGGCAGGCAGAGGCATGTAGAGGCATGTAGGGGCATGTAGGGGCATGTAGAGGCATGTAGAGACCAGCAGAAGCAAGCAGTAACACATAGTAATCGTTATACGTTGTCGGAAGTATCAGGAGTGGTCAGCAGCGGTCATCAAAGGCGAGCGGAGGCAGGCAGAGGCCAGCAGACATCAGCAGGGACATGTAAAGACATGTAGAAGTATGTAGAGGCATGTAGAGACCAGCAGGAGCAAGCAGTAACACGTAGTAATTGTTATACCTTGTCAGAAGTATTAGGAGTGGTCAGCAGCGGTCATCAAAGGCGAGCGGAGGCAGGCAGAGGCATGTAGAGGCATGTAGGGGCATGTAGGGGCATGTAGAGGCATGTAGAGACCAGCAGAAGCAAGCAGTAACACATAGTAATCGTTATACGTTGTCGGAAGTATCAGGAGTGGTCAGCAGCGGTCATCAAAGGCGAGCGGAGGCAGGCAGAGGCCAGCAGACATCAGCAAGGCATGTAAAGACATGTAGAAGTATGTAGAGGCATGTAGAGACCAGCAGGAGCAAGCAGTAACACGTAGTAATCGTTATACCTTGTCAGAAGTATTAGGAGTGGTCAGCAGCGGTCATCAAAGGCGAGCGGAGGCAGGCAGAGGCATGTAGAGGCATGTAGGGGCATGTAGGGGCATGTAGAGGCATGTAGAGACCAGCAGAAGCAAGCAGTAACACATAGTAATCGTTATACGTTGTCGGAAGTATCAGGAGTGGTCAGCAGCGGTCATCAAAGGCGAGCGGAGGCAGGCAGAGGCCAGCAGACATCAGCAGGGGCATGTAAAGACATGTAGAAGTATGTAGAGGCATGTAGAGACCAGCAGGAGCAAGCAGTAACACGTAGTAATTGTTATACCTTGTCAGAAGTATTAGGAGTGGTCAGCAGCGGTCATCAAAGGCGAGCGGAGGCAGGCAGAGGCATGTAGAGGCATGTAGGGGCATGTAGGGGCATGTAGAGGCATGTAGAGACCAGCAGAAGCAAGCAGTAACACATAGTAATCGTTATACGTTGTCGGAAGTATCAGGAGTGGTCAGCAGCGGTCATCAAAGGCGAGCGGAGGCAGGCAGAGGCCAGCAGACATCAGCAAGGCATGTAAAGACATGTAGAAGTATGTAGAGGCATGTAGAGACCAGCAGGAGCAAGCAGTAACACGTAGTAATTGTTATACCTTGTCAGAAGTATTAGGAGTGGTCAGCAGCGGTCATCAAAGGCGAGCGGAGGCAGGCAGAGGCATGTAGAGGCATGTAGGGGCATGTAGGGGCATGTAGAGGCATGTAGAGACCAGCAGAAGCAAGCAGTAACACATAGTAATCGTTATACGTTGTCGGAAGTATCAGGAGTGGTCAGCAGCGGTCATCAAAGGCGAGCGGAGGCAGGCAGAGGCCAGCAGACATCAGCAAGGCATGTAAAGACATGTAGAAGTATGTAGAGGCATGTAGAGACCAGCAGGAGCAAGCAGTAACACGTAGTAATCGTTATACCTTGTCAGAAGTATTAGGAGTGGTCAGCAGCGGTCATCAAAGGCGAGCGGAGGCAGGCAGAGGCATGTAGAGGCATGTAGGGGCATGTAGGGGCATGTAGAGGCATGTAGAGACCAGCAGAAGCAAGCAGTAACACATAGTAATCGTTATACGTTGTCGGAAGTATCAGGAGTGGTCAGCAGCGGTCATCAAAGGCGAGCGGAGGCAGGCAGAGGCCAGCAGACATCAGCAGGGGCATGTAAAGACATGTAGAAGTATGTAGAGGCATGTAGAGACCAGCAGGAGCAAGCAGTAACACGTAGTAATTGTTATACCTTGTCAGAAGTATTAGGAGTGGTCAGCAGCGGTCATCAAAGGCGAGCGGAGGCAGGCAGAGGCATGTAGAGGCATGTAGGGGCATGTAGGGGCATGTAGAGGCATGTAGAGACCAGCAGAAGCAAGCAGTAACACATAGTAATCGTTATACGTTGTCGGAAGTATCAGGAGTGGTCAGCAGCGGTCATCAAAGGCGAGCGGAGGCAGGCAGAGGCCAGCAGACATCAGCAAGGCATGTAAAGACATGTAGAAGTATGTAGAGGCATGTAGAGACCAGCAGGAGCAAGCAGTAACACGTAGTAATTGTTATACCTTGTCAGAAGTATTAGGAGTGGTCAGCAGCGGTCATCAAAGGCGAGCGGAGGCAGGCAGAGGCATGTAGAGGCATGTAGGGGCATGTAGGGGCATGTAGAGGCATGTAGAGACCAGCAGAAGCAAGCAGTAACACATAGTAATCGTTATACGTTGTCGGAAGTATCAGGAGTGGTCAGCAGCGGTCATCAAAGGCGAGCGGAGGCAGGCAGAGGCCAGCAGACATCAGCAGGGGCATGTAAAGACATGTAGAAGTATGTAGAGGCATGTAGAGACCAGCAGGAGCAAGCAGTAACACGTAGTAATTGTTATACCTTGTCAGAAGTATTAGGAGTGGTCAGCAGCGGTCATCAAAGGCGAGCGGAGGCAGGCAGAGGCCAGCAGACATCAGCAGGGACATGTAAAGACATGTAGAAGTATGTAGAGGCATGTAGAGACCAGCAGGAGCAAGCAGTAACACGTAGTAATTGTTATACCTTGTCAGAAGTATTAGGAGTGGTCAGCAGCGGTCATCAAAGGCGAGCGGAGGCAGGCAGAGGCCAGCAGAGGCCAGCATAGGCCAGCAGAGGCATGGAGAGGCATGAAGAGGCATGTGGAGACCAGCAGGAGCAAGCAATAACACATAGTAATCGTTATACGTTGTCGGAAGTATGAGGAGTGGTCAGCAGCGGTCAGTAGGGGCCAGCAGAGGCCAGCAAAGGAAAGCAGAGGCATGTAGAGGCACGTAGAGGCATGTGGAGACCAGCAGGAGCAAGCAGTAACACATAGTAATCGTTATACGTTGTCAGAAGTATTAGGAGTGGCCAGCAGCGATCAGCAGAGGTGACTGGAGGCAGGCAGAGGCCAGCAGAGGCCAGCATAGGCCAGCAGAGGCATGGAGAGGCATGTAGAGGCATGTGGAGACCAGCAGGAGCAAGCAATAACACATAGTAATCGTTACACGTTGTCGGAAGTATGAGGAGTGGTCAGCAGCGGTCAGTAGGGGCCAGCAGAGGCCAGCAGAGGCATGTAGAGGCATGTAGGGGCATGTAGGGGCATGTAGAGGCATGTAGAGACCAGCAGGAGCAAGCAGTATTACATAGTAATCGCTATACGTTGTCAGAAGTATGGGGAATGGTCAGCAGCAGTCAGTAGAGGCCGGCGGAGGACTGTAGGAAAATTGAAAAGTACATGTACTCGTACCTTATACATCGTGCTTATTACCTTATACTTCAGGTAAAAAGGGTTATAGTAAAGTATAAAATACCTGGGCAGTCGAGACTTGGAATCGTATGCCGTTGACGTGAGGTCGAATGTCAGTTGTTCAAGAACGAGAAGGCAAATGTGAGCCTTCCTCTCTCGACTCCCACGAGATGGTCCGAAATTACTTCGGGCAGCTTCGGAGAATCGAGAAAGAGGTCATGCGTCAGTTTGCCTTTGTCGACTTTCCGAAACTCCACGAGCTCACGTACGCGTATCTGGCATGTGTGCGTGTGCACCCGGCGGTGCTTTTCTGGCATCTCTGCAGTCACTTATGTAGACACTACTGTAGTTATTATTATAAGCTTTGCTGACAACTTCTGACATGATATAATATAATACAATATACTTATATGTATTAAAACTTTGTATAATGCAAATCTATGGCAATAAATGATATAATTTCAAAGAATTCTATGTGTTCTCATCATTTCTTATCTTTCTTTTCCTCTCCAAATCATTGCCTTAGTTTTAAGAGACATGCCACCTCTATGCAAGGCCGCCAGCAATTTGAAAATATTCTGGGCACTTTGGAAATCCAGGTGGCCTTGACTCAATTTCAAAAGAGAGCACGTGTCAGTTTATCTTTATCGACTCTTCGAAACTCCATGAGCTCACGTACACGTGATCTGGCATAGTGTGAGAAAGTGGAATGGGGCGTCCCCGGTGCACCCGTGGCTTCATATGGTGTATCTGATTTCCATTTATATCGACTCCTTGACTACTTCAAGCATCTATAACCTCACGTCATCGACCGATTTCTTAATTACAATTGATATAACAGATTTACAAAAATAAAAATGATGAATGCTTCGTTGAAAGAAGCTATATTAAAGAAATGTAGGAAAATGGTTGTTCCTATGGAACCGTATTACGAAGAAGAGGAGGGGGAAGATAGTGAGGAAATGTTGGATAAGTTTGAAGGTACCGAGGAAGAATTAATATTTCCACCTATTCTCGCGGATGAACGTCGTGAATATAGTACTAAGGAAGAGTTTATTTATCTGCTTTATAACGACATGCTGAAATATTTTATAAAAAAGTAATCACTCTGTTCCACTTTGAATTAATTATTCGATACTATAATAAACCAAAGGACCATAATTTTATTTAAAATAGATGGGATGGAAAATTTGTAACAGAAAAATCCAGGAAGAAATTCGACGCTGATTCTGGCGAAGAGTCTGACGAAGACGAAGACGAAGACGAGGGCGCCGAAGAAATTCAAGATGGCGACCGTACGAATAAACTGGGAAGAATTAAGAGTGAATCTAGAACAGGTTTCGATCTGCCATGGAAGTTAACATTGCCGGATGAGTTTGCAAACATAACATTTATTAATAATAATACATACCATGGTTACATTAGTAGGAAAATGATGGAAGGCAAGGGCCTCTACAGATGGTCGAATGGCGCTCAATACAAAGTAATTTCTTTCTTCAGTTTTCAATTTTCAATATTTTGCAAACTTTTTTTAGTTCACTTTAGATTGTATTGTGGAGAGATAAAATAAACTGAATATTTTCATTTGATACCATTTTTTTATTTGCTTTTATTCTCGCATTCCTCCACCTCATCAGGGGATTCCCTCAATGGGGTTTGACCAACCCTGTGAAGAATTGTAATGGGGGATTCCCTCAATAGGGATTGACCAACTCTGGGAAAAATTTTAATGGTGGATTCCCTCAATAGAGATTGCACCATCTCTGGGAAAAATTTTAATGGGGGATTCCCTCAATAGAGAATCACAACACCTGAGAAAAATTTTAATGGGGGATTCCCTCAACAAGGATTGACCACCCCTGGGGAAAATTTTAATGGGGGATTCCCTCAATAGGGATTGACCAATCCTGGGAAAAATTTTAATGGGGGATTCCCTCAATAGGGATTAACCACCCCTGGGACAAACTTTAATGGGGGATTCCCTCAATAGGGATTCACCACACCTGAGAAAAATTTTAATGGGGGATTCCTTCAATAGAGATTGGACCACCCCTGGGAAAAATTCTAATGGGGGATTCCCCCAATATGGATTAACCACTTCTGGGAAAAATTTGAATGGGGGATTCCCTCATTGGGGTTTGACCAACCCTAGGAAGAATTTGAATGGGGGATTCCCTCAATAGGGATTGACCACTCCAGGGTCAAATTTTAATGGGGGATACCCTCAATAGAGATTGACCACCCCTGGGAAAAATTCTAATGGGGGATTCCCTCAATAGGGATTGACCACCCCTGGGAAAAATTTTAATGGAGGATTCTAGAGCCCAAAATAAGACGAAAATCAAGAATACCAATTTGTTGATGGAGGCTTCGTTAAAAAGTTATTAACAATTGCACCTGTTATAGGCAACTTGCATAGGGCGCAACTGTTAATAACTTCTTAACGAAGCCTCGAAATTGGGAAAAATTTCAGAGGCGGATTCTCAAGCCCAAAATAAGACGAAAATGAAGAATAATAATTTTTCAATTAAGGCTTCGTTAAGAAGTTAGCAGTTGCTCCCGTACGCAAGTTGCACATCTACAGACGCAATTGTTAATAACTTCTTAACGAAGCCTTAATTGAAAAATTGTTATTCTTCATTTTCGTCTTATTTTGGGCCCTAGAATCCCCCATTAAAATTTTTCCCAGAGTCGAACACCCTGTATCTTGTTACAGTAATTTCAATATTAGCAATAAGAAATAAAAGTTTAATAATCTTTTGAGGGGGAGTTTGAGCAAAATCTCATGCATGGAAGAGGCTTATTAGAGTGGAATAATAATTGTTGGTACGAGGGCGATTTCTTGAACGGTTATCGCCATGGTGGAGGACTTTTGGTGAATGGAGATAATCGTTTCATGTATACTGGTCAGTGGTACAGAGGTTGCAGACATGGAAAAGGGTAAGAATCAATAAATTTGAGGATCTTTATGCAAATTTGTATTTTTATTAACAAAATTAATTAAATGGGAACTTTACAGAGGGTTGTCTCAATTTCTAAATAGAATAATTCGTATCTTACTATATTCTTGCATGTAAAGTGCATTTTGTTGCTTTTTGAAAATTTACAATTACGAATTTTATACAAATTATAATGCATTTAAGTTACTGTCGTTTCGGTGAAAATGATTCGTACGACGGTGATTGGGTGATGGAGAAAATGTCAGGTGTTGGGTTACGAATTTACTCGAGTGGATCTCGATACGTTGGCCAATGGAAAAATGGACTTCGACATGGCGTTGGAACCATGGTTTGGACCAATGGGGACGTTTATCGCGGAGAGTGGAAATGTGGTGCAATGAATGGGTTTGTATTTAATTATACGACGATTAATCAAAAGATAGTAATTAATATTAACAAAATATTTACAGTTATGGAGAATACATTTGGGGGGGATTTTTTAATAAAACTTTCACTTGGCCTCAAGAGGCTGTTTATATGGGACATTGGCGCCATGGAATGCGCCACGGAAAAGGTAAATTTTTATTTTTATTTCATAATAAAACAATCGTGACGAGATTTTTGTTGCAGGAGAATTAAAATTAAAATCGGTGGGCGGGGCTAAATATTCCGGGTACTGGAAGGATAATAAAAAGCATGGCCATGGAATTATAATTGGTAAACATCGTTTAATTTAATAATAAAACCAGCAACGATTTAAGTACTGAAATTTTTAGACGAACTTAAAAAATTTCTAATTGTACTGAAAAAATTATATTTAGTTAGGGGAGTCAATTACAAGCATTTTTGGTGGATAGACATACCCCAGAAATCCGACCCACTTTCGAGAAAAAAATTCGAGTAGGTGCTGAAATTTTTAGAAGAAATTAAAAAATTTCGAATCATACTAAAAAAATTATATTTAGTTAGAAGGGTCAATTAGAAGTATTTTTGGTCATTAGACATACCCCCGAAATCCTACGCAATTTCGAGAAAAAAATTCTTTACCGAAAGTCTAATGTGAGGCCAGAAAACCCCCTAAAATTAGTCCAATTTTCAAACGGCCATAACTCCTACAATAGTAAAGTTATCTCATTGAAATTTTTTTCTGAGACAGAGCCCATGGATACCTACAAAAAAGTATTAAACAACTTTTCTGTAAAGCGACCAACAAATTAATGAAAAATGATAAACAAACATTGACAGAGGGTAGTCCCCTTTTTTGGCGAAAAAAAAAGATCTCAAATCGTCCTGGAAAAATTATTTTCGATTGCAGGGGTCGAGTACAATCATTTTTGGTGAATAGACATACCCTCGAAATCCTACCCACTTTCGAGAAAAAAATTCGAGAAGGTTTGAACAAAATTAAAAAATTTCAAATCACTATAAAAAAATTATGTTTGGCTACAGGGGTTAATTACAATCATTCTTGGTGAATAGACCTACCTCCGAAATCCTACCCACTTTCCAGAAAAAAATTCAGTACAGGCGGAACTTTAATTTGTTAATAACTTTTTAACGAAGCCTGCATCAACAAATTAGTATTCTTGATTTTCCCAGGGGTTGTCGAACACCCTGTATACTTGCACCAATGATTTATGCAAGTATCGAAATTATTAAAATATTATTAAATATTCGTGACATTTTTCATCCGTAGGAAATAATGGAGAGAAGTTTGAAGCTGACCCCTTATTTTTAAACGACACTTTGGTTTCGTTCGACACCCCCAATAGTACTTTAGAAGATCAATTAGAAACCAAAGACACGAGCACGTGTGTAAAAGAAATCAAATCATTGTAAGTTTTATTGTAAAATTATTTATTTCAAATTAATTCGATTCAACTTTAAATTTTACTCCTTTACAGATTTCTTGATAAGCCAACTAAATTAGAAAAGACTTCGATAACCACCATTTTGAGACCAGAACAGTCGCCATCTTTGTCTTACTATCTGACTCGTTTATTAGACCCAAAACATTTGGAACCACATTTCGTGTCCTCGATTCCATCTGGAAAATGTTACACTTGCGAGAACCAATCTTGTTCCTGTTTGGAACCACCAAATACATCAAAATTTGTTACAGAGACAATTACAAGCGAAGAAAAAACTGTTACAAACAATATAAACGATTTCGAAGCAAACTGGGAGCACGAACAGCGATGGGTATACAATTGCTTAACGTTTCACATGTCACGTTTGCGACAAATTTACAAAGATTACGCCAAATTGTTTGCAACATCACCGCCACAGTGCAATCTCGCGATGAGCAGGCTGTGCTTATGGCAATTATGGCGAGATTGCGGTATCAACAAAAAAGGATTAAGTTTGATCGAGATCGATAATTATATTGGTAAATGTAAATTGCCATTAATCGGATGAATCCTTAAGAAAAATTTTAATAGGAGATTCTAGGGACCAAAATAAGACGAAAATCAAGAATAGTAATTTTTTAATTGAGGCTTCGTTAAAAAGTTATTAACGTTTAAAGTTAAAGTGTGCAGCGCGCACGGTTCCCGTCTCACAGGCGCAACTTTAAACGTTAATAACTTTTTAACGAAGCCTCAATCGACAAATTGGTATTCTTGATTTTCGACTTATTTTGGCCTCTAGAATCCCCCATTAAAATTTTTCCGCGGGTCTTAAAATGATTCTTAAATATTATTTATTGCGAGAGCATTGATAATTCTAGCAAAAAATGAGTCCACGTTTGTAAAGGACCCCCATGATCCGTTCGAAAGGATTGAAATTTGGCAATTTTTACACGCTTTACTGGAAGTCTCTTGGCATTTATATACAAAACACAATGACGTAGAACTCCAAGAAATGAATGGAATACTTGCTGGCGGTTTGCATAGATTATTGAAGAACGATATATATCCTCACGTTGGAAACCATATTGGTACGTCAATAATTTAAACTATATTACAAAAAAAACAATATTACAATTTTTTATTGTGTCGAGAATTTCGGTTAATTTTTAATCTTTTAATAAAACTTTTTGATGATAGGTAGTTTATGTCGTGAATACCAGGATTTATTACCTATGCATTGTGTGTTTAAATTGTATCAGAACGTTGGTTATCCATGTTCTGCGAAAGATCTTCTTCGAGCTACCTGTGTTTTAAAAGGTACACTGATTTGTAATAATATTACAAAAGTTATGAAATCTATGAGAAATATGTTTATTATTCATTTTACACTACGTTCTATAAATGTTTTAAATCATTTTTCCCAGCCACCTCTGATAAAATTTTAATGAGTGATTCTAGAGACCAAAATAAGTCGAAAATGAAGAATAGTAATTTTTCAATTAAGGCTTCGTTTAAAAGTTATTAACGTTTAAAGTCGCGCCTGTGAAACAGCTGCGCGCGCACTACAGGCGTAACTTTAAACGTTAATAACTGTTAAACGAAGCCTTAATTAAAAAATTACTATTCTTCATTTTCGTCTTATTTTGCCCTCTAGAATCAGCTTATAAATTTTTGTCAGATTCCGTAAACCCTGTATAAATAACTATGAAAATAATGTTAAATATTACAATTAATTTGATTACATGATAGACATTGAAACAAGACATACAACTTTAAAGTAGTTTATTGATGAACAATTATGTTTGTACATTTTACAATATGCACGCAGAGTCTGTTTGAGACCTACTTTATATAATAATGGTATTTTTACATTTAAATGTATAACTATTTTAATGATGTATGTAGATACACCAGGTCAACAGCCTTCGTCGAAGAGTGTTGAAAGTGTTGAATATTTTTCGGAGGGAATTAATGCGGTGACGATAGGTGAGAAAGTTAGTTACCTGTTGAAAGTCGACGAGATATTTCCACCATCGCGTGGCGTGGTCGAAATATCAAAAAATTGTGAAAATAATCTGCGTACGTACAATAATTTCACCCTATGTTTCCGTAAATTGTTTAAATTGGTTATATTCCGTAACTAAACAACACATATTACAGTCCACGGATTGATAGTCTTTGAACAATTGGGGGCAGTGAAGATGGTGGAAATCATAACGTTAACATGTCCTGGAATCAAAGATTCAAATATAATTATCAACATGGATTACGAGGTATGTAGAACTTTCTGACTATTAACACTTTACCGACCGATAGCCTATCAATCGACTGTTTTACCGGCTAACGCTTACCGACCGATAGCCGATTAATCAACCGCTACCGGTCGGTAAAGTGTTAAAATACTAAATTAAATTGGAATTTAATTTAATGAATAATTTTTAAAATAATAGTTGAAAATGAAAATTATACAAAACCATACCTCTTTAAATGTTGATTTTTACATATGATTATAGAAGTACAATGCAAATATTTTATCTAAATCAATAATATTTAATCCTCTAGCTGCTATACGCCACCAAAATGGCTTCCCTGTAAACCATTTTGTGTGACGCCACTAGGGGGTTAATAAAATTCACTAAGCAATTAATAACCTAACAATTGAAAGTAGGTAACAACCAATGATTATTTAAAATAATCGTAAAAAATTAACTATTTCCCATCTAGGTAAATACAATGTACATTTACAAAGACTGATTTGTATGTGGTGATTGTAATGTCGGTAAATCTAAAAAAATAGCCTCAAAGATTTACCGGTAATTCGCCTCTTTTTTACCGACAATTATATAAATTAAATGTAATAATAGAGTACGTGTATGCATTTTATATTTTCTTTGCACACGTAAAGAAAATACAATAAAAGATAGTTTAAACAAAAATGCAAACAACGAAAAAATCGTATGCCTATAATTTGCTAATGCATACATGTACATACGTATTTTGTGTTACATAATTTTATATTTCATGTTCAGAATAGTTTTATCTCTTATAATTCTTAATTAGTATTTAATAAACCGTTTTCTTTACAATATTTATTTTTATATTTACAATACCATAAAAACAGTCGGTAAATTATCGGTAAACCGGTTCCGGTCGATAACTTTACCGAATTACCGGTAAATGGGGAACGTCGGTAAATTTACAATCCCTAGTTGCATGTAACATGCGTAATTTACAGTATATAAATAATAATTGTTGCAGCTGACGTTTCTTGAATTTTATGAAATAATACTACAGGCAACGAACCAATTGCTCTCTTCAAGGAAAGAGACTGAAAAAGAAATACAAGGAAGACAAATCACAGTAAAAATGGACAACCTATGAGCTTTCTAACTTAAAATGCACAACTTTAAGGTAATGTTTGTTTAGTAATGTAACTTATTAATACTGAAAACTGGTTTTATTGCTACAACATACTGACGTTGGTCAAATTCTATTTTATGTCCTAAATATTTAGAACAATCGTGATTCTCTTAAATCTACTGAATAATTTCATTTAAAAAAAAAGAAGTTTCGTTAATTGCACAAACGAGAAAAATGTTATTAAATCAAAAGAATTTGAGTATTAAATATTATATTAGAATTACATTGACACGTGTATTTGACTTTGAAACACGAACAAAAAACAAAGGGTACAAACGTAACTTTACAAGGACGATGGGGTAAAATAACTTAAAAAAGGTTCTTCAGTTCCCTCGTCAGAGAATGTTCTTCGATTTTCTGAATGAAAAAAAAATGCATCCGTGAGTGCATCGTTCTATCAGTTTCGTGCACATGGAACCTAACGAATTTGAAATCATATACGATAAACAAATGTTATAGGTCCGTTATTTTACCTCGAAAATATACATTTTAATTTTTTTAATTTTTCAAATAAAAATACTACTACTATGCAGGGTGTTCACAGCTGGGAAAAATTTTAATGGGGGATTCTGGAGATCAAAATAAGACAAAAATCAAGAATAGAAATTTTTTAATTGAGGCTTCGTTAAAAAGTTATTAACGTTTAAAGTTAAAGTGTGCAGCGCGCACGGCTCCCGTCTCACAGGCGCAACTATAAACGTTCATAACTTCTTAACGAAGCCTTAATTGAAAAATTGTTATTCTTCATTTTCGTCTTATTTTGGCCTGTAGAATCCCCCATTAAAATTTTTCCAAGGGTTGACGGGAACACCCTGTAGGGGGAGCACACTGCCTCTCCAAGGGAGAGACAAACTAACATGGCGGTGAAGTAGGATTCGTTTTTTGTGTAATTTGTAATTGAGTAAATAACCCTGAACAAGTTATTTACGTTTTGACAAATTAGCACATTCAAGGTACTTAAAAATCATGAGATACCAAAAACGGAGCTTGCAAGATAAAAATTACAGAAATTAAACAACAAACGTACATGACTGGTGTATTACAGTATGACTCAAACTGGAGCTACTCTCATTTAACAGTTGAAAAAAATGAACTTATCACGTAACAGATATTATTTAATGAACTTGTGTATTTAAAAAATCCAACGATGGGTGTAATTGAACGAAACGTATACAAGTACGTTGAATTTTGCAACAGGTACAGGTAGGAAATTGATTCATCAAACATTTCAAACTTGAGAAAATGCGTGGCGGTCGGCTCTCGTTGCGGCCACGGATGGAACGATTCAGTCTTAAGCGGACAGTAGCAAAATTTGTGTCGCTGGATCGACTCCAGAACGCATTGTCACGTTAACAATGTTGTAAAACTTGATTGATCTTCTTTGTACGTATTGATTGATACGTTCTCGTATAAATCCCGGGGCTCAAGAAGACAAAGGAACGACAGGAGAGCGACTAGGTCGCCCATTAGGTGTAATTCTGCTTAAGTGGTAAGACCACTGTAAAAACTTGGAATAAATCATTTTTTTGCGTTTTTTTTTTGGATGTTGGATAATATTATTTAAGAATGTCATTAACCAGGTCGTTAAGTGTTAAAAAAAAAATATTTATTCAAAGATAGTGGAAAATGGCGACACTGGAGCCATCCTCCTGAGGCGTGTTTTGAATTTGAGGTGCTGGAAAAAAGAAGATTCTTTGGAAAAGAATAAAAAATTTTTTCTTAATATACATGAGTATAGCTAGAGAAATAGCCCTACGTATTTGATAAATTAATTTTAACATTATTTATTGGCAAACGATTGCCCCATTTTTCGTATAAAATTGAACTCAAAATGCTTGGCAATTACACAAAAATTGATGTTTCAAAAATCCTGTAGGTGTTTCTTTAGCTATACACGTGTAGATTGGAAAAAAATTTTTTGTTCTTTTTCAAAGAATCTTCTTTTTTCCAGCACCTCAAATTCAAAACATGCCTCATGAGAATGGCTTCAGCGTTGTTATTTTGCACTATTTTTGAATAAATATTTTTTTTTTAACACTTAAGGACGTGGTTAATAATATTCTTGAATATTATTATCCTCCATCCAAAAAAAAATCGCTTATTTCAGGTTTTTACAGTAGTCTTACTCCTTAAAAAACAATAAGTACGCGTTACTTCTGTTCCATCGCATCATCGTCTCTTGATGCCTTATAAAAAGTGTTATTAAATGTATTGTAAAGTGGAAATGTAAGACCTTGAAGCGTTTCAGAAAATATTATTCATCTGCCAGTAAAAAATCCCAACTTATTTGCAGTCTTGTTATCTTTTTCCCAAGTATTTATTAATTTTTATTAAATTGAACAACTTTTTCAAAATTTTAATAGGAGATTCTAGAGACCAAAATAAAACGAAAATCGAGAATATCAATTTCCTGACTTTGTTAAAAAGTTATTAAAAAATTAAATTAAAAAATTTCAAATCATACTTAAAAAATTATATTTAGATAGAGGGGTAAATTCTAAGCATTTTTGGTCATTAGACATACCCCCGAAATCCTACGCACTTTCGAGAAAAAAATTCTTTACCGAAAGTCTAATATGAGGCCAGAAAAATCCCCTAAAACTAGTCCAATTTTCAAACGGCCATAACTCCTACAATAGTAAAGTTATCTCATTGAAATTTTTGTCTGGCACAGAGCTCACGAGTATCTACAAAAAGGTATTAAACAACTTTTCTGTAGAACATCAAACAAATTTATTAAAAATCGAAAACAAACATTGACAGGGGGTAGTCCCCTTTTTTGGCGAAAAAAAAAGATTTCAAATCGTTCTGGAAAAATTATTTTTAGATGTAGGGGTTGATTACAATAATTTTTGGTCAACAGACATACCCTCAAAATTCTACCCATTTTCTAGAAAAAAATTCGAGATGTGAAATTTTTCGACAAAATTAAAAAATTTCAAATCATTCTGTAAAAATTACTATTACTTGAGTAGGTTAATTACAATCATTTTAGGTCAATAGACATATCCTTGAAATCCTACCCACTTTCGAGAAAAAAATTCGAGAATGTGAGAAAAATTGAAAAATTTCAAATTATTATAAAAAAATTATTTTTGGCTACAGGGGTTAATTGCAATAATTTTTGGTGAATAAACCTACCCTCGAAATCCTACCCAGTGTCTAGAAAAACTATAATAATAACTTATATAGAATAACTTTTTAACGAAGCCTCCATCAACAAATTAGTATTCTTGATTTTCGTCTTATTTTGGCCTGCAGAATCTCCCATTAAAATTTTTCCCAGGGGAACCCCCTGTATAACTGTTCTACGATAAACAGTATTCTCCAAGGTGCTTAAAAAACAAGATGAAGACTCGATTTGATATTACAGGAGCAAATGTACAATGCAGCTTTCCAAAAGTTACATATAAAAGTACAAAGTCCCACATTTTGTCCGCCAAATTGTTAAGATACAATAGGATGTATGTACAGAATACGTACACTTACGAATAATGTCTGATGATTGCGAAAATTGAGGAACAAGCTGTAACTTTGTGTCAATAAAGAAGCACGATCCGGGACGAAGACGCATTGATGACAGATCTAGAAGTATCGCGTCGGTATGGAACGTCTTAAGCCGACTTAAGAATATCTATAAGTAATTCTAAAATATAAACTATTTACCAATGTATGGAACTACGATACAAGACAGTGCAACACGCTCATGTGACAATAAAGCGCGCGGCACTGTTAGAGTCCTCGATAGCAAAGTATTTAGTTTGTTCAGTCCGGCGATGTTTAAATTAAAAATGAATCAACATATTGTTTCTCTTAAAAAGTAAAATAAAATAACCACGCGTTCCCGCGGAAATATTCTCGGCCTTTTGCATGAACGAAGATCATTTATTTTCAACGACAACACGCACAAAAGATACCAAAAGATGCAAGATATCGAATACGAAATGAATATACATCGCGAATGTACAATACCATTTAAATTTGATTCGTTTCTTAAATTATGTTCATCATTCTGGTATCCAAGTCCGACACGTTTCCCATTATTACCATCTATCGTTTCGCTTGCAAGCGTGCGCCTTTTTTGGTATAAACTCGATATAACGACAATGAAATTGTAAAAAATCATATTATTAATAGATCGACCGTAGAAAACATTTTTTATAGAATTATCTACAATTGCCATTCGAATCGTTCGACGTACAGGACACCTTAGATTAAGTAACTCCAATGCTGCCGAGCGATTGTTACATTTCACGGCGTTTAATCGGTTATAAAGATACAATGTTGAGTGAACTAATTTCTTTAAAATGCAACCAATACACGAACAGAAAGTCTCTTTATAAAATTCGATCGAATAATGATGGATAGTACGATTATTAAAACGGATGCAGCGCATAATGAGCCCCAGGACGTACAATATCTCTCACGTGAGTAAAGTATCGTCTAATTCTTCTATTTTGCCTTCGGGCTGAGAAAGAACCTTACGTAATACTTTACTGACTACATCTGATAAGGATTCTCTTGCACCGACATCCAAGAACGCCATGCAACGCTGGGAAAAAAATAAATTTAAATAGTAAATAAAAATACATCGGTTCAAGTTTAATAATCTTTCAATTTTTTTTTAAATTAGAATAAATAAACACGCAACTTACCAAATGTTCGTCTTCACCTTGCCTCAATCTAAGTACTGCTATAAGGGCAAGTTCACTGTTTGCTTTCACGTAACCATTTTTCTCTTTTGTTCCATTTACTAACATAGGTACAAGCGATTTAAGTAATTCCGGTGACATTTTCCCAGGCTGTATTATATTACGAGCCAAATGTATGCAAACTCTAGCCAGTAACTGTTTCACGTCGTTGCTGTTGTTGTTCATTGACTAAAAAAAAAAAAGGATGAATTAATAATCCGTGAGAAACAAAAGGATTGCATAAATTCGGAATTCGTGTGTCTTACCCTCACGAATGGAGATAAGATTTGTTGAGGTATAGATTCTCCTTCGTTCATGAGATGTTGAAATAAATAACCACAAGCTCGTACGCCATTCATTACTATTTGTACTCGATCTGCTGCTAAATACGAGAGTATTACCGCGATAACACGATCCTTCTCTTTGCTATTGTATACTGTTTTTGGGGATTCCTTCAGCGTTACGAATAACGCTGCGGAACGTCCGTGTCTGAGCATCCAGTCAACGTTAGTGTCAATACCTAAAAACGTTTAACTAGTTTATAAAATCTCCGTGACATGGAATACTTACAAAGCGAACATTTTCATTCTCAGATAAATAATTATACGGGGCGTTCGGTCAAACCTGGAAAAAATTTTAATGGGGGTTTCTAGGGACCAAAGTAAGACGAAAATCAAGAATAGTAATTTTTTAATTAAGGCTTCGTTTAAAAGTTATTAACATTTAAAGTTAAAGTGTGCACCGCGCACGGTTCCCGTCTCACAGGCGCAACATTAAACGTTAATAACTTCTTAACGAAGCCTCAATTAAAAAATTACTATTCTTGATTTTCGTCTTATTTTGGTCTCCAGAATCTCCCATTAACCCATTTGCATCCAAGCGCGGAATATTCCGCGAGCCGCGACTGTCTACTATCACCAAGCGCGGAATATTCCGCGAGCCGCGACTGTTTACTATCGTCAGTTGAACGTCGCTGATGTTTCGATGCGGAAGCTTAAGTAGAGCGATGATGCAAATGGGTTAAAATTTTCAATTCCAAAAACATTCACTGGTGGCTGAATTATTTTACCAAAAATCAAAAAGGACGTAAATCTTCCTGAGTTCTTAGGATCTGAGTTAGATTTTTTCGAAGAAAGTAGGATTTACGTTCAAAATTCATGCGAGACACGTGTGGTATTATAACGCGAATTAAACAATATTTACTCGTTAATTATCTTATTAAAATCATACTAAACTCGTGCATATTAATTTTTTAAGAAGTAAATTAAACTATCTAGGTCGACAGATTTGTTTAAATTCATGAAATGATGGGTGAATTATTAATATTAAAATTTTAATAGGAGATTCTAGAGACCAAAATAAGACGAAAATCAAGAATAGTAATTTTTTAATTATGGCTTCGTTAAAAAGTAATTAACGTTTAAAGTTAAAGTGTGCAGCGCGCACGGTTCCCGTCTCACAGACGCAACATTAAACGTTAATAACTTTTTAATGAAGCCTCAATTAAAAAATTACTATTCTTCATTTTCGTCTTATTTTGGGCTCCAGAATCTCCCATTAAAATTTTTCCATGGTCAAAACAGAAAAGGAACTTTAGACATATAGGATGTTCGACCACCCTTGGGAAAAATTTTAGTGGAGGATTCTAGAGATCAAAATAAAACGAAAATCAAGGCTTCGTTAAAAAATTACTATTCCTGATTTTCGTCTTATTTTGGCCTCCAGAATTCCCCATTAAAATTTCCCTGTATTCATAACATATAAACTTACACAACAAGTGATCATTGAACGCAATGGCGAGTTGGTCTGGACTAAGCCATCGTACGAGAGCTCCAAAGCAACCAGCTACAGCGTTCCTCGTAACGTCTTCCGGATGACTGAGCATACTACATAAAGTAACAAACACTTGCTTTTTCATTGGTTCTGTCATTTTGTCGCCAGCGGGCGTGAGCACACCGCGCAAAGCTTGTAACATTGTTTCCCTGGACAAAGTATTTTTACCTTAAGAATCTCTGCAAGGTACACGTATACACAAAATGAAATAAATGACTCGACAAACCTAATAGCTGGATCGTCACCGGTCTTTATGCCAGTATGAAGTTCTGTGAACAATGGATCAACACGTGTATGAATTATAATAAGGTTACTTAAAGCATAAGCAGCTTTTAATCTCACTTGTCTGTTACTATCGTTTAGAGCTCTCAAGAAAGTGGTTTGCAGTTGTGGTAAAAATTGCTTTAACATTACTCCAACCTACCGAAAATGTACGATTTTTAATTTCTATATTATCTGACGCTTTGTATTGCTTTTACGGTTCAACTCACTTTGCCAAGTAAAATAGCGAGCGTTTCTAAAACCGCTGCTTTCACGCTCCAATTAAACCGATCTCCAAGAATTCGAATCAGCGGGCCAGTAATGTGCACCACGCTGGGTTGCAACGCTGTCGCGCTGGTTAACTTTATAACCTCTCCTAGACCTTGAGCTGCTTGCTCTTTTGCTTCTGGCAAACCATTCAATATGGCTTCCCTGAATATCGGAAGAATCGGTGTAATACCCTTAGGTAAACAAAATCCAGGCAACAATTCTTGCCCCTTTAAATCGGACACTGCAAACCTAACAGCTTGTCTGATATCTTGAACATGAGCGATCTGTTGCTCGGACGCTAAAGTCTGAAAATAAAAACAAAGTACATTTAAATGTAAAATAATTAGCGTTAATGCGTATGGACAATAATCTCACTTTAGTAACAGCTGTGAGCGCCTCCCAGCTCATTTGTAGCACATCCTTATCGTCATCCATAAACAAGTGAATGAGCCCTCGCAATAACTGTGGAACATATTGTCCATAATCAGCGCGAGTATCTCGACAGAAAGCACACAGCAACGTTGCTGCGCTTCGTCGTTTGGATGGATCCTCCGCTCTCGTGGCCTCCATTAGTTGGTCCATGACTGTTCTGACGCCAACCTCGTCAGCCACGGATAAAATAACAGCTTGACAGTACTCCAACTCCTGAACCTCGTTTGGTGTTCCTTGAGCGCTGGAGAGAGCAGTCAATAAAGCTGGCAGGATCTTGTGAAGGAACCTGGTCAATGCTTCGCCCGCGACACTCGCCAGGATCGACAATGCTTTTGTGTTGACCGGAGGCGTGGTTAACTGAGGCACCAGGTACGGCAGGACGACTCTAGACTTAATCGCCATCACCTGACGCAAACCGTCCAAAGTGTTCTCCGCTTCTGCTTGATCCGGCGAGTTCAACTGCGTTAACATCGCTGGCAATATGTCATCTAATGCTCTGACTCCTACAGTAGAGTGTAAACCATCAAAAGTCTTCGCTGCTGCTTGGCGAACCTCTGGTAGCGGGTCACACAATGCTTTTCTGAAACCAAGCAAGACTTTATCATTCTTTTTTATCATTAAATTATAAATTTAATCTGTACTTGTTTGAAGTGAAAGACTTACCTCACTGTTGGGACTAAACTGATGACAAACGTCAACACCATGTCCTTATTCGTGCTCGCCATAATCTCTGACAACCCAATGCACACACCTTGACGTTGGTCAGCCTGGTCACTTTGCAGACCTTTCTCCAGAATTGGTATAATCTCTGGCAACACTCTTTCGCCTAATTTCCTAACAAGATCTCCCAAGGTTCGCGCCGCCACTTGTCTTTTATCGTAACTTGTACTAGCTAAACAACCTAGCAAAAGAGTAAACAGTGTAGGTAATATTTCCCTTAATGTTCTCGGTGTATTCGTTACGACAACCTTCCACACGTGAAGGGCAGCCTGACGCACCATCAACGCAACGTCTGATCTGCCCATATACAATCCCGCTAAAACGCGATTTCGTCTTTCAGCGCCGAGAGCATTGATAATAGCATAATGCGACTGTTCTGTTCCAAAGTTATCGTCTTCGCTTGCAGTCTCTGTCGACATTTTTCCAGACACACCCGAAATTCTATACAACAAATCTCCGAGCAATTGCACCGACGAATACCTAATACGCCAATTATCATCGAAGAGACCCTTCTCCAGTTCTGGTAGCAACAACATTATTGCAGAGTCGGCGTAAAGAGTGACGATACGCTGACCTGCTCTGAGCGCTGTCTCGCGCACGTATTCGTTCTCGTCAGCCAGAGCTTTCAAGATAGGATTGATGATCTGTCCAATGTAAGGTGTAAACTCTGTGGTGAACGCGCTTGGCATGTAAATGAACATCATGATGTAGCCATCTTTAACGTGCGGAGCTATATCCGTCCTCTCAGCTGTGCTGATAATTTCTGGCATAAGTTTATGAAGCTTTTCAACGCCAAGTCCCCTCACGACTTCTGAGAGACCCTGTGCAGCTCCCGATCGATCCACGCTGCTTGTTTCAGACGTGAGCGTTTGCATCAGCCAAGGAAGCAGATCCTCGAAACTGGACTCACCCATTCCTCTCACCATAGCACCTAAAGCTCTCGCAGACACGCTTCGTACTTCCGGTACGGGGTCCAACAAACTGGTCTTCAAGCCAGGGATAATAGTCGGTAGATACGGAGTTAGATCCTTTTGATCTGTTAAAGAATACATATTGCCAATGATTTGAGCAGCCATTTTTCTCGTTTCCGTCGAGCGGTCTAGAAATGCCCTTTGCACCACAGGCATAATGAGAGCCAAGGATGGAGCGTCGATGAAATGTACAAATTGAGTGTCCAACAACGTTTGAAGACAAGTGGCAGTCTTATGGGACGGGTCTTGTAGAGCTTTCAATAGAACTGGCACGATTGCTTGGATCTCTGGATTGCGAATCACGCTTCCAATCACTTTTAGAGCCTCAGCGCCAGCCTCTTGAACTTTGGTGTGAGAATCGCTGAGTACCTCGATGAGCTTTGGAACTATACTTGGTAAGCAACTGCTCAGTTGCTTAGGTGCACAGTATGCCATTGCACCTAACAATTCCACAGATCCTGAAAAATAAATTTATATAGAATACAGTTCACAGTTAGCAATTTGCAGATCACTTACCGGTCTTGGTCCTCCAAGAGTCTTCTTCCAGCGCAGCTAGCAAGCTAGGAAGAACAAGTTTCACCCCATGAGCGGAGAGTTTGCTCATAACCACGCGAGCTGTATCATCTGTGGCCGCTCTAACGTACTGATTAGGGTCCCCGAAACACAGCAATAGATGCGGTAGCACGTGGACGATATAAGGCTCGAACAACCTACCAAGCATCGTGCACAACATTTCAAAGGCAAACAATGCTCCCTCTCTATGCCTATAGTTTTTCTTATCCTGGATGGCGTTGGTCAGCGTGGTCATGATATCAAGCTGCTTCAGAGCGAGTATTCCCATACCCTTGATTATACCTGCTAGCCCGTAAGCAGCGCCTTTGCGATCCCCATATTTGTCTGACTTCAACAACTGATCCATTAAGTTGTCTACAATTTTTGGAGCGTCCTCCTTGATGGAAGGTACAAGATGAGGGAGGCAATTGGCCACAGCTTCCTGTACCTGTTGAGATGGGGTGGACAGAGCAGTGATCAAACGCATGACTATGGGTTTAATGCGTGGATCATCCTTGTCCAAGTGCCTAGCCAGGGATCCCATGAGAATAACCACCGACTGCTTGATGGAGTCGAAGCTGCCTATCTTTGGAGCCTTGTCCATAAAATCCTCGAAAACTGGTAACAAAGAAGTGATGTTTATTTTCCCGTGGAGGTCCACAACGGCCACAGCGGCGGTTAACATCTCGGTGCGGACAGCTTGGTTCCTGTCACCCAGACCGGTGGAGACGAAGAACTGAACAAGCTTGAGTACCGTGTCGGCGGTGAGGAGGGGCGCCATCTGTGCCAGCGCAAGCGCAACGCCTCGTCGCGGGCCCCACGTGTCGATGGGCTGCTCGACCACGCGGCCAAAATCGTTCAATTTCGGTGGGATCATAGTTAATTTCTCCTGATAGAGCTGCAACAAACGATCCAGAACACCTGACACCAAGTGTGGAACGTTGGTCAAACACTGTGCCAAGGCACAAGCAACAGCTTGCTGTACAGATTCTACAGGATGTGCAATGTCTTGAATGAGCTCATCGGAGAGAACGTCTGCCTGTGCTACCAGCTCAGCTGCGTTCCATAATTCGTTGGCCAGAATTTTATTTTCGTCGCAGACGTCGAACCTGGCGATCCATATCCTCCTGATTAGGTGCAACATTTGAATGGGATCCTCTTTCTGAGATGGAAACGCTTGCCTCACGACTAGCAATGCTCTTAGGGCTGCATCTCTTATAGTGGACAAAGAATTTTGCAAAGCACCGATCAGAGAATCTATATCCGCGCTGGTTGCTATTGCGGTGTTTGGTTGACCACTTCCGGACTGAGACACGTCTAAAAAAGTTGCAATCGCGTGAGTCTGTACCCTTCCAGTTGTAATTTCCATCAGCTCTATCAGCAGGTCGAACATGTGTTTACGTGGAAGAAATCGTGGATGTCTTAGATCCCTCAAATCAGAGGTGCCCCTTTGCTTAGCGTGCTCCTGTATTATCTGCAATCCTTGCACGATCATACTATCATCCTTACATAGTAACAAAGTTTTCTTAATAAATGGGAAGATATAACAAAAAGCAGGAGCCGTGAATAATACTTTTTGTTTTATCGTGGTTGTGTGTAAAAGGTTTAATGTTCTTTTCACAGCGACATGAACTTTCTCTTCCTCCCAATCTGGGTCCAAATCACACTGCGGGTTTAGTTGTCGCAGTGTAACATGTGCCACCAAATCATTTAAGATTGGATTATTACCTAGTTTCACAACATTTTTCAGGCTAATGAAAAGATCAGACATGGCAGGTGCGGCTAACGGTGATCCCAAATTTTTCAAGATTGGTGGCAGAAGATCTTTCAGGTAAAAGGAGAGTTCTTGGCGATTGCCACGTGCTGAACATGTGATCAGAGATACTGCATCGTCGATTCTGCGTTTCAATTCGATCAGCCTTTTACGAATTGCGGCTTCTTTTGCGATTTGCGCCTTGAGGTTTTCTTCTTGCTTGGGTGTTAATTTTGGTTCCTTTATTTTTCCTTCCTTCTTTTTCTTTTCGTACAATTCGCGTCTCAGTTGAAGCTCTTCTTGCTGTTCCTTGAACGAATACGCCTTGCTCTCCCTTTTCATATTCATGGAACTGAGAATATCGTTTTCGTCATTTGCACGCAGAACACTTTTGTTGTACAACTCTCCTTCCGGGGTAAGGTAAGTGAAATATTCATCTTTAGTGACTTTTAAAATTTCTGGATCGTTTAGTTTACTCGTAACGTTCGATATTATTGCGGATAGTATAATATCCGGTATTATCGATACTACCCTCGCCAGGGCATTCTCGTAACTAGCAGTGAGCTTATAATTTTGTATAAGCATTTTTTTTATTTCGTTGTTGTAAGAACATAAAAAATCTTTTGGTACTAGATTGTAGTTCTTTGCAATTTTGAACCATAAGTTTGGCATTGCTTTAAAGATTGCAGGATGATGAGCTGGTATTAATGCGTCTCTCACCATTTGCATAGCTGGTAACTCGAACAGAAAAGAACCAGAACAAATAGCAAGCAATCCATCCGCAAGACACCTGCCAGTTATTTCCCCCGCAGAAGAATCTTCCTTGTTTTCTTTATCGGATTCAGATTTAATTTTAACATTCTCTAAAAATTTATTGTATTCTCTTAGGAGCTCCTGCGCAGGTGCATACGTGCTCAAACCACTCACAATCTTTTTAACAAATGGAAAACAGCACTTTCTTATGTTTGCCTTTGGAGCTGTTGCGCATATTATGATTGCTCTATGAACACCGTTCAAGGCTTTCTCGTTCAATTTATCAGCAAATTCTGTAATGAGTCTCTCGCAAAGCAACATAAGATGATACAGAATATCGTCTCCACATGTTGTCAGAAATTTCTCAGAGAAAAATATTTGATCATCGATTGCGTTCCACAGTATAGTTTGTTTCTCGTTTTCCACTTGATTGGCAAGAACGAACTTCAGCAACAAGTATGCAGCTACCAAACCTTCTGTTACTGCACTTGGCTGTGTACACTGCTGCATAGCTCTGGTTATTGCTTGTAGGAGTAATGGTGTTATTGTACCAGAATAAGAAACTACTGGCGCAGAAAAAAAAATTTTTATGTAAGCAGTACGCACCGCGGGTGTCGACGTCTTTGCGGCCATACCTTCTTTGAACGCGTCTGCTACACTTTCTGGGACACTTTTTGCAAATTTGTTGGACCACAAGGCCATCATTTCAAGAGCATGGATCAACGTTTTCTCGTGAACTTCGGTTTCTAAAACTTTGATGAAATGTTCGCAAGCGGTTTCCGCCAATCTTTGAACACTGCTACCAGAAGCTGCGTTATAACTGAGATTACCAGCTCCTTGCAAAACAGAAATTTTGTAAGTTACAACCGTAAGTTTTCCTTCTGATCCGTGGAACACAGCGAACACGGATGACAACAAGTTTTCCAAAGCAGTAGCGTCTGAACATTGCAGAGCGAGTCTACGGCAAGCTCCGATAGCCTCGTTTCTAACCAAGTCCTCCTTAGAATGCAGATTCGCAAATAATCCTTTGCTTATGTCTTGGCTGTACTGACTTAAATCGAGACTTAAACCGCTTAAAATGTGACCAACAGACTCAATAATTATTTCTGGATTTCTTAACATTGCTTTTTGCAAAGCTGGCAATAACTGATTTTTGAACTCGTCGTGAGATATTCTACGTAGAAGAGGTACAGCAGTGTGGACTACATAGAGATCTGGCTTCTTTTTGCAACTAATAGTCACCTTTATAAAAACATCTATAATGTTTGCCTAGAAGAAAGAAAACAAATTTTCATTTTGTGATCTTACTACAGTGGTGCCCACTTAAGTGACCACATTTTTGCCCATTTAGGTGTCCAAATTTTTGCCCACTTAAGTGTCCGTGTCGTTGCCCACTTAAGTGACCACATTTTTTTGCCCGTTTAGGTGTCCGAATTGGTGCCCACTTAGGTGTCCAAATTTTGCCCACTTAAGTGACCACATTTTTGCCCACTTAAGTGTCCAAATTTTTGCCCACTTAGGTGACCACATTTTTGCCCACTTAAGTGTCCACGTTGGTGCCCACTTAAATGACCACGGTCGCTTAAGTGGGCAAACATGTGGACACTTATGTGGGCACTACTGTATATGACAGACAAGCTATATGTTAACATAATATTTAAAATTGATTTACCTTTAATTTCCCCACCAACTCACTTTTTTTTGCATTTACTAAGTATTTAGTAAGTAAACTTGCAAGAATAATTATACCGTTTCCAACTTCCAGTTTAATCAGTGCATCCAGGTATGCGGTTTCTATGTCTTTAACGTTTGACCACTGATGCGCTAACAATACATACACTTTCTCCGCCAGTTTCTTATCCATGGTCGCCAATGCTGCTGCGCTTAGATTCGCTTGCACTTCGACAAGTTTTGGCAATTCTATAATATCTGCATTGTTTTTAGATCCGTACAGAATAATTAAGGTCGACCATTTCAATGCAAGGTATGCGGTCACAGCAGTGTTCAAACTGTAAAATAGCATTTTATAGACTGTTTAATAAGCGTCGATGTATAATTTGAAATTCAAAGTTTTCGACGTGTTTGGTAAACTATTTATAAAAATACACACGTAGGAACTATATTCTTATGCCACGAAGCTTGTTCTACAATGACGTTTGTCATGTGTTTTACGGTAGCATCTGGTTGTTTCTTCAACAATTCCACAATTAGATTTCTCACGTATGATTGGGAGGCTGTATCCTTATATCGATGTAAAGTAAGAGATATGGTTTTACAAATTCCATTGACAATCTTCTCGTTGATGCCTAAAATACGAAAACAATATTTTTTTAACGAATACTATATTTTTTAATATTTAATTTATTCTTTATGCATAGTTTAACAAATTTGTAAAAAATACTTTATACGATTACAGAACTTAAAAAACCACGGAATATAAAAATGATGTATCAAAATAACGTATAATTTTTAAATATTGCAACTAAAAAAGAATATTGCACGTTTATTGCAATTTAATTTCGATCGTAACACGTAACATTCTTTCTCCTATTATGAGTAATTTACATTTATGGAAGACAACCGAATCTTCCTCTTTGAATGGCATGTATTTTTGATCTACAATATCAGTTCTTATCGATATTAAATCTATTATCATTCCTTACCAGGATTTGACAACACATTGACGACATTTTGTAGAATCTCTCGCCGCTCGTTTTTACTGGCGGTTTGAACTCGATTTGGCAGATCTTTTAATGCTTTCGTTAACTGTAACAAAATCACTTATCAATAGTCAGTAATTATTAGATAATAATACGATTTCTCAACTTCCACGTGACAGACTCACCTCAACATCCGCCATATTTCTTTAAAACCGGACTGTTTTAAAGCGCCACCCTTCGTAAAATTGTTATTCCTTGAAGTTACGCATATGTACACCTTATCAAATCGCACCGTACATACTATGTACATATATTAATTCATTTCTATATAAAAAACTGCTACACTTAAATATCTTTATCTTAATATTATTACACATTTTAAATTATCATAAAAATTCATCTAAATATTTCATTTAGATAAATCGTTTTTAGGTTTTAAAGAAGATAGATGAATGTTCATTGTCGGAAATACTAACAAATATATTAGCATATCGTACATAATAATTGCATGTATAGCTAAATAAAGATAATTGGGCGACAATTTTTTATTCTATGTACAAATTGAAAATTAAAATTTTATTTAGTGCTCTGTATAATTTAACAAAACTTGAAATTAACATTTAACATTCATATGTTTTGTATTTGTACAGACTAAATTATCATATAAAATTTCCTCTAAATTTGTAAAAAGGACGATTCTTGTTTTAATTTCTTTTATACAATATGTGTAGAGTCCTTATATTTATATTAATAAAAAATCAAAATCATAGTAACGTCCTTCCACGAGAAGAAGGCACAGCGCGTTTACATCCCCACTCTTGCTTCTGTCCGCTGATTGGCTGTCGCCGATCTTCGTCACCGTTTTCGACCAATAGCGAGTCAGCTGACAGCAACAGGAGTGGGGATGTAAACACGCTGTGCTTTCTTTTCGTGGAAGCCCAGTACATTATAAATCGTGGAATTAAATAGAAGTATAGCGAAGGAAAATAATAAAAAATACAAAAAAAGAAAATATTTGACAATTGATTATTTATTTCACCATTTTTACATTAATTCTATATTATGTAGTGAGCTAAAAAATGCTCGCTCGAAAGTTGGCAATCCTAGTTGTGTACTGGAGTGTATGTAAACAAATGAAATGATTAAATCCAAAAACCATTTTTTATATAAAAAAACAATAATTTTAAGCAATAAATCATTTAACAATTTGCAACAACCCTTCGTTTCTTATTACCAGAAATCGAATCTGTTTTATCGAAATATCTTACTGGCTTCTGTTTTTAGGTTAGTTACGATTAATCTATTTCTAACGATAGAAAGAATTCAAGGAAAGAAGAAAATACATGATTACAAAAATGGCACTGGCCAGAGAAAGGCGTGCAAATGCCGGGAATAAAATGGCAAAACTATTGAACGAAGAAGAGGAGGATGATTTTTACAAAACTACATATGGTGGATTTGAGGAAGCTGAACAAGATCATGATTACATGTTAATATTTAACTTAATTCAATAGAAATTTATTATAATTTCAACCACAGAATGCTACTTTAAATTATTTTATTTTTAGGGAAGAAGACGAAGGCGAAGATGAGGTGGATTCGGATTTTAGCATAGACGAGAACGACGAGCCAATTTCTGATACCGAACAGGAAGGGCCGAAAAAGAAAAGAAGACTGGTAACGAAAGCTTACAAAGAACCCAAGGTTCAATCCCAGATACCGCAAAAAGAAAAGAAAGTCAGACAGCCGAAGCATAATAGAAGATTCATAGAGAGTACAGGTAAATAACTTTGTGCGAATATTACGTCACGAGGACAAGTATGCGATTATAATTGTTTGTAGAAAGGAAATCGATACGACGCTCTACTGCTGCAAAGTCAGCCGCGACACAGAGACGTTTGCGGGAAAGAAACGAGGATCAAAAGAGGAAAACCAGAGTAATAAAACACGATACTTGGAAACCAACTCAAGAAGAATTACTGGAGGAGGCTTTGCAAACCGAACAACTTAATATGAAGTCGCTGGGTAAATTAAAATAATACAAAGAGGTCTAATTTTTCTGTGCCTTGTTCATTATTATCATTTACCGTGTAGAAAAGTACCAAAAGTTGGAGAACGAAAAGAAAAATACTAGAACAGTGAGAAAAGCACACTCTGGACCCATGATTAGGTACCAGTCCCTGTCGATGCCTGTTTTAGTACTCTCCGAGATACATTTGGACAAAGACGATAAAATCAATGTAGAAGATAACGAGGAGAAAAATTTAAACGATAGTACAGAAAAGAAAGATTCGGAAGAGGTGACAGAAGAAGGGTAAAGTATAATTTCTTTCGATCAAATTGTTGGGAAATGATTTTACTTGGAGTATCGATTCCAGAAGCGTAATTGTAAAGTCAGAGTACAGTGCAAATGATGCTCCAAGGAAAGAATCTGATTCTAATGTTTCAAGCAAAAGCAAGTATCGTTGTAACGATACGAAAGGATTCTATGAAAGAACGTTCGTCACTTTTGAAAACGATCAGCTATTTCTTGAAGCTTTTAAGAAGCCTATTGCTAGGAGACCGCCAATGAAGGCTTTGTGCGCGATCACGAGGTAATGTGTGAAAATGATAAGAAAAAATTCTTTAAAAAAAAATTCCTAATTGTATTTATAAAAACCAATTTAGGCTGCCAGCGAAATATCTGGATCCTATGACCCAGCTACCATACAAAAACGTTCAAACGTTTCGATTGTTACGCGAAGCGTATTACCAACAATTGGAAGCTAGAACGGATGTTAACGACACGTCGCAGAGTTCGGAATTGCTAAGGTGGCTCGATTGGAGGCAAAAGAACCATAACGGCGGTCAGAGGAACACTATACGCCTCGAGCCAGCCTCCGCGCCAATGACTTCGTAACTTTTTAGCGAAATAAGGTTTCTCCCAATATTTTCATAGTTTGAGATTTGCCACTCTGATCAAAGTCTTCCAAAAATTGTAATTATCGATACTTTTAACAAAAAGTAATTTAACAATAATTTTAATAGTTTATAGATTCTTAAAACGACGAGAGGAACGGAGATTTTTATTTAAGTTTTGTAATAAACGTATGAGTAATTGTATAATTTATAACTGCATGTCTTTTGTACCATACTAATTTTAAAATTCTGTACATATAATTAATCTATCAATTAAATTCTTTTGCTATTACCATAAACGATCAAAATGATTAGTAATGTTCCGTGTGATAGATAGAGAATTGCGTGGCAATTTTACGAGTTTATAAGTCAAAAGTAATTAGTGAGTATTCGAATAGAATAACGAAAGTATCATCGAAAGCACAATTAATTGGATTACTACACGTGTACATGTATGTTGAAAGCAAAAGTAATTTTATTAATAAAATTATAACGTATGAAGCATTAATAATAGACCGTTTTTTGTAAAATCGGTTTCTTTTGTAAATAAAGATCTAGGTGAAACGGAAGAGACTGACTTCAATTTCAATTAACTTCCACTATCAATTTCTTACTTTTACGAATGTAAACAACAAATACAGAAATCAGATTACTCGGCAATTATCTGGATTTCTAAGATTCAAATGATCAATGAATATCGTTAAATAATAAAGTATTGTTTCAGAATAGAATAACACGAAAGTACCATTCTTCCACGAGAAGAAGGCACAGCGTGTTTACAATCCCCACTCCTGCTGCAGTCCGCTGACTCACAGGCATTGGTCGAGAACGGTGACGAAGATCGGTGACAGCCAATCAGCGGACAGCGGCAAGAGTGGGGATACAAACACACTGTGCCTTCTTCTCGCGGAAGAACGGTACCTTCGAGAACACCGTTGTTAACTACCTATAAATTTATTGGTTCATTACACGTGTACATGTGTGTTCAAAGCAAAAGTGATTTTATTAATAAAATTATAAAGTACAAAGCATTGATTGATAAAAGCCCCGCGTTCACCGCGAGATTCGGCATCCCTTCTTTTTTTTTTTTTATATATATGTATATCAAATCAACGGAGAATAAAACTGATCTTATAACGGTGTGTAATTTATCTTCTAAGTTCCGTTTCGTACAAATTCGTTCCTGTCTTACTAGCGTAACCGGAAATTCACACCTTTTTTTCAGACAAGGATCGTGTCTCATAACCTAAGGGTACAAAATATGGGGGGGGGGGGGGTGTGGGGGGGAATACAATTGGATGGAAAGCATGCCTTCGTCTGGACAATACTTCGCACGCACCGTGTTTGATCGTATTCAACTATTACCTCTAAAAAGAATACTTGCACCTCGAAAGCTGATCGTTTCGAACGCAAATTATTTCACAGAACGTTTCCCAATCGTTTGTAAGTTTGGTAGAAATGATTTCGAAAAATTCAATTCTTTTAAAGCATGTGCCCCCCTTAAAAAGACTCGTTTCCTTTTCAAAATTCTCGTCAAACATCTCAATATTTCAACGTTTTACTCACTCTCTATTTATTCATCAAGATACAACTCGTAACGATAACAGATTACATTGCGGCTACACACACATCGAAGCAAATACTTATTAGACACTAAAAAACGTATCTACGCAGACAGAATTTTTTTCCGTACTTTTACGCTTTATGCACGGACAGAGGCCCCCCCGTGCGTTACAACGACATTTTTTTCCCTCTTCGACTCTGATTTCTCTTTAAGCGGGTATTCCAGTTTAAAGTTTTAGAAGAATTCTCGTTTGTTTCATTTTCGAATAAAAGGGCATGAAAATATGTGTGCTAAATGATTGGGTAAAACCAACGAAATTATAGAAAAATTTTTCTCGAAAACTTCGATGATTTTTAGCTCGAACTATCGAACGTAACGATAAATATGTATACAGAGTGTTTGGCTAACCCTGGGAAAAATTTTAATGGGATATTCTGGAGGCCAAAATAAGACGAAAATCAAGAATACTAATTTGTTGATTGAGGCTTTGTTAAAAAGTTATTAACGTTTAAAGTTCCGTTCGTAATGAATTTTTTTCTAGAAAGTGAGTAGGATATTGGGGGTAGGTCTATTCACCTAAAATGATTGTAATTAACCTACTCAAGTAATAGTAATTTTTTCAGATTGATTTGAAATTTTTTAATTTTGTCGAAAAATTTCACATCTTCTCGAATTTTTTTCTAGAAAATGGGTAGAATCTTGGGGGTATGTCTGTTGACCAAAAATTATTGTAATCAACCCCTACAACTAAAAATAATTTTTCCAGAACGATTTGAAACCTTTTTTTTTCGCCAAAAAAGGGGACTACCCCCTGTCAATGTTTGTTTTCGATTTTTAATAAATTTGTTTGATGTTCTACAGAAAAGTTGTTTAATACTTTGTTGTAGATACTCGTGAGCTCTGTGTCAGAAAAAAATTTCAATGAGATAACTTTACTATTGTAGGAGTTATGGTCGTTTGAAAATTGGACTAGTTTTAGGGGGTTTTTCTGGCCTCACATTAGACATTCGGTAAAGAATTTTTTTCTCGAAAGTGCGTAAGATTTCGGGGGTATGTCTATCCACCAAAAATGCTTATAATTGACCCCGCTAACTAAATATAATTTTTTTTGCATGATTTGAAATTTTTTAATTTCTTCTTAAAATTTCAATACCTACTCGAATTTTTTTCTCGAAAGTGGGTTGGATTTCGGGGCTATGTCTAATGACCAAAAATGCTTCTAATTGACCCTTCTAACTAAGTATAATTTTTTTAGTATGATTTAAAATTTTTTAATTTCTCAAAATTTCAGTACCTACTCGAATTTTTTTCTCGAAACTGGGTAGGATTTCAGGGGTATGTGTATTAACCAAAAATGCTTGTAATTGACCCCTGCAACCGAAAATAATTTTTTTCAGATTGATTTGAAATTTTTTAATTTTGTCGAAAAATTTCACATTTTCTTGAATTTTTTTCTAGAAAATGGGTAGAATCTTGGGGGTATGTCTAATCATCAAAAATTATTGTAATTAACCCCTGTAGCCAAAAATAATTTTTTTATAATGATTTGAAATCTTTTTTTCGCTGAAAAAGAGGACTATCTGTTGATTTTTCTGAAAAATTCGTTTCCAATTTCTAATAAATTTGTTTGACCAACTACAGAAAAGTTGTCCAATACTTTTTTGTAGGTACTCATGGACTCTGCCTCAGAAAAAATTTTCAATGAGATACCTTTACTATTGCAAGAGTTATGGTCGTTTGAAAATTGTTAGATCCTCCACCAAAATACGCGTTGTTTGCAACTCGAGAACAGCTGCGCACGCGCGGTAGTGGCTCTCACTCGGAAAACTGTAACGCTGTCGGTACGTCAGTCAGTAGAGTCTCTCACGCTGAGTGAGAACCACTGTCACGCGCTACAGAGGGAACTTTAAACGTTAATAACTTCTTAAAGAAGCCTCAATCAACAAATTGCTATTCTTGATTTTCGTCTTATTTTGGTCTCCAGAATCTACCATTGAAATTTTTCCCATGGTTGGTCGAACACCCTGTATATGGTGTCTATGAACACCAAGAAGGGCGTATATGTTGTCAGACTGGAATACCTTCTTAATTAAAAAAAAAATTTCTTTTTAAAGCGATCATTGAGGAGGAGGGGAGGCAAAGCTCTTTATCGCACTTTTCAAGGTCGATGGCTACTGGGTGCAAATTCAAAAGCAAGAGAGTGAGCAACAATAAAGTGTTATCCTGATTTCCAAGCTGTTGTCGTTGCTTTCTTAAATTGTAACGTTTCAATCGTAAAGCTTCTTTTTCTTTCACTATTGCCGTGCATCTGTTATATTTAATCGCAACATTTCACGTGTTATAATATATATAGGCTGTTCCCAAAACGTTCATTCAAACTTTGAAACCATACCTCAGTTATTATAATCATTAAAAAGATTTTATTTTAAATATAAATCGTTGAAATTTAGGGTTCTTCTTTTAGTCGGTTTTAACAACAAAGTCATACACATTTCTGTGTTAAACTTTAAACTCGATTTTTTCGAAACCACATTTTTCTAAAATAGTTACCATAATTTGTAAGATTTAATTGATCGATTGGCATGAAATTTACAGAAAATTCTTCAGTATACGTGTCCCCATCGACCAGGACAAAGTTTTATTTCTGGACAATTTTGGTACCCGGCCGTAGGCACGTTCTTACTGAACAAAATGGTTGCTAGTTTGTTCGATTTAGATGAGCAGAACAATAGTAATCGTAGAAACTATGAAGGCATGTTCGAGGAAAGGGGTCTCCACTGAAACAACTCTATCTTCGACAATTTTCAATATTTTTACATGAAATGATTGTGTACATTCGTTAAATACAAGGCCAAATCTGATGCAAAAAGTTTCATACTTTTTCTCTTTTGAATTGTAAAGAAATAAATAATTGAAGTTTGGACTAGAATATTCCTTAACAATTTTTCAAACTTACATATTTAATATTATTCGACGTGTTGCGTGTAAGTTAAATTGTTCATATTATATTACAATCTCTAATAATCCAGGAAATCCATTATCTTTGTTCCTAGAATCGGTACGATATGGTTTCAAAGGTTCAGACGAACGTTTCAGCAGCATCTTACTGTATAATTACTCTATACAGATTTTGCACTCCAAATTCAACTTCCTGCGAACCGGATCCACCCCCTTTGGACATCGAATTTATTCTTTTATTTAATTCGCTAAAGTGAATTTGACTTCCAAACGGTCGGCGTGATTCTAGAAAAGGAGAATTTGATTCCCAAAAAATAGAGTCCTGTGCAAAACCCGTACAAATTGCTCATCCGCACGTCGAAGATAGAATTGCACATGTATTACGAAGAAGCCCAAGTAATACAACACTGATTTATCCTTTAAATATCAGAGAGATAAAGTTACAGAAATAGGACTTAGGGGGAATGAATTCTCCAAAAAGGATATAGTGCGTACGTAATTCGTTTCTCATAGGTATTTCCAATGATGTTCTTGAACACGTATGTTCATCTGCTATTGCGTGTAACTTGTCGCTAAATTCCCCGATCCTCATCGTTTCCTAGTGCCGAGATTACAGTAGATTTTCCCAAATAATCCGGAAAAAGGTTCCTAAAGCTTAATTTCCTCATCATTGTTAGCACGCTAATTATATTTAGTTTAGTACAGTTTCAGTTTTTTAAGAAAATAAATCCACTCATCCGGCGAAAGGAAATTTGGAGCTGGTACAGGTTTTGCGTTCTCAATCTACGCATATCAAACTTCCCCATTTTGCAAATCACATTCAACTCCTTGCGAACAAAGTTTCCACAAAAATGAATTTTGCAAAACAAATGACTCGTACAGTAAAATTTTGAATATTTCAACGATAAGTTTGATTATAGTACAGAATCAGAGGAAAACAATTTTTGTGTAGAAAAGCTTGATCAACAATGGAGTAAATGTGGTCTGCAAGACGGGTTGTTTCACAGTGCAAAACCCGTATCTTGCATTTTATCGAAACCAAGCGACCGTTTTAATGAAGATGTAAAAGAATAGTCTTAAGTACGGCTCGCTGGGACGCGCATTTATCTACTTAATCTGCTTCCAAGTAGACTCAGCGGTCGACTACTTGGGCCCTCGAGGCCGGGATTATTTGGGAAAAGTTTAGTCGTTTATACTTATAATCGTAAATAGTCTTGACTCTTGTACTGTATGCACCTGTTACGTTTACCGTCGACCACTTTTCTTTTCTCCTTTGCCTCTTTGTATGTCCTTCTGCAAACAGAATTAACGCCATTGACATTATTTCGTTTCACGTGATTTGTCATTTATGAAAATTTATGGAATCGGTCACAGTAAAAGGCGGACTTTTCTTTTAGTTAGGATGCATACAGGTTCTACGAAATTGTTTTCCTAAGCTTCTTGCAATTGAACTGAAATCAAATTATTTATTGTTCAGATATTAAAAATTTTACTATATACAATAGAAAGAAGTACATGAATTACTTATTAGATATGGAAATTATAATTATATCAGATCTCAAATTCACCCTTTTGTTAATCAACTTTTTCTAAGTTTTGAAACTGAAATTGAATTGTAAACTTATTGTTGAAATATTCCAAATTGTACTATATGTATTATTTAATTACGATTAGTAATCTTCCAGCTTCTTAAATAAAGAAAATCTTCCAAATTAAAATATCTCAAGACCCTTATTTCAAGTAACTATTAATTTATATAGTATCGTATAATTAATAATATTATATATTTATATAATAATAACTGATTGAAAATCTAAAGTTTGATATCAATAAACATTAAAAATCCAAAACTTTAATGTCAATAAACCTCGATCTAAAATTCAACAGTTTATAACAATATTTTCATCATAGTCGCCCTCAGTCTTTAGTCTAAAAAATAATGACAATATTTACTTGTCTTTCTCTCGTTTATTTGGACAGTTTATTCTTACATGAGACTATTGATTTCTACTGTAAAACTTATGTTTACTAACAATCAAACTTTAGACAATTAATTGTAGCACATACTGTATATTTTAATAACAATGCGGTAGAATGTTTAAAATCGTAATAAACCCTTCGTATTATAATTGCAAAAGATAGTTATAAACTAATGCAATAGAGTAGAAAATTCATAGAAATAGTTAAAATCCGAATGAATCTCTTTTGTTAGAATTGCTGAAAACAGTATGAAAGCATTTAACGCAGTTTTATTGACGATTGACACCAAATTCTTCACTCTTGAGGCAGTAAAATATTTAATTTATAATAAAAAAAGACTTCATGCGATCGATCAGTTAATCAATCACTAGTTAACAATTTTATCTTGTTTTAAAATAAATGATGTCACAGAAACAAAGTACCAAAAGTAAGAAACTATACGTATAGTTGAAACCGTAAAGAATTGCAAAGAAAACTTATCGCTTGAACATTTGCACAATTTGCAATTCGATAACTGATCGGGAAAAATATTTATTACACACTACTATACCTCGTATACAATTGTTAACAAAAAGCTATTTTACATAAAATCTTTTTCGGTTTGGAGATTCTTGCGAAGAATTCGAAGATATCCGATTATTTAATCTAAAATAATTCGTCTTAGTGTTCGTATATACATTGTAAAAAAGAGAAATGCGAGTCATTTTGCACAGAAATTATATAATTCGAGTGAAAATAATTTGCGATTTCCAAGTTTTTTTTTTTCTTCGTTTAAAGCTATTCTTTTGATAAATATTTCTTAAATGTTAACTTGCTCGCGGACCACACTGACGCGTTACAAATAGATACACGGTGTAAAATGTGTAAAAAGAAAAATAATACTGATGGAAACCAACGGATTATAAAATAGTTTCGAGACGTATGATTGAAAAGAAATCTTACCATATTCTATGCGGACCTTCTTTCATTAATCGTCCTCGGCCAAACGAAAATATCACTTAGAATCGAAGGTTCGTTACTTAAAAAAAATGAAGAATTACTTGAACGTACAAAATATCACGATAATATATAATTATCACGAGGATTTGAAACGGCGACAGAAAACCTATTGCAGTTTATAAAGCTATTATTTTAAATTCTACGAAATTGCAGAAAATTTTAAATCAATAATTCTGTATTATGTGAACAAAGTCGCGACAGTGAAAGCTGAAGATCAGTAAGAACAACTGGAAGAAAGAATACATAATAAAAGTGTCTTTAGCAATATTTAATTTTGACGTACGATTAAAATTAACTCAATTTACAAATCAACTTAACATTTATATAATTAACTAACCATAGTTTTCTTATATTAAAACTATGCTATCGTACAAAGAATTATCCCAGAAACTTTCATGTATATTTTGTTTTCCTTTTCCTTTCCGCGTTTTACTGGACCATAGACTAAACTTTCTCTTAGAAATCATCCGTAATTAATTAAGAGCGTAACTCTTCTGATATCGATACTGTGTTTTGCGTGTACACACATTTTAAGCAGTAAGGCAAGTCACTGGCAGCACTGCTTACGCATTCCCTCCGAATTCATCGTTGGCTTAACATCGATAGGTTCTACGTTCTGTGGCCGAATCGTATCACCCTCCGGAGGATCACGTATCTGTTTCTGCGATACGATTCTGTAGATTTCTGCAACATTCAAATCTCTATCGCATTGCATCCACAAATTCAACACTTATTGCCACAACAAATATCACCATACATAAACAATTTTCTATAAAACACACACACACACATAGTATGGAACTGTTAAAAGCATCATCAAGCTTCTTCGATAGACATTTTAAACAAAAATTAAATTTTCCAATCTTTCGTTTGCTAAACGAAGCCCAAATAACAATGACCTTCCAATCTTCAAAGAATTATAATACATTGAGAATAAAAAATTTCTGTTTGAAGTCGAGGATCGTCTCACCTGTTAATATATTCTGAAACGCTGTCTCGACATTGGTAGAATCTAATGCAGAAGTTTCAATGAAAGAGAGGCCATTCCTTTCAGCGAATGTTTTTGCTTCGTCAGTTGGTACAGCGCGTAGATGCCTCAAGTCTGATTTGTTTCCAACCAACATAATCACAATGTTCTGATCAGCGTGGTCCCGTAGCTCTCGCAACCATCTCTCCACATTTTCGTACGTTAGATGTTTTGCAATATCGTAGACCAGCAGGGCGCCCACTGCACCACGATAGTACCTAATATTCACACGATTAGTTAATTACGCAAGCAATTCTCTTACCAATCAATTTCAACGTTTAAACTTTATTTGCTTTATATCAATTGCAAGAATTAAAACTTGAGACGCATGTATTTGTATTTTACGTGTTAAGTTGTGGATTTTAACTGCATGCAATAACATTAGACTTTTAGTTTGGTTTTAATAACTTCAACTTACGCGGATGTAATAGCACGGTAACGTTCTTGTCCAGCCGTGTCCCAGATTTGCGCTTTAATTGTTTTCCCATCGACCTGTATACTTCGTGTCGCAAATTCAACTCCTATAGTTGACTTCGACTCCAAATTGAATTCATTTCTTGTAAATCGTGATAATAGATTACTTTTTCCTACGCCAGAGTCACCGATAAGAACCACTGAAACGAAAAAGAAAATTTATTCATTCAGTAGTCGAGCACCTTTAATCCAGACGATTATTTTATTAACACTTTGCAGTCGGACGTTTCTCTTTCATTATCTACTAATGGATCGAACATAGTTTTTTCTGAAATAGCATAATTGAAAAACTACAGTTTTAAATGTTGTTCGATACTGTTCCTAGTCGATATTTCCAATTTATTACACAGTCAACGCATTTCTAATCAATAATCTTGCGCATACAAATAGTAATTTTTCTAATTGGTCAAAGTTTAATGTAAAGTTCAACAGTTTCATTATTTGGTCTCAATTTAGATTTAAAATACAAAATACCAAACTTATAACCTAACTTGAAATGCTTGGTGGTTCTTATTTAAGCAAAAAATGTGATTTCGGCGTGGCAGTCAAAGTGTTAACGGATCCAATAATGTTTTTACTGTGGACTGTTGTTTGAAACCTATTTCTTCGTCCTTGGTTACTAAATATCTCAGAAAAAGTTTTTTTTACTGCAAAACTTCTTTCTTACTATTTTAATTACAGTTATATCGAAATAAAAATTGCAAGTTTCATTCGAGTCTTGTAGGAGAACTAAAAATAAATAAGACAAATATTTTGAAGAGATAATTGACTCTTTGTATACGAAAAAATGATTGTCATATCAGAATGAAAAATCTAAGTATCGCAGTGGAAATAAATGATTGCAAATCATCTGGAATCCATCGATCGTTACAAAACATGTCAAACAAAGGTACCAACAAGTATGTTCTACCGTATAACTATATTTTTAGAACAGAAACGTCAGCGAAAGGACTATTGTTTCTTCGGAATGAAAATTTCAAGTATTGCTAGTACAAGGGGCATACAAAATGATTCTAAATGGTCCTAAAACTCATTGTTTCTCATAAAACACGTCCCAAAGCTTCTTTGATATTCGGATGGAACTTGTTTCCATTTTCAACAAAGGTAAAAATTCTCTGTTCGTGCAAAAATCAGTGTCACTTCATAACAATCTTCTAATTACTGTGAAAGAATAATTGTAATAAAAATTGTGAATTTCTTAAAAGTCGTGCAGAAAACAAGAAACAAATGAACCGAATGTTTTATTTCGAAGAGATTGATGGCCGACAATTGACTTTTTCTGTGTGATAGTGTGTGATGTCATCGTTTAAACTCGTCCTACGTCCGTGTCAATGGTGATTCGTCATTAATTCAGCCCTCGTGTTATCGAAGACAATTGTTGATTTTAAAACGATACATAAGCACACACATATATACACGAGTTAAAATCATACAAGGCGCATTATGCAGGGCAATCGTACCACCAGCCACACGTACAAACTGTATATGTTCTGCGTGTGTACGCGTGTATGTGTTCATGGGCAGAGAGATGTCCCAATGACTAAATATTTGTCAAAAAAAAAAATTGTTTGTTACAGTCTGAAAGTAATTTGAATAAATTTACCTTTAAATAAATAATCGTATTCATCGTCCCGAGTGCCCATCTCGTCTGGAGCAAAAAACCCCTTCGGTAGAGTGACGGACGAGTGCTTAGGTATTGGGGGATACAACTACTTAGGTTTATAGTTATTTACAAATAGGCACGAGCTATGATTCAGGCCACGTGCTTTTGCTGCTTTACACGGTACAAACGAACGACACTCTTCGTGAATGATCACGGTTAAAATACAGAAAGGAGAACGGGCACGATAGTACGATGATATAATTATTTTCGTTCTTTCAATTTAACTGTACAATATGGCCTCCTTTCTACGCCCCTCCAAACCGATGTATTGCACATGCGCAATAAGCGGCTGCCACGCGCACGCGCACACTCCGCGTCATAAATTACGCGGATCTCGAAACGAGATCGAGAAAGGAAAATTGAAATCGAGATTGAAATATCGACTGGTAGGTGGCGTATTTGGGCAGAATTTTATTTTGAAATTTTAGGTTTATTCGTAAACTAGCTTTTTCTCGCCTGAATGTTGCTCTAATACGGATTTAATTTACGTGTGGCGATTAGAACTTATTACTAATAATATAGATGGCATAAACTTAGCTGGGGAATTGTCCCAACGTCTAGAGATTCAACGCTAATACTTTGGACGCCTTTTATCGAGGAAATCTCGAGCGTTTTCGCGAGTCCAAGGGGAATCCAAAGAGGGAAACTGCAGGACTTTGGAACCAGCTTTTAATTATGAAACAAAGTCGACTAATACGGGGTCATCACCTTCCGTACTTGTACCATAGAAATCGGTCGAGTACTTGCGAGAGAGCGATCCCTCTGGTGGCAAGTACGGGAGGTGATGATCCCACATAATCGCGCTTTTTCATGTGTGTCAAGTTAAATAAACAATACTATATTACAGAATCTTTCAAAACAAATTCACTTTCTACTTTACGTATTACTGTCAATTAACTGTTCACTATTCCATTCTCCCAGCCGATCAAAACTGTTCTAATCCTTAGTGGACGTTTCCTAACCTAACATATTATATTGTTCTGAACAACTATTGAGAAATGAAGCCCAAAAAGTCGAATCTCGACGGTGATTGAAACTTTTGCCTAGGCAAACTGTGAATTTAACGTTTAAGTAAAGCTTATGGTTGCGAAATATGATCCATTGGGAAGGAATCATATAAAAATGAAAATTTCTTAGCTTTTATGAGTCACCCTATCATTATTCTCACCATTATGTCGGGCAAAGGCAAGCAGAGTTCCAAAAAAGCCATTGTCAAGGTCAGAGAGAGTGGAAAGACTGTGCAATCTTCCCTCGGTTCAGATGTCGCTTCTGAAAACACAGAAACGTCCATGTCTCTGCCCATTTTAAAGATTGCTGACAACAGCCGTCTCCTCCCGAGATACACCAGTATCTTGCAACGCAACACGGAGGAAGGCGTCGGTATGGAGGACCTTGATATGTTGCAGCTAGAATTAGAAATGCTTCTATCATCGGTGGTTGTGCGACATCGAATGATCCAAGAGGAAGTAGCAAATTTATCGTCTGCGGAGGAACGCAGGGACAGAAGATCCAAAAGTGGCAAAGGTCTTTCGCTTCTCGACAAAAGAGTCAGAGAAGAGAAGTTCAAACCAAAGGAACTGAATACCAAGACCCAGTCACCTCTGCCGGCCAAATTGTTCAAGCAAAAGGCTATAGGCGGCTCAAACTCTCAGGTCATTCCAAATGTGCACGAAATTTCAAGGATCGAAGGTTCAAAATCCGAATCTCCAAAGTTGCTTTTACCAAAAAATGACACACCTAACAAGTTTTGGGCATCCGTTGATCCGTATTGCACAGATATCATGCCAGATGATATTAAGCTATTGGAAGAACTGATTGCCACGCACAGTGACATCAGCGAATTCAAGAAGATTCCCCCATTGGGTCGCCATTATAGCTTAATGTGGGCTCACAATGATTTATTGCAAGAGGAAGACGCGGCCAACCCAAATAGAGAAAAGAAAAAGAGTCGTTCCGACTTGTCGCTGTTGGTTGGCAAGAACGACAAGAAAGCACACAGTATCGCGGGTCCTCTCACACAGAGATTGGTCTCCGCTTTGCTGGAGGAAAATGTGTACGTTGCGAATAATAACACGGACAACAAATTGTTCAGAGACAGTGATCCTCCTGTTTTAAGAGATCTCACTATACAGAACTCTATCAACTTAGAATTAAGGATGCACAAGGAGCTAGTAGAGCAGGGAATCTTGGAATCAGATGCGCAAAAGAAGAATCAAGAGGACGATGAAATTTTAACAGAGATTAAAAGATGCCAGCAAGAACTCACAGCGCTTTCCAATCACAATGTAACGCAATTGAAGAGGCTATTAAACTTGGCGCAGGAAGAAAGTAAACGGCAAGCTTTGAAGAGAAAAATTAGTGCTGCGGATAATGAAGTGATAGAACATTACAAGAAACTTATACTTTCCAAACAGAGAAAGGTTCCACTGACGAAGAAGGAACAGGAGAAAGCGTGGGCCTGTTTAAGGGAAAGGGAGAATCTATTGGACCAGCTGAATATGTTACCCCATGATAGCGTAGGAGAATCAATAGGCTTCGGCACTACTATGAATTAAGTTTTTTACTGTATAATATGATAATACTATGTATAAAAGTTTAATAATATTGATTCAAGTTTAAATCGAACGGTGTGAAATTCATTTAAAACTTCACAATGTATTGCAATTTTCATTTTAGTTAAAGAATTTACTGTCTTTAGTATTAAAACGATTATTAAAGAATAGAAATAGATCTTGTATTAAAGATTCGAAAATTTTACTAGTATTACTAGTAGTAGAAATATACTAATTGTTGCGGCAATGGTGTTTGTTAAAAAATTATGTTCAATTTTAAATTATACGTGATGTATTAAGTTTCGTTTAATTACTACTTTAATGCTGTAAATTAATGGTTCAATTTAATTGGTATAAAAAAATTAAATGAAATTGGGCCTACGTTCATTATCGAAGATTGTTATTAAACCCATGTTTTGTATTCAATAAATATATTACTTGAACGAAATGCACGTTAATTTATTTTTTTATATTAAAAATTAATATGTGCGTAGTTTGAACTTTATTTGATTTCTAGAACTGCCAAAAATGAGGGATAAATATTTTTTTTGACGATAGTAAGACGAGCTTTAGGGGTGAAACTACCCCCTAAAGTCTCAGCCTTTCATTATCTTTAGAAAAAAAAAATTTCTATAGAAAAGTATAAGGAATTCAATTTAAGGATTGAATTTATTTTTGGTCAACTTGTTTGCAAATATCTAACTGAAACGATTCTCCGATGTAAATTACTGTATTTCTTCAATAATAAAAACTCGATTACGAAAAAAAAAAGTGTAAAAGGATATTCATAAAATATGTTAAAAATTATATTCTTTCAAGAATATTTCAAGACCAAGGTTTAGTAATACTTTCACAGTTTACTTCGCGAAGATATCTTTCTATAGTAGAAAATATTATATTCATTTGGTAGTTGCATAACACCTATCAACAAATTATTAATTAGAATTTATAAAAAAAAAACTACGTAAAGAAGCTAATTTTACAAAGTTATTCTCCAGAGGAAAACATACTAGTACAATCATTATAAATTATACTTGAAAGTCGTGTAACGACATTTGTCAATGAATTATTCATCAGAATTGCTAAAAGAAATTACTCGAAGAAAAGGATAGCTAAAAGAACGGAAGTCGTCCACATAACTACGAGATAATTTCACGACAATAGTGTTTATTCGATATCACTGTACAGTTTCCCTTCGGTCACGAGTTACCTCCAACAAACAGTGTGCGCGTGTGGGCATCACACCAATGATGAATCATTTTGGTAACAAAAATGTTCAATAGTGTACTACTTCATCGATATTAACGCGATAGATACGGATACAGTGCGTATATGGGTATATCATATGCAGGGTATGAAGGCTGTTTATTTCTTTTTTAATAAACTTTCAATTAATGTTCTTATTCGTTCAATTACACTGAATTATAACAATGTGTGAATTACGGCTACATGAGACCCCGGCAGACCATGAAATGATTAAAAATGAATCGATTGAAGGGATCCGAGGAGGTTTTTGGACGGTTCTGGATCGACAACCAGTTTCTGGTTCGTACCGTCTAAATACCTCGTCGGGCCGGGTACTCTAGTATCTCTAATGATTTCATGGTACTCCCAAGTACCAATGACAGCTCCTGCCGTTCCCCCTGAGAGCCAGTAGATGCTGTCTTGGCAATGACGCACTAAAACTATCGGCAATTATGCGATTTCCGGTGACTTAGAACGCGAACAAGAGCAGGAAGGCCATCATAAGGCAGAAGAGACCCATGGCCTCGGACAGGGCGAAACCCAAAATGGCGTACGAGAATAATTGCTGCTTCAGAGATGGATTCCTGGCGTAACCGATGATTAAAGAACCGAACACCGATCCAATTCCGGCACCTAAAATCAGATTACGCGTTTCACCACTTCTGCAAACTACAGAAACTATTAATTTATAAACGGTTAACACATTGATTGCCATGTGGACTAAAAGAAATATGGTTTTAAGCGATTAAGTAGTTGTCCAATTGTCAGAGAACAAAAATTTCACAGATTTAATTTGGCAGTTAATGTGTTACGTGATTAATTCATAACGCAAATTGTAATTATAACATTACTATGATCGAGAAGCTTGGCGGAGGAGTGGGACTAGAGGGCAAACAGTATGAGGAACGCTATCAGAAGACAAAAGAGTCCCGCTGCCTCTGATAATGCAAAACCAAGGATCGCATAACTAAAACATTGTTGTTTCAGGGATGGGTTGCGGGTATAGCCAATTATTAGGGACCCAAAAACCAAACCAATACCAACCCCTGAAATTGGAAGAGCAGGAAGGAAATTCTGAATTATTCTAATACACGTAAGGATAAGACGTGGATAGGTTTGCAACGAACTTTGTTAAAAAGTGATTATCTGTGCACGCACCAGATCCAGCTACGCCAACGGTGGCTGCTCCAGCACCAATAAACTTTGCAGCCGAGTCAATGTCCCGACTGATTGTGGATGTTTGGAAATTACGCACAAACGGCGACTGCGTAAAATAATTAACAATGAAGAATTCAAATAATTTTTTGGTTAAATGTATAATTACTATGCGATATTTGTCGGTCTCGTTAAGTTTACAATTTGAGTATTATATATTGAATTGTTTCCGTATAGTAGATAAAAGTCTTACGTAACTTCTATTATTAGTTTTTAATATTTTATTTGTCAATTTAATAAAAAAAAAAAAAAGAAACTCATGTTTTGCTGTTACCGACTGTCATTGAAATTTTTGTTGTTTCTTTCGAACTTTTGTTTTAATAAATGGGACATTTTATCAGAAAACAACTGTCAAACGTCTCTTTGTTATTTAATTGTTGTAGACTGGAGGAGACAGAAATTATAAAAATGTCTAAGTTCAGAAATAATTCCAATATTGATTATTTCCACATAGTAGATTACATTGTGACTTATATAACTTCTATTATTAGTTTTGCACATTTAATTGATATTTCAGTTTTCATTCTTTTCATATCCATTGTTATCAAGCTATACCAACTAATTGTCATTCAAAATTTTTTGTTGCTTTTTTCATTTTCCTCTCTCGCAACCGATTTACCAGAAAATCGCCATCAAACCTTGTTAATCATCTTACGAGACTTTTAAACCCTGAATAAGGCCACACCTAAATCAATAACAAAATTACATTCTCCAAACATCCAAAATTCATTCCAATCTCCTGCAATCCATTAGACATTTCCAACGACCCATTACAAGAGCTACGTACATAATCACTATAGTACAATCTACACGTAAAATTCACAAATCAGTCCATTTTTATTATTTCCGTGTAAATAAGTCTCTGAAACATCAACTATGTAACTTTCAAAAACATCTTTACTCAAATTCGATAAAAGCAAATTCTGAAACATGTGGGCACTGACCCACTTTTATAATTCGTACGAATGGCCAGCATTTCCCTATAATAAACCTAGAAAATATAAATTTTCTAACAGATTCGAAAACATTTCCGCTCGTATTCGATATAACTAAATTCATCTTAGGTCACGTTTTACCGAATTTTTTTAATTTTCCATGAAGAACCGTTATGAGAATAAAGCCGGTTATGTAACCTACGGGGGGAATAGGTTATGCAATGGATACTCACGATACTGACTGGGCTCTGGATCTGATTCTGTTGTAAAGACTGACTCTGATTGACCACGGCGCTGCTCAGCGGTCGGATGTAGTTCTTGGTTCCTGAGACCAACTAAAAGAATCGTACGGAAGGGGAGAAAAAAAAAAAAAAAAAAAAAAGTAGTTATATAATTATGAATGAAAAGAAACTCGGAAAGTTAGAAATTCTACTCACGGTCGACCTGGCGAGGGGTGCGATGAATCGAGTGCAAGCGTACATGGTGACGTTTGTGTGGTCGCTAAGCGATTACCCTGAAAACGACGGTGGCCACCTAAATAATTAAAGCCCAACGCTCTGCCAAGCTTAGGATTACGTAACACGTCTAACCTAAATCCTTACCACCTCGATGCTCAAACAAAACCCGTGTTAAAGATTACCGATGTCGCAAGAACGATTATCCACGGTTAACGAATGAATAAAGTAACTAGAATCCGAGAATGGCATAAAATGGCTACTAATCGTGTTCCAGCGGTCTCGTTTGGTTTCCAAAGTATCGGGCACCATGAACGATTATTTCGTTAAAATTGCGATTCTTTTTTTATGAATCGAGCGAATAATCGACGGATTTTATTTGATTTTAAACAGGATTCCGGATTTAAAGGCGGACCAGACTCACCAGAGATCGAAGAGCCGGCCTTTGGAATGTTGAATTGGTGAGTGACTGGTGAACTGAACCGCCTATCCCGAAAGAAACGAACCGACTTCCGTGCTGTGACCTATTCGCCACTTCCAAACCGCCCGATCATAGCCGAGTACGCGTATCGACCAACCGAACTTACCCGAACGACACTTCGTCCGCAGTCGCTGATCGATTCTGCTATTATCTGTTTCCGGAAATGCACGAATAATATCCCACTGTAATTATTTCGATTTAAAAAAATTTGGAACCCTAATTTTTTAGATTTTCTTTTAAGATTTAACGAGAAATACGATATTTTTTTGTGAAATTGTACGCGAATATAGACACTTGTTTGACCCTCTTATTGAACCTGGGAATTTAAAGCAAAAGTAGTACCAACGACTGGCCAAAAGATACCAAGATGGGGTATTATTGATTAGAAATTAGGAAGTAAAATTTGGGTTGTTTTGTAGCTTTCTTTTGTACTGTTTTTAAGTTGCATCAATTGCTTCAGTTATTAACGACTTGTAACTTTTCTATGTAATAAATGGATTATATTATTATTTAGTATAGTTATTTTTTTGTATTAGACTTCCATATCCCTATATGGAGACATAAGTATCGTAGTTCGTTGGAAATGATTTTACTAAAAGAATTATTTTCATTTATCGTCATTTATTAAAAATATAACAGATATGTTAATGAATGCAATGTTGATTTCGAGAATGTGATTCACAGTAATAACTAATATCAAATTATATTTATCTTAATTAACTATTGTCTAAAGCATTATTTTAATGAATGTTTGGAATGCTAATATAACTAAACAATACTAGAATAAACGTTGATTATAAATTATTAAATATATATTTGTCAGTTTGCCAAGAATGAAAGTTGATAAATGATGTTTAAAATAAAATTTATTTCCGTTGCTTAAATATAATATTCTATAGTATTTAGAGCGATTCACATGTCATTTGTTACTATTTTGCTTATGTTGTAAATACTGCATGTTGTGTTCATGTTCTAATATTACAGCGGCGTTGTGGATTTGGAAAAATCGTTTCCCATGCTCGAAAGTTGCAATCATAATGGCGCAGGCCGGAGCAACTTTCACTATTCTTGGAATTAATCCCGTGAACAGCCCCCTTACCCCATTTTGACAGTAAATTTTTCTAATCGTGTTCCAAGTTCCGCCGCTGTGCCCGGGTTTATCTGCAAATGATTTTTCAACGATGACTTCGGTTCGAAATTTGTAATCCGTTACAAGCAAATGGTACCTGAATAGATTTCTTTTTCGCCCATTTCTATCTGCGTGTGAGTTTTTACAACGTCGAAGGGGATCGTAAAAAATGCTGCCATCTATAAAATTAACAGTTAATAATGCACTAATTCCGAATGTCGAAACTTAAAAACACGATATATCGATCGACGAAATATCGATATTTACGAGATCGACTCGTGATATATTTGGTCAGAAATGTCGATGTCAGACTCGAATTATTCACGTTTTACGTGAAATTAAACAACGAGCCCGACTCGTGATATTCAAGTTTGGCATAAAATTTTCATCACGAGTCAGACTCGTGAGAATAATGGGTTATAGCTTGTTTGCACAAACGGAATTGACAAAATGGAATCCTTTTAAAATTTGAATTTCTTTTTGTCAATTTTTTTATACTAAACTATTAAAATCAATTTGTAAACGATTCGATAATAATATTGAGTATTTATTAATTAAAATACTTACAGATCCGGCCATAGCACCAGCCGCGAGATTGAAAGTAAAAGATTGATTAGATCCACCAAAGTTTTGTTTAATAGTTTCGTAATTTAACCAGTAAATTGCACTAAAAGGTACGTCACGTAAAAGAGTGCTACTTAAACCCATCCATAACCCAAAAATACCATTATTTTTCATAACGGTTTTCAACGCTTGCATAATTTCTGTAAGCAAAGTTTGTTAAAAAGAATTGTATAACGCAGAAATAATTCAAAGTAACAAAGATTAGAATAAGAGAATACCTGGATAACTTAATTTCTGCGATTGCATTTTAGTCCTAATTAATTCTAACGGGCTTACTAGAGATGCAGCCCAGATACGAGCTATGGCTCCAGCCACCATGGGAATCCAGAACGGTTGCTCCGTTACGGGTCTAACCATTACATTCCCTAATTGTCTATTATATGTATCCTATCAGAACGGAAGTAATATTAGAACTCGAAAAGAGATGCGAACGGAAAATTCGATGAGAAATTTTACATTCTATTTACCTTAAAGTACAACCTTAATTGTTCGTACGAAACGAAATATACTATAGTTGCAGGTACTGCTAGGACCAGAGTAGGACTCAGACCACTCCATAAGGAAAGGATTCCTTCGTTTCTGCTAATTTTCATCAACGCATCCTTTGAACGGAAAATAATGACAAAATACAATTGAATTCGTGATTATAAGGAAGATCGATAGAAACGTACCACCGTGCCAGTAAATTTTCCGTTTCCCTTCGCCCACGGTGGCCCTTTCCCATTCAGACACGGACACAAATGATCCATCAAACCATTGCAATAAAGGAAACACTTGTTAGAAAGCATAGCTTTTTGCTGCGTTTGAAGTCGAATCTTGACCACATCCAAAGGTGTAACTGGAATGAAAAAAGATTAGAATATTATTATAACATCATCGATTTGTTACAAACTACACCTTTGACGTACGATTTAACTGCAATTCTTCGAACATATCTTATCTAATTTTCGAAGACGTGTTAATTTTTATATATTAGACGTCATGACGTTTGGTTTGAAATGCGTGTACAAGCGATGATTTATATAAAATGCAAATTTACTTTACGTTGTTTACAATCACGTTAGATATTTCATCATCGCTTACCAATGAGAGACGTGATGACTGCACCGGTGCACGAGGCGACAATTTGCTGGTACGGTTTGATCCTGAATCTAGGATCATCCAGATCCACGTCCAGCGGTATATTATTCAGCTTATTCATTTTTTTACTTTCATTAGATATCTACGGTAAGAAATTTTGTGTTCGCGTTTAATGCCATACTTCCTTATCAACGAACCCCACAATCGTTCTAAAGATTAGGGTACGTCGCACGTGCGCATACTAGATAATAACATTCCCATCGATTCATGAATTATGAATGATCTTAACACTATCAACCACCTATGAAAATTACAAACGATTACTATTATTTAACGAATATTTTTTACGAGCAAAAAATTATCCAACAAATCGAAACGATCGCAATAGAATATTGAAATTGTGAAATAATTAAGCTACGAACGATCTATTATTTATGGACAACTTACTTTCGTTTAGTTTCATTTGCCACGAGATTCCAGATATGGTTTTCTGTATAAATGCAATCTTGAGCAACTCCGGGTCAACGTCGTGCACGAACCGGCCTCTAACAAATCGGAAAATAACATTACACTGCTTATCGAACCATTTATATTACGTTTCTATGATAAGAAAATATGTAGATCGTGAACTATAATATTTTCGTATTTTACCGCCAGAGGACATCACTGGTTTATTCTTGCAAAAATCAAAATTTCGAGGCACGTTTTTATTTAATAGAGTTAGAAATATGTAAAACATTTCTAATATTTATATTAATAAAAAATCAAAATCACAGTATATATTTTCTATAGTTTTTATTTACATTTTTATCTACCTTCCCCATTAATTTTTTAATTTCTATTAATTCTAAAGCTTCATAATTCCTTATAACCGCTCCAGATATTATTCGAATCTAATTAAGTTCTTCAATCATTTTTCTATGCATTTTTCGTACAAATAAATATTGATCCACGGCTTGATTTCTAATTACTCTTTTTCTGGGATTAAATCCAAGCGTGGAAAAGTGGTTGAAGAACTTAATTAGATTCGAATAATATTTGGAGTAGTTGTAAGGGATTATAATACTTAAAAATTGATAAAAATTAAGAAATTAATGGGAAAGGTAGAGGAGAATGTATCGTCCTTCCACGAGAAGAAGGCACAATGCGTTTACATCCCCACTCTTGCTGCTGTCCGCTGATTGGCTGTCACCGATTGCGTCACAGCTTTCGACCAATAGTGAGCCAGCGGACAGCAACAGGAGTGGGGATGTAAACACGCTGTGCCTTCTTCTCGTGGAAGCACGGTAAATAAAAAGCATGGAAAATATGTACTATGATTTTATAAGGAATGTTTTACACATTTCTAACTCTATCAAATGAAAACATGCTTCGAAATTTTGATGCCTCGATAAACGTTTTAATGTTAGTAAACAATTCCTCGACTTAATTTACGTCTGAAATTGTCATGAGTCAAAGGTCGTTTTACAAATTAAAAAGTTTACGTTGGTGTTTGAGAAGGAAAATCGAGAATGGCTGAAAAAGGGGCCCATTTAACTGGAACCACGTTTATAAAACCTTCTATATTTGAAATAGTGGCTCAGGAATCCTTTGCCTCGACCGTTGAACCGGCTTTTAAAAAAATTCTATCGGTAGGTTAGGTTTCGTTATTCCATCAACAATATTATTTGTCCTTGAAAATTAAATTTGTATATACTTTAAGAACCTGTAAAAGATTGTTTAAAATAAACTGCATTGCTCCTTTAAAAAAATAAATATAATTATTAATTAAATAATGTTTTAGTTTATCGTATCATTCAATCCTGAGAGATATAAACATCTTCTTAGATGGTCTGACGAAGGTTACTTAATTTTCAATATAATTCTCCAACGATACTATTTAAAAAAATTTTGTAAGTAATTACTCTCGTTCGTATAAATACAAATTACCAAACAGTGAAAATATATTCTTTTTCTCAGCCGCTTCCTTCTCTGAAGCATTTTACGGTTTGAAACGTGTAGGAATAATAAATTCCAAGATCAAAAACAATTTGTCGAACCGGCAAAAGACACTGTCCCTGACACTGATAGTTTTATTTCCCTATTTGAAGAATAAGCTTTCAAACCTAAGTCGCCGCTACAAACTCGAAGAAATCGATGGCTGTGCCCCACAAAACGTAACTATTATTCCATAGAACTTAATTTCAAAGAAATTGGTTTATTAACATTGAAATTAATATTTTCTCACAGAAATGGGAGAAGTTCTATCGCAGCTGTGTTGTTAAAGGTTCTTTAATGACCTTCGTAGCATACGAATTTATAGTTTTATACAATTATATATTGTACGTTGCTGGGAAATCAGTGCACCAATCGCCACATTTGAAACTACTATCCGTTACTTTAACCTACGCAGATGCACAATCCGTAATCAGTGTTTCGGATCTGTTAAAGAAGATTCGAAACAATTCTTTTGGTATTAGCGATAGCATAGATATTCTTCAGCGTACTGTGACTACGTCTTTGGAATTTGGAGCGTTCTTTCTTCAGTTCTTATTCTGGTGGACGCAAGAACATTTCAATACCAATCTAGTTACACTGCCCATTCCACCGCCGCCTAACGTAAGAAAATTATTCTTCTGTAATCGGAAGCATAAGAAATATTATTAATTTCATATTATTATTATCAGATTTTGGAAACAGCTAGGCAATTCAAAGGCAAATGTCCAATTTGTTGTAAACCGTTCAGAATTCATACAGTACTTTCTGTTTCCGGGTATGTACCATTATAGAAAATACTACAAGTTTGAGATCAATTACAGTTACTTAAATATTACTACTTTTCAGTTATGCGTTTTGCTATCAGTGTATTGTTCCTGTAATACGAAAAACTGGACAATGTCCCGTGACAAAATATCCTGCTAAAGAAGATGATTTAATACGTTTGTATTTAGATTAAATATCGTTGACATTTATATAAATCTACTGGAGAACAGTTTGAATAATAAAAGTCCACCTGTTACTTAACTATTAGCAACTTGTTTCGTTATACGAGCTACAAGTGTATCGTCCTTCCGCGAGAAGAAGGCACAGTTTACATCCCCACTCTCGCTGCAGTGTGCTGATTCGCTGACTTTGTCACCGTTCTCGACCAATAGTGAGCCAGCAGACAGCAACAGGAGTGGGGATGTGAAGACGCTTTGCTTTATTCTGGTGGAAGGACGGTAAGTGAATGTCATTTTCTCAAAGAATTCGTAATAGTTTAGGGTACAAAGAAAAGTCTGTCGGCAGTAGGATAAAAATATTGGTATATTTTTAGTGTTGTATATTATGACGAAACTTTCAATATCAATCTCGATTCACGGAAAGAAAACATACGGTACGGATTGGCAAAGTACCTTAATCGAACGAGCAAACATTTACAGGTACTATTCCTCTATATTACAGAAAATACTGATTATGGCCGAAGCACTTTTCAATTAGCATCCAATAATACAATCGCGTACGCGAATCACAGACAACGGCGCCAGGAAGTCCAGTTATAACACTCGCACCAGATTTTTGGTCAGAAACCTTACAAAACATAATATATATATTCGATACCGAATATTATAATACGTTAGACATTCTCTGAGACAAAGAATGTTTCGTAAAATAAAAGAGCAACTTTGTAAATACTAACAATTTTTATTTTCCATACGATCGAACGGGATCAGTGCTCGAGTAACTGTTAACGTTAATTTAGTTACAATATATGACACTTTTCAATAGCCACCGGACGTTTAATTTCTACAAAAAAAACGGCTTTCCAAACATGGGGAATATTTTCACTCTCGACATCGAATAAATTTCAAATAGAAAATATTCAAATATTCAGAGTATTCGTAGAAATATCTTTTAACTGTATTCGATTACTTCTTCCAATAAAAAGATAGTATTTTAATATTTTAAAAATGCCTAGGAACATTTATTTATTTACCTATTCGTATTATATCGCAACTAACTAATAAACATACTTGGAAAGCCCTATAAGAACGATATATCTCGAACACTGAGTTCTCTATCGAATCGATAGGGAAGATCATCGCGAAAGCCGCAATCGACGCGTAAAGATTCTATCGCACTAATCGAACTATATCGTAGCGTGTTAGTTATGTTTCATGGCATAAGAAATCGATAAAAATCACTTTACATCTATACACAAATTTCTTAAAAAAAAAAACAATCCCGTCGTACTCATGCATTGGTCGAATTTTTATTTACAAATCCATTGTCTTAAGATTTGTTTAATTTCCTTTTGTTCAAAGCCTTACCAATGCACGAATACGTATAGTATTTACCGTTATCAGACTTTTAAAACAAATCTACGTTCAGATGAAATTTCTTTTTTTGTTCGCAGTCCGTAGAGAAATCGATTACACCTTTCGAAATTTTGAAACTCTCGAAACTATCGAAACTATTTACTCTTGCAGAATTTCCTCGAGTCGTTTGACTAGACTGCGGCTTGGACAAACATTTCAGTAGATTCTAGTCGTAGGCACACTGGATATTTGAGAGTATTGACATTTGTGACATGCGTTACATTACTAATTTCCTATAATTGACGAAACCTTGTAATTCGTTTGTTTCGAAACCTACAAAAGCATTGAGAAATACATGCAAACACCGAGGTCCAACCGACAAATAAAATTCTCTAATATGCATCTGTATTTCGAAACAGTTTCGGATCGATAAAACCTTACGATGAATCGCAACATCGACACTTTCAATAATCGCTTACCTCCTATGTAACCATTAATACCTAGCGATTCTAGTCTTAATTTTGATTTTCGCGTACTTCGTGTAAAAGTCTCGAGTTGTTATTAGATTCGGTGAACAACACGAGATGGATAAAAATAAAAACAGGCGTGTAAAATCAAGTAAAAAGTAAAGTTTGCGTGATTATCGTTGAACGCTGAGATTTAGAAACGTTAGTATGAAAATTGAAACCATTACGAAGCAAAAATATTAATCTTTGCGTAAGTTTCAGTATTCTACACAATCGTCACGACGGACGAATCTCGTAATACGATCGCAAGACATTGTTTCTTCCAGCGTCCACTGAATGTCTCAGTTTCTAAATAGTCCACGGAACTATAACTCCTCGAAGAATGCAACCCTCGCCTTGGTAGATCCGGACTTCACTTTTTTCAATGTACTATACTTGTTCTCACCTAGCCGCACTTGTTCTTCGTGCAATTGATCCAGTTCGCACTGTTTCTCGCCGACCTTCATCACTTCTATTTCGGTGCGTAGCTCTCTGAGCTGTTCTTGCAAGTGTTTGCTCTTCTCCCAATAGTCGACACGCTCCTTTTCTATTTCCAGCGACAGCTGGTCGACGTCCCCGTCGGCGATCAAATCGTACGAAGTCAAATCGGTCGGCAGGGGCTCGGTGTCCAGGTGCAGAGTCTGCAGGTCCGCTTGCAGATCCGACGGTAGCACTTGCGTCGAAGGGAACAGATTTGGCACGGGCTGCGACAAACAAAATCATCGTTAACGTTTAACTTTACCCTTACGAATCTTAATCGAGTCTAAAATCTTATCGGAATAGGTTTCGTTCGCCCCTGGAATGTGGATATTTACAGCTATCGTCGCGGTGTAAGCATTTCTGCTAAGGAACTCGAGCAATTTCTCTTTCGCTTCCTTCTCCGCGATACGTGCTCGTAACAATTCGTCTTTCAGCTTCTCAGCTTCCGCCGCCCTTCTCTCGGACTCTTGCACCAATCTTTCGGTCAATAATTCCGCTTCTCTGGTTTTCCGCTCGAGATGAACCTTCTCCTCTTCGGTCTTCATATTGTTCAATCGTATACGAGTGATCTCCTGCTCGGCCTCCGAAGCTTTCTGACTCAACAGCATCGCCTCCTCTTCGGCTACTCGACTCTTCTCAGCCAGAAGGTCAGCAGTCTCCTCTGACCGTCTCTGAAACATATTTAACATTTAGCTATAGAATTCTAACGATATTTAACGATAGATATCGTCTTACGAGGGCTTCGTTCGCTAGACGAATCTCTTCTTGATATTGGAGAAGTCGCTGCTCCATAGCTGCTTTCTCCCTTTCGGCCGCCTCCCTGAGTTGCTTCTCCCTGGCCAGCTTGTTTCTTTCGATTTGTCTCCTAATTATCACATTAACAATAAGCAAAAAAGTCTTGTATAAAAAAATAAAACTTTGAGGGTTAGAATCCAAGAGACAATTACCTGGACTTCTCCTCTTTCGCCTGCGCCTTCATTTGCTGGACCTCCATAGAGTCAGGCTTGCGTCTTCTCATGAAAAGATCATGGTTGCCGATGCACAGGTCCAGGATCTTCAACAAATGATTACTCGTCACGTTTAACCTCAAAGTTACCAAACCCTTCAAGTGTTTACCAGTTTGTTCATGCGAACTTTCTGCGAGAAGAACACGAAATTAGGCGAAGTCTTCTCCACAGGCTTGATCACGAATTTCTTGTCATCGAAACTGATGTGTCGTATTTCAGACCAGGTGAACGTAGTTTTCGGGGCCAGTTTGTTCTCCTTTTCGTAGATATTTAATCCGAGGGCGGTGACTCCGAGCCAAAGGTCGGTTTCTTTCTTGTTCTGGAATTCGATGATCGAAGATGTTGCAACGGAGAGAATTCGATTGTATTTATGTGGTTTTAAAATACTTACGCTAATGGGGAAATAATTGACGCCGTACATGTCGAGGTCCTGAGCAATCTTAAGATACTCCATCTCAGCTTCGTCTCTGGACATCCCACGGTGATCAGCGTACCAAATCTTTATCCTATCCTCCCACATTTCGGAAGTCATTTGGTATTGATCTATAACTCTTTGCGGCAACAATGCTTCGCTCGCTAGCATTCCAGGCCGGTACGAAACTTCATCGTAGTCCCCATACTGATAATCATATTGCATGTTACGAAAGAATTAGCGTTGAACATAATTATAAAATTCTCTAGCTCACTTTGCTAAGAAAATCAAGTCGTAACTTTGGAATAATCTGAAACGCAGCTATTGCAAAGTAAAATTCATGGAATATTCACCTTCGCTTGGACTGCGTAAGAAGCTAGCAATACGGACGCTTCGGGCGGACAGTAAATATCCATAGAAAGGATGGCCTGTTTCACTTGAAGGAAGAATAAATGTTGAGTTACTTCTTGAACTAATTCTTCGGCGACATCTTCCGGATAAAACTTTGCCAAGAACATGAAAGGCGTCGTTGGTTGTTGGGAAATGCACTGATCTTGCACTGAAAAAGGATTAGTTTTCAAAGACTAAGCTTACAAAATAAGTTGCTTGGTTCGACCGAGTAACTTTGCTTGGTTTTTACGAATCTACGAACGAACTGTTCCAAGACGCTAAACAACTGCAAAACAATACAAAATTCACTAAAGGGAAATTATATTCAAAAAAATAGAATCTTCTAAGCAAAGAAACGTGTCGTAAAGAAAGCTTAGTATACCTTTCTTGTCCAACTTCAACCAGGATATGAATCCTTTGGCATCTTCGTATTGGAGTCCAAAATACCATGTTTCTCTTAATCCTATTGTGCGGCAGACTAAATCGAATAAATCCCTTCCCGTTGATCTCCACTATTAATAAAAACACGTTAAAAAACCATACGTTCTAACGACGATCAGGACAGTGTGGAAACTCACAAACGGAAAACTAACCTCCAAACTGAACTCTAGTTCAGCGTCCAAGGTACAGACTTTAACGGGGAAAGATTTTCCAGACTTTTTCCTTCGAAACGGTGGCATTTTACTCCTCATTATGTTCACTCAACATCACGAAAGACAAGGTAATCAATATCGCAAAAAATAGAAGAAAAAAAATTAAAGCTCCTAAGAGTATCGGTCGAGGCTCGGTACGGGTTTATATGTTTATTATTTACTCTTTGTAATATCAGAAATGAATCGTGTGATGGATAACCTTACCTACGCATTCGCAGCATATTGACCAAATACATTGAAACGCGTAATTAAAATTTCACTCGCTCGATCCTCGTGAGTGACCATAACAATTTTGGCTGAAACCCTCTTCATCGGATCATCGTGTCGGTCGTTTTTTCGTGACTTTATTTCTAAAGCAACAAACGAAAAAGGGCGGAAGAAAGAGACAATGGGCCTGCAAAACCCTGCGGGAAGTGTTTCGAAACAGTTTGCTTCGACGCAGTGTGGCCAGATCTGGCATAATTGAGTGCATCGAAATCGACAACAGTGACGACGAACTTCCTTAGCGTCTAACGGAATGGTGGGGATAGCAGGCATACACTACCGCACGAGCCACGTGTACGTGAGCTCGGCACTTCGCACAACTTCGGCAAATCGATAAAGAACGCTAGTGTGAGCCTTTCCTTCTTGCTCTTGTAAAAGACAAAACAACTGAAATACGACCTCGCGATAATCGGCATACGATTCCAAGTCTCGACTGCCCCAGCATTTTTACTTTCCGACCTATATGTAAGGTATAAGGAAATTTATAAAGTATCATAATGAAAAAAAATTTTGAAATTTTTTTTTAGCGGAAATACACGTTTTAGGACCCCCTGATCATATTGTGACTATTGAAAAAAAAGACATTTTGTTTGTTCCTCAACGACTAACAATAAGTGAATTGCAATAACGAAAAAAAAATTTCGAAATTTTTTTTTAGCGGAAATACACGTTTTGGGACCCCCTGACCATATTGTGACTATTGAAAAAACGATATTTTTTTTTGTTCCTATGCTATTGTCATGATTGCGTCTAAACAGCTGAATGAATTTCAATGAAACTTAACATTTAAGTTTTATGTTCTCGTTTTAAGGTCTCATTATATTTTAAGCGTGATCAGTTCCCATATAATGATGATTATACGTCTGTAGTTTTATAATTATTTCGATACATATACATCATTTGTAACAAATTTTTAAAGCGATTTATATAACTCTTAAGAAGGATTAAGATCAAATATACTTTTCTCCTATCTTTCCTAGACAGGAAAAATTAAACGAAATCTTATGCCTTGCATACCTACCTAAACCACATAAAAAACGTATTCCACAAATATTTTAGAATAATGTTGTTCAAAGCAGCCTTACTCGTAAAGGGTTAATTAAGGGTTAATTAAAATGAAAAACCACTCTTAGCCAGTACCGTGCACGCTACAGAAATAGATTACTACTGACTTTTCCCACTATGTTTTTTAATAACCGTATCAAATTATTACACACAATCAAATGTTATATATTTGACTTAACTTTACATAACAAAATAATTGTAACGATAGGTAAAACAATAACGTGCACGCTACCGTTCAATGGAAACCACGGGAAGGTGGTGGTCACTTCCATCAGGAGGGAAATGTAAAAAATTGTTATTTCTTTGTAACATTATCACATGCCGTATATTAAAATGTTTTTATTAATGTAATGAAATTACAATATAATGAAAAACTAACTCGTGAATGCATTAATTTTTATTAATATACACACGAGCCATAAAAATGGAAAAATGATATAATTGTTTACATTTCCAAAGGATGGGATGTCGGGATAGGACGTTTGCGATTAAGCTGGCACGTTATGTCGTGCATTGTTGCTCTTACGGTACCGTGACGTAAGTGTAACAAGGCGCGACATTCTACGTCATAGCCACATTATCTACAGCAAGCAATTTCACTAACTAAAAATATACGGCAAAATATAAGCAAATAAATGAAGAAAAAAAATGATAGTTAGAGCAAGCAGAATAGTATTTACAGCAAGCGAAATACGTAAAAAAAGTAACAACGCGAGACAAATTGAACGACTATTTACATATTAGCGATGTCCAAAAAAAATATTTTGGACATCACTAACAAGACTGCGGTTGCAGTGTAAGCGCTTTCGCGTGACGTTATGGCACATACATGCATCACACCTTGTTGCGCCTACGTCACGGTACCGTTGACGTAACAAGACCAGTCTACCGCGACGTCGCATGAAAACGTTTATACTGTCATTGCAGCCTAATAGTACGAATTTACTAAAGAGCTTTTCTCTGGAGAGAAAATCTCTCTAGAGAAAAGCTCTGTAGTAAATCGGTACCTTAATTTTCGTCATATGACGTAGCGGGAAAATTCTCAAAGTTATTGTCATATGTTGCGTTTAATCTTAAATTACACTTTTGCTTCTTAGCAAATCTATGATATAAATTTTTGGAATACAATAGAGCTAGATGATCGTCATCTACCTCCATGGGTTGAGAGTTTTCCCTCTGCGCCTTTAACGAAGATTTCACAACGCAAATAGAGTTGACGCTGGCCGAAGAAAGTTTATTTCGTTTCTTTGTTTTTATGTCAGGTAACATGGAAAACAATCTTTCTGCATCGGCATTGGAATTTGGAAGTGATCTAATTGTATTTACTAATTTCATCAATTCAGGAAATTTAATTTTATAGTCCAAATTTCGCGTTAATAAAATTGTTTTCCAGAAACCATCGAATTTCATCTCGATAAGCGTCTGTCTACCTTTCGTTGTAAATTCCAAAGGCAATACTGACCATTCTGTTTGCAGTCCTTCGTCGAAACCGCCGAATTTCTTAGCGATTAAGAGAACATTTCTGAAGGAAATGTCTCTATTTGTATCATTTAATATAAAAGTTGGTTCAAAAACATACAACATGCTAAGAAATTCGTCATCGATTGGCAATCGATGACGAATTTCATTTGCAGCTGTAATATAAAACATTAAACAATTTTTCCTTACGGTTTCTACGATGTCGGACTTGCCTTCTGCATTCAGTTGATGCAGAAAATTAAGACACTCTGTTCCTAAATTTATACTATCAAATGGAAGTTGATTTTCGACTACAGAAAAATTCATCATTCTTACTAAATCCATGTGTTTCAAAAGCTGCGGTTTCAGAAAATTGCGTAATATATCGCATAAAAGTTCTGCCGCAGTCTTTTGAAGCAAATGAATTCTTGTCTCTTGAGTTTGAAAGAAAATGCTAAATTTATAAAAAAACTCAAGAGCGTAATTTAGAAAATAAAGATATGCTTTGGCCTCTGGATTTTGCATCGAGATTAACAGACGTTCCCCGGACTCTGATTTCTCGCTTATTGTCAATTCTTGCAAAAAAAGCAATACAGAGTCCCAATTCTCTAAAAGTGTAACTACGGATGTATAATGCGATAACCATCGCGTAGAACACAATTTTAAAATTTTTCGGTCGGTTGTTTGAAAACATTGCTGAAATTCGCGGAATATAGCCGAACGTTTGGGACTACTGTATATGAAAGTTGCTACTTTTCGTAACAACTCCTCGCATATGTCTGGAATGGTATTGCACGCTTCGCGCACTACCATTGCAGACAGATGACACGGACAGCGGAGAGTCAAAAATTTGTCCCTGCATTTTGTTGCAAGCTTTGTCATAAAGGACGAGTGTCGCCCTGTCATGACAGCAGCGTTGTCACATGACAACGCGACAATATTTTCGAACGGAATTTCTCTTTCTATCATGGCAATTTCAAATGTTTTAAATAAATTATCTGCGCCACAATTTCTGGCATCAAGATGTAATAATTCTACCAATTCCGTTCGAACATCCAAAGTCTCGGGTGCAACATAACGAACAAGAAACGTCGTCCATTTCTCGTTGGTCGAGTCGGATGTTTCGTCAATATAAATAGAAAATTTAGTGTTTTGTAAAACACTAGAAATACGTTTTGTTTCTAAAGGATACAAAACGTTTGATATAATATTTGAACACTTTGTTCGACCGAACGACATATGTTTCAAGACATCAGGATCTTGCCCAATGTCTTTGAAAACTTCAAGAATCGTCTCTGCGGTTCGATACGGAATATTTTTTTCGGCTATTAATTTGGCAAATTTGATTTCCGCGGATTTTATCCTTTCATCCAACGACAGAGGCGATTCTTCGGATTGCGTCGTAAAATTATTATTCAATTTGTCTGCGTTATTGTTACTCTTTTTATAATTCTCAATGTGACACTGAGAATCGGCGTGATTATAAATCGTCGATAATCGACATGAAAATTGATTGTTGCAAACCGAACAGAACCACGAATAACGGTCGCCGTCGACTTTATGCAACCATGGCTTGAAATAATCATTCTCAAGCCATTGAGGCATAAAAGTCCTTTTAGAAGTACTATTTTTTTTATGACACCCAGATTCTCCGTGTCTATACACGTTTGAGGAACCGCAAGAATAAGACTTATTGCATAAAGTACAATAAAAACGACTTCTATCATGGGGTACTGCACGTATCCATGATTTAAACCTATGATCATTTATCTATGAAGATAAAAAACCGCGCTTACACTTATTCTTCGATTTCACAACCGTTTCCATGATATAAAAGCAGAAAAGCGAAAGAACAGAAAATTACAGAAATTACGCGAAAGCTTTTTTTCAATTTAAATATCTCAGAATGACCTACGGCACGTACCTTTAAATTTGTCCTGATGTTCGTCCTCGTCGACCGAATTCAACTGACTCAAGAGAAACAGCAGTGGCTCGAGCACGTGGCGATAGTGTTTTGTTTATACTGCTCGCGCATCGATGGGCCGTTGAAATGCCCGGACGAAGAAAGGACGTAGATATATACATATAGCACAGTTCCCATAGGGTTTTAAAAGGCAATAATTAGAAATAAAGTTCTATTGAATGAATAGCAGTATATAGACGACAATTTAATATATTTCATTTTGCAGAAATGAATTTAGAGGGGAATCAAAAAAAAAGGAAAGAAGAATATAGACGTTCTAATATATGCCATGTGATAATGTTACAAAGAAATAACAATTTTTTACATTTCCCTCCTGATGGAAGTGACCACCACCTTCCCGTGGTTTCCATTGAACGGTAGCGTGCACGTTATTGTTTTACCTATCGTTACAATTATTTTGTTATGTAAAGTTAAGTCAAATATATAACATTTGATTGTGTGTAACAATTTGATACGGTTATTAAAAAACATAGTGAGAAAAGTCAGTAGTAATTTATTTCTGTAGCGTGCACGGTACTGGCTAAGAGTGGTTTTTCATTTTAATTAACCCTTAATTAACCCTTTACGAGTAAGACTGCTTTGAACAACATTATTCTAAAATATTTGTGGAATACGTTTTTTATGTGGTTTAGGTAGGTATGCAAGGCATAAGATTTCGTTTA